ATTTTATTTTATTTTATTTTATTTTATTTTATTTTATTTTATTTTATTTTATTTTATTTTATTTTATTTTATTTTATTTTATTTTATTTTATTTTGTTTTGTTTTATTTTATTTTATTTTATTTTATTTTTTAAAAAAGATATTTATTATCATTATAATATAAGTATACTGAATGGTAGTATTCCTATTTTTTTTTCTTTTCTTTTTTTTAACTGACTTTCTTTTTCACTTAAAGTATTTTTGGTTGAATATTTATTTCGAAGTTTTCGATTTGAAACCTTCAATGAAGATTTTACTTTATTTTTATTTTTATTTTTTTAATTATGATTCATTATATATTTCAAATAAAAACCAAACACACACTTATATATATATATATATATATAAATAAGCATTAAGCAATGGTTTCTAGTAATTCAATCAAGTTTTCGTAATCGTTTTTTAATTGATTTAATTTTTGGTTCAAAACAGATTTAACTGATTCCTTTTTCTGATGAGTTAAGCTTTGGTCACCTAACTTTTGTTTTATCTGAGAAATTGAGTGGTCAAGTTGATTCGAAATTAGATTATTTCTGACCTTATTAGGTGGATTGGTATCAGTGGAGTTTTGTTTTACTATCTCTTGGGGACCATTCTTGACCATACTTGTGATGAGTTCATAGACGACCTGAACAGCAGCTTTTGCAGTGATTTCAGCATGGTCGTATTGAGGGGCAACTTCCACGATGTCAGCACCAACAATGTTCAAAGAGTCTATTCCTCTTATGATGTGGATCAACTCTCTTGTTAGCCAACCACCAGGCTCTGGAGTGCCAGTTCCAGGAGCAGCGCTTGGGTCAAGCACATCGATATCAACTGAGATGTAAACTGGATGATGGTTGGGGATTGTCGAGAGAATCTTGTTGATGATGTAGTCCAAACCATTTTTATGTTTGAAGATATCATCTGCTTCGATTCTCGTGAAACCTTGGTTATCGTCGTCAGTGTAGTCAGACCAATCAGTTAGTCTAGTTCTAATACCAGCATGGACGTTTGAGCTGTTTGATAATAGGCCTTCTTTGGAGGCCATCCATAGCATTGAGCCATGAGTGAACATTGACTGTTTTGAGTGCCAAAAAGAAGGATATTTATCTGGAGACCAGTCATCGAGATGAGAATCAAAATGGATTATAGATAGTTTGCCATATATTTTGTATAGGTTTCTTAGAGCTGATAGGGTTATGCTGTGATCACCACCAAGCATGATTAATCTTGGGAAACTGACTGGGTTGGAAGAGGAGGTTTGTCTTTTGAATAGTAGTTCGTTATAGCCCATTGTCATTTGGTTTAAAGCTATAGCATTGTCCATTGGGGTTATTGGGACATCACCACAGTCAATTATGTTGGCCCATTGAATGAAAGGGTTCAAACCAGCTCTAAAATTCAAGCTTCTTAAAGAATTGATTCTTTGGGAAGCAGATCTGATTGCTCTTGGGCCAAATCTTGCACCAGGTCTATAAGTTGTAGCGGTATCAAAGGGGTAGCCTATTAAGGCAATATCATAGGAGATGTTTGTGTCAAGAAGACAGTTTTCATAGGGCAAGTGAGCAAAAGTGTTTATTCCAGCAAAGGGAAAGGATTGGCCCCACAAGTCGTTTAACGAAGGATTAGATTTCGAGAAATAGATGTCGTTTTGAGTCAATTTAGCTTCGATGATTCCATAATTGTTCAATTCGTTTCGATAATTGGAGTCATAATTATAAGAGTTATGACCATGAGAATTATGATCATTTGAGCTGCAATAACAAATGGAAAAAGAAGATAAGAAGATAAAAGCAAAGATGAAAAAGATTATCATTCTTTTTTTTATTTTATTTTATTTTATTTTATTTTATTTTATTTTATTTATCTGACAAGATAAAGGGAGATGATAAAAATGAATGCAAGTGTGAATTGGTGGATATTTATATCATTTTTAGTGAGCAATGGATTAAGTTGTAATGAAAAGTTTTGTTTCAAATCTACAATTTTATAACTACAAAAGAGCTGATAAGACTTGTTGAAGCTATCAATAGCTTAATTGTTTAAGACTGATTTAAGCGAGAGAAAAACGGCGGATAATGGAAAATACAGCCTTTAAATTCCAAATGTCGAAATTAAATTGAATCGAATTGGATAGAATAGAATAGAAAATATTAAGACTATTAAGACTATTAAGGCTATTGAGAATATTGAAAATAAATTGATTAATTATTTGTAAATAATGTATATTCATATAAAAATAGCTAAAAAAGAGATCAAGAGACCAAGAGAAATTAAATGTTTTAATTTTTTATAAGCAAAAAAAAATATTATTGATTCATTTTCCTTTTTTTTATGGAATTAATAGGTTGATTAGACTCAATTATATTATATTGTAGTGTATTGAGCTTAAGAGTAATTCAACTGTTTACATATCCAGTGTAATCAATGGAAAGCCTATTTGTCTTTGTTTTCTTCCTTCTCTAAAACCTCATTCAAGATGGATAAATCAGGATCAGTTCTACCAAGACGCAAAGTTTTGTCGGTTCTGAGTTTTTTAGTAGAGAAATAGACACCAGAGCAAATAGCAACACCCACAGCAACAAGCAATGGAGTTAATTCGACTGGGTAGACAAAACCACTTTTTTTCTGCAGAGAAGATAGCAGGTTAGTAGATGGCAAGACAGAGAGAGCTACAGTAGCTGGGTCTAGGTGGAAAACATACAGCAGCGTTGAAAAGAGTTGGGGAGGGTCTCATTGTGGATAATTGTGGGCGTGGAAAGCAGAGAATACTGGATCGAGAGAGGATATAAACCAAAAGTATCAAACAAGTATCAAGCAAGTAGTGAAGAAACAGCCAAAGAGATCGTTTTCTCTGCGCTTGTCAGTTATTTTCCTCGTGCGCTGATTGGCCGGTGATGGCTGCTGACTCAGCAGTGAGCTGATACAGCAGCGTTGTGTGTGGACTGGAAGTTGTGGAGGAGCATCTGGATGAGCATCTGCTGCAGCATCTGCAGCAGAAGTAGAAGAGAAGCAGAAGAAGATACGAGAAGCTGCTGCTGAGTCTTTCCAGACTCAACTCCACCATTTGAAGGTGCTTTGGTCGAGTTTTAATAGCTGGTGCTGCAGTACACAGCAGAATCACGCGGCCAGACGCAGAGGTGCTTACTATATAAGTTGAAACCCATTTTGGAAATAATATAAATACTCCTCAAGTAATTATCAGTTTCTTCTAAAGCAGATCCAACAAACTCTGCTCTACCAATTCGTTGACAACCAGCAACGGTATTGCCAACTACTTCATCAAGACTATTAATAATCTCTGCAGGATCAATTGGCACTTCAGCCATTTTAATTCCTCTATTTTCAATCCTATTAGATTTTTGTTATTTGATAACTTAGAAACTAATAAAAAAAGATTACTAAAATTCAGGCTATATTTATATTAAAATTATTAATTAATTCATTAATTGAACCGGATTTTTGTTTGAACATTCTGAAGATTTAATTTCAACTATTCAAAGTTTTTCTTGGATTTTTGAATAACACAGAAAGGTGGCTTAATTTTGTTTTTATTTTCTTTATTTTCTTTATTTTCTTTACATATTTCATATTTTACAATTGGATAACTAAACAGTCTTTAATCACTTCAAATGATAGCCAACTTACTGCCATTGAAGGAACAACCTTGAAGAGATTGGCGCTCAACCCTTTATAATACCCTCTCCATCCTTCTTTTTTGCCAATTGTCATTAAAGCATCGAAAATCGACGTGTATTTAAATCCCATTTCGTTATTTCCCATTGCTAAAACTTGAAATCGTCTTCGTAACAAATCAAAGGGATAAATCGCAGTTTGCGACACTCCACCAGCTATAGCCCCCATCAATAGCTTTGAAAATGCTGATGAGTCTGGCAATATTTCTTTCAATTGCTCAAAAATCGCAAAATTTAATGCAACATATGGTGCTACTCCAACTGTTGTAGGCAAAACTCCTCTGTACAAGCCCAATACCCCACCCTCAGTTTTATACGTCTTGATAAACAATTGCCAAAACCCAGGAGGGTTTTGTGATGAACTTATCCTGATTTTGTTTTTACTCAAGTTACTCAAATTTTGCGCAGTTTGAATCGATAACCTTGTTCTTATTAAATCCATTGGATATGTAACATAAACACTCACAATTCCTGCAACACCACCTGCTATTAATCTATCTATATTTTTCAACTCTTTTTCCTCACTATTTCCCGATTTTAAAAAAAAATTCAACTTCAAATTTTGAAATACATAAAACTGAACTGCCTGGTAAGGAAAAATCCTTATACAATTGATTCCATTTCCTCGAAATAGCCCAATTACGCCTTCTTCTTTCCACATGTTGAAAATCGTTGGAAATATTCCCTTATAGTTTCCCTTTCCAGGACCCTGGATTTGGAAAATGATTTTAGCTCTTTCAAATGGAGACACAATTGTTCTCGAAATAGCTCCAGCAAATCCCCCAGCGATAAACGACGCAACAAGATCCTGTTTCAAAAACTTTTTCGTTTGATCAATAGACGGTAATAACTCTGACATCTCTTTCAACTAATAATACAATCTCTCTCTAACCACCCCCAGATTCATCAGAACAAACAAAAACCTTTTTTTGGTCTCAATTCTCATTTTGAAAATTGTTGATGAAAAAAAAAACCTATTTTTCCTGCAATTTTCATATCTCTCAGTCCCACACCGCTGATCTCGCATATAAATGGGATTTGTTGATGTATTTTAAGTCTGATTGGTATGAACCTCTGTATTGAAATCACCGCTGTTTTGCAACTTTTCTGCTTTTTTTGCGGATTCAAACAGTGAAAATAAAAGAATATTTATTGGATTTAATTTAATCTCGCCTATAAACAGGAATTGGTCGTCATGTATTTGGGTTTTAATAGTTTTTCTTTACTCTTACTCTTACTCTTCTTCGTCTTCTTCTTTGAGATTAGAGTATATTTCTGTGACCTGATCAAGAGATTCAAGAGCGTCTATCAACTTATTGTATTTTTCTTTAGCATCTGCATCAGTAATTGAAACCATTAAATCAGGTTTAGGAATGTAATCGATACCAAAGTTCTGAATCTTGAAATTTTCTTTGAGAACATTTGCCACAACACTTGTTTCTTTAACTTCTGTAATTACCTGGTATATTCTAGGTTTTCCATTTGAATCAAGAATCAATTTGTCATTTTCGTCTCTTGCTTTTTCTTGAATTTGATAATCTTCGCACCCACTATCGATGATCAAATCTGACGCTTCATCCTCATCAACTTCACCTTTGTCTATCACAATAATTCCCTTCTTTTCGAAATTGAATAATGTAGGAGAAAATGATGTATTTGTTTTAGATATCGCGTCCTTGAGATAACTAAGTGCTCTATTACTATTATCACTTAAGCACTCTATCACAAGTGAAACTCCACTGGGTCCAATTAACTCGTACGTGTACTGTTCTAAATTGACAGCATCTTTCCCTTGACCTGTTCCTCTTTTAATTGCATTTTCAATAGCAGCTTTTGGAACATTGCTTTTATTAGCCAACTCGATGGCAGTTGCTAATCTAAGATTCAATGTTCGATCACCACTACCCCCAAGTTTGGTTGCAACATAAACATGCTGCGTTAATTTGTTTATCAACTTGTTTCTAGCAGCATCGTTTCTGGCTTTGGAATGCTTAATTGACGACCATTTGCTATGCCCTGATAGAACTGGATTTAGCAAAGCTGTAAAGCATCTTGATGAAAAGTCGGCAGAAAAGGATATCAAGCTGCGAGAAACTGGGCGTATTGTTCTTATCATCATCGAAAACACCTCTCCCATCTACTAGATCTACACCAAAGTAAATATATTTGAGCTTTTCCAATGTTTCCAAATAACAGCTCCATATTGAGCACTTTGGAGAAAGCATCTTATACAACGATTCATCCAGCCCGGACCGGGTAACCAGTGCTCAGAATACGATCTGCTGCTTTCTTCTCTTCATCAAAACAACAAGAACGATACCAAGGTCTAACAACTGCTACAAACTGTCGATTTACAACTGACATTTTTCTGTTTAAACTGTAAGTTTACTGGATAGCAGCTGGAACATTACTTAAAAATGCTGGTTCTTTTCTTTGAAATTGTTCAATTGAGTGATTATTTATTAACACTATCACTATCTTTTTTTTAAAGTACATCTCAACAATGGCCGAAGAAGCTAAGAAGAGAACTTTGATAGCTGTTATAGGCGACGAAGACACTGTCACTGGAATGCTTTTAGCTGGTGTTGGTCAGATCAGTAACGATGCTACTGAGTCCTACAAACAGAAAAATTTCATTGTTGTTGATTCCAAGACCACTGATGATGATTTGGCAAAGGCTTTTGACAATTATACAACCAAAAGAGATGACATTGCAATTATATTGATCAATCAGCATTTGGCTGAAAGAATTCGATTTAAAGTTGAAAACTTTACAGCTGCTTTTCCTGCAGTTCTAGAAATTCCATCTAAAGATCACCCATACGATCCTGAAAAGGATTCTGTTTTAAGAAGAGTTAAGAGACTTTTTGGTGAATAAACTAGTGTTTAGGTTATATCTTTTTATATTGTTTTACTGAACATTTAATAGGAATTATAATTGTAGAACTTTTACAAATTTACTCTTCAGTTCTGGCTTTTTACTTTTATTTTCACTAATATTTTTTTTACATATTACTTCAAATACTTATAAGACTGATACATTTTTTAAATAAATAACAAAAATTGAAGTCGTACAAAATTAGCAAAGAAAATAAAATAAATAATTTTATTAGTAGAAAGTGAAGAATAAATTACAATAAATATCCGAAATGATTGATACGTCGAATTCGAAAATAGCGTTTAAAAAAAAATTACTATAAAATATCGTTTTCCTTTTTTATTGATTTTGCTTCTTCTGCAGACTCAGTGTTTTCCTTTGGCTTTTCAGTTTCCTCTGGTATCTTCTTTTCTTTCTCATTTTCAAATTCTTTTTTTTCTAAATCCTCAGGTTTAGCTTCCTCAACTTTAGGTTCTTCAGCTTTGGGCTCCTCAGGTTCAGGTTCTTCAGCCTTGGGTTCATCAGCTTTGAACTCATCAGCTTTGAACCCATCAGTTTTAGATTCCTCTTTTTCTTTTTCCTCCAATTTCTCAACTTTAGAGTCTTTGACTTCTGCTTCTTCATTTATTTCTTGTGCAACTGCAGGCTTATTTTCTTTAGTTTTAGACTTGTCATTTTCTTTATGATCAAAACTTGTCACTGTAATAGTGGGCGTCGAAGAGGTTTCATGGGTCTTTATATCTTTTTCAATTAACTTTGGTTTGAATTCCTTTTTAGGACTTTTTGGACCGGATTCAACTGTTGGTTGCTTAGTCAATGATTCAATGATTGGAACTTCAGATAAAGGCTGTTGATTTTGTTTAGGTTTAGGAAGCTCAACACTCTCGTCTAATGGAACATCTTCCATTTCTTTATCGTCAATTTTGTCTTCAACTTTTTCTTGTTCACCAACATCTTTTGCAGATCTAGGGGTTTCAGTGGTATTAAAAACAGGCGAGGATTTTTTTGGTGTTGCAGGAGTCTCCCTTGGTGGAGTGGGTGTTATTGTATGTTCTATCTTATAACGTTTGATAATTTCAGAATCTGAGTGATCAAGATAGAATATTGATACGCCAATAATTTTCTTTTCAGTTTCACAAGCTTTTAACCATTCAGGTCTGACAATTGGTATATTAGCATTAACTGCATTTTCGCATTGAGCCCCAGCGGCTATAGTGCAGACAAAATGAGTTGTATCGACTTGAACTTGAGATTGAATAGGTTTTGCACCCATTTTTTTTAATATTAATTCAATGTCATATTTTGAAATGTTTTCTTTTGGATTGATTTCACCTAAACAAACAGTAATACCAGTTAAATCAGTCATCTTGTGAGTTTTAACTTGAACTCTTTCGGATTTGTATATGCCAGCGGTGGTGTCTAATCTTAAATAAAATTCAAATGGAGTATCAACAGCCAACCCAGATAACTTGATCGTTGAATTGATTAGAGGATTTTGAATTTGGGTTAATCTTGTACCGTTTTTGTATAATATAAGAGATTTCAAAGATGTTGTGCCCAATTCCAACGCGTCCCATTCTAATACACAAGAAGTCTGAGTTATATTTCTAATTTTCAAAATTGGGGGCTTTGGACCATTTCTACCAAACTCATTTAAAATCTGTTCTTGGATTCTGAAAAATATATCCTTTTCTCTTTTCTCCAATTCTAGATTTTTATCACATTTGATTTTGATAATCGAGCCAGCCTGGACTCCTTCTGGCAACAAAATGGTTGGAAACTCAATCAAATGATGATCGCTAGTCAACAACAAGGCCAACGAAGCGTCCAATTTACCCACAGTCAATGAAACCTCAACCATCTTCTACCTGTAAAGCACACAATCTATCCAGCAATGCACTGTTCTTCTACAGCTGTTGTGTTTTCGTCGTTTTTACCCATCTTCTGTCTGCTGAACTTCGCCTGCTGTTATTTCCCAAAGAAGGGTAAGTCCCAAGCCTCATAGGAACCGTGGCTGAGGCTGATGGAAAGTTCAGATATAGATGTATTGTATATTGATGGAGCTGTGTGTATCGATGGATATCGTAGTATATCCAGGTCTTGCAAGTGCTTCTGTTGCTGCAATTGCCTAAACAGCAACAGCAACAACAGCAGCACTTGTAAGAATTCTTGTTGTCAGGCATCCTTGGGGCAATATGGGCAATGTTGGTTGGCAGACATGGCAAAAATCAGTAGTCCTCGAAATGTGAAGGAGTTTGCCATAGAATCATGTTGGTTAGTCTCTCAGAGATCAATTCGATTCCCTTCGATTTTTTCTTGTTATCTTTACTCACATAGTAATTAAGAATGGGCCAATTGTGAATCTCTCTGCTGATGGCGTCGACTTTCACTTTACCAGCCGATTTTAGTATTTTGGTAAACTGGGCTATATCATTACTGAGATATTCTTCCTCGCCATATATGATGGAGATTCCAATGGATGGGATTGCCTTACTCCAGACGTCGATTGATTCACACATTCCTGGATTTAGATATGGATCTAATTTATTGGAATAGTCGCTGAGATAGGACTCTGACCAGTTTGCGATAGTCTTCTCTGTTATAAAATCGGGGCAGTTGTCTAGGACTTCACTCAATATATTGTTGTTGTCATCTTCCGAACTGAATTCATCGTTTGATAAATCATGTTCAAGATTGTATTCGTATTGTAATTTTGAGTTGTGATAAAATATATTAGTCACAGGAGAGATCAATAACATTGCCAATGGTTTTTTCAATTGGGTTGAGTTTTCAATTAATTTATTTGGTTTAGTTATATGTAGTAATAATGATAGAGCTAGAGTTCCACCGGTTGAATCGCCCATTAAAACTATATTCGAATTTGGATTGATTTCATTGATGTAATTCCAAATTTTGCTCAACCTATTTAGCTGTTGTGGATATTGTTGATCGATAATAATTGAATTTTTTCTTTTAACAAAACTTGGTATGAAAACCGCAGGATTTTTGAAGCCCTTCAAAAATAAAGATTCTAGTAAAGAATTTAAGAACTCAATATATAAATAAGATGGATTGCTATTAAAGCCTCCGCCATGAATATAGAAGAGGATTAAATCGTGAGCATAAGTTTTATCGGGATTATGAATCCAAAATCCATTGAAACCTTTTAAACCATTGATGTTTTTGATTTTATCGATTTTAATTATTCCTAATAGATTTAGATGTAGAGATGTGCCATAGTTCCTGTATTTGTGAAAAAATTTAAATAATTTAAAATCATTGAGGATTACTCCACCGATTCCATTGGGTTTAAAATTTTTCAATTGGTGTTTTAAGATTTTGATGACAATAAATTCAAATAAGTTGGTATTTTTAAGATATGAAGAATTTTTAACGTTTAATTTTCTTGATTTATAGAAAAAATTAACCATAGTACCTTTTAAAAAGTAGTTAAGAAAGACATCACCAGGCAATTGAAACACTGCAAGAAAAAAAGGAAAAAGGCAAAGATGGGTGGTTAGTACAAGAAAGAGATGAATTTTAAATAGCAGTTCTTTTTTGTTTTAAAGGTGCAACAAACTTAAAAAGGGGAGGGAAGCTGAGAAATAAATGATTGTATCAACAATACCATAGTCGTAGAACATTATGGTTAAGGCCAAAGTTAAGAAGACGAGTTTGTCGATGATATTGAATTTGATCATTGTAAGATTGAAGGTGGGATTGAAAAGGAAGATAGAGAAGAATCCAGATTGGCCAGATAAGACTAGATCAGGTCGATGGGCGGGAAAGAGATAAAGAGATAAAGCAAAACGGAGGAGATAAAGCGATCAAAAGAGTAAAAAAATAAGTGGAAACTTTGTGTTCTCTTTCTTTTGTAAACAAAGATTCCAAAAACTCAAATTTGCAAACCTTAGAGAAATGTTAAAAGTTTAAAAACCCACTAAAATCATCGCAGATACAGGATCAGAGTTTATTTGTTTTTGTTTGTTCTTTAGAAAAGAGGGAAATGTGTTTATTTATATAAAATTATGTATGTGGAAATGAGGAAATAAAAGTACAACTATAAAAGATCATAATAATATAAACGAGATGACAGACAAAAAGAGAGGAAGAATATTAGTAGTGTTGTTAGGTAGGAATTGATTATTATATCATATTGAATATTAAATTGAGTATTAAACTAAATATTAGTTTGTTTTGGATTTGGATTTGGATTTATTGGCGTTTGGCAGACAAGACATTATCAACAGCAGCAAGAAAGATATCAGCGTGTTTATTTTCAAAAGTCAAAGTTGGACGTAAACGAACTGAGTTCTCAGCACAACCACCACAGTTGACACCATTTAATTTTAACTGGTAAAGGAAGTTGTCACGATCATTTTGCGATTCTAAATCAAAAGCAATGAAGGTGGCTTTACCACGCAAGTTTTGAATGTCCTTTGGATATTTATCAGCTAGTTTGGCTAAACCATTATAGATGTAATCGCCGACTTTGGCAGTGTGTTCAACCAAGTCGTGTTTAACAATTTCCTCAGCAATGGCACCAGCGATAATCATTCTGGCTGGATCACCACACCAGGTGTTGAATTGTCTATAGGTTTTGTTTGGAATGAATTTATCATCGTGGAACCAGTAACCGGCACTTTGGAATTTTTTAGAAAAGGTGACTAAATCAGGAGCAGGAGATAAGTTGAAATGTTCATGGGCCCATAATTTACCAGTGGCACCAACACCGGTTTGAACTTCGTCAACAATCATAACAACGTCGTTTTGTAAAGTGATGTCTCTTAAACCTTGGAAGAAATAAGAAGAGCCATGGTTGTCACCACCTTCAGATTGAACGGGTTCTATGATCAAAGCAGCAACGGGGAATTCCCAGGTTTTGATCAAGTTTTCAACTATAGCCAAGCATCTATCATCTTCTTGTTTGTTTTCCTTTTCGTATTTGGACAATGGGTATTTATAAGAAGGATATTCAGCTTTTGGCCAGTTAAAAGAAGGCAAGTCAATTTTGTGGATTGGTTTTGAGCGAGTAACAGAGGCGGTTGCAAATAAACGACCATGGAAGGCTCTTTCAAAGGATAAGACAGCTAATTGGGGAGAACCTGGAGACTGATTTTGCATACAGGAGTATTCTTCTTCTGGAGTGAATTCAGTGCTGTAACCTCTCTTCTTTTGTTGGTAGTACATGAAGGCAGCTTTGAATGCCAATTCATTAGCGTCAGCACCAGATAAACCGGACCATACTTTATCTTGGCCTGGAGGAGCGACTTTTAAGATTTTGGATAGCAATGATTCGAAATCTTTGCCTGGAAAGTTACCCAAAGCAGGTCTCTCGACCAAAGCTCTGATCATTTCAGGAGATTGTGCAGCTTTAATCAAAGCAGGGTTATTGTAACCTAAAGCAATGGAAGCAATTTGAGCATATAAATCCAAGTAAACGTTACCATCAACATCAGAGATATAATTACCGAGAGATTTTTCATAATCAGCAACAAAGTAAACAGTTCTGGAATCAAAGACTTTGCCCAAGTCAGCAATGGCTTTTTGAGATACTGGGCCAGGAATGACAGTTGTGTTGACGGTTGGAGCAGATGGCTCATCTGGGTAGTATTGAGAAGAAATAGACATTTTCGAAGCCAGTGATTGCAAAAAAGGATATGAGGAATAATCTCTAGGGAAGATAGATAAAGAGAAAAAAAAAGATAAAGAAAACTAGAAAAAACAGGAAAAACAAGAGGACTTATATAGCAAACAAGTAGCCATGTTGGAAAAGGAAAGAAAGCAGAAACTAGAGATCAGGAAATCAAGAAGATGGATCTGGAGCGACGATGAGTTGCGCTGGCGGCTAAGGCTCTTGAAAGGTCGATGAGCAGTTTCGGTACAGAAACAGTGTGGAGCTGAGGACTATCGGTGCTACACGAAAAGCGCACGCGCCAGCTGACTCAGTGCTGACTCAGCGTGCAGGAGGCGCCTAATTGCCTTCTTGGGGCATTGTGAGCAGTATCACGAACGGGATGACTGGGGGCTTGCCGCATTCGTCACGTTGCTCGGCGGCAGTCGCTCGATCAGGCAGTCGCCTTCTGTTTCACGGATGTGGCACGTGCTTATTTCTTCAACTTCTTCTAAGCGGTGTCCGACGCAGCAGAAACAACAGAAGCAGCAGAGGGAAGCGAGATTGGTGTTGTACTGATATTGGATTAAAGTAGAACTGAAGTCAAGAGTAATAGGGAAACTAGATACTGATAAGGAGCAGAAAAAATATATAGGAAATTATTTAGATAACAAACAAATAAATAGATGAATAACTGAATAGACAAATAAATGAATAAAAGTAAGATAACATCAATAAACGGTCAAACAGAACACTTAATAATACTGGTTGAGTAATAGTAAAAAAATAAAAAACAAAGTGATAGGGAAAACAAAAACATAGAAAAAGTAATAGAAAAAGTAATAGAAAAAGTTATAGAAAAAGTTATAGAAAAAATAGAAAAAATAGAAAAAATTATAAATGATTGAAATGTTAAAAATTAACAAAACTAAATAGATAAAAACAGCAAATAACACTCAATAAGCAAACATGATAATTACTACTTATCACATCCCCAATCAACTGTATTTGAAATTCAGAGTGGAATTTAAATTGAAGTTTAGTAATCATAATCGAAATACAGGTATTTTACAAATTTAAAAAATTTTAACTCTTTTATTACTAGTTCCATTAATATCAATACCAATATTATTTCTAACTGCAGCAGAATTAATACAATTATTAATGCAAGCTTCCGTCGTTTTTTTACTATTTGTATTTCTAATCTTTTGTATTTGCAGTTTATTGCCAGTATTAGTTTCCTCACCAAACTTCCGTTTTTTACTTTCACTTTCACTTTCAATTTCAATTTCACTTTGATTTTTTTTTTCACTTTCCAATTTTGTGCTGTCTCTGTTGGTCTGTATTGGTATGTGTTTATCAAGTTGACTAAACACTTGACTCACTATAGGACTGGGTATTTGATTGCAATAATCATCCTTATTTGATTGAATAAACTGTTCTTTATGATTGATTTTGGTGTTAATTTTAGTATTAATTTTAGTGTTAATTTTGTTATTTGCTTTGATCGATTCATATTGACTTAAGTCCACATTCAATTTCGGAAATAAAACCTTTAAATTATCAATTAAATTACTAATATTTTTTTCATTTCCAGTGTTATCATTATTGTCAATATTATTACCAATATTATTTTTTTTCAGATTATTATATTTCACATTATCGTTTGGAATGTTTGAAATGTTTGAAATGTTATTAGGATTATGATGACTAAAAATGAAATTTTTCGTTTGACTTTTTTTCATTCCATTTTTTAATTTCATCTCAATTAACCTTTGTAATCTTTCATCATTTCGAATTGAATTAATCTTGTTCAATGTGCTTAGGTTATTGATTGATAATGGTAATAGTTTACCATGTTTTCTAACGTCTTCTTTGAACAACTCTGAGTTGTTTTTGTATTCAATCTCATCGTTTTCACTGTATCCATTTGTCCTGAATTTATATTTGTATCCGTTATTAATTAATAACTCGAAATAATCAAAATTTAAAAATAAATTAAAATCATCGTCTGGATTTAAATTTTCAACAATAAGCGCCCAGCGCGAAGAGATCGCTGCAGCTTTGGTCGCTATAATTGTTGATAATTTAGTATCAATACCATTAGTAGTACTGTTATTAGTATTAGTATTAGTATTAGTATTAGTATTGGAATTAGCATTGATGGTGGAATTAATGGTAGAATTGGTGACGCTATTAGTTGCAGAGGTGTTAAGCACTTTAATTCTTTCTATGGTTAAATTTGCCAATTCGCTATTAAAATTTGAACTTATTAGCAGCGTGTAAAAGTGTAATAAAATCTTTGACCAGATAGTGAACATGTTGTGTCTTACAAATAGATTGTGGTTTAAATTTTTGAAAATAGTGATGCCAATTGAATTTAGTTGGTTGATGGGTAGTCCTGAGATTGTAGACCAAGATTTTAGGGAGTAATTTTTATCTTGTAAGAATTTGCAGGATAGAATTAAACAACCTAAAAATGTTTTTTTTTTGCATAATAAGACGTTTTCGGATAAATAGGACAATATTTTGTTGACTTTTGAGTCATTTGGTAGAGAAGTGTCTGATTTAATTGAGATTAAAAAGAGATTCAAGTTATTGTAGTTGAGATCAATGGCGTTTGATAAGCGGACGAGGTAGTAAAGACAAACAGTTAGAGTGCTGTGAGAGAATTTTGATCTTTTTAAAATGATTTTGATAAAATTAATTAGATCGATCAAGTTGTCAGATTTGTTTAAATTTGAGTGGTTTTTGATGTTGTTTAGTGAGATTTTCAAGTAGATTGTTTCTAGTAAGATGGCAGTTGTTGTAATGATCGATTCAGCCAAGATAAATTTTGATTGGATCTGGGAGGCGATGAAGTTGTTTGTATTTGTATTATGAATAGAGTCATTTAGCGATGTTTGAGAAGTGTTGTCAGTGGGAAAAGCAGCAATATTTGAGTTAATGGCGTTGGCGTCGTTGGCGTCGTGGTGACTGTATAGGTTGGTGCTGTAGTTTAATAGAGGGTTTTTGATTGATTTTTTGTTTGGAAATTGTGTTAATGATTGATTTTGGTGGTTTTTAGATTTGTTGTCAAAATTTAAAGGTGAAGTCGGAACTGTAGTGGACTCGGTGGTGTTGTTTGAAAATTGGCTGCTTGAGTTGCTACTTATATCACTTAGAGACTTGTTTTTATTGAATGAGGACGAAGACGAGGAGGAGGAAAAGGAGGGTGAGAAAGACAGGTAAAATTGGTTTTTACTTGGTAAGTCATTGATACTGTTCGGGTTTTTAGAGATATTAAGATTATTATTTTTGTTAATAGCTGTAGTAGTGTTAGTGTTAATAGTAGTGTTAATAGTAGTGTTGGTGTTGATATTTGATTTTTGATTTTCTTGATTTTCTTGATTCTTTAAGACGTATTCATGTTGAAAAAGATTTAAATATTGCATTATATATAGTATATTATATTATGTTATATTATGTTATGTTATATTATATTGTATTAAATTAAATTAAATTAAATTAAATTAAATTAAATTAAAATAACGGACAGATTCTTAGAGCAGTATCGGTAAACATAAACGAGAATAAAATATTTTGAAAAGGAATTATAATATTATATAGTATAATATTATTTTGATATTGATATTTGTGTTTATGTTTGGATTGATGTTTATATTTCAAGGTATTTATATATACGCCAATTTAATAAATATGAGAATAAGTAAACTAGATAAAAGTTTAAACTTTTGAGATGATTAAGTGGTGATTAATAATTAATAATTTGTAATGAAAAGCAAATGATTATGGCTAAGTACTTGGGGGAATGATGAATGGAAGTTAGCTTGTAGAGTGAAATTGGAGAGCAGGCTGTTGGGGGGTTGGTGATTATAGAACAAAAGGATTTGATATATTGAAATGTACGGGAAAAAGTGATTCAAAAAGATTTAGAATATGAAAAGTATGGAAAAAAATAAGACAGTGAAATGGAAAGAAATGAAATGTGGACACTTGTAGAAATCGATCTGTATGCTTGGATAAAAAAACAAATGCAAATATACAGTCAAACGAAAAAAAACCTAATAGAGTAAGATTTAATAGAGGCAATACATTTCAAAATAGAGATGATTGAGATGATTAATCATGGATTTCAAAATAAGGGTTTAAAGGTATATATATATATTGGAAAACTGATGTTAAAAGGCAAGAAAACAAGTATAATTAAATCATGTTACTTTAAGTAATTTTGAATTTTTTTTCTGCTAAAACGATAACAGAATATGTAAATCTAAGTTGCAAGACAGCAAGAACTGTAAGAGCTGTTCCAAATCCAGTCTTTTGTCGCTACTGCGAAATTCACTCGTAGTTCTGGATATTCTCTGAACATGCTCTGCTGTTTTTGGATCAGTTGGTTTGTAATCGATTGCTTCTCCAGTTCCTTCTGCTCCTTCTCTAGTCGAAAAAGCTCCTGTAATGTCGTGAAGCGTGCTTTCATGTTTTTAGCGTTCTACGCTCTGTTCTCTTCTTGATTTCAAATCAGTTTCCTTCAAAGCACATCCAAATTTAGCTTTCGGTACACTGTTCCTAAGTTTCCTCAGCTTTCCGATTCAGCCTCCAGCCAACTCCAAGTGCTGTTCGATTGCTCTTTCTGAGATGTTCAAACAATCCGGTCCTGTTCTTTCGCTTGCCTACTGCGTTCTTGCTGTTCGCCATCGTCCGTTACCCTGCCGACCGCTTTCCACACACAGCTACCAGCAGGGCAACTCCATGCTTGGAGATAAGTGCTTCATTGGCTTGCTGCGAGCCTCCTCCTTCTTTTTTTGTCTATTGCTGTCTATTTCCGCTGCCTATCCCATATACATTGATACATTACAACACAAAGAGCTGGGCTAGAGCACATACTATTGTGTTTGTTTAAAACAGATCTAACTGAACAGTGGAGACTATAGGACTTTGAATTGAAAACCTTGGACTGGGGTTTTTTTATGGATCTTCCACTGATAGCCAGTCCACCTGTTGGTGTGTTTCTTGTTTCAAACTCCCAAACACCTGTTTTCGTCTCAAGATGTGTCAAGTTCCGAACACATCCAGCGGAACAGGCCTGCTCACATTTTCCCTAACGAACGGTCTAATTAAGCTATTGAACTTGGGGAAAACTCGTTGATGGATATACAAATCTTATTAACGATATTCAGAAGATCAATCATTTAAAATTACTGGAATTATAAAAACCATCAGAAAACCAATGCTAATTGTTATCCACTCTATTGTTTATCTTGTTTTACTCCGATGTTAAGATCTATTAAAAAAAATTCAATAAAGATCCAACTCTATTATCGTTTCAACACTTTAATTGATGAAATCACCAATAATAAAAAATGCATATTTTTTATTCAACTGGGGGGTAGTTCATTTCAATCCTTCATTATTTCAACATGATTTCACAACCATTTCAAGGGATAAAACAATAAATGAATACATCTCTACTTTAAATAAAGCCATCAAAAATCAATCCAAATATATAAAATAAACGAATAAAAATAAAAATAAAAATAATTCAAATTTTACAAACTAACGGGTTTGACCAATAACCTGTTTTGAATTTATAAATTATCTATTTTTCATTACCAACCTTGTGAACCATTTGAAATTACTTTTAAAACTTTTTAATATCTCACCCTCTTCTTATGTCTTCTTGGGTTACTGATTTAGTGTATTCAGTCATACTGGATCGCATGCTCAAAACCTAATTCAGAACTACCAACCTAAAAGGACAAAAAAGAGAAATAAACCAAAAAGCCGTCAACTTACGTGTTTTCTAAAATTGTTACTAATTAATTACTTTTTTAAAATCCAAGATGTGAGTTTGGCCGAGTGGTTAAGGCGTCAGGTTTAGGTTGGACAGTCCTTAGGGAAACCATCTTAATAAGCCTCCTGATATCTTCGGATGCACGAGTTCGAACCTCGTAACTCACAGCTTTTTTTTCTTTCTTTCTTTGACTTGACTTAATTTTGGTTCATTAAGCTTTTAGTGTACCATCAATTCATCATTTTGATTAGAAATTATTATTCCTATATCTATATTCACCCAGATTCAGAAAAAAAACATTATCTTCACCTTCTTACCCCTTATTTGTCTTTCTGTTAATCTAATTATTTTAATCTTGCCTTCTGATCACATCAATACTAAACGATTGACCCAATAACCATAAACCGCTAATAATATATTTACTAGAAAAAACACCTCCTATAAATTATACCTATCACAAAATTACATTTAATTAAATCAAAATGGTATGTATATCCATCACTATAAATACTAATACATTCTTCTATTTATCAAAAAAAACAACGCATCGTAATATTATAATATTATAATATCATATCATAACATCCATTATACTAATCAATCTCTACATTTCTTCCCTACTACCAGTTAAGACTTAGACAAAAACAAAAAGAACAAAAAGAGCGAACATTGGCTAGAAAAGCTGGTAAACTATCCCCTGCCACAATTCGTCTTCAAAATGATATAACCAAACTAGCACTCCCCGATTCAATTAAAATCCAGTTCCCAAACCCAAACAACAAAATGGACTTCATAATCATAGTATCCCCCACAGAGGGCTACTACAAAAATGGACACTTCAAATTCTCTATAAACGTCAACGAAAACTATCCAATTGACCCTCCTAAGGTCAAATGCACCCAAACCATCTATCATCCAAACATCGATTTACAAGGTAACGTCTGTTTAAATATCCTACGAGCTGACTGGACCCCTGCCTTGGACTTGAACTCAGTGGTCTATGGTCTAAATTTGTTATTCAATGAACCAAATCCAAACGATCCCTTGAACAAAAATGCTGCAAATGATTTAATCAAAAATGAACAGGTCTTTCGATCAAATGTCTGTAGATCAATGGAGGGCATGGTTTTCGATAACGTTATTTTCGATAGAGTTCTCTAACCAATCCATTATATATCTATATACATATACAACTCACACCATTAACTCAACTGCTCATTCAATGGCCACTTAATTGTAAACCTGTCTTTATTAATACCCAAAATGTTCAAAATGTCCAAAATGTTCAATTCTCTTGTCCTTTTCTTGTTTCTATTGTTACTTTCTTCGTATTCTATTGTTGATATCTTAGCTCTGAATCCCTTCTAAATTTAGCTGAGGAAAAGAAAGAAAAAAACATTCCACCCGCTTTTCTGGTTCAATTTTCTTCCAGAAACTTATCGCAGCGTTTTATCGTCTCAGCATTTTTTCCTATCTCAAGCTTCTCATCGTATTTCAGTCTTGCAAATTCTGTCACAATCGCTGCTTCCCTAATTATATTACATCGATCTTCTCTCACTGCCTATTTTTTCCCACTTCTCATCCTTTATCTTCTTTATTCTCTTTGTTTTCTCTTGTGTTTTGTAATTAGTCAAGTTTTCTCTTTTCTCCTTCCTTTCTTTTCTTGTCTTTTAAACTCTGTTCGTCTCTTCTGCATTTGATTTATTGTCGTCCTTAACCCTTTTCTTTAATTGGAAATATCCTATAAATTCGTTCCCTTTTATTGCCACTTTCATCATCAATCCACCTCAATTACTCATACCACTTCTCTTATTCAATACTGCTAAAATAAAAATAAATAAATAATAATCCAAATAAAAGGTAAAAAAGTAAAAAAGTAAAAAAAAAGCAGACTAAAAAGCAAAAAGTGAAAAGCGAAAAGCGAAAAGGAAAAGAAAAAGAAAAAGAAGATAATCAATATATCAATTAATGAGCTCTCCAATTAGAAGAAACCCATCTGGTTCTCCTTTTCCTGATCCAAATTCTGATTCTGATTCAAATAATGATAATAATCTTAATCCTAGTCGAAATTCTTCAAATTCTTTAAATGAATCTCTTCTAAATAATCCCTTTGATGATTCCACTGATTTTACAAAAAATAATTCAAAAAATAATTCTGATATCACCCCTACAAATAATATTAGTACCAATTTACCTTACCATCCACCAAAAATTCGCAATTTTAAAAGATCCTCGTTTCAATCAATAACAGATCCTTTTAAAAAGCTTATGGAATCAAAATCAAAACATTATAAACAATTACCAAACGATTCAAAAAATTCAATTGATGATAACGATTTTGATAACAATAATAACAGTGTATTTAAAAATAAAAATAAAAATAACAGTAATCTATATATAAGTACAAGTCTGGATAACAACTATAAAGATGATAGGATCAACTTAAGCTCCTCCTCTCTAACTCGCTCTGATAATAATAATGACAAGACTCTCTCTATTAATATAAATTTTGATGATAAATATAATGATAGAAATAACTTGAGCTCTTCCTCCTTAGCTCCTCCCGATAATGACTTTATAAATCGCTCTCGGAGTCAATTGATAAATCCCAAAAACAAAAATAATAGTGATAATGACCTGGATAGTGATTCAGATACCAATTCAATAATGAAAAGTCCTCTTGGTACTTGGTTAGGTGATGATAGTGATGAATTGTTTTTAAAACATTCCTCCAGATTAAATTCAAAATACAAATCAAGATTAAAATCAAGATCAAAATCAAGATCAAGATCAAGGTCGAAATCAAGATCCAGATCTAGATCCAGATCCAGATCAAAAACAACATATGGAAATGATAATAACAATAATAATCCAAAAATTTTTATCCAAACTGATCGTTTTGCTCAACAAAACCAAGATGAAATAGATAAAAGAATTGAAAATCCTAACAGTTACGAATTTGAAGAAATTTCTCTTTCTAGAAACGCATCTCATTCAGATATTTCTACTGAAAATAAATCATTGAAATCTCCCTCTCATTTAAGCCCAAATATGAGTTTCCCGGGTTCAAATTTTGAAGACAATGACCAAGATTCTAATAGTATGTCCCAGCTAAAAAGAAGAGTCTCCGTTGCTGTTCAAAATTTCTGTTCAAGAGTTCTTAGTGGAAATGAAGGCGATGTTTCTTCCAATGAAGATAAAAACCAACCGTCGTTACCAGCAATTGTAGTCAATCTCCCTGAAATAAGACACAGTTATAATGATAGCGTAAATAAAAAACGAATTATAAACGTGAATTTTGAAGCGAATAATGGCAGAGACCCTATAACAGAAGGAATTCAAAAATCTTCACGAATAAATAATGTTTCGGAAAATCAAAACTTAAGAATTTCTGCTTTGCCTGAAAAAAATGAAAACTCCCTTTATGGAAACTCGTTGAAAATATTTACGCCTAATTCAAAAGTTCGTATATGGTGTTCCAAAATTATTATAAAGAATAAGAAAAAAATGGATTATTTTATTGTTTTTCTACTAGTGTTGACATTTTCAGCTATTATCTATCAACAATGGAATCCGGAATCTCTGGGTTATGTTTACTTGGAACATTTTACTTATATTGATTTTATTTTAATGGGAATATATGCTATTTTTGTAATTGAAATAGCCATGAAAATAATTGTTTTAGGTTTATATGATGATTTTGAAACTTATAATAAATTAAAGGCAGCGAAGCTTGATCATGATAATATTAAGAATGGGCTATTTTTAAATATGGCGGAGCCGAGAAATATCAATCACAGATCTTTAAAAATTAACACTTTTGTTTTTTCTCTGACAAATAATTCTCTTAAGCAATATAATTTTCAAAGAGCTTTCCTTCATGATAGTGCAAATTGTTTAGATTTATTTTCCGTTATCTCATTTTGGATATCCATTCTTTTATCAATCAATAATTTTGATATCAAAAACAATTTTTTAATCTTTAGGGCTTTGGGAATAATAAGAATATTTGAACTTATAAGATCAACAAAGGGAAATATCATTATTTTACGTTCTTTTAAGCATGCATTGCCTCAACTTATTGATGTTTTTAAATTCATCATCTATTTTTGGGTTTTTTTTGCAATTATTGGTGTTCAAACTTTTAAATCTTCTTTACGAAGAACTTGTGTTTGGGAAAATCCCGATGATCCTGATGATACATTCAACAATTCAGAACAGTTTTGTGGAAGTTACTTTGATCAAGATGAGAACAAAATGCCATATATTCTTTCTAATAATCAATCTAGCAATACCATAAAGGGTTTTACCTGCCCTATTAACTCTAAATGTGTTGTTGGGGCAAATCCATATGAAGGAACTATTAGTTTTGACAACTTAATTCAATCTTTTGAGTTGGTTTATGTTATTATTTCAATGAATACTTTCACGGATATATTGTATAATGTGGTTGATTCTGAATCGGAAGCAGCTTCGATATTTTTCATTCTTGCAATATTAGTTTTATCAGTTTGGCTATTAAGTATTTTAATAGCTGTTATTGTGACATCCTTTAAAATAACAAAAGAACTTGATGAAAAAGAACTTGATAAAAACGAAGAAAATGAAATAAAAGGCCACAATAGCGCCATGGTGCCTAATGGTGAAAATTTTGATTTATTAAATTCTTTAAAAACATTCAATAAATTTAAAATAATATTTCTTCTTGTCATTTTAGTAAATTTTATAGTTTCATGCACTAACAATATTGACATTTCTGATTATCATAAAAATGTTATTAATTATTCTGAAATTGCAACTACTGCTGTTTTAGATCTTGAAATTATTATAAGAATTTTAATTTACATCACTAAATTTCGTTTCAAAGATTTTTTTAAATCAAAAACAAATAATTTTGATTTATTGATTGCAGTTACAACTACAATAATAATCATTCCACCTATGAAGAAATTATTAGGTCAGCTTTACAATTGGTCTACAGTTTTTCAAATAGCTCGGTTTTATAGGTTAGTGCTCCATATAAAATTTTTGAGAGTTCTCTGGTTTAAAATTATTGGAAAATTTAACACAATTGCTCATCTAATTTACTTTTATCTTTTTTTATTGGTTGTCGTATCCCTATTTTGTTCAAGGCTTTTTGAGGGCACAATCAGCAGTGAGTTGGAAGAGCAAGAAGATATCAATTTTTCTATGAGAACATTTCTAGATAATTTTGTTGGATTATTTGTTGTTACAAGTACTGAAGGTTGGACTGAGATTTTATACAATCTTCAAATGTATGCTAAAAATAAAGTGGCAGCTGGTTTCAATTCAATGACCATTATTTTTTGGTTTATTATCTCAAATAGTTTTATTATTAATATTTTCATTGCTGTAATTGCAGAAAATTTAGAAGTATCAAAAACTGAAAAAAAAGAACAACAAATACGTCATTTTATTATGAGTATAAATAATACTTTGCTAGATAAAAACAATCAACAAACAAGTTTTTTTTCGCATTTGAAAGACAAGTTGAATAAAAACCTTTTGAATTCGGGTAGATCAAAAAATTATAAAGAATATTTTGAAATATTAAAAGAAGACGATGCATTAGCAAACTATTTGGATTTTGAAGGAGACAAGGTCGCTATCAAATCGAATAAACAAAATGTTTTTTTTGATTTGCAAAAGCAAAACAGGTTTAAAATATTATCTAAGCACTTTCCAAATATTTACAAAATTCTTTTTGAAAATCCTTTTTTGGAGCAAAGAAGAACCGATATTGAAAACACTATTGATCCTGATAAATTAGCCAAAAATATGGATATGGAAAATAAAATTATGAGGGCTAGAAAACAAAGATTTTTGAAGAATAATCCAAATTTTAATATGACTCTTTTTATTTTTCTGACCAAAAGTCCTCTCAGAAGATTTTTCCAATTGTTTGTGAGACCTATTGGTGAGCGATATGATGAAAACCAAATGGAGAATGGCAGAAAACCTAATGAAATACTACATGCATTGTTTGTTTTAGTAATGGATCTGTCAACTATTGGTTTATTGATAACTGCGTGTTATGTGACACCATTATATTCTAAAGATCAGCTTGATGGGAGTAAATATAACTGGTCCTTTTTCCTTGATATATATTTTATTGCTATATTTTCTTTTGAGTTTTTTGTGAAAGTAATTGCTGATGGATTTTATTTGACACCAAATGGTATTATGCAATCGCCTTGGAACGTTATTGATTTTTATGTATTAATTTCGTTATGGATTAACTTTATTTGTTCATTAATTGGAAATACAGGTTTAGCGACAATTTTTCGTGGTTTCAAGGCTTTAAGAACGTTAGGTCTTTTGAGAATAAGTAATACTGCTAAAGAAACCTTTCACAAAACAATTCTTTCGGGTTTTCACAAAATTTTAGGTGCAGGGCTTGTTTCTATGAGTTTATTAATTCCTTTTTCACTTTGGGGGTTGAACATATTTAGCGGAAGACTTGGTCGTTGTAATGATGATTCCTTAAGTCTGAGCGAATGTTTTAATGAATTTATGACTTCTCCTTATAACTGGGAATATTTAGCTCCCAGAGTTTTTTCAAATCCACCTCTCCAATTTGACACATTTTGGTATTCATTCTCTACATTATTTCAGATAATTTCTTTAGAAGGATGGGTTGATCTTTTAATAGATGTTATGAATAGCACTGGAATTGGTTCTCCTCCAAAAAGATTTGCTCAACCAATGAATGCTCTATTTCCTATTATTTTTATTTTTGTGGCAATTATATTTATTTTGAACTTATTTGTTTCGATCATCATTAACAACTATTCTCAAACTAATGGAACTGCTTATTTAATTGAGGAACAAAGGTCTTGGTATGAGGTGAAAAAACTTTTGAATCAAGTTCAACCTTCGAGCAGACCTATAACAGATAATTTTTCTTCATTTAGATGCTTTTGTTATGAGTTAGTTGTGGATAGAAAATCAACAAGACATCGTTATTGGAATTTAATTTACGATATGGTTTTATTCTTCCATGCAATTATATTAGTTATGGAAACATATCCTTCGAATGAAAAATTGGATAATCTCAGATTGGCTATGTTCATGGGCACTACATTTTTTTTTTTTATCCACATAGCATTGGTAATTTATTCTAAGGGATTCAAGAAAAGTAATAAATGGGATTTTCTTTCTATTATTATTTCTGTGCCAGTTTTTTTTCTTTGTGTTGCATTATTTTTTCTTAATAAAGAATCAGTTGCTTTAGATAGGATTACAAAAACATTGCTCTTACTAGTCATATTGTTCGTGATACCGAGAAGTGAAAAATTAAGTGAATTATTGAAATTTGCTTCAGCTAGTGCATTTTCGTTATTATCTTTATTTTATATTTGGGTTATATTATTTTTAGTTTACGCAATTGCATTAAATCAAATTTTTGGGTTAACTAGAATAGGTGAGAATGGTTCGGGCACACAAAATTTCAGGACAATTCCAAAAGCATTGGTGTTGTTATTTAAAATGAGTTTTGGGGAAGGGTGGAATTATTCGATGCAAGATTATTATGTTCAAAGCCCATACTGCACAGAATCAACGACTTTATACGGCTCAGACTGTGGTAGTAAACTTTATGCCAATCTTTTCTTTATTAGTTGGAATATTCTATCGATGTTTATTATGTTGAATTTATTTATTTCATTGATTGTTGATAATTTTAGTTATGTTTATCAGGAAAGTGGTAAATTGCAATCGATAACAAGATCTGAAATTAGAAAGTTCAAAGATGCATGGGCGAAGTTTGATAAAAATGCCACTGGTTTTATTGATAAGGACGATATTTATAAATTTTTGAGTTGTTTGGATGGAGTTTTATCATTCCAAGTCTATGAAAATGATTTCAAAATTCCCCAATTGAAAAAATTATGGATTTCACAAAATCCAAGGTGGACACCTTATCAATTTGATCTCAATTTGGCTGCAATGAAAAGATCATTAAATGCTATTGATGTTGAAGAAATTCAAACCAGAAAAATCATTTTTGAAAGAATCATTGAAGAGGCATTAATTTATATGGAAGAAAACAACCACGAAGGTATATCATTCAAAAAACTTTTGGAACAAATTGCTCTCAATTCATTATTTAAGGCCAGTAGATGTTTAATATTGGATGATTATCTTGACAGAAAGTTATTACTAAGGAAAGTTGATGCAAGAATAAAAAAGAAAAGATATAATGCTACAGTCTTGATGATTCAAAAACGTTGGCATTTTCTTTCTAACAGAGCAACTACAACAAATACTGATAGTGAAGAGGGAGAGGAGGACGAAGTTTTTAATATTGGTACAATTCCTGTTCCACAGCTGGCGTATCAAAGGACTTCGAATGTTAATATGGATTTAACTCCAATTAACTCCATCTTTCTTGATATAGATCCAACTTCACCTTCTACTATACTAAAATAAATAGCATATTTTTAATTTTTTTCTTACTTATCTACTAAAAAAATAATTTTATTTAGTTTATAGATATATTTTATTTTCCATTTCATTTTTTTTTATTTTTTTATTTTTTTATTTTTTTAAATACTTTAGAGAGTCATTTTGCACTATTATTTTTAATTCATGTTATACTCAATTGTGTTTGTTTTTTTTGCTTTTGTTTTTAAAGCTCTATTTTCAGAAGCCGAAATGAGTTTTTCCGAGTGAATGGTTTTTTCTTTTTCTGTGTTGTTGTTTCGTATAAATCAAAAGCCGAAAATGAAAAGGGAGAATTGTTTTTGAGTATGGTTCGATGCAGTTCCCGGGAGATACCGTGTGGAAGGGTTTGGGAGAAAATCCGGGCTTGAAAGCAAACGGCTATGAAAACCATTGGTTCCTATTTTGGGTTAAGTTGACTATCAGATAGCAGTATAAGATGTAGTTATCTAACGATATTTTTATATAGTTTAGAACTGGTGAACATACAACGAGACGATTGATTTGATGAGATGTAAGTTTATATTATGAAAATATGATGGAATAAATCATACATGGATTTTTCTTTGTTTGCGTTTAATTGAACTGGTCAAGTTGTGAAGAGTTTGAATAAGTAAAAATTAAAACGTACAAAACAATTATAATCGACTTGAAAAACAGTTGCATTAATTTATAAAAAAAAACATTGTTAGAAAAAAAATTATAAAAGAAAAAATCATATGATTGAAAGATATAGTGCTAAAACCAGCATAGCTACTTCTAAGTCATTAAAACATATGAAGAAAAAACCATTCAAAACTATTTTTAAATTTTGATATTTTTTTTTTTTATTGAATAAAATTGCAAATCAATTTCTATTCAATTCCAAGTAATTTATGAGTTTGAATAACATAATGTCAAAAACAAATAAAACAAAATAAAAAATTTAGTACCAAAGCAAAAGCAAGTGAAAAAAAATAAAACCAAATTTAATAGTACAGAGCCAAACCATAGGCTTTTCATGAACAAAGCTTTTCAAGATTAAAATAAAATCTCAAGCCAAAAATGAGATATATCATTATTAGTTATATAACGCAGTGTAAGTTTTATTATTAGTGAGTGTAGGAGTATTTAAATTTCTCGCCTACTCTTTTAATATCATTGGCAGCTTTTTTTTGCACAAGATGTTGAGGAATCAAGCTAGCAACTTTGACAACATCAGAAAATTTTATATAACAACGAGCAGCAGTTGCAATTGAAGAAACACGTAAGGTATTCATGGCCGATGTAAAATGTAGTATATTGTAGTAGTAATAAAATGAGCAAATATAATGTAGATATAATGTGAGCAAATATAATTAATTGATTGGTTGTAATTATATTTAGTGTAAGTTTATGTATAATATGATGATGGTGATGGGAAAGATGAAAGGTTGAAAGAAAATAATTAAGAAAAAAAAAGCGATTTATATAGAAAAAGCCAATATAATGCTAATTTTTTAGATGGACGAAAACGAGAAAATAAAAAGCGACTTGAGTCAAATAGTGTTAGAATGTCATTTAGAGTTTTTTTGGATTAGCTTTTGAATGTTGAAGAAATGGAATACAGTTGGATAGATTCCAGATTAAGATTATTAAGATTAATACTTGTCTCATATAATCTGGGGTAAAAACTCTAACAGAAATAAATTTAATAATGCTTAACCTGAGGATTTCCGCACTCGTAGTTGATTTTTTATATGAAACGATCGGTACGGGCTGCGACCATTGGACGGTGGAAAACTGAGGTGTTTTCATTGTGATAGTGGCACGAAATTGACGTCAAGAGTGTAGATTCACAACAGAAGACCTTTGAAAACCCAAGTAGTGTGTGATTGTTTGGCACATGTTTTCCCGAATCGAGTACTTTGAGAATCATCGTCATTTCGAGACAAATGGAACAGTTCGGAAAACACACACTTTTCCGGAGTGCGTCAGCTCCGACGGCAGCGTTTGCGGTCCGTTTAAGCCGATTAAAGGATTTGAGTAAACTAAAATATTCCCATAATTGGTATGATGTAATATACTAGTTATTAAGAGTTTTAAATAATTATTTACTGTTGTTTCTTAAATAAAATTAAAAATATTATTAAATGTTGTTAAATTACTGAATTAATAATTTTATTTATTGTTATTTTCCAGCACCACTCATAAAGGTAAAATAATATGACGATTTTCATCAGATAGGTGTCAATAAAAAAAATACAATAGAAACCTACACTCGCAAACGGCATAGGATCATTTTTATTTGATAAAAGAATCTTCCAATAACAGTACAATCAAATTGATCCCAAACGCGATTTGTAGTGTGATTTTTAATAGAAAGGTAGAGAAATGACTGAGATGTTGAGTGGTTGCTCGCTGATTGAACGATTATGTAATGATATCGAGGATAAGCTCTAATCGCCAAACAAAAACGAAACCTAAATTAAGTTTAGACAAAATCACCAAAAAAGCAACTCCGAGTTCTCACCAAGCTGCGTGGTTTCTCAAATAGAGAATGAAGGAACGGGTCAAATTCAACAAAAACATCACAGTCAGCAACAAACAAGGAGCAAAATCGTTCATAATGTTGTTTCTTAAAAGGGACTAGCCGGTAGTGAAAGTCAATAACCTCAGCTCATGTAAAAAAGAGAAAAAAATGAGTCGTTTCAGAGAGAGTTGCAATATGAAAATACAACATGCGAAGAATTTGTTAGAGAATAAGAAAGTAAAAAAGGAAGCAAAAAACTGATTTGTTTGAAAAAAGAACAAGTAAAAACTGAAGGATAGGCTATCGAGAAAATAATTATTTTATTACAAAACCCAAGACAATACAACGCTAATTTTAGTTAGTTCCAGTAAATTTAATATTCCAGAGAGTTCCAGGATATTCAGAATATTCGTCTAAGGGACCAGTCCGCGTGGGCTGGCGCTGTGGTATCCCAGCAGCAAGTCTGTGTGACAGTTGTGCTACCATTGCTCCAGACGAACTTGCCCTTTTTTTGAAATGTGTCTGGCTAGCTTTGTAATGTCTGTTTGAGCATCCAGGTAGAGATGACCCGGTGACCTAGCAAGAGGCGAAAGGGAAGTGTGCTGCTTTTCGTTGAAATGGGCTAATGGCACGCGTGGGCTCCCAAAAGAGCTGCTTTTGGCACGGGATTGCTGCTTCCAGGAAGGGCAAAGTGAGATCACCACGGCCCAGCGCACTGTTTGTTGAGGGCCAGTCCACGTGCAGTGCTTGCAAACCCAGGCTGCCATTGTGGACTGTGCGCGGGCCCGGACAGATTCCTCGGGGCCATAGCTTTGGGCGGACGCAGCATGTGACCACTGTGTGCTGGATGTCTGAGATAGCGAGCCCACGGGGCCTGATCTTTCGTTGTCCATGTGTCCCGCAAGCGCTGGTTAGATTGGACAAAACAAGCATATTTTGGGTTCCACACTAAGAGCAGCGTTCCGACGCTGGAGCGGGAGCTGTTTGTTTGGAGAAACGCAACGAAACGGAGCGAATGCTCAGTTTGACACAAATTTCAACGACAAGAGCCTGTGACTTTTCAAACGAGGGATGGTCTTCCCTGGAAATGTATGGAGAACTGGAGTCAACCGATCTAAGTTTTCTATTTGCATAGCGATGAAGCAACAGCCAGAGAGATAGAGCTCTTCTGCAACGCTTTCGCAAATTTGCTCAATTATCTTGCCTAGAGTCTGCTTGGTGATTTGTTCATGGTGGTTTAAACAGCTATCTTGAGTCTGTATCATAATATTTAGATTTTGTGAGTAATCCTATTTTGAAAACTATCAGAAATACAAAATGCTTTGCTATGTTTTTTTGATATTTAAGTATCCTTCATCCTCGCCTTTTTCGAGTTTTCTTTATTCTACTCATCACCACAATCACAATCTTCAATCCTCAAACTTATATTAATCTTATACTAATCTTGTTGCTCATCTTGATTTTTAATTTTTAATCTTCAATTCTTCACAATACAATCACAATGGTTTACTCTACTTTTACTTCTGATAATGCTGATTTCATTAACATCAATGATGCTGTTCAAATTACCCACTTGTTGCACAACCACGATGAACCCATTCAATCAAAGGACACCAATCCTTCTATTGTAGAAGTTGACGCTGTTGAACTCTATAATAATAATTTGGGTAGAACAAGAACTAGCAGCTTTAGCAGCGAAATCAATTCTCCAAGCGAAGAAGTTGTTGATCCTTTTACAAACACCGAAAACAAAGTTGCTGAAGTTGATTATTTTACTTCCGATGAACTTGTATGGCAACCAGTTGTCTCGAGTTTTGCTGATGATTTTAATTCTGTTGGCGATGTTGATTACTACCAATATTAATCAGCTCGAAATAACAAATATTTACATCTAGTTTATGGTTTTTATTTCTCCTCATTTTCATCTACTTCTATGGCGTTTTTCTTAATGGTCCTACAATTAATTATTTTATACACATATGCTTACAATCTTCATTTCTTTTTATAGTATTACTATCAACCTATAATATATTTTCTTTTATGAATATTTTTATTTCTTTTATTCAGTAATAATACTCTCTAAACTTTATTCGCATCTGCTTTTGTATTCTTTTAAATTCTCAAAGGAGCTATATATAAATAATATATTAAGTAATATATTAAAAATAAATAATTAAAACACTAATCAACGTGACCATGTTTGATTGTCAAAATAGGGAGTTAATCAGTTAATCGCCATCAGCTTATCGAAACTCAAAAACCGCCATTTTAAATTCATTTCAATTTATTCCAATTCAATATATTTCAATCCATTTTACTTACATTTTACTTATATTTTTTTTCAATCCATTTTGCCCTTCTCTAGTTTTTCCTGAAATAGATTAAAAATTAATCATCTCCAATTAATCAATACTATAAATCTGTTTCAGTATTTTTTCCTTTCCTTTATTTTTCACTTTAAAATTTACTTAACAAACTTCTCCATTACTAATTCGATGCCAAAAAAAGAAACTCATTGCCGATTCCTCTCTCTTACGTAATCAGCTTTGCTTCTAGCTCCTGAGCCGATCCCGAATCGTTATCAGCTCCCTGCCCCAAATTCATTCCGACCTATTCATGTGATATCAGGGTAACCTGCCTCAATTCTTTCTCAATCTCTGTTTACGATTACATAATCTTTTGCTCATTTTTGTGTTTCATCGTATTTTGAATTTAGCTTTGAATTACTTTGGAATGCCGTGTGCTTTGCTGCGGGGAAACACCTCAAATAACAGGATGCTTTCACCTTGTAACCAAAATGGCAATTCTTTGCATCCAATTTTCTTTTCCACCATCAAAACAGGATCTTCCATTATCTAACATAAAGTTCGAGACATATTTATTTTTCTTTTCCTTTTCTGAGTGAGCTCCAAACAAGCTCACTCACTCTCATTTAAGCATTTGCTTAGTCTGTTTCTAGAGATTCAATTTGACACTTTTTTCTCTCTTTCACTGAAAACTGGCAAAAAACATACTCCTTATGATAATTTATATACACTTTTGTTTTATTAAAAATGCAATTTTCTCCTTTCTTCAGCTTAATCTGCTTCCTTTAAACTTCTTGTCTTCAACAATATTCAATTATATTCTCTCAATATTCACAATATTCTCTTGGTTTTAAACTCTAAAAGTCTTTATCAAAGTTAGTTTGGTCGAATAAAACCTTTCTAATAAATACTATAACGAAAAACAAAAAGAAAAAAAAAACAGTTTTATATTAAACTTTGTCTCTAGCTTTGTTTGATTTCTTTCCAACAAAATTTCATATTACACACTATTAAACATTATTAAACAGTATTAAACAGTATTAAACATGCTACTTTTTATTCAATTAAGAATAAAAATTAAAATTCAGTGCTTATTCTCTTCAAATAACCCAATTTTAATGAATAAAAATTAAAAAGAAAAAAGAAAATAAAAAATTAAAAAAAAAACGACCAATTTCTTATTTGATTTTAATCACTTTGATTTTCACAATTTCAAGCAACAATTAGTCTAACTCCATCTTATTCATTTCTTTTCTTTTTCTTTTTCTATGTCAATCCATAACAATAAAATAAATCTACAGGTATAAATACCTCAACCTTTTGCACCCTTTAATTTTTTCTTTTCTTTTCTTTTCTTTTTTTTTTCATTATAAATTTATTCTATCTCATGCCCTTTTTTCTTGTTTTGCATTTCAGCATTTACAAATACAGAGTGCTTTTTCTTTAATAATCCTTCACACATTACATATTTCTGCTCATACTCTTAATTTTCACATAATAAACCTTTGAAACACCATGACAGTTTCTGGTGTTTTGTATGATTGCTTTATCCCTTTACCTCCAAAGGTGGTAAAGGAAACTGCTCATCATAATAATTATGACATCAAACTGGATGAAAAAACTAAAAACCAAGTCACCACCGACACTGAAAGTGAGGTTGTTGAATATCATACTACAAAGAGAAAACTTAAGAGGAGAATGATTTATTTAATTGCCTTTTCTGGTGTTATTGGAACTGCTATTTTCATCTCTCTACAAAATGGGTTGTATAAAGGTGGTCCATTATCTTTATTATTAGGTTTCATGATCTGGATCATACCAATTTTTGCTATAACAGCCACTGTTGCCGAAATGGTTACCTATTTACCTATTGCTTCTCCTTTTATCACTTTAGCTGGTAGATGCTGTGATGATGCTTTTGAAATCATGGCCGGTTGGAATTTCTGGTTTTTGGAAGCCGCTTTAATTCCTTATGAAGTGGTTGGTGTTAACACTATTATTCACTTTTGGAGAAACGATTACTCTGCTGCTATTCCATTAGTTATCCAAGTCTTTCTTTATTTTTGCATCAATGTTTTTGCTGTTTCATTTTATGGAGAAATTGAATTTTGGCTTTCAATCGGTAAAATTATTTTGGCCATCGGTTTAATGGTTTTCACTTTTGTTACAATGGTTGGTGGAAACCCTCAAAGAGATGTTTACGGTTTTAGAAATTGGACCATTCCTGGACCAATGAATGAATATATTTCAACTGGAGATTGGGGTCGATTTTTAGGTTTTTTTTCTTGTTTGATCCAAGCTTGTTTTACAGTTGCTGGCCCAGAATATGTTGCAATGACAGCAGCTGAAGCCATCAATCCAAGAGTCAACATGAAGACTGCTTTCAAGACTGTTTTTTATAGATTGGCTATTATTTTTGTTGGTATTGTTCTTTGTACTGGTATTGTTTGTTCATCAAGAGACCCATCATTAATTGATGCTATTACCAATGGCAGGCCAGGTGCTGGCGCTTCAGCCTTTGTTATTGCCATGAATAACATGAAAATCAGTACATTGCCTGATATTGTTAATGCTGCTTTAATTACATCTGCTTTTTCATCGGGTAATTCTTATACTTATTGTTCATCAAGAACTCTTTATGGGTTGGCAAAAGTTGGACATGCACCAAAAATCTTTGCATATTGCACAAAAACCGGTGTTCCAATGTATGCAGTCTTGGTTTCGTTAGCATGGTCATTTTTATCATTTTTGCAATTGGGCAATAGTTCAGCTAAAGTATTAAATTGGATTGTTAATCTTATTACAACATCTCAATTAATTAATTATTGTGTTTCATGTACCACATACATTTTTTTCTTTAAAGCCATGAAAGTCCAAGGTATTGATAGAAGAACATTACCATATAGAGGGTATTTCCAACCATATACAGCCATGTTTGGATTGACTTGTGCATTTATCATGGTTTTTCTTTCAGGTTATACAGTGTTTTTGCCAGGGTGGTGGAATGTTGAAACGTTTTTATTTTCGTATATTATGATTTTTATTGATATTTCTATCTTTATTGGATGGAAATTGTTGAAGAGAACCAAATGGAAAAAGAGTGAAGAAGTTGATTTAACAACAGGATTGGATGAAATTGAAGAATATGAAAAGGAATATTATGCGTTGCTTGATGAGAGAAAAAGAAATGCACCACCAAAAAAACCATTTTGTTGGTATAACCCATTGGCATACTTTAAAAGATTATTTCGCTGGTTTTCTGAAGATTAATCTAGCTAGTTTTTATTTTATTTTATTTTATTTTTTTATTTTCTTACGACAATTTTCTTTTGTTAGTTAAAAGTTCTATATTTGATTAGATTTTAATAATTTTAATAATGCATACTTCTTAGTTTACGATTTATTAGACAGGCAATAACTGTAGCGTACATTACAACTAGTGACTGATAGTAGACTGTTTTGACTGTTTTGACTGTTTTGACTGTTCTATGTATTTCCAAAAACTATTTAAATGGGAGAGGAGCAAGTGATAATAACGCTGGCAAGACTGCAATATTGTATATTAGTGTGTATAATATGTAGCATGTATGGGTGGTGGAAATAAAGTTATTTAAGTGGTATTATTTATTCATGTATCTGTCAAGCAGTCTCTATTGAAGGAGTGATACATACAGCAACAAGAAAACGATGGAGATGAGCATCAATCAAGAACTCAGATTGAAAAGTCTCTCTGAACAGAATGTCATTGATACAATTTTAAACTATAAAAATAAGAAATTCTGATGGAAAATTATAAAATTATTGAAGATAAACAGCCAGGTATGTCTGTTTTGGCTGTGGATTTGAGAAAGTGTTTGAAAAGTTATAAAAACACGGAATGTGTTCCGTTTTTGGAGGCACTGGAGTTTTGTGACCAGGTTCCACAAAAGAGGCATTGGAAATTTTCAATGTTTTGAAATCGCCTTTTCGCAAACACTAAAAGGGTGGTTTGGGGTGGAGAGTGTCAAAAAAAAGAGAATGATAAGAGATTACAGAAAGCCATAGAAACAAAAAATTAGAGAATAGCAACACAACTCTACTGCTTGAGGCTTTATCTTTTATCAGAGCAAGCAAAAACGGAGCGTTATCAGTGACGCTCTCGTGAAAATGCAATACTTTGAATAATGCTATCTCAAATGGCGTCACTAGAATATCAATGAAGCATACCCACTATCAGTTGAGAAAAGAAAGAGAATCAAACCTGTGTAAATTACCCTCTTTGCTTCCCCAAGTGTATTCGGACTTTTCTTTTTTGAACACCAAAACGAAGCTTAAAAAAGACTAATTTCGTTTTATTGTTCGGAGAATTCAGTCGTCGGTCTGCAAAAAAACAATCTTATCAGAAAGTGCATCTGCAAATTGGTCGGTTTTGTTGAGAAAAAAATGTCGTGATTATTTTTGAGCATTCTTGAAAATGATCATGTTCCATGATTCAGTATTTTCTGTTTCTGTTTCAAGGAAAACCGAAACGTCGATTCTAAGGAAGAACAGAAATTATCCTTTCGGGAAAACTGGCGGAAACCAATTCAGAAATCGCAATTAGAGAAGGTGATTTTGCCGTATTGAAAGACGCCTTTTCCATACGCCCTGGAAGCTTCAGCTAAAAAACAGTAAGAAAATCTGTGGCCACAAGTTTGCAATAGCAATAGTTTTGACCTTGGAAGTAGTGGAACAAAAGAAACGGACAAGGAAAAACCCAGAATCAAGCTACACCAAACCCCGTTACTATTCTCTTAATCGATTTTGTCACGGGGTTATTTGCAGCACTAGTTTTAAAGCCCACAGATCTGCAGGAGCGCGTCTGGGTGCATCGTTGTGAGAAGTTGCTATCTGGTTGTATCCGTTGGTTGCTTCACTGAATCACAAGCACAGCTAACACCATCCGGTGGACCTTTTGCAACAGAGAAGCAAACCATTTTGAATGCTGGCAGTCCTAATACCTCCTGCTTAGGCAAAACCAGGCTGACATAAATGAATAACCGAGAACAAATCACAGGATTAGACAGCCTATGCTACACATGAAAACAAACAAGCTGCCTATGCACGTGAGAAAATGAAAACACGCGTTATCAGCTGCGTCTAGCCACATGGAATGAAACAGGGATGTTATTAGGAAGAGCAGAGATGGCGCAAAACAAACTACTTTGGGGACACACATTCGCTTAGTTGCTCTGCCCCGGGGCTCACATTGTTCTTCAAAAGCTCTGATTGGTCCAGAGAACAGCAGCACCGCAATATCACCGCATTATAACGACTAAATTATATCACGTTTTGCGGAAAGACTCTGGAAATCAGCAACTCGAATTTCCAATGTAACGTGTTTGAGGGAGGTGGAAGAGGAAGGATATTTCAACAACCTTTGACAGCATTTTCTCAGCTGTTATTGGTCGAGATAACGGCCTGCGACGAAAGTCCCGTTGGGCCATTTCTAATCTGGGACATTAATAAACAAATCGCATCCATATCAAGATTTGAGAATATTGAAAATCTTGACAATTTTGTAAATAAATCAACACAAAATAAAGAAACACTGGAATTAGCTTATTTTATTCCCTAACTCTATATTTCAACTAAGAGTTTTGATGTAATGCTAATATCCAGGATGATTCATGAATCATATTTCCTTTATTTACAAAATGGAAAAAATTATCAAATCAATTTAACTTTGATCAAACACTAATTTTTCCAATATGTAGCGACGCTGACCAGGGATCATAGGAATTAGTGAATTATCAGACGAACAAAGCCTTTTCAATGGTTAACTGATTCTAAAATAACATAAATAGCAACAAAATTTCTCTCACATTTTATAAAAATCCTTTCTTCAGATACTATATCTAATACTCTGTCCATCATCAAATAACACAAATAACACAAAAAGGCACCATCCCTTAATTAAACCAAATTATAACGTTAAATACCAATAAAAATGATGAACTTAATTTCAAGAAACTTATTAACTGCTTCTTCAAACTCCCTCAGAGTTACCTCTTCAAGAGTCATAACCCCAGTAATGGTTAATTCTTTCCACTCATTTCACCAAATAAACAAAGAAGATGCTGATCACACTGCTGCCTGTGTTAACAACTCATTAAATTCTACAATTGAAGTCAAGGGTGCAACTAACACCCATGCTGATGGCACTGTTTTTGAACCAACTGTTCACTTTACTGGCGAAGAAGTTGAAACTGCTAGTCCAGTTTTACAAGTCAATTAATTTACCAATTCATTCCTTCGATTATCGATTAATTTATGGATTTATCAAATGAGATAATTTGATACATTCAAAAAGTGAAAAATTTATTAAATTTTACTAAAATCTGGTAGGTTTTTCAATTTAATTCTTATGCCTGATAATTAAATATTATCTTTTATGTTTTATACTTGGTTTTTGCTTGCAATTCATTTTGCATTATGATTTATGGTTTAATTATTATAGCATCTTTGGGTACTCAATTTCAGAGTTTATTTTTTATTAAATTCAATTGATCACTACACTTTTCCTTTCTGGTTTTCAAATATATATATATCTGTTTTTTATATAATCTTCCAAATAATATTCAGCTCTGCTATTTTCCTAATCATCTAGTTCAGTTCATCAATTTTGTAGCTTTCATACACTTTCATACACTTTCATACACTCATTTTGAATTGGGGTTTTGCGGAGTGCATGATTCCACTTGATTCAAAAAATTCCAACAATATTTTTCCCTTAATTCTTTTTTTTCCGTTGTTATTTTTCTTTCGAATTTCGTCTCACAATATCGTGGTTTTCTGCGGATGACTAAGCATAGAAAAGGATATCCACGGATTATACTTTTCCTCAGCACAATAAAGCAACTGCAATAAAGCTTGATTTATTTAAATCAAATAAAAACAATATTTAACATAGTAAATTCAGCGCAAATTCCTTGATATTTTACATAATTAATAGCTCAGTTATCTAACCACTTGATTACAATTAAATTAAACTAAAACTCAACTAAAAATGGGTATCTTACCTTTCATTTTCACCATAATAGTAGTGATTCTCTTTATCGTATTTTTACCTATGATTTCTGGTATTGGTTCATTTGAAATCGATGAATATAAAAAATACAACAATCCTAATTTTAAACATAATGAAAAAGATAGTGATATGGAAAACCAAGCTTCTACTTCAAGTTTCAACAGCTATGTTTCACCAGACGAACAATACCAAATCAATTTAAAAAAGAAAAATCTCAATAAATCTAAGAGTGAAATTTTAAAAGAAAAATTTAATTTAATGACAAAACAAAATAGCCCAATAACTTTTAAAACAAATGCTATTGAAGATCTAAAAGATAAAGTTAGTCGTGAAACTACTTACAACAGAAAAATGAATCTACAATCTTCTACCGATCCAAATGTTTTTGATTATAATATTGACGAGTTATAAATCAACTCCAATAACTATAGATTATTAAACCTATTTTCAATCATTTTATCTTTTAATAATAGCCACTCTATATACATGAAAATTCTATTAAACATTCATATCCAAATAAATTCATATATATTCATTTAAATTACAATTCACATTTTGTTCTCTTCATCTTTTACCTTTTTTTTTATTTCTATGCTCATTAAACTCGATAAAGATATTTTGGATTTAATAAAACTTCAAAATCAATATTTCAAACTTAGCAGATCAATACAGATATTGAATGCAATATTGAAAAATCATAAATATCAATTAATATCTCTTATTTGTTCCTGTGAAAACATTTCAAATCTCCTATGCCCAGTTCTCAATAAGTGCTCCACTGTCGTAAAATCTCTTCTTGGTAAATCTCTATATTTTCCAAACTCTTGTCTTATATACTTTCGAAAATTTCCCTGATTTTCCTTTATTTATAACCAAAATGACATGTTAACATCATTCAATCTGATTTTATTATTTTGAAAATTCAGCAAAAATATTTTAACCACTTACGATTGGCTTTTTATAACTTTGTCTGATACAAGCTCTGTACAATCTTATTACTATTTGATAACTGTCTATTAGTAATCGTTCATTCAATAATTTTATTGATATTAATTTTCCATATAAAGAAACCAACTTGTGTAGCGTCAAACTTACCTTCTTTTTGTAAGCCCGATAATTTAGCCATATTTGAATGCTTTTATAGTATGATTGTCCTTGTAAATTACAACTTATTATAATTATGGGCTGAGGCTCTATGTTCAAATTTCTGTCCATACAGATTAAGAACTTCGTTCGAAAATCTGTTGATTTCCGGATTGAATGCCCCGTGACTTTATTCAGAAATATACTGCTTAATCCATTACTGAGAACTTTCACATGACATAAATGCATCTAGTTTACCGAGTCCCCGAACTATTTTTTCATTTGCCGAAAACAAAACAACTATCGAAATCCAACCTGTTGATTCTTCATCAATTAGAATATACTGATCTTTAATGAAAAAAGTTTTTCAGCCAAGTCAAACTAAAGTAAATAATTTTATTAATAAAGCCGAACTTTAGTTCAATAAGTCTTTTACTGATATAATTGATTTGAAATAGCCTTCAAAGAATGTCAGTAGAGATATAGTAGAGTTTGGTTTTTCTTGGCTTGGTGTAAAATAGTAAAGGCATTTTAATTTTTGGACTCCTTAAATCTTTCAAAGAATTATAATGACAACCACTTCATCAGCTTTCTTTCTATTTTGGTATGAAATTTAAATACTTTATTTATTATACTTATATTTTTGATTAGATTAAAGTATTATCGTCAACAAAGCGGCTGCATTTTCTGTCTTGACGTTGTAATATATAGGATATATTATATATCTAGAACAACAAAATTAAATACATTACATGATTCCGGCAAAATAAAACTCTAAAAACAAAAGGATTTTCGTGTTACCATAAACCCGAAATTTAATATTTCCTTTTATATCTCAATTGAAAAAAAATTATTGATCAAAATGTTTTGTTCTCTCAAAAGCTTTCAGCAAACTTTTTATTCCATTAATATTTTTATTAATGACTTTGCTTCGATCTCTCAAGTTTTAATTAAACTGAGTTTAAATTATTTATACATTCTAACAACGCAAAAGAAAGTTCATAACTGTTATTTTGTGAAATGATGAGAATTAATATTATTCAATAATCTCTAAGACTTTAGCAAACCTTACTAAAACTCTTTGAACCTCTCTGTTTTTGCTGCAGTTTAATATAATTTCTCTTAGTAACTCACGTCTATCAAAACCACAAATCTTATTGGTCGAAATTTCAATATTTTTCGACTTAAGTTTTTCCAATTTTTCCTGTTCATCATTAATTTTTAAATCTTTAATTTTTTTCTTTTTTGATGGAAGTTGTAGCAGTTTTTGCTGATCATTATTATCCTTATACTGAATTCTTGAATTTAAATCAAAATCACTGTCATTATCACTATTATATATTTTATTTTTTTCTCTTTTGCCTTCATACACTTCAAAGTCGCTATCAATACTACTTTCACTGTCACTGTCATTAAAGTCGCTGCTTTCGTCTATTTCAAAATTAGGTCCATATAGCTCTAAACAAATTTCTATTAAACGATGTTTTAAACCTAATTCACTTATTCTGACACAGTAATTGATTAACAATTTTTTAAATTCTTCATTTTCTTCTAATAACTTGCTTATAATTATTTTATTTTCTAAGTGAGATAATGAAATTGAATTTTCCAAATTCTCAAAACCTTGTTTCATCAACATAATTTTTGAAATTTTTTTGAATAAATCTCCTTTATTCTTTCTAAGCAATTCTTCATTTGTCTTTGATTCTAAGAGCGACAATATAGTTGGTTTATTTTGGGTGTTCAGTATCATTGGGAACCCTAGTGAATTTCTATCCGTGTTATTATTATTTGCATTATTTGTTGCATCCCAATAATGTGACCCAAAAGCCCACCAAAGCTCGCTGATAGTGCACCAACTATTCATTTCTTTATCGTAAAGATATCCATTTCCATTAGTTAGCGTTATAATTGGTATCCCTTTATTAGTTATTGAAACCATTGTTAAATTTTCAGACTTACTAAGTATATCTTCCTGTAGTTTAGTAGTTGTATCTAGCAACGAGTATAAATTTGCCGGTTTAAAAGCAGATTTTTTTTCTTTTATGTTCCAAACATGAACTTCACCAATTGAGGTTACAGCCATTAGATAATCACCTTTAGACTCTAAAAATGATATAGTTGAACCAAGTACTAATGGGGGGAACAATCTACGACCACCATAAGAATAAATCAAAATACTTCCATCTATGGTTGAAATTGCCCAGAAGTCATTACCATTCCCAGTACAAAGGTTAACTAGTTTTGGAATAAAATCAACAAACAATTGTTTTGAATATTCGGCATGTGAAACCCCATTTGATGGAGAATTGTTTGTCACAGAATTGCTGTTATTTCTGTTTCTATCATTATTAGTGGTTATGCTTGCCTGGTTATTCCCGGGAGAATTCCCTACTATTGAATTATTTCCATTAAGTAAAGAAGCAACTATTCTTGAGGATATTCTAGTAGGTTTTTGTTCTGTGCCATTGCCGTTTTTAATTTCAAATAATAAGTTTCCATTAGTTGGAGATTTAATCAAAAAAGATAGTCTAATCTTTGGTGTTGATAATCTAATTTTGGCAAAAGAAGTTGAGGGATTGATTACAATTGTGTTAATATATTCAACGGATTCAAAATCTTTTTTCAATTTTCTTAATTTATTTGAGTTATTTATATTTGATATATTGTTTGGATCATCTATCTCGGAAACTTCTTGTTGTTTTCTTTTAATTGAGTTTTGTAGTATTTGTCTGGGAATTTTGTTAGAAGGCGTATCGAAAGGCGTTATTGAGGAAGTGATTGACTTCAGGATTTTCTGGTTATCTAAAGTAGTGTTAGGTTTTTTGATATCGCTATTTTTATTGTTATTATTATCTTTATTTAAGATTGTTTTGATGTTTTCCAAGCTAGTAGTGTTTGGAGGTTTTTCGATTTTATTCAGTTTATCAAGATTTTCAGACTTAATTTCAATTTGGTTATTAGTAGTATTATTATCATTGTTATTGGAATTATTGTAGTGATCGTATGGATTTAAATTGATTTTTATGATTTCATTTCTTTTTAAAACTTGAGAAAATAAAGACTTCGGAAGAGGTAATAGATTAATCATATCATTTAATTTTTCTATTGGATATTTTGAACCCAATTCTTGATTGAATAGTTTTATTATATTGATACTTCCATCCAAACTTGCAACAAATAAGAGTTGATCATCGGACCATTCGAGGTCAACAATTGAGTTTAAAGTGATGTCCTTAGCTATAACTAAAGGTTTTTCAGAAGAATTTTTCCATATAGCTAGAGTATTATCAGAGCCGCCACTTGCTAGTATTGAATAATATTGGTTATTTAAAGAATCAAAGAATAGATTTGAATTGAATTTTGCAACTTCACAGGATGAAAAGCCATGGCCTATTAGGGAATAGATTGTTTTCCAGTTTGATCTATTTAATAGAGCGATGACAGATATTGAAGGCGACGAGGACATCAGAGAAGTTGCAGGCAATTGAGTGTTTGTTGTTGGTAGGTTGAAAGCATTTAGATTTGAATTTGAGGTTGTATTTGAATTTGAGTTTAATAAGTTAAAATTTGAATTAAAATTGGTGTTGAGGAAATTTTGATTTGAAGAAGAGTCCTTATTAAGAGAGTTGTTTATATCATTAGAAATGTTTGATATCAAAGCATTTGGAATGGCTACCAAGTTTGCATTTGGAGACCAATTAAATCGTCTATATTTTAAATTCAAACTTTTGTTTAGAATTGCAGGCAATGAAGAGATTTTACCGATTTGTAAGATATCGTTTTGAAAACAAAAAATATTATTATTTTCAGCATTGTTGTTGACATTGCTGTTATTGATATTATTAAATTGAAACTGAAAAATTGAAATTACGTTATCATCAGAGATTGAGATCAAGTAGTTATTTGTTGGATCAAAGCTTATTGCTTTGACCGGTCCTTTAAAATCGTTTAAAGTGGCCAATTTTCTAAAATTGATCAAGTCGTAGATAATAATTTTATTTTGAATGCTGGCGATTGCCATTATCTTATTATTTGACATGATCGAGATATCCACGAAATTTTCAGGAAGGTGAGGATGAGGATCATTATTAGCATTGTTGGTAGCATTGTTGGCGCTAGCAGTGGTATCAATGGCATTCTTGTCCAGATTGTTGTTGTTATTTTTAATATTTTGCTCTTGAGTAGTAGAATCTAGCAATATGGTAGGCAAAGATCTCAGCAAATTTGGGTCTTTAATTAGATATACTACCCCCAATGAATCGGCGGACACTAAAACATTGGAGCTCGGTAGGTACTTTATGATATTAATTGAGGCAGCAGGACTATGGTAGGACCAAACACGTAGAGGCTGGAGATTTAGAAGAGACTCCCTGGTAGGATTCAATGTTAGTTGGTCCAACGAGTGAATGTCCCAGATATAGATACAATTGTCTTTTCCACTGGACGCAAGAAAGCTGTTGGAAGAATCGACAGAGAGGGAGTAGACCTCGCCCCCATGCATCTTCCCAGGTATTTTCAAGATACGCATTGCGAACAGCTGGCGTGTGAAATAGCAGTGGGTCGTCTGAGCAGCTTTCAACACACAATAACCACAGCATCTGTTGCATGCTTCTTTATATCGTCGTCTGTTTCAGGTATCATCCAGCAGTCCGGAATAGGCCAATCCGTCTGAAACCTACCACATAAACCGGTAGACCGTTGCTACACACCCCTGCTGTGTAACCTCATATACAAACCCCGACTTCCGTGGACCTCCCTTGAAACGCCCATTCCGCTGGCTCGCAGCAGAAGCAACAGAGACAGCAGGCGATGGCGGGCAAGGCAAAGCAGCAACAGAAGCCTGGAAGCAACAGCGGAATGGTGGGGCCAATCATCAGCACGTCCATTATGCTGGTAAAGCCACTGGGCTGGACGAGTTGCTACTACCTCTGTTTCTGCTGGAGATTGTTGTGCTGACTCAGCGGATAAAGCAGCAGAGGTTTCGTTTTATGTTCTGTTTTATGTTCCGGTGTATGCTTCTTTTTATGTTGCATTATATGCTTCTTTATATGTTTCATTATATGTTTGGTATCTGGTGATTGTAGTGCTCGATTCGGTATTTCTCCACCAGACCTGTCTCACTTTTCCCAAATCGCTTTTCTAAAACTATACCCTTTTTTTGCATTTTTTTTTCCTTTGCCATTTTTCTTCTTTCTCCTTTTTTTTTAGTAACAAAAAGATCGTTATTTCCAGTTATTTCTCTTATTCTCAGAGTTCCTGCTCGTTTTTTTTCTTATTTTTTTTTATTTTTTTTCCAATTTTCATCCCAGATTATTAATATCTTATTATCATATTCTCTTTAGATTCTCTTGGAATTCATTTATAACCAATTCAATTTCTCGCTTTTGTTTTCCCCTTCCACCTTATACTAACCAGATTAACCTGTGTTTTAAATTCATAAACTTCTACTCAGCAGCAATCTTTCTTATCAAAACCGTCGCCAAAATGCAGTGCATGGCTCCCTGGGTTCCTGCTTTTACTTCTTCAATTACAAGAGAATCGGATCATTTGAAGTTCATATACTTTTCATTTGCTAACATTGATGCCAATGGGTTACCTCATGTCAGAAATGTAGTCTTTAGAAACTTTTTGTTTGATGATAAATCCACAAATGTTTTGGTCTTTGTAACTGATGGTAGAATGCAAAAATTCAATCAATTATTAAACAACGATAAATTTGAAGCCTGTTTTTACTTTCATCATTCAAGAAGACAGTTCAGATTTAATGGATTTGCTAAGATAATTGATTTAAAAAACCAAATTTATCCCAATGTTGCCGTATTAAGTCATGACAATATAAAACTTGATAGTAAAAGTAACAACAAAAATATACATAAAAATGCTATCAATAATAACAATATTAATAATAATAATAATAATAACAACAACAACAATAGCGATAGCGATATAAATAAAAATACTATTAAAAACGATAACATAGATTCAAAGATAAATCCCCCATTTGTATACCTGTTATACTCCCCTTCAGTCCCTTCAGTCCCTCCAACTATAGATGAATGGAAAAAAGAACATTTACAAAGATGGGAAAATTTGTCATTGAAATTGAAATCTTCCTTTAACAAACCATTCCCAAGGTCTTCATTAACAAATGAAAAGAGAAAGCTATTGGACAGTATTTCAAGAGGTGTTGATGGTAACGATATTAACGACGGTTATAATGACAATTTTAAAGTTATCTGTTTATTCATTAATGAGGTCGATTATCTTAATGAAGAAAACGAGAGAAGAGTTATTTACACAAGATTGAATTTTGATCAATGGCAAGAAGAAGAAGTTTGCCCATAATTTTTTATTATTTTATTATCTTTTATTCTTTTTTTTATTATTTACATTTTTACAAATCTATTTATCAACTCTTATTTATAAATTTATTTACAAATTTATTTACCAACCGTTTCCTTTATCTCTTTATCTTCTTATCTTATATTTTTTTTAGTCAGGCATTCAGCATTTTTTGCTTTTTTTTGCTTTTTTTTTTTATTTTTTTATTTTTGTTTTTTTGTTTTTGATTTAATTTCTTTTCTTCAATGTAAAATTAAATCTAATTTTAATGAACAATTGAATTTTTGATATCTTTTGTATAAGCAGATGAGTTGTCATCATGTAAACTCGTTAATGGAATCTCTGTGTCATCATGTTTATAAATAAACTTGTGATCATTGTTGATTCTAAATTTCGCAAAAACACTTTTGACTAAGGTACTTCTTCCTCTTAGAGATTTAATTGGTTCATTTTCATCTCTAACAAACGGTTTGAAAAACAATTCATCGCCAAGATTTGAAGATAATGGTGGGTAAATTGGTTCAACTTTAACATTACTCCAATCCTTCTTAACCTCACTCTCACTCTCACTCTTATTTTCAGCGAGTTTTGAAACCTCAGTGGCTAATAACATTCCATTAGATTTAATCCCCCTAAGAACCCTTGGCTTTAAATTTTTTAAAACGATGATATTTCTATCAATCATCTCCTCAAGTGGAACAATATCAACCAATCCCGTCAAAATCGTAATCACATCCATATTATTAACCTCGAGTTCATCGGGTTTAAGCGCTTGTAAATCCTTCTTAATCTCTTCCAATTTAGCCTTCTCGACATCATTGACCAATACATTTGCGACATACAAAAAATTGCTGTTCGGGTGGTTCTGGCAGTGAACAATTTTGCCAACCTGTAGTTGTAAAACGCTTGGTGGATCTGAAATGTGGTAAAATCAAACAATAGTGTCAATGTTAGTAACATGCACCAAAAAAAAAAAGAGTCCCCAAAATACATACAATCAACCTTTGGAGGCGAAGAATACCATCTGCAACTGATAAGACCAAATAAACCCTTTTGTCTTGGATACAAGCATCTTCTTGATAAGGACAGCATCATTTTGAGTTCCATCCACTCAAACACGCACTTATAAACGAATGAAATCGCAATAAGCTAACAAACTACCAGCAGGGCTATCTGCGCACGTGGCAGGTGCTACCAGAGCCCTGGGCTAGGGCTCAAAGGTCCGAGGTTGCGTGCTGCTTGACACACTTGTAAAACACGCGAATTGGCTATATTAGGATATAATCCTGTAATATTGCCTGATAAAGACTGGTTGGTGCTGCGCGACACGAAAACCACATAGTTGTGGGACCCAGAGTGCTGGATCTGCATACTTCAGCACATGACGGCACGCTGAATTACACGTGATTTAATGTCATATCGACACACTATTGCTTTTTGTGGAGGTGATAAAGTCGAGTCTGAGGTGCAGGCCTGAATGGAGCTGGAGCGAGGCTTGAGATGGCAAATATATTCTGTTGTTTCGTGAAGGAAGTGCTGGAGAGAGACTTTGTGGGAGGAAGCTCTGGCCACAAGAAGCAGACTAAGGAGATGTGCTAGTTTGGTCCTCCAATTGAGATAAAAACAGCTTCAATTCCGAAATTCAGATCCAGCGTCGTTAGATATCAATTTCATTTGGTCAAAGCTTCTGCTCAAGTTATTGTTGTTCTTATTGTTACTGTTTGCGTAACGTATTTACCGATTATCTTTACTGAAACAATACCATCACCACCACCAACTATTGGTCCCTACAGCCAAAAGCCAATTGAATACAGAGAAATATTTAGAAATTGCAAAAAGCAGTTTACTACTAACGCTGAAAATAATTGCAATTACATCAATACTCTTAATAAGAGCAGAATTTTTGAGTTTTTTTTATTTTGGTTCTTGTTTTTCTTTGGGTTTTTAGATTTTGTTCCTTAATCTTTTGATTTGGTTTATTTCTATAAAAACAATTTGTTTCTAATACACAATTTAATTGAAATTATACAAATTATAATTCTAATTAAAATCGTTCAACAATCTTAATTTTCTTAATAATCATAAATGATATATCTTTAGCAACTTATTCCCTTTTTTTTCCTCCCCCTCTTGATTTTCTCGTTTCATTTTATTTTATTTCATTTCATTCCTTGTCATGAATTTTAATCAAAATATTAACAACAATACGAATCCAAATAATCCAAATAACCCAAATAACCCAAACAACCCAAACAACCCTAATAATTATCAAAATTTGATATCGAATAATAGAGCGAATCAGCTTAAAATTTCAAAAGTTTTAGTTGATCTATTAAATAGCAATAACAATAACAATAACAATAACAATAACAATAACAATAACAATAAAAATAAAAATAAAAATAAAAGCATTCATGGACTGGGAAACTTTTCTGGCAAATCAGAAGAAGATATAAAATTTCTAAAAGATGCAGCTGAAGTAATAATCAATGAATACTACACTTCTCAAAGTAGAAATCCTCAGCAAAACCAAAGCATTGACCCAACCATTAGAGAATTAATGAATAGACTACAATATTCAACATCCCCACATGGCAATCCATTAACTTATAATACAAAACAATCCTCAATTACAAACATAAATAACAACTTGGCTCAAAATTTCAACCAAGCCTCTTCTTCTTCCTCGATTTTAAATCAAAATTATGACCAAAGAAAATTTCCTGATTTAAGTACTAACATATTCACTCAGTCGCAGCAGCAGCAACAACAACAATATAATCAGTTTAATCCAGTTAATCAGTTCAATCAGGTTAATACATCTAACCAATCTCAAAATAATTGGCTAAGACTCCAACAGTCTCAATCTCAATCTCAATCCCAATCCCAATCCCAATCTCAATCCCAGTCTCAATTTCAACAACATCAATTACAATCATCTCATTCACGAACAAGCTCTTTAACCAGCAGTTCAGGGAATCAGAACAACCCCAATTTCAATCAAACAAAATTAATGCTAATAAATAGTTTAATGTCAAATCCTAAAATGTCGTCATTGGCAATGGAAATATTGAATGGCAACATCAGTTTGAATGATAATCTAATAAATTCATTGCTAAACAGCAACAACAACAACAACAATAACAATAATAATCAATTTCCAAACAATCCCAATCAGCAGACGAATTTAAGTGATGCATTATCTGCTCTAATGAGCTTGAAAAATCAGTCACAACTTCCTAATACAGGAGCACAGATATACCCTGGAACAAGTAGCAGTAGTGCCAGCAGCAGTAGCGCTGGTTCTGGTGGTGGAATTGGACTTGGGCTTGGAATTGGCAACGAACCAGGACTTGAATTGGACAAATTGTTCATTTGCAAATTCTGCTCACAATCTTTCAAGAGAAACTCTGACTTGAAAAGACATTCAAAGATACACATGAAAGTTTTGCCTCATATTTGTCAAGTTTGTGGAAAAAGCTTTGCTAGAAAAGATGCTTTAAAACGACATGGAAACACATTAACATGTAAGAGGAATAAAGAAAATGGAACATATCTAGACAATTTGAATTTTCTAAACGAATAGCATGAATAAAGTAGACTTAATAAACTAGATGAAGATTTTTATACTATAATATTTCTTGCACTGTATATTGCACTATTTCTTGCACTATTTCTTGCACTATTTCTTGCACTATTTCTTGCACTATTTCCTGCACTATTTCCTGCACTATTTCCTGCACTATTTCCTGCACTATTTCCCGCACACTTTCTTGCACACTTTCTTGCACTATACCTACCACAAACTGTTGAAACTGTAGAGGAGTCTGGAAGATCCGTGGAAGTGGGTCTAAGACACGATTTTCAGTTCGCTGTCAAAGAATGGCAATTGAATAATGAAAACAAATCAGTGAGGTAAATCCATAGAGCGCTGAATGATAAAGAGCATATTACAATCTTGAGTAAAATAGTCAAAAGTTAATGGATATTCTCTGAATTTTAAAGAAATTGAAGAATCAAAAAGAATTTAAACAAGTGATAGGATTAAAATTAGCAATAAAATCCCCGAGTCTCTAGAAAATTTGCTGATTCATTCAACTATTTAATATTGTAGTTTTTTGGTGCTTCGTTATAAATACTAGTATAATATAATATAAACACCAATATCGATATATATCAAAATAACTTTTAAAATAATTTCCAATACCAATATCAAGATAAATATCAACATCAACATCATCATTACAGATAAACAAATTACTATCCATATATATCTATCATAATTAAACACACTTACTGAAAATATATTTTAAAACCTTTCATCGATCTGCATTTGCCTTGATAACTATAAGATTAGAGAATAGCCACAACATCGTTACAAAGATTATTATCACTATAAATATCACTATAAATATTACTATAAATATCACTATCAACAACAACAATAAAAATGGCCAGCTGGATATGTCATAAATGTGGAAGCAAAAATCTTACCAAAAATAATATCTGCTTGAATTGTAAACATTACAGGCAGTTTAGTCGTTATAGAAATGGTGAACTAGTATTCAAAATGGTTTGTTATGAGTGCGAAGACACTGTTACCAATCCGTAACCTATCTTCTAAAAGATAGGATAGCAACTAAATTAGTCATTATAAATTTATAATACTTTCGTTATTTTTTCTCAATTCAATTCAGTCAGTTCAGTTCAATTTTACCACACTATCATGTTATAGTTAATCCCACATTGAATCACGACAATAAACAAAAAAAATAGACAGAAAAAACAAAAATACAGAAAAGATCAAAACTGTCCAAGACCCCTAGAGGCGTAGTAGATAAGACTCATTTACATAGACATAATCAAATTATCTTTTCACTCTTCTCTTAATTCTGCATCCAATTTCACTGCTTATTCTCTGATGATAGTTCCTTCTTTGCTCTGTTTCCAGTACTGTTGGGATGACTAACATTTCGCTCCCCGGCGCGGAACAGGCCCAGGTCAAGCGGGAGCATTGCCTTGTTTACGTAAGTGATGTATAGGTTTCACGTGACATATATAGGTTGCAAAAAGATATGGCCCCGCACAAACAGCATTGTTGCAGGAAACAGCAGGAGCGTTCGCTGCTGTGCGGGCGCACAAAATGAGTCTTTGAAGTTTTTTCTTTGACTCATTTGAAAACGTTCTGGAAAGTGATGCCATTTCTATTGTGTTGTAATGTCACAGCTGGGACAGTGAAAGAGGTATAAATACCACCATTTCTGCTTTCTTCTGGTGTTTTTTCTGTTCCAAGCCCATTCTTCGACAGCAAAGATACACAGCATAATTGTCCCCAGATCTCTTCAACAGACACCAACTGGCCCACATCCACTAGTTGGCTTTTTCAATTTTTCAAATTCCACTTTTATTGATTTTACCATTTTATCGCTTGATTATCCAACTATCTTACTATTTTACTATTTTATCAATTATTTTATTTTTTGAAAATGTCATATTAAGAAGTTAATCAACAGGTCATTAATCGTACTATTTATATTATCACTAACACACTTTTAAGCTGTTTTTCCTTTTTTAGTAAAAAGGTTGAGTGATAATATAAATTTTTCTTTCTTGGGCAATTATCAAATTCTTTAAATATCATAAAAAATAAAACAACAAGAGAGTGTTTTATTTCATTTTATTTTTTTTATTGTTTTTTTTTCATATAATTTAAACAATTTTCACCAATGGATTATTATTATGATAAAAAGTCGGATAATTATGATGATATGCCAGGATTATCATCAGGTTCCGATACCGAAACAGAAGCAGAAAATGATTCCGATTATGATTATGAATATGATTATGAATATGATTATGAATATGATTATGAATCAGATATCGATATCGATATTAAAATTGAAAATGTTATAAAAAATGGATTAGAAAACAATTTTAATAATCAATATAATTATTCTAATAATAAATACCCTCAACCTTATTTATCAAATTCATCACTAAATAAAAGCCATTTTTATGATAATGGTGTTCCCCATAAATTCATCAACTCCATCAATATAAATAAAAAAGAAATTGTTATAAACATTTTAGTTAAATTAATAGTTAATCGATTAATCACTAAAATAAGGCACAAATCAGTTTCCAAATATACTACTACTACTACTACTACTACTAATAATAATAATAATAATAATAATAATAATAATAATAATAATAATATTTTTCAAGAATTATATGAGTTTTTAATTGAATTATTAAAAAGAACAAGAATTACATTAAACGAGTTAATTATTTCATTGATTTTAATCAATGATTTTAACGATAACTATGATATTGGTTATGATATGAATTTATTTAAAAAGATTATATTATCATCGATAATTTATTCCAATAAAATTTGTAATAACAATGATGGTAATGATATTGATGATAAAAATTGGTCAATTATCACCGGATTATCATCAATTGAGATTAATAAAATGGGTTTAGCAGCTAAATCCAATATTAAATTTGAGATTAAGAACAATGAATATAGGATTAATGAGTATAAGATTCAATTGAATAAATTAGTTAAACAAGCTATTCTTAATAGGATTGAAGTAAATTAATATGAATTTATAGTTAATTTTAATAGATTTTGTTGATTTTCTTTCTTCCTTTTTCTTCTTTTTTCTTCTTTTTTGATATATATATATAAATACAAATTGTATACTAAATCGGGAAATCTGAAAATATTATCATGTATGATATATGCATAAACTGCTATAAATATATAGATACATATGTAAGAAAAAGGCAAATTTTGTTTTGAGAGGGATGAGAAAAGAGTAAAACGAGCGTGTTATGTATGGTATGTATGATATGTGTGGTGTGTTGGATGTGTGTGGTGATGAGCAATTGCAATATGAGCAGGGAAAGTGACGTTGATTGTGGTAATCTTGTATTTTGGGTACTAGAAAAGGAAAGAGTAGGAATAGTGTAAAGAGAATAAAGATAAAGAGAATAAAAGGAATGAAAAGGATAAAACGAATACTAGTAAAGAATAAACAATAAAAACAAATATAATATAAAACCAAAGAATAACATATATAGTTCATAACACCACCATTGATAGTAAATAATTAGTAAAACAAAATAAAATGATATAAAATAAGACAATATAAAAATAGAATTGAATTCAACAGAAAGGATTGATTGATTGATTAATTGATTAAATCGTCGGACAGGATTATGATTAATTGATTGATTAGTTTTTTCTTCTTCGGAAGAAACCTCTTTTTTTTTTCTTTGGTTGATTGGTGTTTGAATCGAGTTTGGGTTTATAAACAACTTGTGGTTCTTTATTATTATTGTTTGCATATGGATTACCATTTGTAAAGAGAGGGAAGTTTGGTCTGACAGTCCAGCCATAGATTGGAGTCTCCAAATTTGATTTGAAATAGGTATCACCGGTGATGGCATATTCAAAGCTCTTGATTGTATCTAAGGGTCTTTCATCTCTTGATCTAGTTGGATTTGAAATATCTGGAGTGGTGATCAGATTACCAAAGGAATCCTTCAAATTGCCAGTTTTAGCCATGTAGGCCAAACCTAGCTGCTGATTGGTTTGGTTGAAACCATCGTTTGCCTGTTCAAAGGGCTGAGCTTCATTGACAGCAGATAAGATTGGATCATGAACATTACCAGTTCTCATTTTAAAATTTTCAGCATCCTTTTTGGTTAGCTTGATGTTTTTGGAAGAAACAGTGGAGGCAGTTGACTTCTTTCTGAAATGCATTATGGGTCTAATTGGTTACGGGGTTAAAGAGGGTGGTGACAAGTGAGAAATAAAAAAAGAAGACAAAAACACAAAAGAAGAGTACTATGTAACGATAACGAATGGAATCGATTGCTGAAAGGGAATAGTGTAACACAAAGTAACTACAGTCTACAGATGAGAAGAATAAGAGAAAAGATGGAAATCAGTGGGTTTATATCATTTCAGAGAGGAGATCTAAGTTTAGAGAAAAAAGAACTTTTCCAGCTTTTTTCATCTTCTCCCAACTCTTTCCAACTCTTTCCAGGTCTTTCACTCCTCACTGACCTTCGCTCTCTTTCGCACCTCTTTCGTAGAGTTTCGTACTCTCTTGTGCTCTCTCATCCATCACTGTTTGCACACGTGAGCAAACTTATCCTCATAACCCACTTGGTCCTGCTTTGTTTGCTTAGCGGCTCGGCACACGCTACTCCCGCGTTCCCTTTGTATTCCCGGTGCGTCACACACACGTGCGTATCATGCTTGTACCGCAAGCACACTCCAGCACCGGCTTCTGCGCCGGCTTCTGCGCAGCGCGAGAGGGGCTGTGCTCTGCTCCCGAGGCCTGCCAATTCGGGCCAAGCAGTGTTGGCCCTTTTGTAGCGGGACAGTGTGGCTGCAGAGACGGACTGACTTCGGCTCTGCTTTGGACAGAGCTCGGATTGCGCCTGCCGGCTTAGACGACCCCGGTGCGTCGGGGGTCGGTGGTGCTTTGTTGGGTGCGTCTTCTTTTTCTTCTGTTTTTCCTTCCTGTGCTGCTCCGTCTCCGTTGCTGCTGCTCCGTGTGGAGCTGTTCTAGCCCCATTTTTGGACCCTTCTGCAACTCGGCCGCACGATGCAAATTTCATCTTTTCTTCGTTTTACCATAAGACGAAGCTGAGAAAAACAGGCGCACTATTTATACCTTTTATACCTTTTGTGCCTTTTATACCGTTCCTCTTGGAGTCTTTTATACCTTTCTTTCATACCTCTGCCATTTCAGCACTCTTCAATTCTTTGTCAATGTTTAATACCTAGCCTTCTGGGTCCACCTCTTCTATTTTTGTTCTTGTCGCTATTACTGTCTCTGCTTCCATAATCTTTCGGTTTTATTTGGTTTTATTTGGTTTTATCTGGCTTCATTTGATTTCATTCGCTCTAGGTTTTATTTTTAATCGTTTTCAACAGTCTCTCTGAATTCAATTCGCTCTCTTATTCACTTATCCCAATTTAATTATATCCCAACCTAATTTGCTCTCGCCTGAAGCATTTACATAATGGATAATCAATCACTAGCTGTTGGTTTGGCTGTGGGTATTCCCACTGTTGTCATACTACTCATCGTCTTTATGTGGTACTACCTCAATCACAATAACTTGAAAAAAGAAGATAACAAAATCGATTTAGAATTCGCCCATAACATAGACGACAATATAAATTTCAACAATTTGAACGATCTTAAAATTAAAAAAAACTCAAGTTTGTCTAAAAAACTAAAAAATAACAATAAAATTAACAACAATAACAATAAAAACAATAACAATAACAATTCAACAAAATATAGAAATTACAGAACCTATTACAACCTTAAAAGTAATAACAATAACAATAACCAGATTAATGCAAATCATAAAAATATCAACACAGATAATGAAAAGGAATTTGTAACCTTGAAAACTGTTCGTGAATCAAACGAAATTAAAGAATCAATTGAAATCAATGATAAAAATCAAACCAGCACCACCATCACCATCCAAGAAAATACTACTGATTCAAAGAATAAAGAACCTAACCAAGTATCAAATGAACTAACTTATCGAACTGATTCAACAATCTCAACCACTTCAATCCCACTAACTGACCCAACTAATTACTCAAACTATCTCAACATCTCACCCGAAAATTACAACTCAATCAATAAATCCCTATCTTCTTTTGATGACGAAACCAAAGCCTCCATTCCTCGTCACTCAATTAATAACTCAATCAAATCCTCAAAATTGCAATCCTTTCAATTAAACAAAAGAAACTCATCTAACCAGAAAAATCTACCTAATTTCAAATCAAAAAAATTAAATCAAAGAGATTCAAACAGATCTTCTCAAGATTTTTATGATAAAGTCATTCCTCTAATTCAAGAAAATCAACCCCATTTATCTCCTAACCCTAATCCTAATCCTAATCTTCAAGCCCAAGCAGAAAACTCTCTATCTTCTGACTCTTCATCCTCAGAATTAACCTCCTCTCCAATTACAAATAATAACTCTCCTAATAGTAATGATAATAACAACGATATCAATACAACACCCACTCTTGATCCTCATCAGATTCATAAATCGCCTTCTCAATTGGATTACATTAAAATGCTAAAACAGTATCCAAGTTCTTAATTGTTATAATTATATCAAAAATATTTTTTTTTTCTTTTTTTTCAATTTTATCTTATTTCATTTTATCCTGTTCAAATCTCACTTTCCTTCATATACTTATGCTTTTTATTTCTCTTTATTTCTCTTTATTTCTTTTGGTTTCCTTTTCAATTCATTATCTTTATCATTTTTAATACTTTTTTTTGCAAATTTATTTTTTTCGGCTGCGTCTTTTATCCATTCATTCATTCAATTTATCGTTTTTTCTTTGTTTTTATTCACCGATATACTTTAAACATCTATTGGGCTAATCTTTTTCTTTTTCATATCATAATTTGAAAAAATAAAAAAAAAATAACAAAATAATAAAATAAGAGCTTTGTTTTAAAAAAAATTTAAATAGATATATTTACAGTTAACTCATTAATATTATTTAATTATCAAATATTTAAAATATTTAAATATTCAATTTTTTTTCAATTTTTTTTCAATTTTCTTTATACTTTTTTTTTTTTGCTACTTTTTTTAACCTTACTTACTTTATTAACTTTATTAACTTTAGATGAATTCTTAGATTTAGAGTCTTTATCTTTATTGTTTTTTCTTCTTTTTTTCATGGGATTCAATGAATGATTTAAACCAACTAATTTCAAATACTCCATTCTTTTATTTAATAACTTTTGATCCTCTTTGGAATCAATCGAACATATTTTTATAATGTTATATGGCGATATTAATTTTTGACAATTGGGGCATATATTAATCTTTTTTTCATCAAAATTACCAATTTCATTGCCATTTAGATTAGTATTTATTTTTTTAATACAATTTAAAATCTTTATTTTAAATTTGACCAATTCATCATCTTTCATATTATATAATTTATCTAAATATCTTTTATAATTAAATAAATCATTTGCGTCATTCCAATTTAAATTAATTAGGTTTTCTTTTATCAAATAATCATTTAAAAAACATCCACATTCAGCAAAATAAAAAAAATTTAAATTTCTATTAATCGATACAACTGATCCCAATTTAAAATTTGATATGGGACATTTGATTATCAAATTATTATTGTTGTAATTGTTATTTTTATTGATATTGATATTATCATCATTATCGTCATTATCATTGTCCTCATTCTTATTTTCATCAATATTTAATTCAACTAAATCATTTAATGAGGAAATATGAGAAAAATCTTGATCTTTATTTTGTACAATTTTTTCATTTTCTTGAGTTTTTCCCAATTTTATATTGATTAAATATTGTAAAATGATGTCTTTATTGTATAAACTTCCTTTATAATCACTTAATATGGGTAAATTCAATGGCTTTAAACTCATAAAACATAATTTGTATTTCAATATTTGATTATATTTTTGTCTTAAAAATACATCTTCAGTTATTTTATTTGATTGTTGTTTAACTAGATCAGATCTTTTAACAATTGAACCTCCGTCGTTCTAAAGAAAAAAAAACTTGTTAGCCTTTATTATTCGATAAAAATCTTCACTATTATATATATATATATATTAATATATACACAATATCATACCCCCATTTTCTAATGAAACTTATGAGTTGATACTTGATCTGCCAAAAATTCTAATCCGAAATGAATTTTCTTGCGTTTATATCATCATTCCGAAAAAGGAAAAGCTGTCCCAAGTAGTTGGTTTCTTTACAGTGAAAATAAATTATATATTGAGAATTGTAAATTATAATTATAAACTAAATACAGGAACTAGATGGTTACAGATAAACACTTCACCTAGATTATTTATCAGAAATTTTAAAGTAAACAACCAAAGACCTTTAAAAAATAACATCAAATAAAATAAATTAAAACACAAAAAAACAATAAACAAAGAAATATATTTTATCAAGAAAAAGAGTTGATAGAATTATGCCGATTGTAGAAAAACCTTGGGTTCAATTTTTGGGCAATTCCAAAACAGCTTGCTCTTTTTTGTGCTCATCGACGTATTCCTCTATTTTCTTTTTGTTTTGGGAACTTGTGACAAAAGAAGTATAGGCAAAGCCTCCAACCATATAAAGTGATCCACCGAGAAGAGTGTAAAGGAACAATCTGTGGCTGACATCCATTGCAGTCATATACCATTGATATTTTGCCATTTTGAAGTGCTATATTTGGTTGTGTTGTGAAGAGTAAGTTCTGGTGTTTGTCGACAGATTTCCACTGCTTTTGATGTCTTTGGTGCTTTTGAAGAAGATGCTCAAATGCAAGGAGTTTGAAAAAAGAGAATCTCAAAACCCGCATGTGATAAGCATGTGCTACAGGGTCGCCAAAGATTTGGATCTAGAAGGATGCTATCAAAGCACGAAAATCACAGCTCACAAAACATATATTGAAGAAAACACAGCAGTAATTCTATAACGACTTGTTCATAAATCTTCTTTTGGAAAATGCTAGCCAGAACTTATCAGGTTGAGGGGCATCATTTTTATAAAGAATAGTAATCAATCTATCGCCCAATTCCTGTCTGAATTGTTGAATATAACCTCGCAATAAATCATAATCATTTCTATTTTGAGGACCATTGAAAACAGCGTTTAATGGGAAGTTTGGATCTCCGGGCACACTGAAATCCTCTAAAGCAAAATTGTTTAAAATTCTAACAGCTTCACCTCTAGTGATCCTTTTATTTAATTTATTGAGACACGACGATACATATAAAATCCCGTAAATTAATGTTCTATCTGAATTGCTCTTGATTTCAAAATTTCTAAAAAAGGAATTTGGACGAAATAAATCTAGAACTTCATCAATAATGTCATAGTCCGAATTGGTTGGATACGATGGACCTCTAAATTTAGTACGAATTGGCAATATAGCAAAATTTCCAACTATTCTACCTGATTCAGCTTCTTCGGAAAAAAATGTCGAGTTATATGCCTGAAAACAATTTGTCAGTAACAATTGACGTCCCCGACTTGGAAAACTCCATATAAATGAAGATTAAAGCGATTGATCAGACTATACATACAGGCATCTTTCAATATTCAGCTCTCCAACTACAGAGATATCTTTCTATCCACATCTAAGAAGTTGACACTTCTCAAATGTGCATCAGAGCCACCAAATAGGGGATTTCCGCACCAGACCGGATCAGCACCGGAAGTGCCTTGGAATGGAAGAACCGGTGCCAGGATGGAAGAGCTCCTTCAGCACTGGGTATAGTACAGTGGACCAACATTGCCCACAAAGCTGGTTCTAAACTAAACACTCTAATTATTTCTGAATGTTTTTAGAGTGCTTTTAAACACAAAACAAAGAAAACAAGCCAGTCTTAGTTGCACAAAAAAAACAATATTGAAGAGATAACAGCTCTTTATGTATTTTCAACTCCAATTTAGACATCTAAAGCGTAAGTGGTTTAATGGTAAAATTCAACGTTGCCATCGTTGGGCTCCCGGTTCGATTCCGGGCTTACGCATGTAACTTATCATTTTCCATTTTAAATGGTTTGAAAAAACATTGAAAATTACTTTTTGTACATTTTCAACAGTTGATATAATTAAATTGGTTAAACCTGGATAAAAGAAACTTAAATAATAATACAAAGAGTAAACACTATTAAAAGCAAGCTGTAATCAATCATTCTTCGAAAAAATAATTGAAAATAATTTGTATATAAGTATAAAATATCAAAATAAAAATATACATAAAAACCAAACAAACAAGTTGAATAAAAAAACACATCAAAAAAATTAAAATAATTATAATAATAAAAAAACGATTAATAAAAGTTATTAGTAACCAAAATAGAATCAAATGTCGATAAACTAAAGAAAAATAAATTGAAAACATATTAAAAAATTCGGAAAAATAAATAACATAAAAACTGAAGTAAAACTTTTATATGAAAACTAACAAAAAAATTAATTAGATTATTGAAATTGATAGCTATCTATTTTTAATAGATCACGGATTAATAAAAAACCTTCCACATTATAGGTTATTTTTCATGAACTTGAATTTTAATTAGATTGAATAAATATCAATTTTAAAACATAGAAAAAAAAACAAAGCAAATCTAAGAAAACAAGCATAAGTAATAATAATAATAATAATAATAATAATAGTAATAATAGTAATAATAAAAAAACAGCATAATATAATTTCCAGTTTATTTAAGGATATTTGTTTAATTTTGCCCAAAAATCTAATGATGCAACAACATCGCAGTTTCTACTATCTGTGTATGCATATAGTATTTCTTGTGAATTGGAATGTAATAATCTAATATTTTCTCCTAAAATAACCCTTAATAATTCACTTGTTTCAACATTCCTTATTTCAATAAAATTATTAGAAAATGCCAACAAGTAAGGAAACCAAAGTGCAAATGCGTTTGATATACCTTCCCAGTGAACAATCCAACCTGGTCTCGTTCTCCAACCTAATGAATTAACATAAAACGAAAAATCAGAATAATTGATTAAAAATCCAGAATGTAATTTAAAAATTGCTAATGGCTTTAACCCCTCTCTTCTAATCACAAAATCCAAAGAACTATCTGCTTGATCCAATAGCTCTTGTACTGGAAGGTTGCCACCTGAATTATGTGGTGAAACAACTTGGAATCCCTTTGTGCAACCAACACAAATCTTAGACTGCAAAAATGATATAGACACAGGTTCAGAAGTAAACAGAACCTCTTGAGCATCACTTTTGAACTTCTTTTTAGAAACTTTCTTTTTTGGATCTGGATCAACTGGTTCAAATATCTTAATCGAATGACTAGATCCATTCTTTGCTGCGCAAACAAACATCTTACCATTACAAACACCAACTTTGAAAAATGAAACATGATTCAATAATTCTTTAGCCTTTTTGGTATTGCTCGAAACATCAAATGTCTTTAATACATCCATTGGCCAAGAAAGTAATTTTTTATCGCATAATGCTAAAAGAGTATGGTATTCTTCAATAACTTCTACCTGTGTAACATTTGGTTTTTCAATAATTTTAACTGGTTGAGAAACAACTCTAGAATGGGTATTTCCACTAACACAATTTCTGATAAATGACATATAAATACCTGAATCGGTTCCACAAAGCAATTGTCTGCCACCATCCACTGGAATACCGCAATTAATTTTATTGGTCACAAAATCATAATGCTTATCAGTTAAAGCTATCAATGTGAAAATATCGTTGGATTCTTTCAAGTGTTTTTGTTGCTGCTCAATTTTTTCCAAAATATTTTTCTGTCTAGATAAATTCGTTGCATATAATGTCAAATCATACCCACGTCTACCAATATAAGAAAAGGAAATTGGAAATTTTGTGGTAGAATATGCAGTTAATAGTGTATTAGCACGACCATTAATGTTTGATAAAGAGGAACTAGTAGTGGAACTTTTTGAAATACTCGAATTTATAGATTGTGAGCCCAAAATAGATCCCTTTTGTGTGATAGGATTAGAAACTGTTCTATCCAAATCCCTGGAAACAATTTCTCTGAAGGAAGGAACAACTTCGGAAGCAATTACTCTTACCAACTGAATAGGAATTGGTCTTTGAAAAACTTTATGATGTTCAGCCTTATTTACTGTTTTAATGCGAACAAACAAAATATTATTGTCAAGAATATAGATTTGAACATCACCCTGATTATCTTTATCTTGGTTACGTTTCTTTAAAGTTCCGTGAAATAATATTCTTCTATTTTCTGCTGTCAACTTCAAATCAACAAATTCACCAGGTCTAAATACTAGTTTTTGTTTTAGCAATACTAAATTAAATCTATCAGCAGCTCGACCCGTTTCAAGATTAATCATTTCTAGTAATTTTTGTAACATTTCTATAGCAATTTCAAGATTTTTCTTATCGGGGTTATCATCTTTGGTATTTTTTAATACTTGTTTTAACAATAATGGATATCTTGCAGGTCTAGTAGTTGCCTTTGACAAGAAAGAACTTAAATCCAATTTTCTAGACTCTTTTAATCTTTCTGTTTCTTCAACAAATTCAGCAAATTGTCTATTGATAGTCTTTTGTCTTTCATATTCATATTTACTAAAATTCTGACCTGAGCCATAGGTTATAAATGGTTTAAATTGAGGGATATATTCTAAGAAAATATCACCAATTTCATGAACAATTGGCTGTTGTTTTTGTCTCCTGGTTAAAGCCTCGGCCAATTTTGAATTTATACTCAAGATATCTGTTACTCCATTAAAAACTGTTGAAATAAAATTTGCTCTAATTTTTGGAGAAATGATGTTGCTATTGACTAGTGGTCGTATCCAAAAATCTTTTATATATTCTAAATCTTTAACAAAGTCTCGTTCAGTGTAGATTGTTTCAAATATACATTCTTGCCTCTTTTTCTCTTTTTCATCAACACTGTCTAGAACAGATTTTGAAACAGAGCAGGACCACAATTTTTTTGTATCTTCAGATGGATCGTGGATTGAAACTTTGCTTTCTATTCTTTTTAGCCCGCCAAGTTTCATATGTAGTCTTGCTTGCTGTTCAAGTCTATTTGGACATGCAATTGAGTAGCATAATTTGTCACGTCTACACGTCGGCGAGTAACAATTTGTTAGAAGAGTATGAACTCCATTAACAGGAACTGACGACTGAGTTATTGCGGTTCCAGGTGACTTTGGGGGATTTGAAAGAGAAGATGAATGAGTTAAAGGGGTATCGGTTAGGGTTGTTGAGCTTGCATTTCCATTAAAGGAGTCCTGTCGTGATGGAGGTTGAACTTCATCGATAACATCGTTGAATTGGTAAATTTCCTTGTGAGAATCTCTCAATCGATGTTCATAGGTAGCATCATGAAAGAATTTCTGAGCATCTAAGGATCTGCCTAGTAAAAGAGCCAATTTTCTATCATTCGTTCTTAGAATGGCTACCAAGACATCAACAGCTTCAGCACCAGTGAAGGCGTCCAAATAATCCAAACCGTTTTTATTTCTTGTTCCAATTTGAATGTTATCTCTAAAAGTTTTGGCGACTTTTGATAACAATGCAGGGTATATTGTAGGTCTTTTAAATGTGGTTAGTATTGGTTTGGAGGTCAAAGTCAAGTTTGATGCAGAAATCGATCTGTCGGGCAAATTATTTGAATTTTGCCTTCTTGAAAGAATTTTATTAACAGAGGAGAAAGATTTTGATTTTGAGGCCAAATTTATAGAAGAGCCTGAATTCGAGTTTGAAGTTGAAGTTGAGCTTTTACTTAGAATATCATTGCTGTCATTTGAATTGTTGCTGATGTGATTGTTGATGCTGTTATTGGCGTTTAAATTCGTAGGATTGTTGAAATTACTAAGGCTGTTATTACTGTAGGAGTTATTGTTGATGTTGAAATTGGGCGGAATTACAGTGTTGTCATTATTATTGTTGTTGAAGGTGGTTTCATTTTGAAATTGAGTGTTATTAATTGGGCTTTCATTGTTGGAAGAGATTGATATAAAGTCGAATTTTTGAGGAATTATTCGACCACCGGAAGTTTTTTGTTGGTGGTGGGAATGGTGATATTGATACAAGGTGTTATTAGAAGTGGGATTTGGAGTGTTATTTGAGTTCATATTTTGGTTTGTATTGGAGGTGTTTATATTGTTTGGAGAGGAGAAAGCTGAGTTGTAATTGTTATAGGAGTTGGTGATAGTTGAATCGGGATTATTCCAATTGGAGTTAATCAGTTGTTGGGGCTGAAGTTGATGGGGCAGGTGTGGATAAGGTTGAGACTGGGACTGGGATGGAAAGGTAGAAGAAGCAGGAGAGTTGTGTTGGAAGGGTCTTCTGTTGGAAGAGAAGGAGGAGGTGGAGGTTAGGGACATTGATCTGAAGGAGGATCTGATTAGCTGTTCTTGCTGATCGATGTAATTGTTGTTTTGTATGTTGATATAAGGCTGGTTTATTAGGGACGGGTTTACGTTGGTGCTGTTGTAGTAGCTGTTGGTTATACTGTTGTTTGGGGGAGTAAAGCTTCTGGAGTTGTTTGGGATTTGGTTGTTATTTATGGAGTGCATTTGGCTGTGGTTTTGAGGATATGAGTTGTAGTATTGGTGCAGATTTTGCGATTGGGGTTGAGATTGGGATTGGGATTGGTTCATTTGGTAGTGATTTATTTGGTTTATGTTATTTCTTTGGTATTTTTGGTCTTGGGGAGAAGATAATTGGGAAGAATTAGAGGGTTGGTTTCTTAGTCGATGGGAGTAGGGAAGCTGAGAGGTGGTGAAGGTATCATTGTTGGAATTGATGTTGAGATTCGGATTGCTGTTACTGTTTGAGGAGTTGTAGTAGGGGATGTTTAGGGTTGTGTTGTTGTTGTTGTTGTTGTTGTTGTTGTTGTTGTTGTTGTTGTTGTTGTTGTTGTTGTTGTTGCTGCTGTTGTTGCTGTTGTTGTTTGAGTTGTTTGAGTTGTTATTATTGTTTGTGGTTGTGTTTTGATGAGGGTTGTTGTTTTGTTGAATAGGAGGCTGGGGAGGAGGTTGGGAGGGATGGTGTTGGACTTGATACATTTGGATATTAGTCGGAGTAGTTTTATTCTTTGGATAGAGAACTGGTAAATTAAATTAAATTAAATTAAATTAAAAGGGATTAAATTGAATGACTAGTTAGTTAATTGATTAATTTATAAGATTTTAAGATGAAATGAAATGAAATGAGATGAGAAAGAAAGAAAAAAAAATGAAAAAGAAAAAGAAATAGAAATAGAAATAGAAATAGAAATAGAAATAGAAAGAAAAAAAATGGAAACAGATAATGAAAAGCCTTCAGAAGATTAAGAAAGTATTTGAAAAATATATGAAAAATATATGGAATCTGTATGAAAGATTTGTGGAAATTTTGTGGAAATTTTGGTTTTAAGAAAAACTTGAGTTGAGAAAGAGAGGGAAAAATAGGAAAAAAAAAAGAAAAGGAAAGCAAAGGAAAGGAAAGGAAAGGGAAATAAGAGTAACGAATAATAGGTATTGATGATTAGATTGAATATAGGAATAAAGAGAAAACGATATGGTTCATTAATCTCCAAGTAAATTTTTGATTAAGATATTAAAGAAGAGATTAGATAGTGATTAATAATGGTGATGATGGTAAATAATAAATAATAAATAAGCCTATTTTTTTATTTGGTAAAAGACGAAAAGAGAAAACTTAAAGAGGTCAGGAATTTATGTTATTTTGAGCTGGTTTATCAAAGATTCTTTTTGTTTCTGAGTGATGTATTTATTTAATTATTTAATTATTTGGTAATATGTAAGTTGTAATTTGTAATCTGTAGTTTGTAAAATGCGAACTTTATGGGACTGAATTGAGCAGATTGAATTGGGAAATATAATAAGAGATGGTACTGGAGAACAGTGAGCAATACCAAGGCAGTGGAGGAAAGAAATATAATATAAGATAGAGGAAAGGAAGACAATGAAGGTGGTGAAGGCAATGGTGGGAGAGATTAATACATACTTATCAGAAAAGCTGTTGGATTGATGTTATAGCAAATGCCTCTGGGAAACTATAAATAGAACGAGCAGAACGGGAGTTGGAGCGAATTGCTACTGAAGCAAGGGAAGGAGGAAAAGAAGGAAGAGACGACCGAGAGGAAGAAGCAGAGAGAGGGAGAGGAGAGGGAGAAGGAGAGGGAGAAGGAGAGGGAGAAGGAGAGGCTGTTGGTGTTGCGCTGAAGATGAGGAAGAGAGTGGAAAATAGTGCAGTTTGATGTTGAAATTGAGTTTCCCAAAACAAAGAGCCAAACTGGCAGAGAAGTTAAAACGACGCACGCTCTGGAGAACCAAAAACAGCCCCAAAGCAGCAGCAGTAGCACTGGAAAAATCAGCAGCAGCAGCAGCAGCACACGCAGCAGAAGCAGCACACGCAGCAGAAGCAGCAGTCGTCGTCGGAAGCAGATGCTCCAGCACGCGCCACGCTGTCCGGGTGGCGGTGCAGACGGCGTCAGAGTCGCTGTTTTTGCTGCGTGTGCTGCGTGTGCGTGTACTTCTCTTTCCTGACGTCGCCCTGACGCAGGTGCTGCGGCAATGCGCGTGTCGCCGGTGCTTCCTGTGCTGCGTCTGCTTCCCAGCCTGTGCCAGACCTTCCCGACGCCGCTGTGTCAGCGCTGTGTCAGCACTAGCCAATCACACTCCGCCCTCACTTTCAGGATTTCGATTGTGCAATTAACTTCGTTCGTTTCAATCCTTTTCGATTGCTTTCTGTCGTTTTTATTTGTTTTCATCTGCTTATATCGTTGTTATCTGTTTCACCCAATCCCATCAGTTTCATTTGCTATTTACTCAGCATCGACAACTGGGTGCCTTCCCCAGTTCCTGTCTCTAACAGGCTAATTCAGCCCAACTTATAAAACCCAGCTTGATTCCAGCTTGATTCACCATGATTCTAACTTGATTCCGGCCTGCGCAAACTTGCTACTGTCAGAACTGTAAATGGCTGAATCCCCTAACTTCCACCAATTCCCACCCTGAACATGTCCATGTCACTCTTGAGACAGCACCTACACTCTATCCCGCTCTATCTCACTCTTCTTTTCCGTCGGTGCATGCGCACGTGCTTCCTCTGCTTCCTCTGCTGCTCGCTCCAGCCCCGTGGACGAGCCACAAAACGCACTAGCCCTCGCAAGCACGTTTTTGCTACCGCGCCCACATGGCTGGCGCCGCAGACCACTTCCAGAGCCAGACATAATTGCTGCCTTTGGTATAAAATATGGTCATTGGTATCGCTCCTTCATGGCCCAATGCCTGATGTCTGAAATCGCTTTATATTCTCTAGATATTCTTCTCTTGTCCATTTGCATTTGCTAATTGCTTCACAATCGTTGCTTTTCTACTACTTGTTCATCCACTTGAAAATGATCTTAAACAAGTTTCTATACTGCCTATCTTTCATCTTGCCCATCAATATTTCTTCCGATAATACGTCCGTCTCAACTTTATCTCCTCCTCTTCTTTCTCGCTCATCTCCTTCTCTAGCCAACATCAAACAGGACGATAAAGACGATGATAGCCCCTTGGAATTCCGTTTATACACCCACAATATAAGATACGACAATAAAAATCTTTGGGAGGGCGAACGCCCATGGTCTGAAAGAAAATACCTTATCGCCTCCTCCATCAAATTTAACGCAAAAAAGAACACTTTGGTTTGCTTGCAAGAAGTCCTATATAATCAATTGGTCGACTTGAAACAACTACTAGGCGATGAATGGAACTATTTTGGTGTTGGTAGAAAAGATGGCAAGTTCTCCGGCGAATTCAACCCCATTTTTTATCAGAAGAAAGACTGGAAAATCCTAAACTCAAAGACTTTTTGGCTAAGTCAAACTCCAGAAATTCCAAGCAAAGGCTGGGATGCTGCTCTCGAAAGAATCGTTGAATGGCTACATCTCCAAAACATCCCCTCAAACAAAAAAATAAACATATTCAATACTCATCTAGATCACCAGGGTGTCATTGCAAGAAGAGAAAGTGTAAAACTAATCCTCCAAAGATGCAAAAACTTAAACAACAACCCAAGTTTCTTCACCGGCGATTTCAACACTGAGCCAGCAGACGAACCCTACCAAATCGCCAGCAAACAACTCCTAGACACTAACAAAGCAGTCAATGACAAATTGAATAGATATGCTCATGCTGATGAAAGCACTTACACTGGATTTGACGGCGGAATCGTTGAAAGAGCTAAAGTCATTGACTATATCTGGGCCACAAAAGATTCAAAAAATATCTTCATTAAGTCCTTTGCCGTTTTGCATTCAAAATTCAACTTCTATATGAGTGATCACAGACCGGTATCATCTGACATCATTCTCTATGACGATGTTGTGCTTTATGACAATAATAATAAAAACAAAAAGTCCAATTTCAATTTCAACTTCAACTTCAAAAATCAACACCAATAACTGCACCCAAGACACTAAAAATATTTTTAAAACAAAAAATCAAAAAAATCAAAAAAATCAAAAAACAATTTCTTTTATCCCTCCTTTAACTAGTCCATTCTTTTGTCTTGTCCCTTTTTAGATTTTTTACTACCCTTCTTGTTATTTCTCAAGCTTTTATTCTTATTTACGAACCTTTTTTTTTTTTTTCTCTCTTATTATTTAATGATACATTTATTTTCTCTTGTATTTTCAAACAAAAACCCAAAATAATCATTATACCCTTTTGCCCACAACAACCCAAGAATATGTTTATGATTAAACTTCAATATTTGACAAAAATTGGTGAAATCTATAGAAATTGTTTGAAAAATCAGAAACAATTCCTGAAATCGAGATGTCCATCCCACATCCAATTTGTGGAGACAACAAACCCCCTCTCTTGTTAGCACAGGGCCCACACGCCCAAATGGGGGTCCACCTCGACCGGTATGCTTTCCCTCGGATTGCTTTTTTCCAAAAATTAAAGGCTCTCTCAGTCTCACACGTACATGCTCGCTGTAGCTTCCAGGCCGCAGCTAAGCTTGTTCCAGAGTCGAAGCTTATTATTTTTAGTCCGGTCTCGCTTTCCTTACTCATGCAATAGCTGCAATGTTGTGCATGATCCTGTATTGATAATTGTATAATTTTCCAGCTGAACTCTTCTGTCTTATTTATTAATTAATCTTCTACAAATGGCTTATCGCTAAACTGATATTCTGCTTAACATCAATACGATTCAACTGAATTGGCTGTTCTAACTTGCCCGGCTTCAGAACATAGCAGCTCATTTCTGCCTCCTGGATAAAACTTTTGTATTTACAAAAAACATAGACACAGCATAAACAAAGATCAATTTATCTTTCTCTTTTTTTTTTCAAGAAATCGCTTTTTTCAGACTAACCAAAGCCTTAATATTCTTTGCGTCTTTCAAAGAGAAATCAGCGCTATGTTATGCATGGTGTACATATGTACCGCGTCGGCCTGAGCTTTCTAGCGTTTTTTCTTTTTGTCTTATATTTTTTTGTCCTGTTTTTGTCCTCTCTTTCTACGAGTACTATAATAAAATACTGTAATAAAATACTGTAATATTATTAGTTTCACAAAAAAATCATTTGATTTTATCTCAAACTCGATTATCTTTTATTAAAATTCAGAATCTTACATTTTCAGAACCCTATGGGAAAGTAATGATCTTCCTATTCCTTATTGGCCTCACCACTATTATCATATAATTATATTGTTATTGCCAATCAGTTATTCACTATGATTCCATTATCATATTTCCTAAATTAATGAAAAAAATAACAAACATTAATATTAATTCCTTTTCTATTTACTATTATATAATCTTTTTATTAACTACTGGCCTTGGGTTCTTTTAACTCATCAGGCACATTCTCTTGTAACCACGTTATGCTCTTTTTCAATCCAACGCCATCTCTATAATAAATTCTTCTTTTCTCCAATTTGGATACAATCTCTTGAACTGTCAAGCCCTTCTTAATACCAACTTCTGCTGCACTATATATTGATTTCATTCTTCCGTATTTTTTGGATACTGGATGATGTGCTCCTCCTCTCCATCTTGGTCCATGATTCATCTCCAATTGTTTTATCGAGGGTCCTCCATTGATTCCATATAAATACTCTCTTATAATGTCTTCAACTGAATCTGATAGCTTAAGTAACTTGTATAAAGGTCCGGAGTCTGCGCCAGCGCAACTCAATCTCTTTCTTGATGTTACAGTTATAGGTTTATTCAGTGAATTAGAAATTGTATTTGCGTTATCAGTAGTATTTACATTATCAGTAGCATTAGCAGTAGTAGCAGTAGCATTAATAGCATTAGTATTGGTATTATTCTTAATGTCATTGCTGTCAATAGTTTTACCATTATCATTAGATTGAGTGGAAATAGAATTATCCAAAGTATTTATTGACTCTGAGAAATTGATAGCATTATCTGATTTTTCAATCTCTTTCTCACAATTTTCATTTTTCAAAATTATATCATTACTATCATTTTTATTGTCATTATCGCTATCGTTATCACTATTATTACTATCAATATCGTTATTATCAGTATCGTTATTATCAGTATTATTATCAGTATTGTTATCAGTATTATCAGTATTATTATCATTGGCCCTATTAAAATAATTACCAGCTTGTATTGGTATTGATAGGGTTTCATTGAAATTTATATCACTTGCCTGACTAATTGAATTGATTCTGATTGAATTTCTATATTTAAACCCTTCATAATTATTCTCGGTAATAGTTGTAGCTGGTGTAGAAGCAAAACTACCAATCATTTCATCTGAATATACAGAATTCGCTCTACTCAACATACTCATATTACTATTAAAATTTGTAGGTGAAACATTATTATTTGGAAATGTATTGATATTGTTAATAGTAGACGCATTTATTATGCCAGTATTCGATGCCATATTAATATTAATATTATTAGTATTAGCAGCATATATATTATTTGCAGTAGCGATGGAGGTATTGTCATGATTACAATCACCAATCTGACAATTTGTCAAGCTAGATTCAAACGAATTCATTTCAGAACAAAAAGCCTTCATATTATTAAAAATATTCGAGTTTGACTCATTTTTGTTCTTGAAATACTCCATAAGAAAATTGTTTTGAAAATTTAATGATCTTAAAATCATCTGGTTCATTTTTTCATTTTGGTTTATCTTTTCAACTAGATCGTTTATTCTTAAATTAATATTATTAATCGATTCTTTGACATTAAAAAACTCATTAAATATATTCATATTAGTATATTGATCATGATTACTAGTTTCTAGAATGGGGTTAATGTTAATATTATTAGTATTGGTATTAGCAACAGCACTAATGCCTTCATGGGTATTATTGATGGCATTAATATTGTTAATATTATTGATATTACCAATATTAGTATTGGGAGAAGTATTTTCAAGATTTAAGTTATTAACAGGATTGGTTGGGAGGTTAAGAGGCTCGTTGAACTCATTTAATGTGCAATTATTACTGCTATTTATTGAGGGAAAAGTAGTGAAAGTTGTATTAGGGATGGAATTTATATTATACAAGGGATGAATTGGAGAGGAAACAAAATTACTTGATAAATTGTTAGTTAAATTGTTGGATATATTATTGGATATACAATTTAGATTGTTATTAATATTTTCAGATATTTGATAGTCTAATTGCTGGTCTTGGAAGGACTTGATTTGAAACCCACCAAATGAAAAAGTTTGATCATTAAGATTTATCCTTGACATCATTTCCATTTGTATTGTTAGTATTACTATTGCTGCTATCGATAACTTTTTGCAAAGTAAATTTTGTAAATGAATATTAAATTAAATATAGGGATAAATATTGAAATATAAAACCGGAAATAAAAATTAGAGAGAAAATATTGGAACTGAATTTTTTTAAAATATATTATAAAATGAAATGAGAAAAAAAAACGATAGAAGAAAATCAATAGAATATATATATAGTGAATTCGAGGGTTTTATATTGAAGAAAAAATCTAAATCCTTATTGTAAACATTATCAACATAATAAATTGCAGAAATATTTGAATAAATTTTTATTACTGAATTGTTTGATTGTCATTTAATTATATTTTTTGGTGATTTTAAAATGCAATTTGGTTTGACATTCATAAATACATACATAACATTTGTTTTTTTATTTTTGAATAATTAATAAGATAAATCAAAAAATTAACAGAAAATACAAAAACAAACTAAAACACTAAAACACTAAAACACTAAAACACTAAAATACTAAAATACTAAAACACTAAACACTAAAATCAATATATTCGTTAGAAGTTTCTTTTGGAAAGGTTTTTGAAAACTTTCAAGACACAACTCTGATCAACATAACTTTGAAGTTAATAGACATGCAGATAAACTTGAATATAGTATTCAAAAGATTTTTTTAACCGAGAAAAATTGACTTTTTTTGAGTAATGTTGGCAAATTTTTGTGATTAAAAGTTGGTAACTGGCCAATAGCAGCAGTAGACCAAGAGTCTGACCAGACTTAGAAGAATTCTATTGAATTAACAGGCGTAGGCTAGTGGATGAGAAACACATCAAATGAGCCACTGTGAGATAGAAAGATAACTAACATCTCTGGATCGTTGATATGAGTCGCAACGAAGTTGGTGACAAATTGAGAATTCCACCCTTTAAGCAAGTTGTTTCAGGAAGGACAATCTTATTCAGCAGAAACAGAATTTTGATGCAGGCCCCATCATGGAAAGCAGAATCAGGAAAACCATCTTTAGCCCAACTGACGATCACTTGAAACTGCTACTGGGCCACTATTTACAACGATAACCATCGTAGCTGTGCACTGTCACCATTGTATTGCCAGCACCTTGTTGCTTGCAGTTGTTCATGGTGTTGTTCGTGGTGTTGTTCAGAGCTGGTCACTGAATCACAATTAACTACCTCAGGAGTTTTGGCAGAAAATGCTTTTCTTAAGGCTCAACAGGCCAACAGCCAATGCTTGCTGCAGCATTAGTAAAGAGTGCCTGATACCACTGAGATCTTCGTGTTCTGACCAAGCTCGAGCCAGGCTATTTTTAATGCACTGTTAGCGTATGTTTAGATTCTCGTTACAATAATACAGAACGTAGATACAGCTTTTGATTGAGCAGATTTTTGCCAAAAACTTTCCAAAACTATAACGTTGACAGTATAACGTAGCAGCGCAAAGACTGGGGAGCAGCTTGGAGCAGCTGGGAGTGTAGTTTCCAGTGCTGGTGTTGGTCGTCCATCTCAATCTAATAGCTGCCCTTGGTGGTTGTCTTGTTGTTGTCTTGTAGTCGTCTTGTGGTTGGTATATCATTAAATTGTGATGGTAATTGTGACGCACCCAGCGATATTGAGGAAAATTCTGGCCTTCAAGCAGAGTTTGATAATTTGATGGATCAATGGTTGATTTCATATGGTTCAGCACAAACTGTGAAACGAAGAAACTGAATTTTATTTTCAAGATACAATTGCTGCTAATTGGTTTTGTTCTGCGTTCTGTTTTGTCGCTTTTAGTTCTGTTGCATTGTGTTTTGTGTGGATGTTGTTTTTTGTTGTTTTTTGTTGTTTTATTTCATATAATTTGACCTTTGTAATATAAGCTGTGTATTTTTTGGTCCAATTCTAATAAGGCGAATAAACAGAGCTATCGTTTTGGTGTTTCTTTTTTGTTTTGCTGTAGATTTTGTCAAACCTGAATACAATTAAAATCTGTTTGTTTCCTTTTTAGATGGGAAAATAAAAGGAAATTAGACTGTTTGAGCTGTTTTAATATTTTTATTATTAAATAGCGTTCAATTACAATTCAAATCCATTAATAATTGTTGATGTCAACTATGTTAAGAATAATTTTAAATCAATAGAATTAAATTTGAAATTTGTAATCCATAATTCAACGTTAATTGACTTACGGCCCTTGAGTATTGTTCTAATTATTATTATTATTATTATTATTATTATTATTATTGTTGTTCTAATTATTGTTGTTCTAGTTATTATTATTGTTTTAATTATTATGATTTGTATTGCCCATTCTATCCATATTACTAATACTATTCACATTACCAATACTATTGATGTTGCCCATACTGTTCATACCAACTATTAATCTTACTGCCTGTAAACCAATTATTCCTTTGAATCTTTTGAATCGTAAATGATAAATTATAAATTCCGAATTGTGAATGGAAATTTGAAAATTTGCAAAATGGCAAAATGATAAAATGACAAAATTTAAATTGCCAATCACGACTCACGAAATACTTATTCGTCAAATATAATTTAGTATTTACAATTAACTATCTTTAATTTTTATGATGAACCATAATAAAAATTATTAATTCTCAAGTAATTAAATAATCTCGCTGTCTTTGACCACAATTCCATGAAAGCCTGCTCAAAACTTTGCCAAATTTTGCAAAAAATCAAACAAAATTCACCAAAGTTTTTGGACTAACAAAAGAACCTGAAATCACGATATTCAAATGAGATATTTATTTTTTTAAAGCAGTATTCTTTATCTTCAAAAACAGTTATTTATTCAGAGTCATGGCGATATTCAATCCACTTCACATTCTGGATTCCGTTTTGGTTTTCATTTAAACAAAAAGCCAAACCAAAACTTAATACATCGTCATTTGTTAACTGTTACATTGCTGTAAGTTGGAGAATTACTTTCCAACAACACTATTTGGTTCTGCAACCATTTGGAGCTGTTTGGAGCTGTTTAAGACATCTAAACTGCTTCCTCCAACCACCTCTAGCCCCAGCTTTGAAAGCAAATCGATCCCATGCTCTTGCTGAAAGATCCAGACTTTTTGTCCTTGCACTGCCCAGCCAATCACAACGGACCTGCTCTTCCAGCAGCCATTTCGACCACTGACTCTGAACGCTGACGCCCATTTTTGAATCTCACACACGTGCCGTTAGACATATTACAGCCACGTGTAACAACAGGCTCTCCGCATAACGCCCTGTTTTGCGGGTTAAGTGTGTTTTCCACGGTTTTGGTGCTTGTGCTGCTGCTGCTTCAGCCTTGAGATTCTTATATCTCACCTTGGTTCTCTTGGAGGCTTGTTTCATCTGCTTTCCAAGAATTGGCACTCGACTTGTCATTTCAGATAATAATAGAAAGTGCACAAATACTGGTTGCATGTTGAGCTGTGAGGTTACGTGTGTACAGACACAACACGGCATTATCTGCAGGCTTTGAGCTGCAAAACGCGCTGCGTTTTCTCATGCATCTACTGCTAAATTTGCAACCGGTGTCATTTTGTATGGTGCTTGTGAGACATAATCATTGTCGTGCCAATAGCAAGAATGGTTCAGATCTCTGATTTTGGTAGATCTTTGTAACATTTTGTGTTTATAATGCTTTTTACCAATATACCCTTGCAAGTTTTATAATTTCCTGCTATTCAAATTAGAGAATTCAAAATTTGAAAAGCTACCTGTTTTACTTATTTTATAACTTGAGTGAAAATTATTCTTAAATTTTGATGAGATTGACTAAATTTCTCAAAACATAGATAAAAGGATAATAAAATTTCACCTATTTAATTTCCTTATGGATTATTATTGTAATTTAGTTCAATCTGATCTAATTAAGAAATACACTTATTCTTTTTGTTCAGACTGTAAACGAATAACAAAAACCTTAGCACACAAATAAAGCAACATCCAAAAAAAGATTTATCAGCTTCAATCTGCAATTAGTTGATTATTTGAATTATTAGTAGTACTTGTTTAATTCTCTGGTTTTATACTACCATTTAGTTGACTGCTTAACTAGTTATCACATATTCGTATTACCGTTAATACGTTTGCAACACTTTGATAGTTTGTTTTGTTTTCAAATTTATTTCATTTGACCAAGTAAAACTAGCAATTTCAAATAATTTTCAAATAAATCAACGCTTGGTTTTCCCATACTTGTTTTTTATGTTCTTTTGGCTCTACCAATCATTCTGTGAGGTTGTAGTGGAAATCGTATACTAAATTCAACTCAACTCGTAAGTCAATAACCAGAATATCGCCTCATTTTTTGCGAATCTTTATATTAAAAAGAAACATCTAACATTTCTCATTTGCTGACTTTATTAAATGTTTTTCAATGATTAACGTCGAAAATCAAATGAAAATCAAATCAGAAAAACTGAATGGAAAGAAAAATAAAAAAAAATAAATAAAAATAAAAAGAAAATAAATCAAAAGACCATACCATTATTCTCGTGTTTTAACTTTGTTTACTGAATCGGTATTCAATATCAAAAACAAAGAACTACAATAAAAACCAACAAAAAGACAATTAATAATGTTGCAATTATGAAAACCGGTTATTCTTGAAGAAGAATCAAATTGCTCAATGTTTTTAATCCTTTTCATGAAAATTTTACCCGTATTTCGTAGCTAGTACTGAAATTCCTCGACCCAATTCCTAAAAGATGTAAAAATATCATTTTCATTGGAATGAAGCAATTTAAAATCCCAAATTTGAGAATAAAATAATAAAATCAAATTCTGAAAAGAAAAATACATAATTCCAGATAAATTTTGTCAAATTTTGGTAAAAAAGCAAAATAGAAACGGTTTGTCTTAAAGAATTGGAAATTATTGTTTTTTTCGGAGTTAGCGAAAATTATTACTTGATTACCTAACTTTTCTCCAAGTAAAATGTTTTATTTCTTAGCTATCAGCGAGCTACTAATATCATATCAGCTAAACTGATAAACCCACTTTTAGCTACGCCCAATTGATAGCTATCTTACAATTCTCACCCTTTCTTGATTGGAACAAACACCCCAAAAAAACCCTTTAACTTCACTGTAATTTCATTACAGCTGGTGTAAAACTAATTGATGGATATTGAAGATATTAAAACAATTATATCATCTTGATGGTCAAATTAATCCATAAAGAGTTCTTTTATTATAAATTTCCATCAACTTAACTTCTAACTTTATGTTACATATGTTAAGCAAAACGCGCGGTTTAAGGTTGAAGAGATTGCATTATGCATACTCAGTGATTTTATGCATATGCACAAGATTGAAGGAAACTGTACAGAATTAACATTTCTTATTTCGAAATTTCTTTAATGAAAATATTTTTCGATATAACATAAAACATAAAACATAAAACATAAAACATAAAACATTGAAAAACAGTTATAAATCAATTCAAAAATACGCAATTAAATCAATTAATATTCGAGTATTCCATGCCTGCTATTTAGTTGTTAAACAAGCTCCTTTGTCAAGAATATCACTAATCAATAATTTTTGACGATTAATAATTTTTAACGATTTAAAACCAAATGTTATATATACCAGTTTATATCCAATTGTTAATAACGCAAACAATGATCTGTGGTTAATAAGCCCAATTCATTAAATAGATGTATGGCTATTATGTTTGAAAAGTAAACGCTTTTAATAATTTATCAAATTAATAATATCTTTAAATATTAATAAAATGATCAATAATTATGATAAGAGAATAATGTAACAATAAAACAGTATAAATATCAACGAAACTGACTATTGCTGGTAATTTTGGTATTGATGAAGATTTAAAGTTGTCTGATATTTGCAAGAAATGAAGTTTTTTCATTGTAACAAAGTGGTTTAAGTGATAAAAAAAAGTAATGGAAAAGAAAGTTATTGCTTTAAATTGAGACTAAAAAAATTATAAAATTATACTACCATATCATTATATTTGTATATTAGTTGATGATTTGATTGCTTCATCAATTTCAACCTGAAACCAAACCAAAGGAGACAAGGTTAAACTATAAAACTCCAAAAAAAGAACAAATTAATAAAATAGAAAAAAATGGGAACAAATGGGATAATAAAATTTAAAGATCGTACCAGCGATATGATGAGATGATGAGATGATGAGATGATGAGACCATTATTTGATGATTAGATTATAATTTAAAATAATAGGATGATTCTAATGAAATGATTATACTAATAAGTAGCAAAGTTGTTTTATTGTTTATCCCTAGATATTAATAGGTTTTAACAAAATTTAACAAAATTTAACAAAATTTAAACAATTTAATGTTCAGTGGAAGAGCAGGTTATTGAAAAGCGTAAGCATTTCTTTGATACTGCTCTTAAAAACAAGAATTATTCAGATTATTCAGATTGTTTAGATTATTCAGATTGTTCAGATTGTCTTTAATCAGGTTTTGAACCGATAATGAAACAAAACTGAAAAGATACGAAAGAGTTAAAGGATCAAAATAAATAACGAAAAGCGAAAAAGTATTAGTTTAGACCTGGATATATTATCAACCAGTTGGCAGTCAATTTATAATTGATAGATGGTATTAGGATATTCTATCTTTAATATTTAATACCTTTACTTGGTCAATTGAGTTAAAAAGTTGTGATTTTATGATCCTACAGATAAAAAAAAACAAGATAATTATAATTATTCAGTCAGTCAACAAAATAACTATAGTTGAGTGAAAAAAAAATAGAATTAAATTTATATAATATAATACAATCAACTATTGTTATATATATTTTTTTGGTCTTATTATTTATTTTTCTTTTTTTAATTATATTTTAGCTTTTTTTTTTATTTTGTTTTTCAATCGTTTTAATCAAGAATTTTTGTTTAAAATTTGAACAGAGATAAAGCATAATTCTGTTAGAGAGGATTACCCTACTCCCGAATAAGTCCACAAACAAATCAAAATAAACATAAAAGAGAGAGATAATAGAGTCCATAGATTATTGAAAGTAGAATGATAAGAGGAATTGATGAAGTGATAAAGTAATAAAGGAAGGAAAGAATGAAATAGTAAAAGGATTGAAAGAGGTTAGAGGAAAAGAAAAGATTGAATGAATAAGATTTATAGAAAAGTGAATTAATATGAGAATTAACCGCCATGAGTTGTGAGCTTTGCTTCAATTGAATCACCATCTTGTATTTCGAGTTGCAATGGGGTATTTGATTCGTGAATTCTTTCTCCGTCAAAAAAATAAACATAGGATTTTGAATCCACATCCATTTTCTTAGCAAAAGTTTGAATGATTTTTTTCAATTTAATTGTGGGAGAGACTTTGAAAAATAGTTTGCTTGTTTTGGAAATTGTGTTGTTTTTATCATATGTATCATACTTGATTGCTATTGTTATTTTATCACTAAGAGAAGTATTTGCAGAAGTATTTGCAGAAGTATTTGCAGAAGTATTTTCAGAATTTTTAATGGGCTTTTTTGCAGGTTTAAAGAGTTTTGCCATTTTCGTGGATTTCAAAGTCAATTAAATTAAACTAAAGTAAAATTTGATTAAAATAAAATAAAACAAATTAAGTTAAATTAAATTAAATCAAATTAAATAGAATCAATGACGTGCAATCTTAAAAATAGCGGTGCGTGTGAAATGATGTGAAAATGCACGAAATAAAGTAAGAGCAGACAACTGACAATTGAACCCCAAAGTGTTTACCTCAACTACTAGCTAGTTAATCTGTATAATTCAATTAATTCAAGCAGCAACCCAACAGCATAAGCAGTGCAAACAGCAGGCATTGGGGACTCTGGGGGAGACGAGCAAGAATTTTACAGAAAAAGAAAACGCGGTGGGTCACGTGGTCCAGGAAGAATAAGGCATTTTTAATTTTTCGGTTGTGAGAAGGAAAAATGTTGGAAGAGAACGAGCTATTTCGAATTGGCAGAGAGCAGTTGGGAGGTTTGCAGCTGGGAAGATAGCATGGAGTGGTGGAGCCTGAGAGTGTAACAGGTAGTACCTATATTCTGAAGACAGGAAAAACCATTAAGACAGTGGATGGAATTGATTGTTCCACAGAAAAAAAGTAGCCGAAAAATGTTAGGGCATGTTTAAGTATGATTGTTGATCAATAGGCAAGGTTTTTTATTTTGAGAAAAAGAAATTATAACTTGTAGTTTTTAATTTTTAATTTTCAATGTTTAATATTTAGTTTTTATATTTTGTTTTAAAGTTTGTCAGAATTTGAAATCTTTTTTTGTATAAAGTATTTCTTTTGAGATAACATTAAGTCATTTAACAATTCAGGATCAATTTTTTTGGAATGCATGAAATTACAAAGACCACCCCTTGAGCAATTATTTAGCTCATGTTGCCTACAACAGCTATCTTTGAAATACTTGACAGGACTTAATTCGCAGTAAATTGGCTTATAATTATACCATCTCGAGTTAAAATTATTTTTGATTTTGAGAGCCATTGAGTCATTTAAAAATTTTATGAAAATGTTACCGTTCAAGTGATCATTTGAATTTTCGCAGACTACTAAATCAATAATTTGACAGTCAAGTAAGACACATTCGATAAATATATCCTGAATGAAATTATTAAAATGGAGTGCCATTTCTTTGTCGGACAATGTGTTGGTGGGATTTAGACCAGGGTTTGAGTATAGATTCAAACAAACTATGGTGGAAGAGTGAGATGGTTTTAAATGCTTTCTTGAGCATCTATCGCCATGTCTACAGGCTCCAATCTTGTTATAAAAAGAGCTGTGAGGATAAAAGTCGGTTAGTAGCAAGTCACAAGCAGATCTAGGAAGATAAAGGGAGAGTGTGCCATACCAGTTCAATTTGTCAGAGAAAGAAGAAGACATGATGAAAGAGACAAGAGTATAGTGAAGGAGCTATGAGGATGCTGGAGATAAGCAAATTTTGCTTTCCAGCAGCGGCCGTCGGGGCGAAGGAGGGCGGTCGGCCTCAGCCTTCGGGCGCAGCCGAAACAAAACGGTGAGAGAGAACAATAACCATCGCTGATTCACTTATAAGCGATAGGTGCCCACTGTTGATAGCAGCAGAGTAACCATCAGAGCAGCAGCAACAGCAGCATATCTTCTCACAGATTCATCCTTGTTGCATTTCATACGCCACATCTTCTACTGACAACATGTCTAGCACAAAAATAGAGTGGTCTAGCAAGTTTAAAAACATCAAGAGACCCAGCATAAATTTCAAGAACCCCATCAGCAGTAAAGAGAAAGATGGGAACACAGAAAACAAAACAGTGGTTCACAAATCATTGATCAACTATTACATCAAAAACCAGAACTCTCAGTTCCCCCAATGGTTGGTAGAAAACGACGAGAAACATAACATTAACAGCTTTTCCCCCACCTCCAGCATCACCACGGTTTCTTCCAATGATACTTTCAGCAACAGACCTCCTACCAGCAACTACAACAGGAACTCCAAGAACAGATTCAGCTACGAGAGAACTCTGACGCCAGCATCGGCTTCGTTGCAGTCGCTCTACACCAAAAACAGCTCCTCCACGATCTCCTCCAACAACTCCCCCAGCCAGGGCCAGGGCCAGGGCCAATACCAGTTCACCCAGCAAAGCACACACGCTTTCAGTCAACAGAACCCAGATAACAGCAATAATAGGTACTCTACCAGCTCACTCCAGTTCAAAGAGAAGTTCATGGGCCAAAGAAACAGACAGAGCTTCCAGCTCGACTCGTACAGCTACAACTCGCGAAGCACAGAGAAGCAGCTGTCGTCCAAGATCAAAGCCAGTTGGTCGCTGTTGAAGAAGTAGTGCATGTTACATAGCTCCAGTATAATATAATCTTTTAGTCTAATTTTCTAATTTTCCAATTTTCCAATTTTGTAATCTTCTAATCTTCTAATCTATCTTTCCTCATTTTTCCTTATTTTCCTCTGGGCTGGATTTTCCGTCGCGCTCAAAACGGCAACTCTGCCTTCCGGTCTGACGCAGAGACACACCAGTGTGCATACACCCGCGTGTTCTGGGCCCGGCCACAAAAGCGCTCTGTGTTGCAAAACGGAAGCAGTGAAGAGCAACATAAAACACCATCTCAAACACATAAAACAGCCCTGTTTTTCCATTCCTTTTTTCTTCTTCTTCCTTTGCTTAGATATCGCTCAGGCATTTCAGGATACTCAAGACACCTAGCATGTCCTCTCTTATCACCAAGTTATTTTTTATCAAATCCAGCTCACAAGACCCCAACCACCAGAACTACATCTCCATGATATCTCAACATAACCGCAGCGACAGGGTTCTCTGTACTGAAGATCGCCACAATGAAACCGGTGACAACCAAAATCAAGAAATCCACGCCAGTGACAACAAAAACGATAATGGCATCTTTTATAAGCCAAAATTTGACAGCACTTTCACCTTTGAATCCGATTTAGATCTAGACTCAGATGGTGACACTATTTATGGCGATTCAGATGAAGCATCCAACAAAGAAATTCAAATCAACGACATTTCCTTCAAAAATCTGAATTCAAAGACATTATCGATTTCAATTCAACTAAACGACGATATTGAAAACCAACTATTCGAATTGACAAATAACAACAATTTTTTTAAATTCCAAAATCATAACCAAAACCAAAACCAAAATAAAAATAAAAATAAAAATTCATATTTAATTTCAAATTTGAAATCAATCCTAAATTCAAATCAACCATCTTTACAGAGAAATCACTCTTTTTTAACCTCAGATTTCTTTCAAAATTTTGCTCTATTCATATCAATCATGATATTCTTTATAACAACATATTACTATTGCAATCCTCCTCGTATTAACATTTCTCTATCCTGTCTTATCGAGGCCTTTAAAAAAAACAATTATGATGAGCAAATGTTTATTATTCAAAAGCTATCAGAGGTTGCTGAGTCTTCGAGAAATGCTTGATCTAGTTTCATCTAATGTCATCTAATTTCATTCAGTTTCATTCAGTTTCATTCATTTTCATCCAATTTATTTAAATTTATATTAATCTTATATTAATCTTATCTTATCTTATTTTATTTCTTTATTTCTACTTCAGATACTATGATGCTCATGTTTATGTTTATGTTCCCTAGTTTGTTTACTCTACTGATAAATTTTTACATCTTTCTCTCCACCTTTTCATTTGTCTATTTTTTGTCTCCTATCTTATTTTTATCCTTCATCTTTCACTTTCACTTTCACTTTCACTTTCACTTTCACTTTCACTTTCACTTTCACTTTCACTTTCACTTTCACTTTCACTTTCACTTTCACTTTCACTTTCATTTTTTATATTATATACTTTATACAACAAAATACACGAAAACAAAACACAATCTTATTTATCACTAAAATAGCTTTGAATAGGGCTCGTTCAAATTAAAGCCCTGATAAATTTTCCATTTTATTTTCCATTTTATTTTTCAGCATAATTTTCCAATTTATTTTTCAACTAGTTTTCTAATATAATTCTTATTGTAGTAACTTCAATTGATCAAAATTTAACTGATAACATATTCGTCATGAATGGTGTATTCGCTGTCTTTAAACCCTCGGGCTATTCCTCTTCTGAATTGGTAGTAAAATTGAAAAAAATATTTCAAAAATCACTTTTGTTTGAAGATGACATGAAACAAATACTAAGAACTAAAAAAAAAAAGAGAAATCAAAGAATTAAAATTGGCCATGGTGGTACCTTGGACCCTGAAGCCTCTGGCATCTTAATCATTGGAATAGGCACTGGAACCAAAAAACTAAATCTGTTCTTACTAAAATGCACAAAGGTCTACGAAGCTGAAGCATTATTAGGTGCCACAACCAACTCTGGTGATCAAACAGGCGATTTAGTTATTAAAAATTCAACTGATCATATCAATAAAGATTTTGTCCATGAAACTGTTTCAAAATTCGTTGGTAACGTTATTCAAACTCCATCAATATACTCTGCTTTGAAAATGAATGGCAAGCCCTTGTATGAGTACGCAAGACAAAACATACCCTTGCCCTCAAAGATTCCTGAAAGAAATGTTAAAATCGATTACATAAATTTGGTTGAATCGGATTTATTATCGAGAGACCATGATTACAAATTCATCAAATACGACAAATCATACTCCAATCCCTTGACAAATGATCCTGAAAATCAGAAAAATTTAAATGAGTTATTAGCCAATGAACTTGAACAAGAAAAAAAAAACTTAACCAACTCTTCAAATGTCAATGTTGATAAATTGCATTTCTCTGACAAATATAAAGAAATTTGCAAACAAAAAAATATAATTGATGATTCCACTACTTACAAATCAATCCCAATAACAGATGAAAACGTTTACAAAGAAACTCTATTAGACAATTATAGAGCCCCATTGTTACATTTTACAACAAAGGTCTCATCTGGAACTTATATAAGAAGTTTGATCACTGACATAGGAAAAGGTCTAAAATCATCTGCATACATGGTCAAATTAACAAGAACTCAACAATCGGATTTTACCCAAGATTCTTGTTTCCATTTGGACCAATTTGAAAATTTGGACGAGAAAATATGGGGACCGATATTGAAGAAAACGATAACCAGCGATTATGGTGCAGTAAATGTTCAAAAAGAATTCAAGAAAGCACTTTCCAGGGCACAAGAGACCCAAGCTGCTCCAGAACAGGCTCCAGAACAGGCTTCAAAGGACGCTCCAAAGGTTGCTCCAGAGACTGCTGCATCCTCTGCCGAAGAAAAAGCTACTGATGGCTTGTCTCTTCCCCAGAAAAGACGCATGGAAGAAGCAGAGGAAGGAAAAGAAGCCAAAAAACAGGACAAATGAGCTCCAAAGCGGAAAGACGCAAGGCTCCCTCTCGGCGGATTTCTAGAAGCTTCACAGAAAGCGCTGGAAGAAGCCTCTCGATATATACTCACAATACACTCTGTAGAGCATTCTTTCCAGTGTATAATAGAATATAAATATTTGTATACTTTTATGATATCCTGAGGGTGTTCACTCGAAGTTGTTTTATCGATTTCACCAGAAAGGATCCTTGTTTTTTTACTCTTGTTCTTCGCCTTGCGCTTATTTTTTTTATTTCTGCTTTGTAATTCGTATGATGGATCGCTTTTTCAACTCAAATTCCTCTCCTTTTACAAGCAGTAACACCAACTCGAACAAAGATAACAATCGTTACAATCCTTTTAAGCCCAGAGCGAGAAAGGCTTCTGAAGAGTTTTCTCTGGATGTTAAAAATGAATCGAGTTCTCATCGTAAGAAAAGGTTGATCCAGTCTTTTAACAACTTACACATCAACGCACCAAAACATTCTCTACAAAACAATAAATTGAGTTATTCAAGCTACAATAATAACTCGTTGTACAATTATCAAAACCACAATGATTCCCAGGAACAAGACATCGAATTAGAAAATGACTTTCAAATAAAACCTCATAATTCTAATTCTAATTCTAATTCAAATGATGTGATATTCATCGCTTCTATCGACCAATTTTTAAAAGAAAATCCTGATGAAGCTGACAATGAAGAATCCTTTCAAGACCAAGAGGAATATGATGAATGTGACGATGAATATAATTCATCTAATGCAAATATTCTGTTAAATCCCATCAATAGCAATCTTGATGAAAATGATCAAGATATATCAAAAGACTTTCCATATACTGGTGATTACAACATTATTAACTCAAATTACGATTTGGGTTTTTCTGAATCAAATTTATTTCCTTCCTTTTCAAGTTCTGGAGTAAATAAAAAGAAACCGAAAAAGAAAATCCCAAAAAACTTGATAATTCCAAAAAAAATAATAGATCCATTTATAGCAAGATTGAATTCCAATTCTTCAGTGATATCCTCAGTTAAAAAAATACAAGCAAGTAGAAAGAATTCTTCATCCAAAGACACCAATCCTATTGAAAGTTTAAATTTGAAAAAATTCGATAATAAAAATGAATTTCTTTCAATTAATGATTATAAAACTGGAAATTCAACATTGAAAAATGGTTCAGCAGGTGATATTACAAATGGAGAAATATATTATAATATTTTTCTTTCCCAAAACTTTTCACTAATAAAATATTATGATCCAACAAAAGTGGTCTTTGAATCCCTAAAAAAATGGTATCTTTATACTTATTTCAATAAAAACAAACATGATGATTTTGACTACGATGATGATATAATAACAGATGATATGATAGTAGATGATGATTATAATAATAATAATAATAATAATAATAATAATAATAATCAAATTGTTGATTTTAATAAAGAAAGCGATGTTGAAATGTCTATGGATTAATAGATTTACTTTATACAATCGAGTTAAAATTAAAATCATAAGTCATTTATAAATAAATTTCTATAAAACTATACAATGCAAATAGTATTAATAGAGATACTCAATTTATAGAGAAGTCCTAATTTACCAGCACTAGAATTCAGATCAAGATTAAAATAAAGTGAAGAAAAAAATAAAAATAAAAATAAAAATAAAAATGAAAAATGTAACAAATGAACCACCCTATTGATACTATATACTATTTATAATTCATAATTTATTGTAATAAAAGTTCAATCGCGAAGATATTTAAATGGCAACTGATTTATGGAAATCTCTGCCAGCGTAAATAGCTTTGTCACCTAAAGCTTCTTCGATCCTCTTGATTTGGTTCAATTTGGCCAATCTTTCAGATCTAGCTGGAGCACCAGTTTTGATTTGACCAGCTCTTAAACCGACAGATAAATCAGCAATAAAAGTATCTTCAGTTTCACCAGATCTGTGAGAAACCATAACACCCCATCCAGCAGCATAAGAGTCCTTAGCAGCTTGGATGGATTCAGATAACGAACCAATTTGGTTAACTTTTAATAGCAAAGCGTTGGCAGCTTTCTTTTCAATGGCAGTTGAAATACGAATTGGGTTGGTAACAGTCAAATCATCACCAACAATTTGAATGTCGACTTTTTGAGCAAAGTGGACCCAGGCATCCCAGTCATCTTCAGCAAATGGATCTTCAATTGAGACAATTGGATATTCTTTCAATAAATCAGCGTATAATTGAGCCAATTCTTCACCAGACAACCATTTTGATGGGTCAGAAGCTGGGTTCTTGTAATCTAAATCATATTTGTTGTCGTGGTAGAACTCAGAGGAGGCAACATCTAAAGCAATACCAACTTTACCTGTGTAACCAGCTTTTTCAATGGCAGAGACAATCAAGTCCAAGGCTTCCTTTGGAGTTTGGATATCTGGGGCAACGCCACCTTCATCACCAACATTACCGGCAGATTGACCATATTCCTTTTTGGCTAAAGATTTTAAAGTGTGGTAGACTTCAGAACCAACTCTAAGGGCTTCAGAGAAGGTTGGAACATCTAATGGAGCAATCATGAATTCTTGGAAGGCTAAAGCACCACCAGCATGAGAACCACCATTAAGAACGTTCATGAATGGAACTGGTAATACGAAAGGCTCTGGGGAACCAGCCAAGTCATGTAAGTGTTGGTACAATGGGACTTTTTTTTCAGCAGCAGCAGCTTTGGCGACAGCTAAAGAGATACCCAAGATGGCATTGGCACCTAATTTTGATTTATTTGGGGTACCATCTAAGGAGTTTAAGAATTGATCAAAGGCCTTTTGGTCTTTGACATTTAATTCAGAGGCCTTTTCAAGGATAGCAGGTGCTAAGACATCATTGACATTTGCAACAGCCTTTAAGACACCCTTTCCTAACCATTTGGATTTATCGCCATCTCTTAATTCTAAAGCTTCATGGATACCAGTGGAAGCACCAGATGGAACAATTGATCTGAAGACACCATTTTCAGTTGTGAGTTCAACTTCGACAGTTGGGTTTCCACGAGAGTCGTAAACGTAACGAGCAAAAACTTTTGAGATAGCCATTGTTGGTTGAGAATTGAAGCTTAATATTGAATTGAGAAACTAGAAAAGAATTGATTCAATTTAGTTAAATTAAATCGAATTAGATTATAAGTAAAATGTTGGATGGTAGAGAAAAGAAGAGGGAAAAAAAAAAGAAGAAAACCAAAATAAAAGCAACAAAGAAAATTATGCTAAATTTATACTAATGAAAAAAAAGTTTGAAGTAAAGAAGATGACATTTGGTTGATAATTCTTGCAATTAATTTAGTTTAGTTTAGCAGCTTGTTTCAACAAAGTGAATTAAATCTACTTAGAAGTTCCAACGTATTCTTCAACTCAAGTTTTAGGTTTTGCTCTTGTTATAATATCTGGTGATGACTGCCACTACCAGGGAAAAAAAGCATAACGAAAGAGTGCAGCGAATTAATCTCAGCAATTGTGTTAGCTATTAGCAATAGAATTCAAATAGTGTATTTTATGCTGCTAATTAATAAGAACTAAGGAAAACTTGACACCACGCAACAAGATAGAAATATGGCAGCCATACTCAGCACCTTTCGCCCTTCACACCACATACTCGTTATATAATATTCGCTATTGGGTGGAAATGGAGGAAATCACATCCAGAGCAGCCCTCAACAACCCTCAGCAGCCTCACAGGCAGCACAGGCACCGCCACGGGCACCGCCACATAGGCAGAATGTGTCAAAAATGGACCCACAATGGTGGCCCGGAAGCCACAAACACAGGACACAAACATTTTCCTTTTGCAGCACGGCGCGTTTTGACGCCTGAACCCGCGTCGAATTTTCGCGTCGGCTTTCGCCTTGGCCGGAAAAACAGATCTGTTTTGGTGTTTCGATATAATAAAACAGGCTTTTGATCTGGGGCAGAGCATGGCGAGCACTGTTGAATGGCAGTTTGAAAGAGACAACGTGTACAGATACAACATCACAGGCGTCAGAACCGTCAAGTACTTCAAGTTCAATCCTGTCAACAAGAAAAGAGTCTCCAAGGAACAGCTTTTGTTGACTTTATCTGACGCGAATACAGTTGTGACAAAGCTTTTCATCAGAGATAGCTGGTTGCTCTTGGATTTCGAAAAAGGCTCCATTTTGAATATCGTCGATTTAAACCCAGTTATTTCTTTGAATTCAGATTACACAACAAAGAAACTTCCTACCAATGTCATTGATTTCACCAATCAAAACTTCTACTTGTTGGTGCTCAATCCAGATGTGCTATTATCATCAACTTCAGTTTCAGACTCCATTTATTGTCAGAGAAAATCAATTATCGATACAAAATTTAATTTTCCTTCCATTTTTTCGATCCATTTGATTTTGGGCAACATAATTCATAAACTCTTTCAGCATTGTTTATTGAACGATAACACCTCAGATGTTTATATAAATAACCTAATTAACGAGTTAATCCTCGAAAATAACTATAAACTTCAATTAATTCTATTGGATATTACAATAGACAATTTCAAAAAAGAATTGGTCCAGCACATTGATTCAATTAAATACTGGCACCAAAACTACTTTCAAAACAAAGAAAGAAAAAAAATATTCAACAATACTAGCAACATTAACGCCAGCAATCGCAAAAGTTTTGGAAGAACTTATTCAAAGAACACCATCACTAATATTCCCAACACTCAAAATGGTACAAATTACTCAAACAATAACTCAAAAGGCTCAAATAACTTTGACAAGAGGTCCATTAAAGTAACAAAAATATTCGATGCTGAAGAAAGCATTTGGTCTCCAATTTTTGGTATCAAGGGTATCATCGATTTAACCTCTCAAATAACTGAAACCAATCAAAACTACTTAATTCCTCTTGAAGTCAAAACTGGGAAAGAATACTTTAATCATAACGCTCAATTAATTTTTTATAACCTATTATTATTCCAAAGATACAACATTAACATTTTGAACCAAAACAATTTTAATTTCTTAATATACACCAAATTAAACAAATTTATTAAAAATGACTTGAATTTAAATGACATTAAAAATTTATTTATCAAAAGAAATCAATTGGCCAAAATTCAAATTGATTTTAATAATAATAATAAATTACCCAAAATTATAAATAATAAAAATTGTGATCGTTGTATTTTTAAAAATGAGTGTCTTGTATTAAACAGTTTAACTGATACTCAAGATTTAGAAAATCCTTTACTCGATGAATCAATCGCTTTAACTGCATATCTTACTGAGACTGATCAAACTTTTTTTCAACATTGGCACAATCTTATTAATACAGAAGAAAATCACTTTTTCAAAGATAAACACCAATCTTGGTCTTTAAATTCAAGTAAAAAGGAACTATTAAATGGCAAATGTTTATCAAATTTAATCCTAACGAGTGACTACAAACCAAATACTCCCAATAGTACTCAATTGCAAGACATTCATAAAAAAGTAGAGAAAACCGAAAATGATTTATTCCAATTTACCTTTATAAGGCACTCAAATAGCGAAATCAAATTACCTTTGAATACCTCTCAATTATATAAAACAGATTCAATTATCTTAAGTGAAGAAAATGGCCAATTTGGTATCGGTTTTGGTTATATCGTTTCAATCAATTCACAATTCATAACAATCGATTTACAAAAAGATTTTAGTGAAATTCCAATAATAATTTCCAGCTTTACTATGAATCAACCTCAAAGTTTTAAAACTTATAGAATTGACAAAAATATCTATTTCAATTTAGCCTTATCTAGATTTAATTTGCTAAATTTATTCTCTCCCACAGGTGACACATTAACAAGAGAAATACTCGTCAAACACAAATCACCAACTTTTAATTCGAGAAAATTAATTCGAAACTTAAATATATCAAACACTGGTATCAAATTCAACTCTGATCAATTAAATGCTCTAAATAAAATGCTAACTGCTGATTCCTTTTCTTTAATTTTAGGCATGCCCGGAACTGGTAAATCTACTTTGATTGCATTTTTCATTAAATATTTAATATCCCAAAATAAGACTGTCTTAATAGCGTCATTCACAAATTCAGCTGTGGATAATATTTTACTTAAGCTAATAGACTTAAAAGTTGATAATTTTATAAGGATTGGCACTGCATCAAGAATCCACCCTGATATTAAAAAATACTCGCCATTTAGTCACAACATTGAAAATAAAGAAGATTTAAATCGATTGTTTTTTGAACCCCCAATTGTGGCATCGACTTGTCTTCAAATAAACAACTGGCTTTTCTCATATCGAGATTCTTTTGATTATTGTATTATAGATGAGGCTTCTCAAATTATGATGCCCATTTGTCTTGGACCCTTGAGATTATGTGAAAAATTTATACTAGTTGGCGATCATTTCCAATTGCCACCTTTGGTTATTTCGCCCAATGCCAAAGGATTATCAGAAAGTTTATTTAAAATTTTATCAGAAAAATATCCTGAAGGGTTGTCTGAGCTAACTTATCAGTATAGAATGTGTAAAGAAGTGATGTTGTTATCGAATACATTGGTCTATAATGGAAAATTGAAAGCTGGAAATGAAACAGTCTCTAGCAGATTTTTGCCAATCGACAATCCTCACTTAATAGATGGATATAAAACTAAGTTTCTTGATGGTCAGAAAGATTGGGTCCGTGTGATTCTTAGAGAGGATTCCAAAGTTTTGTTTTTGAACAATGACAAGGTCCCAGCTTTGGAAACAGCCTTTAATGATCAAGTTACTAACTCTGTGGAATCAGAACTAGTCAAAATAATTGTTGAAAGTTTGTTGGCATGTGGTGTTGATGAATCTTCTATTGGAGTCATGTCTTTGTATCGAGGACAGTTAAGATTACTAAATCGTTTATTGTATAGACGAAAAAAGATTGAAATATTAACTGCTGACCAGTTTCAAGGACGCGATAAGGATTGCATTATTATATCTTTGGTTAGATCAAATCCAGAACACAATGTAGGAGCTTTGCTAAATGAATGGAGAAGAATCAACGTTGCAATGACAAGAAGCAGAAGCAAGTTGATAGTGATAGGCTCAAGACTGACGTTGGAATCATCGAAAACTATCAGAGACTTTATTTTGCTAGCTGAAAGCAATGGGTGGAGCTACAATCTTCCAGAAAATGCTGAAAAGATGTACAAATTCTAAGTAAATATTGGCCTGTGTATTATATTCGATATATGTATTTCAATTTTAATAGATAAAAAGATAACAATGTTTAAATGATAGTAGGATAGTAGAACAACAAAAATACTTATTTTGGGCTTGAAAAAAGATAAAACAAAAAACATGCTAAAAAAGCTGATTTATCGATAGATTGATTTGAAGTTGTGAAAATGAGAAAAAAAGTAAGAAGCAATATTATTAAATATCCAATAAATTAAAAAAATAAATAAATAAATAAATAAATAAATAAATAAATAAATAAATAAATAAATAAATAAATAAATAAATAAATAAATAAATAAATAAATAAATAAANAATAAATAAATAAATAAATAAATAAATAAATAAATAAATAAATAAATAAATAAATAAATAAATAAATAAATAAATAAATAAATAAATAAATAAATGATTTTTGAAACAGAGATATCGTTTCCCAGAAAATAGACGATTGACGAATATATCATATTGAAAACAAACTTTTAGAAACCAGAAAATATACATTGAACATTGAAGTATTAGACATTGAACATTAAAAATATAAAGAGCTTACTGTGTACTTTGCTGAGGCATCATTGAGCTGAGAGTGCTGAGAAGAGCTGATACTTGACTGTTTTGTGGAGACATTTGAGAGTTAGTTTGGCTGTTGGCGTTGCTGTTGCTGAAGAGGTTAGCTAGTGGATTAGAATCATTAGAAATTAATGGCACAGTGGTGTTGTTATTGAATGGATCAGTGTAAAAGTCGTCAGGCTCACCAGGTTTTGTGGATCTTGGACCATTTCTGGAGCCATTGGTGGGCATTTTCTTGCTAATAGCCTTGGAAGATAAACCAGCACCAACCTCGATATCGGGTTCCTCTACAACCACACCTGGAACCAACTCTTTGCCCCCAGTTCCTCCCCATTGAGCCTTCACCATCCACCTTTTGTCAGCATCAGTCAATCTGGCTAGGGGAATTATACTGACACCGTGTTGATAGTCGCAGCAGTCTCTTGGACCAAAGCCAACCCCCCATCTTGTTCTTAAGGATAAGTTTGGGTTACTGTTTTTGCTGAAGGATGCTAGAACATTTTCAGCTTCTTTTCTTGAATACACTTTGACAAAAGCATGTTTTCTTTCAGAATTCAAAATTACAGATTGAACTTCAGCATATGGACGCAAAATATCGGCCAAACCTTTTTCATTCATTGAGGGCGGAACACCTCCAATAAATACAGTTCTACTCAAGACTTTAATTAAACCACTAGGTAGACGTGGATCAAAAGATACATTTCTTTCTCTATAATGGGCAGTACCAGGAGTATTCAATTCGCCAACAACGTGGCCTTGAGGCTGAGTTAATAGTTTATTATTTACATTTCTATCTTTTGAAGGTAATCTTGAATTGAAAGAATCATTACGACCACTACGATCATTACGATACAGATTACGGTTCATGTTTGGAGATCTTGATCTATCATGATGGTTAAATCTATTACTCATGTTGTTCGTATTGTTCATATTGCTCATATTATTCATATTATTCATACTATTCATATTATTATTATTGTCCAAACGACCCATACGGCGACCACGAGAGTTTTGAGAGCTTTTAAATAGTTCTTCTTGTGAGGGCATTGGTTGTCTATTTGAATTATTGTTAAAATCACCATTCATGTTCATGTTATTCATGTTCATGTTGTTCATGTTCATGTTCATGCTGTTCATGTTGTTCATATTCATACCGTTCATATTCATGTTGTTCATGTTCATATTGTTCATGTTCATGCTATTAGCCATATTATCAATTGCATTCATATTGCTCATTTCATTTATATTCATTTCATTGATGTTACCCATGTTGATGTTATTATTGTTATTATTTTGTTGTTGTTGCTGAACCATTGTGAGCAATTGATCAAGAGGGGGCAAATTCTGTTGTTGAGTACCAGGTAAGATTTTTTGAATGAATTGTAAAAAATCGTTTGGATTTACAGGAGGCTGATTTTGATTTTGATTTTGAATTTCTGATTGAGATTGGGATTGAGATTGAGGTTGGGATTGAATTTGGCTCAAGTTTTGATTATTAAAATTGTGAGTGTTAAAATTTTGATCATAACTTTGATTTTTATTTTGAGGTGAATTTTGAAAGTTATTATTTGTATTGGTATTGATAATATTGTTGGTATTTGCATTGGAACTGGTTGGACTGTTGAATGAGTTTAAAATTGAGTTGGTTGTTGGAGGAGTATTTAAAGGTAGGTTTAGAGGAGGAGATGGGGATTTAATTGGGGGCTGAGGTTTATTGGCCAAAGAGGCTAAAGATTTCAAGAGGTCCAATGGGTTTGAGTTATTTTCTGAAGAAGGGGGAGCTGAGTTGAGGGTATTGTTGGCAGATGAAGAAGAGATGATTGATTTAAATTTTGTTGAGGTGTTGTTAGTTGGAATTGTGTTATCATTGTTAGTGTTATTGTAGTATTTATTTATGATATTTTGTAGAGTTGAGTTATCAAAGGTCTTTGATTTTTGCCAAATCTTGATTAATTTATGGATCTTTTCCTTTTGGGTTGAGTCATTTGAGTCAGTTGAATCATTGGATAGATTTAGTAGAGTTGAGTCTAGTAAATCAGGAACGAAGCTTCTTAGTTTATTCAAGGCATTTGAGTAATTTAGATTTGAGATTGAATTTGAATTTTTAGAGATTTGATTTTGAAAGGCTCTTGATATTGAGTCCAAGAGATAGAGAGCACCTAGTTTGTGAGATTGATTAATGTTGTTACAATGAGAGTATAATTTATCGATTAGTTGGATATATAGGTTGTTATTTTTAATGATTAGTTCAGTTAATTTTTTAATTCTAGCACCAGATACACCTGGAGGTTTTAAACTTGGAAATTCGTTTAAGATATTTTCGAAATTTTCAATGATAGTATCCGAATTTGACATTTTTATTTTTCTTTTCTATTTATTTTTATTTTTTATGTTTTTATGTTTTTATGTTTTTTTTCAGTGAATATTCAATCAGAGAAATGTAGTTAATTAAGGTAATTTAAGATTTATAACAAAATTATAACGAATTTATAACGAATTTATGATTTTAGAGAGTTAAGTTTAATATGGAGAATCAATAGAATTTCTAACTAAAGAAAGCAGAAATAGAGAGATAGAGAGATAGAGATAGATAGAGATGTAGGTAAATCGATATATTTAGGAGCCTAGTATTATTATTTTCAACGAAAATAGATTCTTTTGCGATTAAAAGATGATTTTAATAGTTACAATTTAGATAAATGAAACTTTGAAAAGAATCGGGTTTAGTACTTAATAGTTAATACCTAAGTTAATCAAGTAGACTAAGTTGTTGCTATGAAATGTATTGTTTATTATTTATTGTTTATTGTATATTAATTGTTGTTACTTATTAATTTATTTTTACTCGTTTGTTTGTTTGTATAAATAATAATTCAGTCAAGACAAAAACTCTTGAGATTTTTAATTGTTTTCCGTTTTCTTGTGATTTTTTTTTCTTTTCTTTTACTTTCGAAGGTGAAATTTAGAGAGCAAACGAAGTGAGACAGAGTTAAATTCTTGGAATAAAACCACCGTTACAGTGAAAAAAAGAGATGAGACGACAAGAGAAAGATATAAAGAAATAAAGGATAATTCCAGCAGAATTAAGGATACAAGTTAACGATACTCGATAAATCGCCAGCAAATCAACGATAATAGTGTTAAGAAAAGAGTGGTTAAGAAAAGAGTGAAGAGAAAAGAGACCGAGTAGGGAGTATTTATACCCTCCTCTCAACCCATAAGAAAAACAGCCGTTACCCGACACCATATTTAAAACACGTGATACACGTGCAAACCACAGCAGTGGTTTGTGCAGGTTAAAAGCACACCAAAGCATCAATGCGCAGAAAAGCGCAAATTACGTTTTCAGTGTGTTACATAATAACACGTGTGCTTACCCTAACTCTCTTGCACGTGTGCGATGCCCTTCTTTGCTGCCTTTGCTGCCTTTGCTGCTTTTGTTGCTTTTGCTTCCTCTGCGCCTCTTCTGTCTGCTTCCCAGCTGTCTTTTCTGCTGCCTCTTTTGCTGTCTTTTCTGCTACCCACCAATGCCCTTCTTCCCAGCCCTATAAGAGTCCCCTCAGAATCTGTTGTCCAAGCTGGCTGGTTTCTTTCTGCCTGTCCCATCCATTTGATATCGCAGTATTCTCCTTGGTTATCTGTTCTCTTCTCTTCCTTCTCTTCTTCTCTTTTCTTCTCTTCTTCTCTTCCTGCTGCTCTATCTGTGTTAGAGTCTCGTCTTGTTCCTCTTCTAAATGTTTCACACTCCTCCCGAAGATCCTAATCACATAAAATGGGCCCAGGAAGCAAAACTAAAGGAATCCTATGGAATAGATAATATCATTGCCACCAGCAATCATACCGCCACTGTATCCACTGCCACCTCTGCTTCTCATACTGATGCCTCTAATAATACCAGTACCAGTACCAGTACCACCACCAACACCACCAACAAAACCGCAAACACTACCGGTGCAAATGCTATTACAACCACAGGTCCTACCTCTAATGATATAATAATTCCCTTAAGCTCCGCTTCTTCATCCAATCCAACCTCTTTCGAAAATAATCAATACAATCTATCCAATCTATCAATTGACCATACTTTACCCAAAAACCTACAACTCCTATATGACGACTTCTTGAAATCGTTGCAAGAACCAAAATACTCTCATCCTTTGAATACCAATGAAATATCCTTTCTATTTCAAAACTACTACATCCAGTTTAACATCTTTCTTAATTCCTTTTATCTAAACAAATCAAACAATAGTAACTACTACAACAACTACAATACAAAACTAATCCTAAATAAAAAAAAAAATATAGAACTACTATCAAAATCTGACTTGAAATTGGTTTACCAAAAAATTAACTACTACATTGAACTAAACGAACTAAAATTATGCTCCCATCTATACAACAAACTATTCAACAAAAATAAATCTGACCTAGCCTCCCAATCTCTTTTAAACAAAAAACTATACCTACTATCCCTACTAAACATAGACTTACAATCTTTAGATTTAATCGTTTATCAAAAATTCAACATAAAAACCCTCCTAAATGACTTGATTCCAATTCAATCTCAATTCAACAACCTAAATAAAGTAAAATCTCCTCTAGATAAACTAAACTATCTAATAAACGCTCACAAAAAATTGACAAATCTAATCAATACTACTCTCAACACCTCCACTTCCACCTCCACTTCCACCAACAATGACCAATCTTCTCTATCCTCTTCTTCATCGTCTTCCCTAATAACAATGGACATCTTTCTACCCATCCTACTCTTCACCACCATAAACAAAAAAATTGACAACCTTCTCCTAAATTTTCTTTATATCAAAAGATTTAGATATAACCAATTTTGGGATGAAAATGGTGAAGCACTATACGTATTGACCAACATCGAAGCAGCTCTACATTTCCTAATCAATATAACTTCTTCAGAGTTAAGCATATCCGACGATCTCATAAAAGAAAAAATTACTATCCACAACAATAAAATTAAAAACTCTTCTCAACTCCAACCCCATGATTCATCTAATCCCCAATCCCAAAATTCATCCCCAGGAAATACCATTTACCAATTTGATCAAATCAAAGAGTTTCTTTCAAAACCTTTGAATATCTCTTTATCAATAGACCAAGATGATAAAAACTCTCTAATTTCAAAAATCCCAATTGATAATGTTAATATAACCGCTAATACAAATACCGCCACTATCATCAATACTGCCACTGCCACTGCCAACAACAGCAATAATAATAATAATAATAATAATAATAATAATAATAATAATAACAAAAAATCAAAATCGAACTATAGAAAGAAATCAAGCTCCTTTTCTTTACTATCAAGTATAAATGAATCTAAAAACAACACTAATAATGATATTAATAATAATAATATCAGCATTAATAATTCCAATAATAATACACACCTTATTAATCCACCTGTAAGAAGTTTTTCTTTACAAATACCTTCCGAGTTAGCATCAACTGCAGGCGTTTTATCTAATGTTTTGGATAATTCCCTTCGAAGTGTTTTGGGCAGACTATCTTCAAATTCAAATTTAAATTCAACACTAACACTGCTGACTTCAAATTTAACTCAAAATTTAACTCAAAATTTGAAAATCATCGACCAGCCTTCAATTGCTAGTAGCATGGATGATACGTTATCAAATCCTTCTACAAATTCATCTGATTTTGATGGAGCTCAATCTCAAGCAAGTAGTAATAGCTCTAAATCAATTGACGATATTCATATTTCTCAGCCATTCGTTAATTTTTATTCCAATTCCAATTCCAACGCTAATTCCAACTCTAATTCTATTTCCAACCCTTCATCAAATCCTTTAAACAGGTTGATGAGATGGAAGGCGATATCTTCAAATAGTTCTCTTCCTACTATTTCTAGTAATGAAATCACTAATGGTGATCTTAATTTCAATAAGCCAAACTCTCCTAATAGAAGTCGATCTGCATCTGTCCAAAGTCACTTGTCTTCTATTACACCTATCTTTGGCTCATTGAAAAGAAATTTTTCAAATGGAAATTTGGGAATCCCAAATTCCAATCCGAATTCTGGTGTCAATTCAAATGTTGATATGACAACGGTTAGCACATCAACTTCATCTACAACTTCATCTACAACAGTTGTTAATAACTATAACTTTCCCATGAATCTTCCACCTCCTCCTACAAATCAAAGACACATTAAATCACTTAGTAATCCAGGAATCTTAGAAGAACCAGAAATTGATCCCTTAAATTATCCATTGAAGAAAAATCCTATTAGTAATAACTTGTTATCAAAATCAATTGGCAAACATCGAAATTCGGAATTTGAAGATTTAAAATTAAGAGAGTTGAGAGAAATTTTTGAAGATTATGTAAAATTAGTCGATTGGGTAAAGGAAAATAAGGGTTTTGCATCATGATATTTTATTCATTTTTTTTTAATTCAAATTATTGCACAATTCATCACAACTAGTTTAAATTGGTACGTTTTTTTCCGTTTTTTACTCTTTTTTTTTCTCCATTTTTTCCTATTTTTTTTAATTCTTTTATCTCATATGTATAAGGGTTATTAGTTATCATTTTGTATAGAGCTTGTTCAATGGATATATCGAGCAAAAATTTTATTTATTCACTTTATTATGCTTTTATTTTTCACAAAAAACTTTATGGGTTTTTATTTTCTTGACAAAAAAGTTGATTTCTTTTCAAATTTTATTTTATCTTATCTCACCTATTCATTTCTACATTTTTACTTTGATATATTAAATTCTGTTAACTATATCTAGTTTTATTTTACTTTTTACATTACTATTACTTTATAGGTTAACATTCACATTCTTTAACATCTAAAATTTTACATATTATTGGATCTATTATCAACAAAATTACAGGTATATCGTTTGTTTTCGAAAGCAGTCGAGTAACAAAGAATTTAGTGATTATCTACGAAATAAAAAAATAAAAAAATGCACAGAAAAGAAAACTCCGCGACGGGGAATTGAACCCCGGTCTACCACGCGACAAGCGGTAATTCTAGCCACTAAACTATCACGGATTTGCTTCTGTTTATTAAAATTAAACTCCTCTATTTATAATACCTTATTTATACTATAGTCTACAGGTTCATGAGAAATGGCAATCCGGAACGCTTTAGTATTTTATTGGACTTAATAACAAATCATATTCATTTTTATTTTGAGTGCTGCTTCTTATCGCTTCTCAACATTCGATATCTCTAATCGATATCTTTGGTTGCTTTGAACAGAAATACCCGATTAGTCGTGGTTGTTGAATGTACAAATCGGTACGTATTTCAAACGATTGATTCATATCAGGAACTCTGTGAGCTGTCCCTAATCCGGATAAAAAATCAGTCCTGAAAAAGTTTCAAACCCTTGTATACCCTTGTGTGTACACAGCACTGCCTGCAATAGTTTCGATTCGGTAGATGACGCTGCGGGATCTGCATGATATATGAAAACATGCAGACTATTGCGCATCACACACGCGTGATTGTGCGGTGTGTGCAGCGCTTGCTTATTTTCTTTCTGCGCATATCATTTGCTGCTGCTCCCTTTGATATCAGTATGTGTTTTGGCCAGGAGGGCTGTTTGCGGTATAGGGACCCATAACCAATCAGCGAAATACCCATGAAACCACAACACATTCTTGATCGAAATCGGACATAGCGAACAGCTATTTTTGGGAGCAGCGTTCGTCTGGCGGCAGTTTCAGAATCGGCGCCAGCAGGGTAACACATCCTTTTTGAATATTCATTTAGCAAGCGTTGCACCACATCGAAAATTCGTAAAGTAAGGGAAACCATCAGAGCTGGAGCTGTACAATGAAAGAGCCATTGGGAGAGCCATTAGAAGAGCCATTGTTTTTGAGCGAGATAGTGATGGAGATGTTCATCTTTGGACTGCAGGATTGCAATTAACGTGTAATTGTTTCAAGTGGGGAGGGAGCTGATTGGCCACGAGGAGATGAAGCAGAAGTAGCAGCAGTAGCAATGTGAGCAGAATAGGTTGAGATCGGATCAGTGATTGAGTGGATCATCGACCAGAGGCAAATTGAAAGCTATGGTAGAGAGAGAGGGAGAGACGAGCACATTGTTAGTGTTAGCGAGATGAGTGCAGGTCTCAGGACCTGGTAAGTTTGATAAATTATAACATGAGTAGTACACGATTCAGGTTAAGATTCGTTGGGAGGATATTCGAAATATCGTTTGGGTCGAATAGGAGCAGGAGAGTTTATATAATACTTAGTAAGCGGTGTTAATCTTTGGGAAAGAAACGAAGGGGATGGAATGGGCAGTGAACAAGCCAATAGACTTTGTATGGGATTGATTGTGATAAGGGATTTTAAAGGGATTAAAGAGGATTATAAACAGCAGTCTTGAAATGAAAAGAGATGTGAAGAAATAAAGGGAAATGAAAGGAAATGAAGAGAAATAAAAAGGATTGACGAAAATATACTTTTAGGTGTGAGTTTAAAGTAGAAAAGAGTGTGATTTTAGAATTTGCAATAAATTTTATTGTAATTTTATTATAATTTTCATTTATTTAGCCATTTATTTGATAGAGCGAAAAAAAAAAGAAAGAGTAAAATGGTAAGGAAGAGTAAGAGTTAAAAAAAGGCAAAAGTAAAAAAAGAGCGAAAAAAAAACGAGAAATAGAATTGTAATTTTAATTAAATAATTATTTAATTATATTGTGATTCAATTTTGTTGTATTTAATATTAATTTTATTTCTAATTTTAATATTATTTTAATTTTATAATGTTGATATTAACATACATATGAAAGAAAAAGGAGTAGAGTAGAGTAGAGAATAAAATAAAATAAAATAAAATAAAATAAGAGTAGTGGAGTGAAGTGGAATCGAATCGAATAGAATAGAATAGAAATAATTAACAGCGTATATAAAAAACCCATTATTATAGATATATAGATAATAAAAATACAAAATACAATATCTAATTAATAAAAACAGTAACCATTCTTCTTTTTTTTGTAAATAAAAAAAAACATTATAGTAAAAGACAACCAAAGTTATAGGAGAGAACAAAAAGAGACAGAAAAAAACAGGAAAACAACGAGATTTATAAAAATGATAATATAAAGTATAAGATAGGATAAGATAAGATAAGATATAAAAACAAAAGAAATAGAGAAACAAAGAAATAAAGAAATAAAAAGTAGAAAAGTAACGATAGATAAAGCCATTAAGTGAACATGAGATGAATTTTTAGTCTTTAGTAAAGTGAAGTAGATGAGCTAATAAACGAAATAAAATGAATTAGAAATTGTAGGCTATATTTGGTTCATTTAAATCTCTGTGCTGGATGTTATCTAAACTTAGTGGCCTTATGGAGTTCTTTCTACTTTTTGAATTCAAATTGACTAAATTTTGGAAATTGGTGCTTGTGCTGGAATTGGTGTTTATGTTTGAATTGAGATTGGGATTGGAGTGGGAGTTTGAATTCGCAGAGCCAGAGCTTAGAGAGCTGTTGGAATAGAGGGAGGATCTTGTGGAGGAGAGTTCGTTAGAACTGCTGTTGATGGAGTTGATGCTGCTGGAGGTGAGGGCAGAGTAGGTGGATAGATCGCTCTGGCGCTTGGAGGAATTGAAGTCCATGCTGGAGTTGTTATATGAGGAGTTGAAGCCAGTGAAGGAGTTGTTGGGGTTGTTGATGTTGATGTTCTGTTGCTGGTTGAGTAGCAAGTTGAATTTAGACACTGGGTTTTGGTTGATGTAGGTGGACTCGATTATTGGCTCATTGGGATCAGTCTCAGAGGTGGGATTGAATAAATCGTTATTGGCATTGAAAAGGGTTTCGTCGAGTGTGTTGATGAGGTTGTCGTTAGAAGAGGAGGACTCTTTGTCTTTGCTTTGCTTTGCTTTGAGCTGTTGGAGTCTTATTCTTTGACGTTCTTTGGCTTTTTGAAGTCTCCAGGAGGTTTGGTTATCGTCATTTTTGTTTTCAGTGTCAAAGGAAGACATTTGTGAAAGTGGAGTAGGGGGAGAAGAATAGGGTATATTTGAAATATGGTATTACAGATATAGTATATTAGTATATTAGTATATTGGTATAGTAGTATATTAGTATATTGTATAGTAGTATATTGTATGTATAGGAAAGTGTATATATATAAGGAAAAGGAAGAAAAGAAAAGAAAAGAAAAGAAAAAAAAAGCAGAGAAAAATTGGATTGTTTTTATAATATAAATTTTGCTTTATTTGAATTAATGGAATTAATGCTGTGGAAAGTTGAGCCAGAAGAAAAAAAATTCCAAAATCAGACTTTTTTTTGCAGTAAAATTTCCAGGAATACAAAAGAAAATGCAAAAAATAAGTTGGTGAAAACTGGCCTATTGAACGAAATTAACTTCTTTTGAGAAAAAGCATAATAGTAAACATCTCATAATAGAGGAATAAACTTGGAAGGAAAATCCAATTTTAATTCAAAAAACAATTTAAATTTCTGTTTACGATTGCAAAAAAGCGAATCAACACATTTAGTTTTGATTTCAAAGCGATTTTAAGCTGATACTGGAGCAGAACAAAGCAATTCAAAAGTTAGTTAGAGCTTTATTCAAATAGAACTGTGAGTCTTTTCAGTATCAGACAGTGTTTAATGAATATTAATGAATGTTGTTTAAACTCGCTTCCATTCACTTGCATTCATTTTCAGCTTTTAATTCGTTTTCATCTTCGCTGGAGATTTTGAGACTTTTCGACACGCAACCGAAAAGAGCCCAAGGGTTTGAGTGACACCGCGCCAGGGACCTAGGGCACTGCGTAATCTGGCGGCGCGCTCAACGGCGTGCCAGATTACGCACGCCCACCAGGCTGCTGCTCCGTCACGAAAGAGACTAAAAGACGCTCTTGCGACCCAGAGCGTGAATGGCGACGCAGCAGTGGCACGAGAAGCACCAGACCATCACCATCACCGTCGGAGTAGCAACAGCATGCACCCGCTCTTGCTGCCTCTGCTGCCTCTGCTGTCTTTGCTGCTGCTATTAGTGCTGCTGCTTCTTTGTTGGCAGTGTGGTTCCATCTCCAAAGAGAATGGAAGGAGCAAGACAAAAAAAAAGGGCGATCGCGCTGAGTCAGCCATCTACATGTGACCGATCCACGCACAGCAAAGCCTGTTTATTTGCTCCATTGGCACAGACGCTCCTGTGTCATCTGATTGCACGTGTGTTTGAGAGCGCTCTGACGGAAGCAGCCCTGCGCGACTGGGTTTTGCCAATGGGCCGGCTTGTCGGGAAATGCATCGCTTTCTTAACGGAATACGGGAGTACTGGGAACGGGAACAAAGCAGCGGAAAAAGCCCCAGCGGAAGCGCAGCCCCAGCGAATTACGAACAGTCGACTTTGTCGCCAGCTCTGCACTCCGTAATCAGGACCGGGTTATATCCGCGTCGGGATATTGACGGATCCGCAGAACCCGGCCAATTCCTGGTTGCACATGAGCGATGTCTGTGTCTCTTCCCCTGTGCTAGCTGGAAGAGCCCTGGTCCCAAAATCTTGCCTCAGGAAAATGTGTCAACCTTGGAAACACATTTCAAGACAGCAAAATGTATGGTGTAGCTTTGAGATTGATACACCACAGATTCAGATAACGTTTGTGGTTCCTTTATAAAATGTTATCCCAAAGGATCACCAGAGAGGATCCACTCTTAGTGTTACTGATATATTTTCTTACTTGCCACTGTATTGCAATGTCACTTTGTAGTTTGTACAATATCGTTGTCCCACAAAACAATTTAAAAGAACAAACAAGAAACAGTAACAATCCATAAGTTAATCCCCACTTACAATACTGTTTTAGTGTTTTCATTGTTAAAAGTTTTTAAACAACAATCCGCTAATATTTATAATAATAATGATAATAATAATTAATTATTATTATCATTATTATTATTTCTATCAATTGTGTTGATTGAAACCAAAATCCTGTGTTTCAAAATAACGGTTTCCAGTTCGTAGCATGTGTTCATTTAGTTCAGCCTTTGAAGGCTGTTTAACTGTTCTTTGAAGGCTGTTTAAAGATTGGCTAGAGTTTTTCTGAAAATCAATTTACTAAAAATATCAAATACAATTGAAATTCAGTTGAAATTCTAAAAATTTCTTGAAATTTCCATTTGTTTTATAACTCATATCTCAATCATCTCTTGATAGCTTCTTACAATTTCTCTTAGTTTTTCCTAATTTCTCATAAATTTTCATAGCTTTTCATAACTTTTCATAACTTCCTAGCATTTCTTTAGATTTGGGTACTAAACAATAGATTACGTTTCTGCCTTGTTGTTTATTTATTTTTTGACACTGTTCCAGATTCCCAATGGCGTTTTAGCTTATGTTATGTAATGTTATAGTTATGTTATATTCATGCTATATTAATCTCAATCTGTACATTGAAAATATACGAAACCTCGAAGAGGGCTCTTACACAAACCCCCAAGTTTGATATCACCCCCGGTTTTAAACGGTGAATTAGGGCTGTTTCACTGTCTTGAGATATTTTGGGATATTTTGCAAGTTTTGGCAACTTCTCCTTTGAGACGTTTTTCTTTTTTGGGTGTGCCGATGCGCTCCGGCTCGTGCGGCGCGGGATTTGGACGCTGCCCCCGATAAAGAGGCCGCGGTCATGTGCGTTGCGCTTTTTGCACCGCTTAGTCAGTGCTGAGTCACACGCGGCAGCAGGCCTTTGGAAAAAGAAAACCCAACACCAAAGAAAAAAAGGTGATTTTCTGCCGCTTTCCGTCGCTGCTTCTTTCTGCGCAAGTTTTTTATCATTGCTTACCTAAGACAGTCTCTCCGCGATTGTATAAAATTACTATATGTTTCCATATAAAATATTTTTCTCAAAACCAACCAGCGCACGCAACCGCCCAACGCACTTATTTGGTCGGCAGGTGCCTGCACAAATCCGCTGCACCTGTCCTCATTAGGGCTCCTTCTCTCTTCCACTTATCATTCAAGACTTTTAAAAACCGTTTTATAATTAAACTTGGTTTCAATACTCTTGATTCAATAAATACTCTATTTATTCTCTTAAACTGTTGTTTTATTTTCCATATATTCCATCTCTCTATTACTTTTTATCCATTTTATTTTAATTTCATATTACAAGATTTTTATTAGATTTTTATTATATTTTATCAAATCAATACCAAGTTAATATTCTTTGTGCTCTCGCTGCTTTTCTCCAATTATTCAATCTAAATCTTTATTCCATAACAATCTTATCACATCATGAAAATTCTATCTGAAGACGAAAAGGCTGCTCATTCAAGTGCCACCTTCTGGGCTGGCTTTAAAGGTGGTCTAGCTGGTGCTGCCATCTCTGCTCTATTGTTCACTGTGGGTGCTAAAAGATGGCCTGTGTTACATCGTTTGCCCACTGCTGCCAAAACTGCTGTCGTTATCACTCCTCCAACTCTCTTGATCTCCATCTGCGCTGAAGAAGGCTCCAACAACTTTGACAAAATAGTCTACAGCTCTGAACACACACAACAAACTGCCTTGAAAGAATACTTGAGATGGCAAAACCTATCCTACAGGGAGAAAACTATCGAATTGGTCAGCTCCAACAGATACTCCATCATTGTTGGTGCCTGGGCTGCTTCTCTATATGGCTCCTGGGCCCTCGTCAACAGAGACCCAATCATGACCAAACCCCAAAAGATTGTCCAGGCAAGAATGTACGCTCAATTTCTCACTGTCGCTTTGCTCTTGGGTTCCATTGGTTTGACTGTCTGGGAAGAAAATAACATGAGCCACACTCCTCAGGCTCACAAAATCGAAGACTCTTGGAAGGACATTCTTGCTGACGAAGAAGACAGAGAAAGAAAAGCTGGTATTCCTTTGCACATAACCCCAAAGGATTTGCATAAAGTTGACTAAATAAGCTCAAAACCATTAAATAAACTCTCATTCCACAACAACCCTTAATTTCTCTTAATATCTATTCATATCTATTCATATCTATTCATATCTAATTCCCTCTGTTCAATTCTATTCTGTCTCTCTTTACTCTATAGCTCTGTACTTTGTTTATACTCCTCTTTCAACTCTGTAGCAACATCTGTAATCTCCTTTGATGTCCCAATCGGGTAATGCTATTTTCCATCACCTTTATTTATTTATTTCTTCTTTGATCTCTCTACTTATAATCAAATATTCTTATTCTCTCTTTCGTCAACTCTCCAAAACTTATCGTAACCACAACCACTCTACTCCACTCTACTCTACTCTACTCCCTCATATCTCTCCTATCTCTCCTATCTCTTCTATCTCTTACACCACCCTTTCACACGATCTCTGCTTCTCTCTCTTTACTCTGCCCTCCTAACTCTTACGTCCTTTTATTCACTTACCACACCTCTCTCGCCTCTCAACTCTCTTAACTCTCTTCATACTCTCTCTCTTCGTACCTCTTAATTACTCAAAATTCTACTCCTAGTTTCCTTTTCGGTCTCTTCTTCTTTTCTACTTCTTCTCGGCTGTTGTTTTGGCTCTCTCAAGTTTCCCAATCTTCTTATTATTTAAGTCCCCAGTTTATCAACTACATCCACACTTTAAAAAGTCGCACTCTTACCAAACTAATCACTTCAAATTCAACTTAATCTCTCTTAAAATAAATAAAAAGAAACAGGGAAACACTCCACCAACAACAAAAAAACAAACAAAAAAGAAACAACTATAAACCGAAAATATTACTCTCAATTAATCATGATTTTTAGCAAAAAAATAGATCACTTATCCAATAATGAAATCGATGTCTCTATGATTTCCTCTCCCATGGCTTTGCCACCAAATCTACCTCTATCTCTCTTGACTGAATCGCTTAATAAAAACTCCATTAACGATGCTGCTGATGATACCATCAATAACAAAAATAAAAAATTCACTGATAAGACTTCTAATAGTAATAATGATGATATTACTCTTAATGACGATGACATCTACAACGATATCGAAAACGATTTGGATAGTTGTGAAGACGACATTATCTCCCACAAAAGATACAAAGAAGCTTTAAATCAAATTAATCAGTTGGAAAACGAACTATCCGAATTCCAATCTTCAAGCTACGAATTAGAACAAGAACTAGAAAAAGAATTGAACGATTTGGATTCAAAAAACGAATCCTTGAAATTAAACTTGATCGAATCTGAAAAGGAAACTTCCCTCTGGAAAAACAAATTTTTTAACCTACAAAAAGATTTACAAAACCAATCAGTAAAGGCCCAAGAACAAATCAGTAACTACAAAAACGAATTATCAAATACAAGAAACAAACTAATCAACATAGAAATCATTAACGACAACATTGAACAAAATGAAAGAAAGTTAAATGTCAACTTGAATGAACTAGACTCGAAATATAACGACACTTTAGAACAAGTGGCCCTATTAGAATCTGAATTGGACTATAAAAATGAACTACTATTAAAAGAACAACTAGAACATCAAAATACAAGAAACTCATTATTAGAAGTCCAGAAAGAACTAGACAATTTGAAAAATTCAATCAACAAATCCACCTCTGCTTCCACTACCTCTACAGGTTTACCTCTAATCTTCAACTCAATTGGTATCTTTGGTAATACTAATAATAACCTCTCAAGAACTCCATCCAATTCACTTGACTCGACCTCCCAAAGAAGCTTCCCTAAATCGAACTCAATTAGACAACTACATGATATGATCAACCAAGCAAAGGGCATGGAATCAAGAGTCGAAAATATTAAAATTTCTCTTAAACCTAAACATAAATTAAGAAAATCAAACAAATCTACAGATTTTAGCTCTCGCCCTCATATTCCATACGAATTAAAAAATACAATGTATTCAAATAATAATGTGACATTTAATTATAACAATTATAACAATAACAGTAATAACAATAACAATAACAACAATAGCAATTATTTAAAAAGTATTAGTAGTAATAATGGCTCATTCACTGATGATGATGAAGCTAGCTTTAACAACTCATTAGACTTTAGATTAAATAATTATCAAAGCCAAAATTTCCACACCCTATTCTCTGCTCAAACCAATGAAAGTAATGATAGCGTTGCAAGCTCTTTAGATCATCTGAAAGTTATTAAAAGAAACAACAATTTTACTTTTAGTTATAATAATAGCAATAACAACAATAACAACAATAATGATGGTGATTTCAATAATACTGAAAATAGTAAGATTGAAAATAATAAGATTGAAAATAATAAGAATGATATCGATAAAAAAAATAAAAGTAAAAATAAAAGTAACAGCAATAGCAATAGCAAAAATAGTAGCCCATTAAGTCTTTCTCCCTCACGTTACAATTTATCAACGTTACCTTCAAAAAGTTCTTTTGAATTCAATTTGGAAAGCGTTCTAAGTTCATCTAGCAACAAAAATGAAAAATTATCTGGTTTTACAAGACCTTTGGACCCCAAAAGATCATTAAATTCAAAAACTCCATTAAGAAGAAGAAATTTGTTATATTCTTTTAAAAAATCAGGCAGTGGTAGTTTCCATAAATTTTAATAAATTAATAAGTTAATAAGTTAATGAATAAATTATCAATTCCATTTTTTTTTGTTTTTTTGTTTTATTAATCTTTGTTATTGTTATTGTTATTTTATCTATTTTCTTTTATCATACTCATTGATCCAATTGTTAATTTTTTTGTTATTACTATTTATTACTTATTAAATACTGCCAGTAAACAATCTTCGGATTTTGCATTCTATATATTTCTTCTTCTCTTTTGTCTTTTTATTGTTATTTGTATTTGGTGTCTATTTATTTTTGTTTCTGCATATACTTTTAACTAGACTTTTATATTTTACTATTTATTTTACTTCTTCAATAGTATACTTTATCAATAACACATCTTATTTATTTATAAGCAAGAAAAATCAATTGAATTATCTTCTTTTGCATTTGAATTTATAATTTGTCAATTACTTTTATGCTTCTCAAATACACATCTTTTCAAAGTAACTTTAATTACAAAATACACCTGTAGTCGTAAGAATCAAATAAATAACCTTTCAAGACAGAATACTGACTAAAGATAAACCAAATTCAACATAACAACAATAACGCAGCAGAAGCAGAAGCAGAAGCAGCAACAGAAGCACCTCTTCAAAACAGCAACAGCAGCAGAGTAAGCAAAAACTAGCCAATAAAGACCCTTCACTTGAGCTCTTCTCGATTTGTCGTTTTGAAAATTACCCGATTGAGCTCCAAAAAAGTGATTCTTTTGATGTTGGGCTCAGAAAAGAACAGTCGAAGAAGAGCTATTTGGACCAGAAAAGTTATGCTATCGATCTGAGATTGCCACCACCACGAATTTCCAATGAACAAAGCAATTCTGAACATCATAGGAAGGAGTTCGTGCAGGAGTCTCTCTCTGTTGCTCAGCTCCAGGCCTAATGGTTTCAATAACCAGAGGGTTTTCCTTACCAACCATGGGTTGAAAGACTATAACTATAATTACTCGTTTTCGTATTCCAGACATCGTCATCCAGTGTCTTTAAGATTCTTTCACAAATATCTGGCCTCAGACTTGTCAACTATTGATAGTGGCAGCTTTGCTGATAACAAGAAGAGTTCGAACAAGAGGGATAGCACTTCAGAGAATACAAAACCAGGCAGAAGAATCTCCCGAAAACTAATCTTTACTGTTGGGCTTTCGTCAATAAGTGTGTTTTTGTATTTCTCAAATGATTCGTACAAGAAGAGAGTGGATTTTTTAGCTAAATCATTTCAAAGAATCATGATTGTGAGTGTGGCAACCGTTAGATGTTTTTTTGAGTATAGATCAACATTAGATACTAAATATGAGTCAGATAAGGAGAGAAACAATGCGTTGGAAAGATGTCATCAAAAATGTGCTGAAATTACATTACATGCGTTGGAAAACAATGGTGGGATTTATATTAAATTGGGACAGCATATTTCAGCATTAACATATTTATTGCCCAAGGAATGGACATCCACTATGACACCCCTACAAGACAGATGCCCAAAGACTTTGGTGAGTGATATAAACGAGATGTTTATCGAGGATATTGGTTGTTCGCTTGACGATATGTTTTCTGAATTTGATGAAAAACCAATTGGAGTTGCGTCATTAGCCCAGGTTCATGTTGCGACGTTGAGAGAAACTGGAGAGAAAGTTGCAGTTAAATGTCAACATCCCTCACTAAAGGAATTCGTTCCGCTAGATATATTGATCACGAAAAATGTGTTTGAGTTGTTGTATAAAGTGTTTCCTGAATATGATTTAAATTGGCTAGGAGAAGAGATGCAATCGTCTATATATGTCGAGTTAAATTTTGTTGAAGAAGCCAAAAATGCTAGGAATACGTCGGATTATTTTAAAAATTACCAAAGACAAACAGCATTAAGAGTTCCAAAGATTTATTCGGCCCAACCAAGAGTGTTAATAATGGAGTATGTGGGTGGATCAAGATTGGATAATTTAGAGTATTTCAAAGACAATAATATTTCAAGAGCAGAAGTGAGTGCATGTTTGGCACACATTTTCAATAACATGATATTTACCCCAGGCGTTGGCATTCATTGTGATCCACATGGTGGAAATTTGGCCATCAGAGCGATTCCCAAGAGGAAAAATGGACACAACTTTGAGATTATCTTGTACGATCATGGGTTGTATCGATTTGTCCCAATTCAATTGAGAAGAGCGTATGCAAGATTTTGGCTAGCGATTATTGATTCGGATGAGAAATCAATGAGAAAATACGCAAAGGAGTTTGCTGGAGTTACAGACGAAGAATTTCCCTTGTTTGCAGCTGCAATGACAGGAAGAGATTTCGAACACGCAGTTGGAAACATTACTACTCCAAGAAGCCAAGAGGAGATCAACTACATGGTTGGGCTTTTTGAGGAGGGAAGCTTTTTGACTGATGTGATGGCGTTGCTATCCAAGCTACCCAAAATTGCATTGTTGATCATCAAAACCAACGATTTGGTGAGGGTGTTGGACGAAAACATGGAGTATCCTCTTGGGCCAGTGAAAAGCTTCTTGATCATGGCCAGCTACTGCGCGCGAACCATCTACGAAGAAGACAGGGAGGTGTTGCTTAGAAAGTACGAGAGCTTGAAGTCCACGAAGAGCCTATTGTTGCTCAACCTCAGCTACTACTGGAACACCATGAGGGTGTGGTGGACGTATAAGACGAGATCGCACCAGTTGTTGGTGTACAACCTCGTCTCGTTGTTTTCCAGCTCGTCCTAGCTGCAGCCGGAACATTGTACATACTGTTTAGAATACACATTTCCATATTCCAGCACCAAATGCCAAAACGCTGTGCTGAAGTTGCTGCTTCTGCCGCTTCTGCATGTGCATGCAGATCAACCCCATACACATGCACTGTACACATGTGCCTACATAGTCACCTATTTCTTCCTCTGCTTCCCAGCAAAAGCCAGCAAAAGCAGCAACTTCAGCAGAATCGCCAACATCGCTAGCTTCTCCATTTCTCCAGAAGCATAAAATGGCCACTGTTCAGCTCCTCACCTCGGAATTGACCAACTTGGCCTCAGAGTCGCGACGAAGAACACCAGAGATCAGACATGTATGTATTTCCTGCTCCATCGTCTGCTCCAGCTAATGGCCCACAGACGATGAACTGGCGACTTTGCCCATCATCCAGCTTCTTCATCTACTAACTATTCACCAGGCCTCAGAGAAATCCTTGGAGATATTAAAGTCCTACAGGCCTAGCATCCAGAACGAGTCTGACTTTCTCCAGTCTCTATCGCTGCGTCCTGAGTTTTTTAGGCCTTTTATATTGTCCTGTCAATCCAGAAACACAAAATATTCTGCTATCGCTGTCCAGTGTCTCAACAGATTGATCATTGAAAAGTCTTTACCCATATCTCTTTTAAACGACATAATCGACTCATTGACTGAAGCAACGCATCTCGCAATTGAAATCCAGCTAAAAATTCTACAGATTTTGCCCTCATTATTTCAGATTTATGGCAACTATATCAACAACGAACTAATCTCAAAGCTATTGTCAATTTGTGCCCTACTACAAGGTGTCAATAAAGTTCCTGTGGTGATAAATACTGCTGCTGCCACTTTGCAACAATTGATTGTTTTTATTTTTGATAAAGTCAGTGACGAAGATTTATTTTTAAAAAACAACCCTAATTCAATCGTTGAAAAAAAATTCGACGTCCCAATTGATAATAACAAGAAAATCAAAATATCCTCAAATGCTTATGATGCTCAAAGAATCTTCATTGACCTATGCACTTTGATCGAACACCATAGACCAAAGTTTCTAAGATTCACATACCTACCCGAGACTTTTAACCTTGAATTAATCGAAAGCATCTTAACAAATCACACTGACTTGTTCTCAAATCATGTTGAATTGGCTTACCTTGTAAGAACGAGAATTATTCCTCTTTTATTAAGATCCTTCTCAATCAACAAAGAATTCCCCGTAATAACAAGAGTCTCAAGAATAATTTACCTACTAATAAGAAGAAACTTGAATATTTTAATCGTTGAAACTGAGGTGATTATAAGTCTACTAAACCACATTCTCTCGCTTGATTCAAATTCCCCATTCTGGAAAAAAATCTTAGCTTTAGAGATATTCAACGGGTTGTTTACCGATTTCAATTTAATCAAAAACCTATTTCTAGAATATGATAATAAACCTGACAGGAAAAAGGTTATAAACGATTTCTTTAAAACCGTTTACCAAATTCTCGACTCTTCAAACTCAAAGAAATTGCTAGATTTTGGTTCAATCTTACACCCTCCCTCTCCCTCTCCTTCTTCAGATCTCTCGTATTTCTTATCTTCAAAAAATTCTTTACCAAAGGTATTATACATCGATCTACTAGATAAAGCTGACGCTCCTCACATCCCAGATAACTACATCTACTATCTAATCTTAAATTGCTCAATCAACTTTGCTGAAGGTATCGGTAGATTTATAATGGACCTATCTTCAACCCCAGAACTAATCTCTTATCTTGATGCATCTTCTTTAATCCCCCTACAATCCTCAGAAATGTACAGATCTGACTCAAACTCAACCTCAAACTCTGATTCTCATCAATCAAAACAAATTCTCTATTTAAATTCTTCAAAATTGTTTGAAAAATTAAAGGACTCCTCTATTAAAAATGACATTGTTTTCTCCAACAAATTGATTTTTAAAAATTACGAAATCCTTCTATCAATTTTAAAAATCTTCCTATACTCAAATTTAGATAATGATTTTTTCCACAATTTAATTAGATCATTGCAAAAATTATGCTATGTCTCGGGCATACTAGGTTTAAAACAAACAAGAACAGATATCATCCTTGTATTTGCAATTGCAACAATTAACAATACGGGAAAACTAGGCTACCAAAGCCCTGACATAAATTCATTGCAATCAGCAGATCAAAAAAACCCTGCAAACTCTATAACCTCCTCTGATGATGATAAAAAGAAATCATTCCTATCTCTAAGTGGAACTGTCGTTGGTGCTTTGACACAAAAACTAAATCAAGCTTCATCAATAACTTATAACTTGACCCCTCAAAAGCCCTCATCAAATCAGTTGTTATTACACACCAGATACATGAACTCAAGAAACTTAATCACTTTACGGGCCCTAATAAATATCGCCATATCTTTAGGCCCAACTTTAAACTCTTCATGGAGAATCATATTTGTCACTCTTCAATGGGTAAATTATTATATTAATGGGCTTTCCGAGGAATTTGATAAAAATTTCGATAATTCATCTTTGAAAAAAACAGAAATCTCAGCTAGTGAAAAAAGTTTAGTTGAAAACTCAATAAAAAAACTATTAGAAACCACAAAAGATTATTCTGATGACTCCTTTTTTGGTTTAATAAAGGCATTAGTGAGCTTGTCAAATGATGTTTTGTTATCTGGAAAAAACGATGACAAAGTAAACTTTGAGTTAATTAAAGATAGTGTGTACAAAACATCACCAATTGAGCCTCAAAACAAAGATGTGAAAAAGATAACTTTATTTCCATGCTACTATAATAAAATCTTTTTCTTCCTCAATATCGGTGAAATTACAGAACTCAATTCATTTCGGTTTTTGAAAGGGCTTGCGGTTGCTAATAATAAAAAAGAGTTAAGTTCAATAAATATGACACAAAAATCATGGAACCTCATTTTAAATTACTCAATTGAGGTAGCTTCTAAACAGACATTATCAATCGTATTAAGAAATAAAATTTCCATCACCTTTAACTTTATTATAAAATCTCTAGTTTTATGTTGCCACACAAAAGAAGATAGGTCGGTAAATGTTGATTATGAAAAAATCGATGAAAAAGCTGATACTGTTTTTCTTGATTCACTCTTATTATTTTTAAACAAAATCATCCAATTAGATCAAAATTCAAAAAAGTTTAATAATACAGAGCTAAATTCAGTTATAATTTCCGAGTTTGACATGATTATAAATTCCTTATTGAATTTGAAGGAATTACTAGATAAATCGGGAAGCTATTTTAAAGAGGATTCATGGGATATAATGTTTAAAATCATTAATCTACCTTTTAAATTTTACTTTTCATTTGATAATGAATCAGAAACATTTTTGAGAAAAAATCCTTTAATTCTAGAAAAGAAATCAATATTAATAAAAACATCCTTTGATGCATTGCAATTAATTTTAAATGATTTTTTGAACACTCTACCATCTAATATTTTAAAAACAGTTATTGATACATTATTTAATTTCATTAATCAAAACTATGAAATAAACATTTCCTTTAGTGCAATAAGCTACTTTTGGATGGTCAGTGATTATTTAAGAGATTTTTTGCAACCATATAAAATGGATAGAGTGTTACAGGCATCATTAGAAAACATGATCACTAATAAAGAAGAATTGATTGATACGATATTATCAAAAAGAGGCGAAGAAAATAAACTCATTCTTTATTCATCGATATGGGTTTATTTGTTGTATATTTTAGTTAGAATATGCAATGATGAAAGAACACAGGTTAGAAATGGATCCATTCAAACATTTTTCCGAATTATTGATTCCCATGGTCAATACTTGCCCTCATGGATATTAATTTATAATATTGTTATTTATGATTTACTTAAGATCAGACCTAATGATTTGTTTTTGACAAGCAATACACAAGAAAGGAAAGCAATCACTGATTTAAAAGAATTGGGAGCGAACCCAACTGATCCAAAGCTCAAATCTAGTTCAAAATCAGAATGGACTGAATCTTTTATGCTAATAATTAACGGTTTGGTTCGATTATATACGACATTTTTGGTTGAATTTGATGAGAAAAATCTTTCTACACTGATTAATTATTGGAAGGGATTACTTACATATTTTGATAATATTTTGCAATTAAATTGGGATTCTTGCAATTTGAAGGTTTATGAATCTATTGGTGATCTCACTGGAGCATTTATTGATAAAACAGATCTTGAAAATGATAGACTTCCATTAGAGATAAGAATTTCACTTTTTAATTTTTGGGCTAAACAATCTATTTCACTTAATTATCTTGATAATCAAAACTACCAAGATACGATAATAGCTTTAATTAAATCCTATGTTCCACTTTATAAACTCAATGAATCAAATTTAAATTACGAGATGGTGAAGCAAAGTCTAATGATATTTAATAGAGCTGTTAGGTATCCAGTGCTTCCAAAGTTCTCAAGTGACAATATATCTTGCACAGTTTTACAAAAAGCAATAATAGATAATTTGAAATTAATCAAATCTAAAGATGCTCTGATTCAATCGCTAGTGATTTTACAATTGGCATCAATAATGATACTTCCATTCTCCACCAGAAGAAAAATGGAGGGTAAACTAAAAGAAAACAAGTCTTACAACGGAAAAATTGCAACGTTTATTGCAATAAGTTATTCAGTGCTTCCATTATTAGCGGAGAGAATTTCAAATATTGAAGATTATTCATCGTTGATCAAAGACAAAACATTTATTAGATTGTTTAGTTCATGTTTGGAACCAATAAAATTCAAAGCTCTTGGAGTTCCTGTAAATAAAAATAAAGAATATGTTGGAAGAAAGGAACTATGGATGGAAACCATAGAATTACTAGGTTTTGTTACGAGAAAGGCGATCAAGGTATTTGCGCCCGATATTGAGAATAATATCTGCCCATTACAAGTAAAAGAAGATATGTGGAGCTTGATAATTGAAGCAGTGAAAACATGTTTAACATCGAATAATAATCGATCAGATTACGAAATATTTGACATACAGATGTATGAGAAATTCAAAGAAATAATTTTGCCATACTTGAGCTTTGAGTCGTTAAATTATCAGTTGCTAGAAGAATTAGTTACGAGCATATGGAAAACATCATTTTTATATTCATTAAATGATATTGAAAAGTCAATGATATCAGGTATTGGAGACCCTATTGAAATTGCAACATTGGTGAGCCAATTGGAAGCTGAGAAAAACATTGGGACAACAGAGAATTTCCAGCTAACTTCTAGGTACAAGATCAGTTTCATTTGCCTTTCAGATTTAATTTCGTTGTCTCAACCTACAAGGCGCCAGGGAGAAGAAGAGGATTTTGCAGTCAGGTCTAAAAGACTAATAGGCCAAAAGTGCTTGCCGTACTTTATCTGTCGTGCAGGGCTTGTTCTAAGGAAGTTTATCGCAGACGAATCATTGATCAATCTTTCGCCATTGCCTCGAGTGCAACAGTTGGAATTGGTAATAGTGTTAAACGGCTTAAATAGCATTCTTGAGAACCATGAGGAAGTGGAAAGTTTGCATGTTTTGTATCCCTTAATAATCCGCTGTATTTCGGTTACTCACAAGGTTAGAGAATCAGAGATATTGTTAGAGAAAATATTCCTCAAATTAAATTTGAGGAATAGAAAAAGGCGATAAGTAGCCAATCAAAACTTTATAGAATTGTTGATTATCTTTTCGGACGTAGTCTTTGCTTTTATATACCTGTTTATCTTTGCTGGAGTGTTTTGCAAACCTCAAATGTAGTTATCTCCTTGGATGGGGAATTTTACCAAGTTGCAACTAAAGCAGTGGAAATAGGGATTAACTGGAATAGACAACCTATTTGGCGCCATCAGTTCCTGAACAAAAAGCTGCTAGCTAATAAGTTCCTCACAAGATCGAAAATCGCAGTGTTGAAAGGCCACTGGCGAGTGCTTTAGCTGAATAGCATTGTTGATTTGGTAACAGCATTTCAGCAGCTCTGAGGAGGTTGAGAAGGTTGAGAATGGAAGCCGAATAGCTGAACTGATCTGTGGCTCTTCGAATTAGAAACACCCTTGGGAGATGTTGTGGTTTGTTGGAAAGATTGCCAAACAGACACAAGGACAAATGGGCAGTGAACGAGTTGAACGTGTAGATTAGAATTGCAGTTATGTAATTGGCTATGGAATTAATTATGAACATAATTGCAAGTTTAGATCGAATTGTCAATTTAGAGCCCAACGGTTGTAAATTGCAATTTAAAAGTTTAAGTGGGTGTAATCCAGAGCAGCTGTTGAAAATCGTTTTGATAAAATGCAATTTTGCTTTTGAAATGTGCTTACTTGACTTGGTTGAGATCTTTCTCCTTTGGCGAAGTTATTTAAAACCTTCTGTCGTGGACCTGACAAATTCCTTTATTAAGTTGGTAACTTAACATTGTGTTGTAATGTTCAAACATCAATCAATGTATTAGGGAGGTGCTGTGAAGTTGATGAAGCTGTTAAAATGGCAGTTGTCTTGCTTTGGGGTCTTACATTACTGAGCTCATGGAAGTGAGCCAATCGTTGATTGATATCGATTGAAATGAACTGATTTTTAAATAATATCCAGTCAAATAAATACAAAGAGTCTAAGTAGAGTTGAGTTGAGTTGAGTAAATAGAGAAGGAGGCGAGAATTAAAATAAAAGCCAGAATAAGAATAAGAGTAAGAGTAAAAATAAAAATAAAACAGTTACATGTTTGAGAAATGGAAATGTTTTAGTGAGCAGTGAATTTCTGATTAGAATTGGTTAAAATTGGTTAAAATTGGTTAAAATAGAGAGAATTCTTTCTGATTTATATTTAATTATCGCGACTGGATAAGAATATCAGCCCAAAATATTCAAATTTGAAAGAGAATTGGTCTCTATATTCATGATGAATTCATAATGGTTCAAAATAAATTAAAAAAAAACTCAAGAAAAAAACAGATGTATTGGTAATAGATATGAAAAGGTAATAGTTTTGAGTATGGTTGAAATGATATTCAAGATATATTCAAAAGAGATCTAATCAGCATTAAATGCTGTTAAATTACTTGCTATTACAAGTGCCTGCGATCTTTTTTTGCACAATGATTGACGAATTTGATTAAAACGAAAAATAGAGTAGATTTGGTAAAGTTGCCAAACAATAAAGTTAAATCATATCTAATAGTAATAGCTAATATTTAAATAATAATCAAATAACAATTAAATAATAATTAGATTGACCAAAGTATTCTGATCTCAAAAATGTCTCATTGTTGGTGGATTTTGGTTTTAAAGTTGGAGGTTTTTTTGAACTTATCTGTAAAACATTTGAAGGTTGCCAAAATTATTATACTTTTTCAACACATTTATTGCACATATTACACGTATTACACTTATTACACGTATTACACTTATTACACTTTTGTTTTTGTTACGCTTTTGTTACATGTCAAATGAAAATAAGGAGATTTTGGGCTGAATCACAGTTGATGAATGGCTATCTTGGACGTGGAGGAGAGTTAAAAAGGAAAAATTGTGTTATCAACCCTTGAGTTTTAAACAAGTGAGAGCAAAGATTGTTAGTGAGTCGGGAAAATGAATAAAGCGAATGGCGATTTTTATTAAGAGATTATCGAGCCATTTGATTTATGTTGCTTTTTTTTTGGTTTTTTTTTTTTACTGGTTTATTTGACTGTTTTAACTGTTTTAACTGTTTTAAATGTTTTAGTTGCTTTTGGTCTGCATTTCTTTTTCGTGTCTTTTTATGTTTTAGTTTTTGTTTTTTTGATTGTTGGTGCAAATGTTAGTGGGTTGTTTAATGGCAGGGGAATTTTAAATCGTTTATTAGTTTTCTTTTGTTAGTTGCAAACTCCACAAAATTAGCTTGAATTATAAACAATACTGAGGGAAGATTATTGGTCAGTTTGGATAATGATCCACTACAGACGTTGTCCGAAAAAAAGCATAAAACACCAGTGAAAAATATGGAAAAAAAGTGCTGTGGGCTTGTTAAGTTATTTTAAAAATGGGAACTTTCTCTTTTGTTTGTTTTACTGTGCAATAATTTCATGTCGAAGGACCCCACCAGTTGAGAAATGTTTAAAATTGGGGATGAAATATCGGTAGTCAGATCAAAAACCAGTGGAAATTTGGTTAAAAACGATTAAAAGGATGGATAAAGGATGGATAAAGGATGGGTGAAAGATGAATAAAATATGGATATTGATGGAGATTAATAATTATTATTAATTATTAATTGTTGGTTATTACCCATTTTCGCTTGATATCCCCCAGGATTTCCCATATTCACACTGAAGAGGTTTCCGTTGTCAGTACTCTTTGAATTTTAATTGTATATAAGTAAACAGAAAGCGTGTTGGTTTATTTATTATTTTGTGGTTTACGACCATCTCCATTTTGTGTAGAAGATGAAATGCCCACTAGTGTCTTGATCAAAGGAGAATTTTGATCCAACTTCCTGAGCATTTGAACAAACTAGTGTTTAAGTCCACAAACCTGCTCAACGTTACCAGTGGTGAGCAATTGATGATCTGATTTGATGAGCATTATGGCGAACTCAGATAGAAAGTTGCAACAAGAAAAGCACTAAAAGCAGAACAAGAATAAGTGGAACAGAGCAGAGGGTCTCTTATCAATAGGACGCCATTGCCTATTGCAAACAATAGTTTCTTGATCTGGTCTTAGAAAGGGTCTTAATCGGCCTTAAAGAAAGGCCTTAAAGAAAACCTCTCACAGCTCAAACAGATCTCAGAAACACTCCAGAACTTCAACAAACGTTTTCACCACAATAAGCCCAAATGAACTGATCGAAGCTCACAACACAGTGGCCCCACAGCCAGTGAAACTCCCATTCACTAACAGCCTGGTCTCAGACTGTTGATGTGACAGAGGCTTCCTTCGCCCAACTCTGCGAGATCTGAGCATCTGTGCTTCTCCATCCTCTTACTCCTCCAACACTTACTCTGCCAGGGCTTTCTTTCTCAGAAGCACCTCCCTATAAGTCATAGCTGTTGCTTCCTCTGGCGCATCCTCTGCTTGCTTTTCGTGCTTCTCTGGTTCCTGCTTAGCTGCTTTGGAAAAGTGAGGCATTTGAATTGCCAATCTGAGTTTTAGCCTTTTTTGCTTTCTGTTAATCTTATTCTTAATCTTATTCACAGGACTAACAAGCATAATTTCATGAATTAAAAGATGCACATATAGGTTACATAACATGAAGGTTTTTTAAAACATTCCAATAATTTATCAAAACTGTTAATCTTAAGATTTTCTTTTCCAATTTTCCATATCTTGATTTTTGATTAATCGTTAAGCTGTGTAACCAACTAATTCTACTTTTGCATTTATTTCCTATAAATTTTATTTCACTACTACAGTCAAATGCCCTTCACACATTCACTTGTTGATTTCATCTCATTTCTGAATTAATATATATAAAGAAAAAAATTCCTCCTTACTATCTTAATTTTTTTTTTGATCTCTCTCTCCAATTTTCTTAAATCTCTTTCTCACCCAATACAATATAATTAAATATCATATTTTTATCCCTCTATTAAATATCTTGACATAAATATATATCCTTAATATTCTAATACTCTAATATTCCAACATCTTATTTCTATCCCTCTATCACTTTTTACCCTATAAATACTTTAACAATGGTCTCAAAATCTGATATCAAACCAGCAGCCACCTGGAGATTGGAAAAGGCTAAACAAAGAATGTTGAAATTGCAACAACAAAAGAAAAAAGCTGCAGAAGCTGCAAATCACTCCTCTGATCTACAATTCCATTCTCCCAATAACGATATCTCTCCTCAAATTGACAACAACAATATAATAGACTCTCAAATTCACAGCGAAAGTGAAGACGAGCTCTCCAATCCAAACCTAAGAAGATCAGTTCACAAAGAAACTCTTGATTCCCTTACAAGCTCTGCAAGTAGTCTGATATCTTCTTTCACCCACTCTGATGAATTCACTTTCACTGATTCTAAAATAAATTCAAATTCAACTTGTTCAAGTGTCTCCTTGAATTCTTACTATGATTCTACTGTAGCTGGCTCCACCTCAAGTGTCTCAACTTATAGCTCATCCACTACTGATTCTTTTAACAACGAGTATTCTATTGGCTTGCTTACAAACAACATATCAAACACCAATACCAACAATGTCAATAGCAACAACAATAATACCAATAATAATAATCACTCCTCTTTCTCTTCAATAAGCAATCACAACAGCATAACAAAATCTTTAGGCTCTTCATCTTCTGCTTCTCATGAAAATGTTGTTAAACCTTTAATAGTGAGAAACAATCGCTCAATCATGGGTTTTGAAGAACAATTAATTTCTTATCCTTAAAAGTAATAAATTAAAAAAGAATAAAAAAAAAGTGATTTTATCTTTAATTTTCAATTTTTTTTTGTTTTTTGTTTTTTGTTCTTGTTTTGCTTATGTCTTTTGTTTTTTGCTTATATCTTTCTTTCTTTTTTTTCGCTGTTGCTCATCTGGATTATTATTGTTCATTGTATTATTCTATTCTATAAAATGAAAAAGAAAATTATTCTTATATCTCCCACCTGTTTATTTTCAAAGACTCAAATTTTTATATATAGTAGTTACATTTTATTATAGCCAATTTTATTTAATTTTTCTTTTCAATTCTTAGTAACTGATTTCAGTTTATCTTTATTTTTTTCTTAAGGCTTTTTACTTTTATATTTGTTTTGTTTTGTTTTTATGGGTTGGTTTTCTTTTTTTTCTTTTATATATTAAATGTTATATTGTTTATGTCATGAAATTAAATCAATGTAGATTCATAGAATATCATATAACAAGTTCATTGATTTCATTTAATTTAATTTAATTTCAGATATTTGTCATAATTTTATCATCAACTTGATCAAACGATTTTGTTAATGTTATTTTTAATATTATTGTTATTTTTATTTTTATGATTGTGGTTGTGGTTGTGGTTCTTTTAATTTTGTATTTGTATTTCTTTTGTATTTCATTTTATTTTATGGTACTGCAATTTGTATGACAATAAAATTTTATAATTATTCTGGCTTTCATTTAACAGAATAATTGAACTGTCAATTTCACTAAAGGTATACAAAAGGAAAAAAAAAGTTAGTTCAAGCCTAACCAAAAGAAGAAATAAGCAAAATGTGCAAATTAATCATTGTAGAATAAATTGTCAATCACAAATTATAAATTCAATAATGAATCCAATAATGAATCCAATTAGAAATTCAATTAGAAATTCAATGATAAATTCAAGATTTCAGAAACCAGAACAACCAAAAATGCAGATTGTAAAAAAAAACACTTATTAAATCAGAACATCAATTAAGAAAATAAAAATTATAAGAAAAAACAGGATTCTTTTTGTTTTATCAACTTCAAAAATAAGAGTTTTGTTTTTCAAAACAAGAGATTGAATTGAATTCTTTGAGGCAAAAAAAAGCGAGACAATAGTTGTATTAGTGGAATTCAGGAAGATAAAAGATAGAATGTTATATTTTTATTTCTTTTTTTTATTATTATCGTTGTTATTTTCGTTTAAAATATAACTAAAAAAGATAAATTATAAGGATATAAAATAAACAAAATATTGAAATGTTTGATTTACTAAATAGATTAGAATAATTTTGGAATAATTTTGAATAGTGAGTAATTGGTGAAAATTTTTTGAGATTAACTAAAGCCTCAAAGAAATAATAAATATTCCTCACTTGAGTATGAATTGATGATTATTCCCCAACTAGTAAGGAGATTTTTTTTATCCACCATAATTATAAATTAATTATTAATTATTAATTATTTTTATTTTTTTTTTATTTTTATTTTTAGTTTTATTTTCAATTATTTTTATTTTTGAATTTAAAATTAATTCAAAATACGCATTCAAACCATGATTGGTTCTGGTATAAATGACAGCAGTCAAATGCAAATAGGTGAATAGGTAAATTGGTAAATATGTAAATGGGCAAACAGCCAACAGGAAAGTAGGAAAATTAGATTATGAGCTATTGAGGCAGATAAAATAAAATTTGAAATTGATAAGTTTTGACAAATTAATACATATAATCTGCAAGGCAGCATTATAATTGTTATGTAATAGTATGTTATTCAGTTACTTTATTTGTTGAGAACAAAGTCAACCAAATAAAACAAATGAGAGTTTCCAGTGAAAAAGTGGACCCAAAATGTTTTGAGTAACTCAAAAGACAAGCAAGTAAAGGGAAACCAAGGAGACTAGACAGAGCAACCAATTGGAGCAGAAGTTTCACACTGTGATATTGAGAATTTGCAATATAAATGCAATAAGGATAAGAGCTGGGAAAATCTCGAGCAAAACACAGGCTAGATAAAAGTTAGGTACAAGAGAACATAAGTTTCCAGCTAATTTGAATTAAACATCTGATTATTTGTAGATACAGGTAAAACGCCAGCAGTAGTGACAGATTTAGCAACAGTAATTGTAGCCAAAGAAGCAACTGAAATGAGAACAAAGAGGAAAATGCTGGTAACAGCTGGAACTAAATCCACATAACAAGACCTGCAACAACTGGTAGAACCACCATCTGAACTGCGATATAATTAGGATTAGGATTATGGTTAGAATTTAAATTTGGATTTGCTTTGGATTTACTCGAAGGAACAAAGCATAAACCCAGCCAATAACAAAGCAGATTTTGAGTAAGCAGATTTCGAGCAAAGCTGTTTTCAAGAGCAGGTAGTTTCAGACTCAGAAGCAGCAGCAACAACAACAACAGAGGAAAGAGCAGCTTGGGGTTGGAGAGAAGGCGAGTGTTTTGTCTGTTTATCTGGTTCTGAACACCACAGCGAGATCAAACCAGGACAAGCAAGAACAAATCAGAACAAGCAAGAACAAGACACAACCAGAAGAAACAAGACAACACACAGAGAACAGCTGAAACACAGAGCTTCTTCACCAGAGAATAGCGAAGAAGAAGACGAAGAAGACAAAGACAAAGAGACGACACAACTCTCGATGGTATGGGCTAGAGAAACACTTTGCTGTTCAGGAGATGGTGTTTTGTTTGAGATTGGCACTAAATCTTGTTTTCTGTTTCTCTTGTTCTGATTCGCATTATTCGCTTGTTAGCTGCTTTCGAAAGACTGATTGTGCTATTTAACTGGCTTTTTTTTGTTCTTTGGTGACTTATTTCAGCACAAATATATGTTGTGGACATCTTCTGCTCAAGCTGGTCATAATTCTTTCGCAATAGAGAAAACAAGTATCTTTGCCATCTTGACTAAAAACTTTCAATCCTGAATAGAAATTTGCACTCTTGAATATAACTTACTAGAAATTGCTGAAAATATTTAAATATTCCACTAACGGTTTTTGGAGTTGAATTCATTAATTGGAATCAAACTCATTGAATTGTTGTTTTGAAAAATAGTTATACTGAAGATAAATTGATTTCAAATAAATCATTTCAATTCAATTAAGACCTAGAGGATTATTAAACTGTTATAATAGATTTGCCAAACATTGAACTGAATTGACTTTAATATATTGAATTTCAATATTAATTATATTCATTATATTCATTATATTCATTATATTCATTATATTAATTCAAAGTTTATCTTTCTTTCACTTCATTTAACTTTGTTTAACTTTGTTTAACTTTATTCAACTTTATTCAACTTCATTTTTTGCAATTAAAGGTACCAATTGGATTTTGTATAACTTAACAAACATTTAATTACATCCTTTTGAATTGGTTGAACTGGATTTATTGCCTTGAAATCTTTTAGAAAAAAAACATACTCACAATTTTTAATACTAATACTAAAAATACTAATACTATTCCATTAAGAAAATACTTGAATACGGAATCAATTCAATTAAAAAAAGGGAAACCTCAACAAAAGTATCAAAGAAAAGTATTATAGAAAATTATTATAGAAAAAAATAAAAGAAAATTTCTTAGCCATATCTGAAAAAAGATTGAGCAGATCAAAAAAAAACAATTAACTGATTTCTTCTAAACAATCCGCCAATAATTTAAAATCTTTTTCTCAGGAGAAGAAGCAAGAAAACAATTTCTGTGAATTATTCAAAAACAAAACGACTCAAAAAGGGTGCCAAAGAAAACAAATTGAACAGACTGCTAAAGACAATTGTTTATAGATAAACTAAAAAGAAAACAAACAGCAGTTTTAAAAGTAATCAGAAAGAAATAAGTGAAAATCTGAATAACTGCTCAATTGCAAATAAAAAAAAAACATCAGAAAACTGTTAAAATTCGCTTTTTGTTTTCAAAAATTCGGGAAAAAACCTTAAAGAAAAAACTTATAAAAGGTCATAAACATTGTTTATTTATTTTTGTTGAAGACAAAAAGATATTGAGAAAGAATTCAAAGAGCATTTTATTTGTCACTTGCTCTAACAAAACAAATGTTATGGTGATCTTTCCATCCACCTATTAGAAAGAAGATAGAACGAAGCACAATAGTCAGAAAAACCAACAAACGAAAATCTATTTAAGAAGATATTTTTTTTTCTGTTTTTTCTTCTCTAAATTTTTTACATTTCATCTGCCACCACTATCACTCCACTACTGTATCTTTAAAGATGAATCGTCTCCCTTTACTTGACATGTCTATGTTGTTGTAAGTTGATATGTTTGAGGTTTACTTGGTATGTGGACAGTGTATAGGCGTCAAGGTTTCTACTAACACAAAAAATCACATTTCATTTAGGTCCAGCCAATTAGGCTTTTATGATATTAAGGGTGTGATCATTATGGATAAAACCAATGGCGATTTATTTTCGTCTGTTGGAAAGTTCTTTCATGGTAGAGATCCACAGCTAGATGCTCGATATGTCTTTAGAGTCTTGAATTACAAGATACAAAAGAATCTAAAAGTGTTTACGAGTGATGGGTTTGGATTTCTTCTCTATTGTAATTGCGTTGTTTATTTATTTTGCGATAGGTTTTCAAGAAATATCTTGGTTGCTTTTGCTGAAAATACACCAGCAAATTTGGAAATATTAGACGATTTTAAAGATCCAGATGCTCCATTCTTTCCAATTACCTCAACCGATTGTCATCCAAATCCTGAGGCAAATTTAATTTCAACTTCAACTTCAGCTTTTATTCTTCATTCCAACTAATCAAATGGTTTAAATAATTTAAGTGATCAAAATGAACTACATGAATAAGCTAGAATTTGTCTATCAACTTTTTTCTAACTTCAATTAACTGCTCTATGATATATCACAACAAAAACCACTAGAAAACTTACACCATCTTATACTATCCATACTATCTTATACCATCTTATATTATCTTATATTATCTCATATTATCTTATCTCATATATTATATCATATATTACATTATATATTATATCATATATTATACTATATACTATATCCTTCATCAAATCATATTGAATTACTAAATCAATATTATATCATTTCATATCATTTTAAATTATATTATGCATACTTTTTTTTTATTTTGTTGCTTTTTTTATCAGAGGTTTATTAAATCGATTTATTTTTTTATTTAAAATCCATTAAACATAATATACATATGCCTTTTTATTTATCTATTGAGAATAATCTATTAAAGGTAGTTTTACTTGCTTTTATTTTACTTTTTTTAACCATTTCATATATTATTTCATGCTGTTTTTTTACAATTAACTAACAAATGTCTATTTAATATAAATTCACCTATTGATCAAATCCAAACAACAAAAGAAAAGAAATTTCAATGAAAGATTTGTTTAAGGATGTTAGAATTTTCAATTTTCAATGTTTGTGATTAAAAATAATTCCCAATTGTCGATTTATCAGCAAATTAAAAAGATTTATTGTTCTTATGAGAAATAGTTTATTTCTTAGTTTCCTAATTATAGTTTTAAAATCTTTCTATTATTTTATTAAAACACATAAGACAGATAAAGTCTGGGAAAAAAAAAGAGAAATTTTCACTCCAACCTTCAGGCTTTGTTATTATGATTGTAATTGGCCGAAAGAAATTTCAATATAATATTATAAAATGTGAAGTATTTAAAAACGAATAAAATAAATCACCAAAATAATCGAAATTTATAGTTGAAATTTAAAAACTAGATGGAAAAAAAAAGAAATTCAGATTTCACAGCAAGGAAAATGTATGAAGTGAAAAGGTGAAAATCCAGAAATTTTATTCCAAGAACTTGACAAAAAGGAAATAAAAATAATATTTATAAGGACTTTATTTTAAGACAAAAAAAATAAAAGTGTGGTCGATTTTATAGTTTTATATAATAAAATGATCTATTTTGAAACTTTTTAGATCAAAATATGAAGAAAATCTAAAAACAACATCTACCTATGAATGAAGTTGTCATTCGAGTTTCAACACAAAAAAAATAATCTGTATCTACTAGCCTCATTAAAAAGAAGCAAAGAGAGAAGCATTTTCCAACTGAAATCAAGTGGAAATAAACTTGTGTTTCATTAATTTTAATTGATTTCAAGTGATTTCAGTTCTTTTTTGTGAATTTTGAAAATGTTTTTAGGTTGAAAAGCGCATGTTGGCGCATGACAAAATTAGGTAGCACTATGCATGCATGTGTATACGTGCATATATATGCTAAAAATCGTATTTGTAGATTTCCTAATCGGGTATTGTTATCTTTGACCAATCAAAGTCGGGGAATGGATTCTGTGTATAAATCAAAGCTTAAAGAGGCTTGAAATCAAAAAAAAGGATCTCGATCATTAGACTATAGAGGTACCGAAGTTTTTGTGTCTGCAAAATTAAAGATTAAAACAATGAAATCATATTATTTTCTTTTCTTTTGGTTTGCTTGTTCTTGTTTTGGTAAAAGAATGGTATAAGTTGAGTTAGATTTTTTTCAAATGTGTTAAAAGCATAATGAAAAACAAAAATTAAAAATTTATTAGAATTGAAAATTTTTTGATAAATCTGAGAAGTAAATTGGGCAAGTAAAAAATAAAAAGTAATAGATAGTAAATAGTAAATGAGAAATGGTAAGTAGATAAATAACAAAATAAAGTAACTAAAAGAAATCATTTCTTGTTTCTTTTTTATTTTTACTTTAATTTAATAGTTTGGATTAGAAATGCCATTAATTGATTAAATATTATGAGCTTTATAGGTTGTTCTTAACTTAGAAAAGTAACTATCTCTATCGATATAACAACCCTTTAGCCATCTTTTGCTACCAACTTCATCAACAAACTCAGTTCTTGCATGTAAGATTCTTCTGTTGTCAAAGATAACAGCTTCGCCAGCTTCTAATCTCAATTGGTATTGATTTTCTGGGTTATTGATGAAATCTTCAAAGATTTTTAAACCTCTATGGAAGTCTCTAAATAAGTATCTATCACCTGAGTCCTTTGCAGATTGGTAATTATCAATTTTACCATGATCTTTAAAATCACCGATTTTTCTTAATGGAGAGGTAATACCGAATTCAAAAGGAGCTTGGAATGGGGGAGAGTAATTAATTTCTGTGATTTCAGCCAAATTAGTTAAAGGATCGATTTTATTTTGGTCTTCGACTATTAAAGGTCTTGAGTAGAAATAGTGATGGCCATCGTTGTCATAATGGTAGTTGATTGGAACATTGCAAAGGGCAAAGTAACCATGAGGATCCTTTTCCATGACGTATCTTGCTGCATTAAAGGCATCAACAAAAATTGATTCACCACCTTCAACTTTATTGTTGATTGAATGCAAGAGTTGTAAACCTGGTGGAGATTCATAGTACATCAAGTCCATGTGAAGAATGATTTCTTTTGATGAATAGGCTATGTTTTTAGGAGTTGGAACAGATCTTACATCAAATAATCTTCCCCAAAAGGTTTCCTTAATGTAACCAATTTTCTTAGCAATTTTTTCAATGTATGGGTCTTCAGTGTCGCCAATTTCAATATCCTTTGGAATATTATTAATAAAGGTCAAACCGAACTTATTCAAGTTAATTAAAGAATTTAAAAAGGCCTTATCTTTATTTTCCAAGTAACTGATATAGTCATAATATAAGACTCTATGAGGTTTGAGCAATTTCTTCAAGTTCCAAAATTCCACTCTATCTTCATAGTATTTGCCAGATTTTCTGTTTTCGTCAGAGGAGTATTTTCTCAAGAACGATTCGGGATAAACAGATTCATTCTTGTCGCTCCAATTAATCTTAATCACAAATTCATTAAGAGAATTGTCAAAATAGATTTCTGGTTCCTTTGCTGGAATTAAATCCTTTGGAATCGAAGATGTTGTGAACAATTTTTGGCCAGAAACAGGGTCGAATGCATCAGGGGAGGTGGAGGAGTCCCTTAAGAAAACATTGCTGAAATTGACAATGTCAGGAACACTGTAGTCCTCGTTGTCGATAAAGGTGATTGAGGTGACCTTATCGTTGTAGAAGTTGATTTTCAAGGTGGGTTTGTTGGCAGTCATTGTGGCAGAAGAAGAGAAGAATAAAAGAATTGATGGTGTGTTGAATCACTGAAGAAGCAGCACAATAGACAATTCCACTCCATCACAATGAATGGTATTTATACTGTCCACCTCACGCAACGGGCCAATGAAACGGCGCCGTAAGAGCATCGCAAAGATCAGCTTCGAGAGACAAATAAAGACATAAACAGCCCCAGCACTCGCTTCCCCAGAAAACGTGCACAGTGCGCTGATTGGCTGGGAGCAGCCGCTCGCCCAGAACCCGCACTGGTCCAGCGCGGCGGGTGCGGCGAAACACGCGACCCGGACTGCGAGATACGAGCACACATCCGGGAACGGACGTAAACTCAGATACGGTGGAATACAGCCATAATACGGCTCTATTGCGGTTTCAGATACGGGAGCCTGGATGAGCCGAGGGTGGAGGGAGAAAAGGGAAGAAGATGGTGGAAGTGGCGAAGATGGTGCCTATGCATCATGGCTGCTCTTTCTGTCTACTCCCAGGCCACTCGAACTGTCCATCTTGACCCAATGTTCTTGGGGTATCAACACCCTTAGTTCTGCTTTGCCAGTTGGGTTTGGCCAGAAGTACTAACTGAACCATTCCTTTAGTGATTCTCCTTTTGAGAAGATTGGAAATTTGTTGAGATTAATCGACAACAGTCTCTTGCAATTGCATGGACGCTTGATAATATCGTTGACCAACTATAGTCGTGCTCGAAAGAGAAAGTATTCCTTTCCAGTGAAGAAGGAAATCAGAGATACCAATAACAACAGTAAAAACAATAACAACAACAATAACAATAACAGTCTTGATGCTGACCACAACACATATTACTCAAATCTGAAATTGGTTTTCCCAAGTGATTCTGAGTCTCAGTCTTTGAAGTTCATTCAGTTTTTAAAAGTCTTGAAACTAATTTATCAAAACTTATCTTTGAGCCATCTCAGTTTCATCACAAAGAGAGATTTATATTACAAAGATGTCTCTCTTTTCAAACATCAATCTATAGTTGACCAGATCATTAAGAACATATCTCTAAATTTAAATCTATCTTTACTTGATTTACATTTATTACCTTCTCAAAAGGGCTTGATTTATCTTTCAAACTTGCTCATTTATTTCGATACAAATAAAACTCAAAACAAGATTCAAAACACAATTTCAACTCTAATTCCTCCTTTATTCGATAATATCAAGATAAGCATACTCAACACTTGTCCGAATATTAACAACAGCAACAGCAACAGCGATACCAATAACAATAACAATAACAATAACAATAACAATAACAATAACAATAAAAATGATCACATATTTTTAATTATTGTTGAAAAAGAAGCTGTTTATAACACAATAATCAACTATTCATCTCTAATAAACAAACTAAACTCAATAGTCGTAACCGCTAAGGGTTATCCTGACAATTTAACTAACAATTTCTTGTTAAGTTTATCTTCTTCTTATAAAAACATCCATCTTTTAAGTTTTTTCGATTCTGATCCTTATGGCATTAATATTTTCTTGAATTATAAAAAAATCATTAAAAATTTGATCTATATTGGTGTATCAATCACTGATTATTTTAATACCTCTACTGGTGATTACCTAGATTTACCTCACAGAGATTTTGTTTTTGCTAAAAATTTATTATTAAACTTATCTATCAACAAATCAACAAATCAATTTACTGATAAAAATGATAAATCCATTAAAAAAATTAAAATTGAATTACAAAGACAATTGTTTTTTGCTAAAAAATGTGAAATGAATGTTGTCACAAGTAATGAGTCCTCTTTTTCAGTAAATAACTTGCCTCCTTCCAATAAAATTCATAACAATAATAGCAATAATAATAATAATAACAACAATATTATCAATATTAATAATATTAATAATAATTTCTTATATCAAAATTTAAAATTCATTCATAATTTTCAAAATAATGATCCCATCACTCAAAATTATAATTTAGATAAAGATCAAACTAATATAAATTCCTATATAAATCAGAAAATTCAAGATTACGCAAAATCACATAATTTAAATTTATACATTTAAAAGCTGATAGCTAATTAACTCTGTTCAAACAATGGATCTGAAATAACAATTAATTTTCTCTTATTTTTCTTATTTTTCTTGTTTTTTTTAATTTCCCTTTTAATTTCATTTTTCAATCTAGTCAGATTTAAAATTTCCTCTAATTCATCTTTGCTTTGATTTAACTCAATCTCATACTGCTTCGATTTCTCTAATTCATTTAAAGGATCTAATGCAATTTTTGTACCCCAAACTGTAGTCTTGAAACTTTTGCCTCCATTCCTGTTAATATTTCCATCATTTGTATTAAAATCTTTTTCATTATCATTTTGATAGCTGCCGTTATTATTTTCACCACTAATTACTCGTTGGCTATTATTGTTGCTTTTTAACTCAGGAAAGGATTCATCATTAAATTCAATTGTTCTATTTGCTAAAGAATTTTCATAATCATCATAATAACTAACTCCCCAACCATCATTTTCTGCTCTATAAAAATCCTTGGTTTTTTTCTCTAAACTTTTCATTGCATTTTGTTTATTTCTCTCTTCTCGATAATATCTATCTTTATTTTTCTTCCACCTATTTATTATTTCCTTTTTAAACTCATTATAAATATTGCTTGGCAATTTAATATAATTTTCATTTGTTTTGCAATTTTTAGCCATATATTGCCAATCTATTTCAATAAATGCTAATTCTGAGCCAACAGGTAAATGGCTTAAATATTTATATTCTCTAATGACATTTTCGAATGTTAATATTTCCCCATAAGTTATATTTTGAATTCTAATTAGAATATTAGAAGGAAAATTTCCATAGCTGACAAATAAACTTCTTAAAATTCTTCTATCAAAGGAGGATAATAAATAAACAATGTTAGACTTGAAAGAGGTTTGATAATAAAAATAAGAATTAGCTTCATTATATGCTGATAATACATCATAATTACCATTATTGTTATTGTTGTTGTTATTATTAGTATCAGAATCAATAATTAGGCTATCAATGTTTTTGATTAAGGGGTTTAAATTTAAAGAGTCATCGAACTCGTTATTAGACTTTTCATTAAAATGAGTATTGTCCTTGATACTACTTTTGTTATTAATATGTATTGAAAACTTTTTTTCAAAAATTTCAATTGATTCGTCAATTTCTGATATTGCTTTATTAACATAAAGTTGCAAATCATCAGTAGCGGCTTTATTTCCACGGTACAACAATAAATCCTCATTAAATTGGGATAATATTGCAGATTTTTCAAGTTTATACTGATTAATTATAAAATTCAAGTTTCCTTTCATAATTCTAGTATAAGGGTAAATTTCCTGACTTAAATTGTTTAATTCGTCATGAGATGAGCAGCACCATGGAATATTAGTCAACTTTTTGAAATTTGGGTTATTGGAAATTGGTAAAGAGAGTATCGAATTATGAGGTTTTATTAATAAATTCATTAAACAATCCAGATTTGGTTTCGGTAAATCAAATCTTTCATCGAAAGTTGAGTCAATTAATACTGGTAAAATTAAGTCATTGTTAACTTTATAATGACAAACAGGGCATTGCTTTTTTTTATTTTTGCAATTTTCAAGAGACACCAAATTGTTGGAACTAAAACTATTGTTATGGAAGTTCATTGGATGGTTATTATTAGACGTAGCATTAGATTTTGAGGTAACATCTTCAACATCTAAAAACCGTAGTAAGCAAGTTAAACAAAAACAATGGCCACAGTTAATCATCCTGGGAGCAATCAAATTTTCTTCAAGGCATATAGGACAAGAAATCTTTTTTTGAACTATCACTCTTAAAATACTATAATGCTCGATAGGAACATTTGGATCGAAGATTTGATTTTTATAATCGCCTCTAAAGTCAACTAAAAATTTGAAATTTGCGTTTATATAAGATTCGCCCTTAAGATGAACAAAATTGTTTTTTTTTGAATTGTTTCTGTTTTTTGATGACTGATAAAAATTAGCATTTTTAATATTGGAATTTCTAGTATCATTATTACTTCTATTGCCATTATAAGTAGAGTAGGAGAATTGAAATTCATCGTAATCTTCAAAAAAAAGTTTTTTATATTTCTTTTGAGGCCTATAGCTGCCAGATTTTGACTTACTATTATTTTCTCGACCCAAGGACTTGTTCTTGTCCATTTTCAAAGCCTTTTGTTGGAACTTGGTGTTCTCGTTAGTTTTTGATTGGGATAGTTGTGGTTGCAAATGTTTTTGAGAGCTCGAATCCTTCTCAGACTTCATAATTCCACTTCAATAAAACAGTATTAAAACAAAATAATAAAGACATATATAAATCATCTAGAGAAAGACTCTAGAAGATGAATAAGGGCTGCAGAGAGGAAGCAGAAACAGCAGAAGCACCAACTAAATGATAAGTTTCGAAGCACAATTTCGAATAGTTTCCCGGTCTGGTCGGAATGTAAATCACGCGAAATCACCGGAACTTAGCAAAAAGGCCACAAAAAAATGTCCTAAGTGGGCGACGGCAAAAGAACCAAAAGAAACAGAAGTAGAAGTAAAAAAAACAAAGGCAGTTAAAGAAATTCTAGTCCAACGTGTATTGGGTTATTTCAGTATTCAAACTATATAACTAGAACTAAAGTATATAAAAAATAGTAGTGTAATAAAAGAACAACGATTGAAATAGATGAAAATCATCAAAATGAAGACACATGAAAATAAAAACTTATATTATGATAAAAAAATTTACAAAGAACATAAAACAGCTTTTCACAAACTCTCTTGTTTTTGGGGTTAATAATGCCATAAATAGTGATAAATTGAAATTAAAATTTAAAATCTAAAAATTAAGAAATTGAAAAATAAATGCATGATAGACTAATAAAAAATTCTTGAGGTTTTAAACTAATGTTGATAAAAAAATTAAAAAAAAATAAAAAAACTAGTGTGTATTTTTCAATGAAATCCTCCAAAGTTATTTCCATTAAATTGCCCAAAAGACCCATTATTCATTTGTTGGTGAATTTGATTACCCATTCCATTATTTATAGCACTATTCATATTGTTGATATTATTATTGCCCATATGATTGTTCATATTATTAATAAAATTTGGATTGTTCCCAGAAATTAAATTAGGTAAAGGATTTCCAAATCCTATCGTCTGTTGTGATTGTGGCCCAGGACCTTGAGGTAACTTATTGATCGAATTCATAAACCCATTTAGATTCATTTGTTCAAATCCATGGTTCATGCTGGCCATATCATATCTACCTCCAGATGGTGGCGGCATTCCCCCAATATTGAAATTCTTGTTATTGTTCATAATATTGCTGTTAATGTTATTGAGGTTATTGATATTTCCCATATTGTTATTCAAGTTATTATTGTTCATCATACCATTGTTTGGAAGTTGATTAAGAAAGTTGTTGAAGTTATTATTTGCCAACCCATTAAAAACAATTCCATTATTATTGTCCATAAATTGGTTACCTTGGTTATTCATCATGAAATTTGATGGAAGCTGTCCCGCAAGTGGATTGATAATTTCAGAAGGAATGATACTACTATAAATATTATTATTGTTGCTACTATTGTTATTGCTGCTACTGTTATTGTTACTATTGTTGTTTTTATTTCTTCTTCTATTTGAGGAATGACTTCTTGAATGTCCATGATGATGTCTATTTCCGTTTCCATCGTTTTTATTTAATCCAACTTCTTCCATCAATCTCTTATATCCTTGATATGATGGATTCATGTCAAGTAAAACTGTTCTAATTTGCTCAATAATAAAATTCTTGCATTCAGGAGTTTTTCCCTCTGAAATTAATGGTGTTGATAATACTTTGTGAATAAATGTTGCACCATAATTATTTTCACTTAATATTTGATGTAGTAACTCAGGTGGAGGAACTTGATTCATATTGTGGGGTTTTTCTTTATGATTAAGATTCTCATTACTTAAAGAGCAAGACGATGAAAAATTGTTTAAAAGATTAGTGCCAATATTCGAATTCTCCAATTTATTTTCGAAAACAGTATCCTTATCGTCATTTTTCTTGTCAGTTTCATTTTCGGATCCGTTTAATAGTCTATTCTCATTGCTAATACCAGTGCTGTTATTTTCGTCATTGATATTAATATTGTCATTATTGCTGTTATTAGTTTTTGCTTCATTGAAGTCAGAAACTAGTTGTTCTCCAGCTTCACTATTTAATGGTTTTGAAGGATCATATTCCCCAAATAAAGCATTTAATATTATCTCGCCTCCTCTAGTATCAGTTCTGTTATTTAATATTTTCAAAATAGTTAAACAACCCAATTTATGTGTGCATAACTGAGCCATGTGTGGCAATAATCTTGGTGCCAATATTCTATGTCTATCAGATAATGTACAAGTATCTAAAAACCATGTTAATAACAATGACCCGTTAGAGTTTGTTGCTAAATATTCAGCATACAATACAATTACAGATGATAGCAAAACAGTTTGTTCAAAATTTGAGTCTGAGCTTTCTAAAAATGCTCTAATAGCTCTTGAACCAAATCTATCTTGAGAAATGTTCCAAAAATTGGCTAGCATAACCTCAATAATAAAATCATTCCAAGGAGACCCAAATTTTAGACAACATTGTAAGACATAATTTCCAAAAGTATCTTTAAATAGTGGCGTAATGTAAGGCAATAAACTTTTGGAGATGATTTGTTTTTGTCTTGGACTATTTGCAACGTTAATAATTTTTTGAGCAGCCCATGTACCATTTTTGTGTATACCCATTTGACACAAGTATTTTGAAACTTCTCTTAGCATAATGTCTTTAATACAATTATCACAAATATCAAAGATTTTTTGAACAACAGTGTTACCAAGATAATCGGAAGACAATTCAGCTAGTTCACCAAGCATGGCCAATGCTAATTCTTCAACTTCAAATTTAGACAATGAATTAGATTCTATAGATTTACGAATTTCGCGCAATTTTGGTGCGTCAAACTGGCGAATCGCAATTGGATCAGGCAATGGACCATAATCTTTTTCGGAGCCACTATAATTAACAGCTTTTGAGATATAATAGTTAATTTCTGATTCGGAAAATTTGATTTCCTGTGGTTGTTCAACTGTATTTTTCAAGTGATTGAATTTTTTGACCAAAACAAGTAAATCACCAATGACATCTTGAAAAGCGGGTGCAATGTCTTTAATAGTAACTGGAATTAAAGACTTTTTATTTTTTTCCTTTTCATTATCAAGTTGTTTAGAGCCAGGAGAAGAATTTGAAGAATCTTGTAAGCTATTAGCTCTTGAGCGTTTGCCATTAGATTGTTGAGGCAGTTTTTGTTTCAGATCCTTTTGAATTTCTTGAGGTGGGTTTAACATTTTAGCAAAACCAGTATAACATTGCCAACCATTATAAATTTCGCGATGATTTAATTGAGCTTTTGCTTGCATTGCCACATCCATTGATTCAAATTCAATCAAAGCTGATATATTTTCAATTTCAGGTTTTGGAATGGAATTATTTGTAGAGGAATCTAGGGAGATTTCATTATCATTTTGGTTAATGCTGATCGATTGATTGTTTTGGTTGTTTAAAGAATCATCGTCAAGATCAATTCCCTCTTCAGCGGCTTCAGAAATTGTTGCCATTTCCGATTTAGTGATTTCTTTTGAATCCTTTTTGATTTGAATTTCCTTTGAAGAATCATTTGGACTATTAGATAATAGAGAATTTGAAGAATTGAAAACTCTAACGCTTAAAACGTTTCCAAATCTAGAACACATTTTAAATAGGTTGAAACTAGTTGTTACATTGTAGATTAAAGGAGGCAAATTGAGTAATAACACAATATTAGTTGGGCCTAAAGTTGGATTATTAAAAGTCGAAGTATAATTTAAATTTTTTAAAGGAATATTATCTAATAATAAGGGAGTTGATAGATTCAAGTTTGAATTATTATTGATGGAGATCAAGTCATTATTATTGGGTTGATGGCGATGATTTTGGTTGATTCTGCTAAGTTCAGGATATTGAATTGGGTTATTTTGTAACTGTTGAGGTAGTTGGTTGGTATTTGAGTTATTGTTGATAAGGATGTTGTTTTTGTTGTTTTGATTACTATTATTTTGAGAGTTATTGTTGTTGTTAAATAAATTGGGGTTGTTGTAGTATTGATCATTGAGATCATTGATGTTATTTTGAGGTAGAATTTGAGATAGAATTGGATTTAAACCATTGATTCCAGCAGAATAAGTTTGAGCTCTGGGTCTATTGATTTCATCAATTTTATTGAGTAGCAAGTTTTGGTTATTGATTGCATTTCCATAAGAGAGGTAATCATTTGGGATTGAGTTGTTATTTGCAGAGGGGTTGTTGGAATTTGAGGAATTGAGGTTTATATTTGAGTTGTTGTTTGTGTTTGGGTTATTAGTATTGTTATTTGTAGGAGTAGAAGCAGTGTTATTGGGAGTGGCGTTATTGTTGATGTTGTTTATGTTAAATTCATAATCGTAGGGAGACATGTCATGGATATTTTGCAGTTGATATTCGTTAATTATTTCAAAATGATGATTTGATAGAGAGTCATTGCCACCATTTCCAAGAAAAAAGTTATTTGTTGGTTGTTGAACAGCGTTGTTGGTTGTATAAGATCTTGCTCTGTTGTTGAGGAGACCCAAATTGTTGAGGTTGTTGATTGGGTTTAGGTTTAGATTTGGATTTAGATTTGAAATGAGGTTTAGATGATCTTCATTGATTCCCAAGAGACTTTGGATTGAGTGGTGGTGTCTTAAGGCAGGAATATTGTTACTAGCACTAGTTGTAGTGTTGATATTTTCAGGGTTGTTGTTGTTGTTGTTGTTGTTGTTGGTGGTGGTGGTGGTGGTGGTGGTGGAAGAAGTGTTGTCTATATTATTTGAGGAAATCAATTCATTTGGAGTTAAATTTTGGATTGAGATTGTGTTGTTATTGGATGGATTAGTGTTGTTTCCCCAAATTGAGTTTGAATCATTAAGGGTTAATAGCGAGCCAGATCTTAATCTAGTTGAGCTGGAGGTGCTTTTTGTTGAGATAGTATCTAGATTTGAGGAGTTGAAAGGATCCATTACAGGAGAGATGTTTATGTTGTTTGGGATATTAGTTGGGATATTGCTGTTGATTTGGTTAGGAGGTAGTAATAGAGAGGAAGAGGATGAGTTGTTGGTAGATAAAGAATCTAGGGGATAGAATCTTGAAGGTAAAGTGCCAGCTCTAGTTCTTGATCTGAAACTTCCTAGTTGAGGCGAGATATTTGTATTAGTAGTGGTGTTGTTATTAGTGTTGTTAGTGTTGTTTGTGTTTGGAATTTGATTTTGGTTTTGAGTTTGATTAGAGGTTGTATTATTGATGTTATTTGAGGAGGAAAAAGAATTTAATTGAATATCATTAGAATTGAATTGATTTGGAGTTTGAATCAAAGAGGGAGAGACTGGTCTAATTGGAGATTTTGAAATTGAAATTTTATGTAAATTTGAATTAGGAGTTAGGTTATTGTTATTGAGAGCGTTAATATTAGTGATGTTGTTGTTACTATTATTAATTGAATCTTGAGATTGAGAGAGATTACTCATTTTTTTTTAATTAAAAAAAAATTTTCTAAGAAAAAAAAAAAAATAAAAACAAGCTCAATAAATATAATTAAACAGATAGATAGTAGATAGACAAGTGAATAATAACGAGTATAATAAATGTAATAAGGAATTAGAGAATTAGAATGAGTAGAGAAATAAGAATAGAAAACGAAGAATTAATAATTAATGATTAGTTAGAAACCAGAGATTAGAAAATAAGAAAGAAAGAAAGAAATTATTAATAGAATACAAAAGGATTGAATAGAAAGATAAATGAAGAATCTGTTTTTTTAGTTCTTATTTGGTTCTTTTTAGTTTTTTTTTGTTATTTTTTCAATAATTGTTTTTGTTTTTAATGATAATGTTATAATGCTGTTGGTTAGATTGTTGTTTTTTTTTGTTTTTTTTTGTTTTTCTTCTTTATTTCTTTATTTCTTTATTTCTTTTTTAAATTTGCTGTCTATTTGTTCTTGATTTGTAGATCAGTTCTTCTTTGCAATAATAAACTGGATTTCAGTGGATTTAAAATTAGCAGTTTATCTAATTGAAGTGTTTAAGGTCAATAAGATTGGAAGATTATGAAATTAGCTAGAGTGGGCAAAAGTTGGTGAGGATGAGTTGGACGAATTAAGGGGGAGGAAAGTGAAAGTGGAAGAGGATGAAAAATGAAAAGAAAAAGCGAACAGCGAAACAGCGAAAAAAGGAAAAGCAGCAAAGAGAGAAAGACGAGCAATTGGCAGAGCAGCAAACAATGCCAGGCAAAAGCAGCTGGAAAGGAGACAAACACCACTGCCACACCAGCACAAGACCCAGCTTTTGAAGAAGCAGAAGAAGCACACGCAGCACGCGCAGCACGCGCAGCTCTGACTCGGCCGCCCCTGCCTGTCCGTTCTAAGTTGCGCGGATTCTGTGCTCACTCTATAACTTGCGCAACTTGTCGGCACCTTCCCGGAAAGCAAAGCCGAGCTCTGTTTGCGCTGCTGTGCCCGGACCTTTCTTGCACAGTTGCTGGGTTGGTGCACCGGTTTTGCTGGAAAAACAAGCTTTCTTCTGGCTGCGGTGCTGTCGGATACAACACGTGTGGTCGAAACAACGGCATCTGTTGCTTCTCATCTCAGTATCTCACAAGGGTTGAAGTTGTACCACAAGCACGTGCTTTGCTTTTGCGGTCTATCTCATGACGCCGAATAGCGAACGCTAAGCAAAAGTAGACTTCTTGTGTCAAACAGTATGCAAAAACATGTATTCGTGCAGCTACAAGCACGCTAAGTGTAGTCCTTCCATTCTGCTGGTTTGGTAAGACCTTGAACATCAAAGTATTTGGTGGTGCAGCTGTAACCTCTCCAGGTGAAGTCGTTATCTGGGTTGCACGAACAGTGGTGTTTCTTTCGAAACTCAGTGTTGAGAGGACAGCTGTGGTAGACTCCATGGTTGTATCCAATGTCGTCGAAAAAGTGGATTTTGTTACGGTCTTCAAACAAACTGACAGCAATCGAGTGAATTGGCGCGTCTCCCCATCTCTCGTAAAAGAATCCCCCGGTTTTATCCAAATAATCAAAATACTCTCGATATTTTTGGCTTCTAAAGAAATTCAAACTGGCAATCTCAAAATTCGACCAGAAATGACATAAATTGTATTTCTCTCCTCCATTGTCAGATAGGAAACTCATAAGATTGTTCTCGTGTAAATAATCTGGATGTTCCTTAAGAAAATCCTTTGTAGTCTGCCACAATGTTGGAATTGTAGCTTCAAATTCATAAATTGATATGGTGAATGCGTATGTTTGGTTAGTGAGCTCCATAAACTTGAATAAATCGTAGTCGATATCACAGTAAAATTTGATATCTGGTTCAACTCTCCAGTACCAGTCATATTCATCTAACAATGGATGTCTCCAGAGAACCCTGATTCAAACCTACACATGTGTCTATAGGACACTGAATCTCCATATATTATACCTTTTTCTTTCATTTCCTCTCTCGCTTTGTCTGCTTTCTCAACATCAAGAAAATCCGGATAAGACCATTGTTCTTTGGGAATCTTTCCATACTTGGTCTTTCCCGAAACAATTGCTGACGTTGCATCAATAAAGTCCTGCGAAAACTCTTCATCATTAAGGAAAATCCAGTCGTAATGAAACTTTTTATTGAATCGATCTTCAACTGATCGAATTGCATCAACTATCCCCCAAATATCGCTGTTTCTTGCCAATGTTACAAATGTAGCATTGGCTTTAGATTTCTTAAATATCCTGTACTGATTTTCTTCAAATGCTTTGACTAGCTCTTGATATTCACTCTTGGTTAATGATAGCTGCTTTTCATTGAAATTCTTGTTTAATTTATCCCTTAGATTCTGGTCCAACGTATCAAGACTAATATGATTATTATCATTATTATTACTATTATTATCATTATTATTATTGTCACTGGCAGCCTTATCGTCATTAAAATAACTGGTATCATGGTTGTTCTGCAATTCATCATACCCATCCTTATTGCCATCGCTAAATCCATCAGCACCCCCATGGGACAATATTTTCAAACCACCATCTTGTCCACTTGGCTGCTGCCCAAGATCCCCATTGTAATAGTAAATCGAGAGGGATGAGACCAACAACACCACCACCAAGATGGTTATCTTGAACCTCTGGTTCAATAGCACTCTCTTCGACATTCTGCTGTAATACGAATGGATCTGGTTCATCGTCTGCTCCTCAGAGATCGAAGTGCTAGCAACCAGAAATGAAACAGACGTGCAAAACTGTTTTCACCTTTTTTCCACGCTAGTCTCATTTTATAAATAGCTTTCTTAGTGCTGGCCACAGTCGAACAGAGAAACAACAGCGAACACCCGAAAAAAAGCAAAAATAACAGAAAAAAACAGAAAAACAAAACCTAGTCAGTCCGCTAAGTCGCCGCCTCTAACGACTGTCCAACCAAAGTGGTCGCCAAGATTGTTCGACAAAGCATGGAAATCCACGGAAATCCATGGAACCGGTACTTCCAATCTCTATCACATTGAATATCTTTTAATAAACACTAATTTATATAAATGTGTATAAATATATATATAGCATCACCAGTCCTTGTAGTTCTGCCATCCTTCGGGCTTCTTCAACCTGTTGAGCTCGAAATATCGCCAGGTACAACTGCCCACTGTCCAGTCAAAGTCATCCTGAGGGTTGCACGAACAGCGCTGCTTCTTTCGAAACTCTTTGTCGATGGGACAGCTCGTGAACACATCGTGGGTGTATCCCAAGTCTCCAAAATGATGAATCTTCTCTCTATCCTCGAACAAACTGACAGCAATCGAGTGAATTGGCGCGTCTCCCCATCTCTCGTAAAAGAATCCCCCAGTTTTATCCAAATATTCAAAGTATTCGCGATATTTGTCACTTCTAAAGAAATTCAAACTGGCAATCTCAAAATTTGACCAAAAATGACAGAGATTGTATGTTTTGCCCTTATTGTCGGATATAAATTTCAAAAAATTATTCTTGTGCAAATACTGAGGATGCTGTCGAATAAATCCCTTTGTAGCCCTCCATAATGATGGTATGGTTCTTTGATACTCCATTAACGATATAGTAAACCCATAGACTTTATTATTATCCTCCATAAATTTAAACACGTCGTAGTCGATATCACAGTAAAATTTGATATCTGGTTCAACTCTCCAGTACCAGTCATATTCATCTAACAATGGATGTCTCCAGAAGAACCCTGANTTGATATCTGGTTCAACTCTCCAGTACCAGTCATATTCATCTAACAATGGATGTCTCCAGAAGAACCCTGATTCAAACCTACACATGTGTCTATAAGACTCCGAATCTCCATATATTACTCCTAGTTCCTTCAATCTTGATCTTGCTTTATCTGCTTTCTTGATATCAATAAAATCTGGGTATGACCATTGTTCTTTTGGAATTTTCCCATACTTGACTTTCCCACTACACAATGATTTTGTAGTCTCAATAAACTCTTCACTGAAATCATCATCATTAAGAAAAACCCAATCATAGTGAAATTTTCTATTAAATCGATCTTCAACTGATCTAATCGAATTCACTAATCCCCATAACTCACTATTTCTCGCCAAAGTAACAAATGTGGCCTTTGCTTTGCTTTTTGCTACCATATTATATTGCTTGGTCTCTACTTGTTTAAATATTTCTTCGTATTGAGTCTTGTTCAACAAAATTCGTTTATCGTCTTCATTGTCATTCTGGATCACATTCTCATCATCTTTCTCACTACCAATATCAAAATCTAGTAACTTTAAAATTATCTCATTATCTGTAAGATTTTTGAACCTGTTTATGCTAAGATTAACTAAATCGTAATTATCCAACGAATGGAGACTTGTTAAGTTGAAACCAATCAATAAAAGTAGTCCAAATAAAATTAATGCAATTATTTTAAATCGATAATTATTAATCAATAACCTCATTTTAGTTATATATCTTATTTGTATGCTATCTCTATTTATTCCAGATATCAAGCATTGAAAACCAATTCTCCCTTATTTAATCCCAGAAAAGGACCCGACGAGTGAAAAAAAACAAAAAACAATATAATATATTGTAATATAAGAAGATAATCAAAATGTAAATCGAAACTATTAAAATAAAATAGATATAATAATAATCTCACTGGCAACTACAATTATCTCTATTAAGCCCTATTAAGCCTATAATTATCTAGTTTGCATTTCATACAATTCATCATCAAATTTCACTCATCTGCTATCTTTGTCTTACTTTCAATGTGAATAAAAAATCCACACGTTGAAAAATCCACCTAAAATAGACCAACTTTATTTCGTTTTCTTCAGTTTTTCTGCTGATTTTTCCAAAATTTCCATTTCAATTTGCATTTTTCTAAACTCTTTTATACTTTTAAGCAATTTTTCTCTGTGGGATCTTAATTTGTTCTTCATAGCTTTCCATTCAGACTCTTATATTTACCTTCTCCTTTCCATTTCAAACACACTCGTCTTAGGAATGAAATATTTTTAGCTATGTGGAGCCAAAGCCACTTTCATATTTTGATTTTTTTAGAAATTTACTTAGTATTACTATCATAACGTAGTGTTCTTTTTAGACTATAATTACAATATAATTAAAAGAAAAAAAAAAAGATCAAATAATAAAAAAGTAAAATATTAAAAAAGTAAAAAAGTAAAATATTGGAAAAGTAAAAAAGTAAAATAATAAAATAATTGCTTTACTGCTTTTCTTTTATGTATAATCCTCCCAACCATCAGGCTTTTTAAGTCCTTTGACATCAAAATATCTCCCTGTGCAACTATAACTCCTCCAGGCAAAATCATCATTGGGATTACAAGCACAATGGTTATCTTTCCGGAATTTCTTGCTAATTGGACAACTTGTAAATATATCGTGTGTGTAGCCAATATCGTCAAAAAAATGAATCTTCTCTTTATCTTCAAATAAACTCACAGCCATTGAATGAATGGGAGCATCTCCCCATCTTTCATAAAAAAATCCCCCAGTTTTATCCAAGTGATCAAAATATTCTCGATACTTTTGACTTCTAAAGAAATTTAGATTTCCAATTTCGAAATTTGACCAAAAATGACATAAATTATAGGTATGACCGTTATCTTCTGAAAGAAAGTCCATAAGATTGTTTTGGTGCAAATAATCTGGATTCTTTTTTAAAAATAATTTGGTATGTTTCCATAAAGATGGAATTGTCTTGTGAAATTCTTTTAATGATATAGCAAATCCATATGTTTGATTGTTGATTTCCATATACTTGAACAAATCATAATTGATATCACAATGAAAGGATATGTCTGGTTCAACTCTCCAGTACCATTCATATTCGTTTACCAATGGATGTCTCCAAAAAAAACCTGATTCATACCTACACATGTGTCTATATGATATTGAATCTCCATAGATTATGCCCAATTTTTTCAACCTTGCTCTATTTTTATCAACTTTTTCAGTATTAATAAAAGATGGAAAAGACCATTGTTCAACGGGTATAACACCATATTTAGTTTTTCCGCTACAGACAGCTGTAGTTGCATCAATAAATTCTTCTGAAAATTCTTCGTCATTAAGAAACACCCAATCATAATGGAATTTTCTGTTGAATCGATCTTCGACTGACCTAATGGACTTGACCATCCCCCAAACATCACTGTTTCTGGCTAAAGTAACAAAAGTTGCATTTGCTTTAGTGCTTTTGATTAAATCATATTCAGCATCTTCAAATTCCTTGAAAAAATCTTGATAATCATGTTTACCAGCTATTGGTTGGTGATTTTTTTGTAGATTTTTGATATATTTTTTAGGTGGAATAAGACTAGTCTCCTTTTGATCGCTGTAATTCAAGGACAATAAAATCAAGGATACGAATATTATGGCGACAAAAACGGTTAGAAAGAGCCTCAACTCCCTACTTAGTTTTTTTAGTCTTGAAAAAACAAACGTTACAAAATTCTGCATAGTAGATTGACGAATTGCTCAACTCTTAGTGACAGGTCATTTGAATCCTGTTGTCAAATATATTGCGAGATAGTATTTTGTATTTCAGGCTGCTGTATTATATGGTATTTGCTATATTCTGAATTTCTTCCATCTATTCCGAGCGATGTTGTTGGTTTTGCTTAAGGCTGAAGATGGGTTGTTGTTTTGTTGTGGGATTGCTTAGGTAAGTGGATGTTGTTTTCCAAGTAACATCAGGTTTTGGAGAGTTTGGTCAGGCAGCACCAGATGCTGAAGCAAAAAAGTGCCTGGGCCAATCTACAGGAGAAGCAGTATAAGAGGTCTTCATCAACAGGCATTTCCTGGACTGCTGTGTGAAAGAAGGAGAAATGGCTCAATGTCTGTCAGATGTTTCGAACTCCAAAAGAGAGATTTCGTCTTCTTGAAGAGTACGTCGGTGTTCTGGATTGCTGCAGCCAGACAGAAAAAGGCTTATCTCCATGTGGGAAAGCAGAATAGTGCATATCGGGCAATTTGATTTTTTTGTATCCACTGCAGCCAATCAGCCAATGGGATTCACAATTCATTTGTCTAATAGCGATTTTCAGAGCAAAAGATTAAATACAGATATCTAGAAAAGAGCAGAAATAACAGAAGTTTTTGATTGAGAACCACAAGTCAAAGTGCCATGAAAACAAAAACCAAACAAGAAACAAACAAGAGTCAGGAAAAAGAATATAGAGAAGAAGAAAACACAAAAAAGCAGAGCATAAAAAGAAGAAAAAAAAACCAGAAAAAAAACAAATATATATATATATGTTATTGGTGTACTCAAGTATAAGCTTCCCAACCTTCCGGTCTTGTTAATCCTTTAACATCAAAATATCTGTCAGTGCAACTAGCACCTTTCCAGGTGAAATCCTTTTTGGGATTGCAAGAGCAATGATTTTTTCTTCTGAAATCACTATCAAATGGACAGTTTGAGAAGTCATCATGAGTGTAGCCAATATCATCAAAGTAATGGATTTTATCCTTATCTTCAAATAGACTTATGGCGATTGAATGAATTGGAGCGTCACCCCATCGTTCGTAAAAGAAACCACCTTCTTCATCTAAGTAATTGAAAAACTTTTGGTATGTTTCACTTCTAAAGAAATTCAAATCTGCAATCTCAAAATTGGACCAAAAATGACAGTAGTTGTAGCCATTTCCCTTACTGTTTGAAACAAAATCCATGAAATTATTTGGATGAAGTAAATTTTCATTTTTATGTTTTTTAAGAAATCTTTTAACTGTTCTCCATAAAGTTGGAACAGTACCAGGAGTTTCAAATAATGATATAGTGAAACCATAGGTCTTATTGTTATCTTTCATAAATTTGAATACATCATAATTGATATCGCAATGATACATCACATCAGAGTCAATCCTCCAATAGTAGTCATAACTGTTTAACAAATGATGTTTCCAAAGAAAACCTGATTGGTATCTACACATATGTCTATATGATTCTGAATTACCGTAGATTATGGCTTGATTAGCCAATAATTGTCTTGACCTTTCAGCTTTTTTTAAATCGATATTTGGTGGGTAGGACCATTGTTCCTTGGGGATTGTGCCATATTTAACAGTACCTGAAATTAACGATGAAGTTGTATCAATAAACTCTTGAGTGAAGCCTTCATTATTAAGAAAAATCCAATCATAGTGAAATTTACTATTGAAACGATCTTCAACGGATCGTATTGTATCTACTAAAGTCCATAAATCAGAATTTCTGGCAAGAGTTACTAAAGTGGCGTTCACTTTTGAAGGTTTAAATAAATCATATCTTGATTCTTCGAAGACTTTCAAAATATTTGAATAGTCATCTTTTGATAAGTTTGAATTAGTCTCATTGTTATTATTATTATTATTATTATTATTGTTGTTGTTGATGCTTTTATTATTAATATGATTGGTATTGCTATTTGATATTGAAGTTGAGTTTATGAATGAAAGAGCATTTTGGTTTATTGAGTTTTTAGAATCATTGTAATTTAAATTAATTGTATTCGGTTCATAAGAATCTTTTAAAAGCACAAGAGAAGCACATATAACAAATAAAGCAAATAGTACAGCTAGTTTAAGTTGAGTTTTCAAAGAAATACTGTATCTTTTATACTTATGATTATTACTATTGTTATCGAAAGCCTTTTTCTTATTCAAGTTTCCAGATAAAGGTATTGAATCAAAATATGTATGATCATTTTTATCAGTTTTCATCATAAAGTACTAGAGGTATAGGAGTATAGGGAAATATAGAAGTAATAGGAATTAGGAATTAATAATTAGGTATTAAATTTTAAGTGCTGATTAATAGCTACTGTAAAATGACAGAAGAGCCAAAAAGATAAATGAAAAAGGGCTCTTTTTTATTATATATGAAAAAAAATAGTTTAGCCTTTATGATCATTTGAGAGAAATAGCACCATTTGATAAATATAACCTCAGCATTTAGAGGAAAGTGTAAAATCCATTTTTGAAGAAAGTTGGAGGGCTCTGAGACAGAAAAAACTGATAAAATGATGAAATGATATAGCGACAAGAATAAAGCCATAAAAAAAGTTGGCATTTTACATAAACCTGATTAACTGCAAAACCTTCTTTTGTTTTCCACTGTATATACGATTACAAAGTTTGACCAACCCAATGTACAACAGCAAATTCCCTTTCCTCTTGCACCTAAACCAAATCTCCAAGCTGAGCAGCTCTTTTTCACACAAAGCAGCAAACAAAGCAGCAGCCTATTCCAGAGCCAAAGAAGACCCAACACAAGCAAAAGCTGCTCTCAGTGATAGCGAAAGTGCTATGATTGGGTCATCAGAGAAGACTTTCCCACAAACAACAGCCTCTGAACTACGAATCGTGCGTTGGGACCGTAGTCAGTTTGAACAATAGACGGGCGTTGGGTCGCCGGCAGCAAAAGACAAATACGTAACCACGCACCAATTAATGCACAATAATGTATCATGACACAGTCTGCGTTTTTAAGACATATTGGCCGGCGGCTTTGTGTGAACCTGCGCATGCCATACGGGTAACTCAGTCGGTGCACTGTAGCACGGATTACAGCGCGGATGACTGTGTTATTATGAGATTAGAGACCTGTTGCAGGATTAACTCCAGGTCATGAGTGTTTATAATATCAGACAGTAGCGTTTCTACAATAACGGCTGAACCAGTTCTGGCATTACAGGTATACGTAGGTTATATGGGCTTGGGCATACAAATTTATTTTTTGAGGATGAAGCTCCGATTCCAGTTTTGGACTGGTTTTTACCACGTCTTTAGTTTGATTTGAGATGATGTGGAAGATCTATTTATAATAATGAAAGCTGGGAGAACTACAACCATCACTAAATACTAGAACTATCTCAGAATCACTATTTTCATTACTAGAAATCCGATTCTTGTTGATTTATTCATTACACTAAATTTACGCTTAATAATTGTTGCAATGGTATGTTTATTTGTCGATTTTTCGGTTTTCAATTTCCATTTTCCAGATTTTGGAATAACGCTAGCTCAATATATCAATATCCCCAATCGATGATGAATTCTAACATTTAATTCTTAATTTTGCACTGTTGAGTTTATAGGCTAAACCAGTTCCTCAAACACCTAGACAAAGGTTAGCAAACGCTAAATTTTACAAAGAACAGGAAAAAAAAATGGGTAAACCAAGACCAAAAGCCAAAAAAGAATTTCCATTATCAAAACCTTGGTTGATTTTGATAGTTTTCTTAGTTGTTGGCGGTGGAATATTAGAATTAATTCGTTTACTTTTTTAATTACAATTGGTTGAATGTCATAGGTTTATGTAAATTAGTTTTGATTATTATAAGCAAGTAATCAAAAATTATCTTTGAACTTGATTGTCAAATTACTTTGGAACAAAAAAATAAATTACTCATTCATTTATCGATTATAAATTAAAATTGATTTTTTCTCAAATTTCACCTTATCATATCTTTTATAAGCTCTCTTTTTAAATAATCTCTTTTTTATCAATTTTTTTTTTCTTTTTCTAAAATTGTATTATAATTAATCAATAATTAATTATTCACTAAATTCTTAAACAAGTCATTAAATAAAATATTTTCTATGGGTAATAATATAAAAGTAGAATTAAAGCAATAACAAATATGTAGAAATAAAAATAGAATATAGATTATAAAAAAAACAAAATTAATTATATTTAATTATATTTAATTGTAATGTATTTAAGAATATAAAATTATAATCATTAAAATAAAGATCAAGCTTAAAAATAAATTTAAAATTAATTTTCAATAACATGAGCATATTTTCTCAAATTTTTCAATTCCTTCTCACTTGGTGGTAAATCATGGCTATGTAAGTATGTTCTAAATTGTTTGGTGTATTTAAGAACATGGTCTGTTAATGTATCAGGAACAATACCTAGATCGTTATAAGTCTTTATGTTTGGATCTCTGAAATCGATTATCTGATCAATATAAGCTCTTTCAACTTGGTCAGGGTTGGTAGTTTTCCAATAAATATATTGAAGATAATTGGTCATTAACAATGCTATTGGTTTTGGTATATCAATATTTATATATTTTTGTTTAGTGAATGGTTCAATAATCTTTCTGATTTCATCCAATGAATATTCAGTATTGCCATATAGCTCATACAATTGACCCTCTGTAGAATCATCAAAACCAATAAGTTCCAACGCCTTCGCGACATCAAGAACATGGGTTGGATAAATTTTCGTTTTGTTTGAATTGAAATTAAATATGGTTGCTTTGTTACCCCAGTGTCTTAATATTTTATCCTCTCTACCAAACATTGGACTAGGTCTGACAATTGTAGCATTAGGATATTCTTCTCTAACAGCAGCTTCTCCAATACCCTTGGTGGCATAAAAAACAGATGATGAGTCTGGGTCAGCATTGTATGAGGAAACATGGACAAGCCTTGGAACCTCATAATCTTTTGTAATTTTAGCAATTCTTCTTGCTGCTTCAATATTAATATCAGCCATTGAAAAATTCTTGGTGTGATAGTCAGCACCGATACAATTAAATACAATATCGGAATGTTTTATGGAATCCTCAATTGATTTAATATTTCTTAAATCAAACTCAACCAAATTAACAACACCTAAATCACCAGTGACTTTTAAGAATCTTGATTTCATTTGATCTCTAAATGGAACAATGGTTATAGTACCATGTCTTGCTAATTTTGAAGTTACATAACGTCCCAAGAACCCAGAAGCACCAAAAACTGTAGCAGTGTAACCAGTTCTAGAGGATCTGCCTCCTTGACCTACTGAAATATTAGTTTTACCATTTTTTGTAATATTAATATCACTTTTCAAGACACTAGTATATAACGACCTTGAAGTGTTCAAGTTATTTAAGGAAGACAAGGTCTTCAACTGCAGAAAGGTGGATTGTTTAAACATTTTGCAAATGAAGAGCAACTCGATTTTTAGACCCAGGAAATTAGAAACAAACAACTGAACTGCTAGGTGCTCTCTAATAGTGAGGTTATTCCACAGCTGATAAATTGAGTTGTATGGAATATATTGATTATTTTCGGGGAAGCTGGTTGGTTGAAAATCGAATGAAGGAGTGCGCGGAATAAAGATATTGCATTTAGCATTTATGCTGAGTCAGGCGTTAAACTCACTTCTCTATCAACTAAATACACAACTGTGCGTTTTTTTGTGAGGAAATTGCAATGTTTTTTTTTTTTCATTTAACAAAAGCAGCACAGGAAGCACAAATATGTGAAGAAAAAAAGCCATGAATGAGCCTCCAACAACAGCCAAGGTGGTAATAGAGACCAGTAGAGGGCTGCTAGAGATAGAACTATGGGCTAAGGAGACACCGATCAATTGCCAGAGCTTTCTTGAGGATTGTTTGAATGGAAGATTTGACAATTTGCAATTCAATAAGATTTATAAGAATATACTAGTCGAATTGAATGATAATCTGAAGAATAATGAGAACAAGAATAAAACTTATAACGAGTTTCATTCTCGGTTGAAATTCAATAGAAGAGGGTTAATTGGGATGTATGGGAGGAATTATTTTACTGATGGAGATGATAACAATAAAAATAATTGTAAATTTTTTATAACATTAGATGCATTGAGTAAGTTCAGTAATAAAAATATTCTCATTGGCAAAATTGAAGGAGAAAGCATATATAATTTAGTTAAAATTAGTGAGTCTGAATTGAGAGAGGATAATGAAACACCAATATATCCAACCAAAATTAAAAAAGTTAATATAATTCAGCCATATTTTGGTAGCTTGGAGAACAATATTAAAAAACGAAAAACTATGGGCAATAACAATAGTAATAATACTAGTCAGAGAAAGAAAAAAATTAAGTTGAAATCCAAAATCAAGATAACTTATGATATCGAAAATGAAAACGAAAATGATGATGAATTGGCTATTGGAATTAATAAAAAAGAGAATAAAATGAAGGACAAGTTTAAAATGAAATCTGCTCATGAAACATTGAATGATAAAACATTATCAAAAAAAAAATTGAGTGTGAAACAATTAATTGAAGAAAAAATCAAGACTGAAAATGACAACAGAAAGAATAGCGAACTTATTGTTGCTGATGAGAATATTACCCTAAAAAATGAAAGTAGAAAAGATAATGACAATGCCGAGAGTATTAACATTGAAAATAATAATGAAATAGTGGAAGCTAGTACAGACTCAACATCTATTTTAGATGATAAAAACGATAAAGGGAAAGCAAAGAAAAGCAAGAAAAAATTGAGGAAAACACTAGTAGAATTAGAAAGGGAGAAATATCTTAAACAGCAGTCCAAACCGCTCACTAATGAAGAGATGCTTCAAAAAGTCACTGATTTCAGTGCAAAACTCAAAGAAAATCCTGCTGGTTCTGGTGATTCTGGTGATTCTGGTTCTGGCTCCAAAGAGATGGGGTCTGGGGAAGATGCGGATTACGAACGCTTTTTTCACCACCGGTTGGTGTTCCGTTAGTGACCCGGATTTTGCATCAGGAAAACCGCATTTGTCCGTGATGATCCGGCATTAGTCATCCAGCATTAGTAATTTTGTGTCAATTTTAGGTGAGAATTAGAAATTGTCCGTAAACAGATAAAAATTACTCAGCTCAAGTTATAAAACAAAAGGACTTTCTTTTGTTGGATGAATTTTCACTGGTGCGAATCAGCATCCTGGTTATTTACTTCTTACTATATTATTTCTCATTCCTCACTCCACATCTATTATTTAACATTTATTATATTTTTTGGATATCATTTTAATTAAAATAAATCAAATAATGCAAATGGCTGATTCTACTCTAAGTCTTTCATCTAATTTAAGTGATGACTTATCCCTTCTTTCTCCAACTTCATCACAATTTTCGAGTTCTTCGGTCGATTTAAATAACGATCATGAACATGATATTAATACTAATTTATTTGAAAAGGAATTTAATTTGGATAGAGACTTATTGCCTGAGGAGCTACCTGTTGTTAAATGTGTTGCAAGGGCCAGAATTCCTACAACTAATAACACTGAGATTTTTTTGCACTTGTATTCCAATAATATCGATAAAAAGGAGCATTTGGCTATTGTTTTTGGGGAAAATATTCGAAGCAAATCGTTATATTTGAGACAAAAAAATGAAACACAATCAGACCGAATGATTCGAGGTGCATATATTGGAAAACTACAACCCAATAGAAAAATAGCGGATTTTGATGAGTTGAAAAAAATCGGATTAAAGTTCAATGAAAAGGATGAATTAATATATGATAATAGAACATCATATAATCCTGAAAACCCTATTTTAGTGCGAATTCACTCCGAGTGCTATACAGGAGAAACAACATGGTCAGCTAGATGTGATTGTGGCGAACAATTTGACGAAGCAGGCCGATTGATGGGAGAATATGGACGTGGAGTTATAATTTATTTGAGACAAGAAGGTAGAGGAATTGGATTGGGAGAAAAATTAAAGGCGTATAACTTGCAAGATTTAGGAGCCGATACAGTGCAAGCTAATTTGATGTTAAGACATCCAGCAGATGCGAGAAGTTTTTCGTTGGCTACTAGCATATTGTTAGATTTGAATCTACCCAATATTAAATTATTGACCAACAATCCGGATAAGATATTGGCTGTTGAAGGTAAAAACCGACTGATTAGAGTTGTTGAAAGAATTCCTATGATTCCAATAGCCTGGAGGGAAAATTTAAAAGAAGGTGATGAGCGTGAGCATATTTATGAGCATAGTCATAAGAATAATCATGAAATTGAGAGTAATAGAGGAATCCAATCTAAAGAGATAAATGGGTATTTGAGAACTAAAATAGAAAGAATGGGGCATTTATTACAAGAACCCATTCGAATTTAGTGACATAAATAGCCAGAAGTTTATCTCTTTATACATGTATACTTTTTATTTTAATTTTCAGTTAACTTTTCATTTTAGTTATACAAGTTCTATAGACAATTTAATTTTATAAAATTATTTCTGATAACAGGCAGGTGGATAGGTGAGATGTGTGGGAGTTGCCCGGTCTTTCCTTATTGGGACAAAAGAAAACATAGAGAAATAAACACTTCATTGAATATAAATATTTCAATTGTAAGTGTTTTGTTTAATCGATTGCAGACTTTACACCACATCAGAGAGTTGTATATAAACATTGAGATAGAAAATCAAATAATTGAAGAATAAAATAACAAAATGGTATGAATATTATGAGATTGAAGAAGAAGAATAATCATAATAATATTATTATATGGTATAAATACTTACGTTTTAATTTAATTTAATTTGATTTGATTTATGTTATTAGTCAGCTAATACCAAAACATATAAGGATGCCTTTTCATTGTTTGATAAAAAGGGAACAGGAAAGGTTCCACCAGAGGCCCTTGGAGACTTATTAAGAGCGGTTGGACAAAATCCTACATTAGCAGAGATTGCTGATTTGGAGAGACAATTGCCAGGGGAATTAGATTTCGATACATATGTTAAGATTATAAATCGACCAGATGGATTCAAACCCTTGGGAGACGCTGAAGATTATGTCAGAGGGTTTCAAGTGTTTGACAAGAACATGTCTGGATTTATTGGAGTTGGGGAATTAAGATATATATTAACGTCGATTGGCGAGAAGTTGTCTGACGCAGAGGTGGATGAGTTGTTGAAGGGAGTTAATGTTACGCAAGATGGGAATGTTAATTATGTTGAGTTTGTCAAGAGCATTTTATCTCAATGAACAAGATTAGCCAAAGAGATAAATATGCGTAAATATATATCTATAATTATATCTATATTAATTTTTTTTTAACTTTTTGTTGTGATTGTTGTTTTTACTGAGATTGAATACATAAAAGATACCTGTTAAAACTGGGAAGTGGAATGCAAGATAAAGAGAAAAAGACAGGTTGAGTATTGCGGGAGGTAGTGTAAAACACCTGATTGTCATGGGAGATGGAAGATAATTCTCAGAAGTTCCAAATGATTCATCTTTGAAAATTTTCTTTTCTAGTGAAGTATCTATGTAAGTATACAAATATATTGATATTGATATTGATAATATATTAGGCATATTATAACTAATTAGATTACAAGAATATAAGGTTACAATTAGATATAATTGAGATAAAGATGGCTAGTAAATTGAATGAAGATTTTTCGAAATTGAGTCTTTCTCAAGAGAAGGAATTAAGTATTGAAGAACAGGCTATTGAGAGTCAATATTTAAGCTTGATTAATAATTTGGATGGCGTTAAAGGTCAAAGCACGGAAGAAAATGAGATTTTAGTCAAGATCAATGAGTTATTGAAAGAAAAAAGTTATTTATTGGGAAATGCCAACAATAAGATTGATGAAGTAGTATTCAACAAGCTATTTGATATTGTTACGAAGAAATATCAAGGTAAAAGTGAAGAGGCTGTCAAGATTCGTCATGTTTTAAGATGGATTGATTTGATTCAAAACACTCTAGTTATTAAGAAAGAGGATGAGAAGATCAAGATTGATTATTCAATTGAGTTGCCACAAGAGATTAAAGTCAAAGAGAAAAAGAGTGACGCATCTAAAGAAGGTAAAGATGGTAAAACAGGTAAAACAGGTAAAACAGATAAAGAAAGTGAAGAAGCTGAGGCTGTTAAAGAGGTTAAGACTAAAGAAATTGGTGAAGCTGCCAAAGCTGGAGAAGTTGCCGAAACCAAGGGCGGTAAGAAAGAATTGAGTGAAGAAGATAAAAAAAAGAAAGTTGAAGCACAAAAGGCCAAAAAGGCTGCCAAAAAGGCTGCCAAAAAGAGCAGTGGTGGTGGAAATGAGAAGAAAACTGTTGTGATTGATCCCTCGTTGATTGATTTCAGAGTGGGATTTATTGAAAAGTGCGAAAAGCACCCCAATGCGGACTCGTTGTATGTGTCGACCATCCAAATGGGAGATGAGAGCGGCGAGCCCCGAAAGGTGTGCTCCGGGTTGGTGAAGCACTTTTCTTTGGAGGAGATGCAGCAAAGAAGGGTGGTTGTTGTGTGCAACTTGAAGCCAGTGAACATGAGAGGAGTGAAGAGCATGGCGATGGTTTTGTGTGGGTCGGATGCGGCAGACGGGTTGGTTGAGTTTGTGATTCCTCCCGAGAACAGTGCAGTGGGTGACAAGCTCTTCTTCGAGGGTTTCGACGGCGTGCCTGAGAAGGTATTGAATCCCAAGAAGAAGATCTGGGAAACCTGCCAACCCTCCTTCTCAACCACCGATCTGTTGGTGGTGGTGTACAAGCAAGACGGAAAGCCCGACGCACGTCTCGTGAACAGCGCCGGCAGTGCGTGTGCTGTTAGCACCGTCACAAACGCTCTTGTTCGCTAGACCAGACCGCAGCAGACCGCAGCAGATAATTGACATTGCAAGTAGCACAAACACGATATCAGTACCAGAGATCGCGCAATGGTGGAGGTGCGCTTTCCCATCCTGTTGCCTGTTAGCACGAGACCACCATGACGGAAGCCAGACTGGAGCTGTCGCGTGCCAGGCTGCCATGTTGGGAGAGACAGACGCGGGGCCAGCCAATCACAGGGAAGCAGAGCGCTGGGCGGAAGAAGCAGCGCGGACGACCGAGCGGAGGATATAGGCAGCACAGGCGCCAGAGCAGGAAGCAGACGCAGCAGCCCCAGGGACATTTGCCGCAGCATGAACACGATCAACCGCCCGCCCCAGCCCCACACGCAGCACATGCAGCAGCCGGGCCTGCGCCACAGCAGCGCCCCGGGCCGTGCCGCCAGCGAACGCAACAACCAACAGAGCTTCTTCCTCCCTCTCAACCCCAGCGCCAGCAGAGCCACCACCAGTGAGGACCCAAGTGCTATGTCTGACCTGCCCAAAGTTGCCAACATCACCAGCTTGAACAGCATACGCAGCTTGAACATCTTAAACCATCCTTCCCAGGACCTTGCTCAAAGCCAAGGGCTAAGTCAGAGCCAGAGCCAGAATCAAAATCAAAATCAAAATCAAAACCAAAATCAAAACCAAAACCAGAATCAAAGCCTGAACCAGAACCAAAATCCCCAGATTCCCCACAACCCCCAGGATCCTCAAACTCTTCATACCCCAAACACTCATATCCAACCACACCCTGAGCACACTACTCACAACAGCCATACTGAAAATACCAATACCCCTAATAATCCACATACTGTTTCTCATCCGAATCTCCATATTCATCCTCACAGCAATCCCCAGAATACAAAAAATGATAAACCGATAAAACAAAAACGTCCTCGAAAGAAAACTGCTAGAGCTTGCAATCATTGCCACAAATCACATATGACTTGCGATAATCAGAGACCTTGTAAACGATGTGTTTTAAAGGGCTTGTTTGATACGTGCAAAGATGCGCCGAGAAAGAAAAAAAAATATTTAATTGATGTTCCTGATGAGCTAACTGAACCTCCAAAGAATTATCCTCTATCAAATAATATCGTCAATAACAATAACATTAACATTAATAATAGTAACAACAACAACAACAACAATAACAATAACAACAATACTAATAACAATAGCAACAACATTAATAGCAATATGAATAACAACAATAACCAAATTCAATTCCAGCAAATTAATTCAAATCCAAATTTAATACTACACCGACCCCCTCTAATTCTCAATAACGCTCTTCTACAAAACCAAAATCATCAAAATCATCAAAATCAACAGAAAAACCTGCCGTTAAATAACCAATTCACAATACATAACCCAAACCCTTCCAACATATCAAATATCTCCAATACCCCCAACAACAACCAATACAATACTTTAAATAACAACCTAACTCCTACTTCCTCTCCCCCACAACTAATGTCAACCTCAAATTCTTCTGTCCAATATCACTCCCATCTCTCAAATCAACAACACTTCAACCAACAGAATATCTCCTCAAATAGCCCCTTGTCTGACAACAACTCTCCTTCTCTATTATCAAATATCCAAAATATCCCAAACATTCAAAATATTCCTAATATCCATAATATTCACAATCATCCCAATCATCCCAATATCCAAAACATTCCCAATATGAATATCCCCAATATGAATGTCCACAACCTATCAAATATCCAAAACATATCAAATATCCCAAACCCAATTCCACCAAACAACTCCCCCCAATTAGTTCCTCTAAACTCTTCCTCAAGTCTTGCCATGAACATCACAAACAGCTCTCTATCCAACATCAACAACAACGACATAATAGAAAACCTATCCCCTTTAAATAACCAAAACAAAAATAATAGTAACCACCACCACCACCACAAAAAAAATAAACAAAAGTTCCTCTCAAACGCTGCCAACTTGGAATACTCAATTCTCTCTCAAATCATCCACCAAAACCCAAACATTAACTACAATCCAGACAACCAGTCCATACTAAGTCCTTCAGTATCAATGTCTGAATCGGAAAGCTACATGTTTCCTCAAAGTTCAAACAACAACACCCCCCTAGAGAACCATTCCACTAACCAAAACATATACAACAATTTCTACCACAATTCAAATTATCCCAATAACAACATTCTAAATAATAATAATAATAATAATAATAATAATAATAATAATAATAATAATAATAATAATAATAATAATAATAATAATAATAATAATAATAATAATAACAGCAACAACAACAATAATAACAGCAACAATTACAACAATAACTTTCACAACAATCACTACAATAACAAAAGCAACATCAACAACAATAGAAATGACCTATACAACATGTACCCTAACTGCGACACCTCAATCAACCAATACTTTCTAGGCCCTCTACCTGGCTTACCTGATGGCAAGAATATCATGACCTATCCCGATGTTATCGACGTTATCGAAAAGAAAAAAAAACTAAATCCGGCAATTCTACACACCAACGATGCAGGTTTGAAATCACAAATTTCCTTTTCAATCGGCGTTCAATCAGATATAAATAACTGCTCAACAAATGATTCCTCGTTTGCAAGTGCTTCCTCAAACAACAACCACAGCTCAACTGGCGATTGGGGCCTAAGATTCAAAGAACCAGAAGAAATTTACGCAAAAGTCAAAGTCCCCTTTGGTTATAAATTAGGCTACCATCTACTAATCACTTATCTAAGAAAAAGATTTAACAAAGATCAACTAGTTAAAATGGCAAAATCAATGACTGAATATAGACCCTCTTTTATAGCCTGCACAATAACTCTCAAAGAAGACGACTTGATATTCATGGAACAATGCTTTCAAAGAACGCTCTTAGAATATGATAAATACATATCAATTAGCGGCACTCCAACCATAGTCTGGAGGAGAACTGGCCAAATTTGCTATGTAAGTCAAGAATTCGTCATCTTAACAGGCTGGACAAGAGATCGTTTGTTGAAAAAGGGAACTTTTATAGTGGAGCTAATGGATGATAATAGCGTTATAGAATATTTTGATTTATTCTCTAAAATTGCTTATGGTGATTTCAGAGGTGCAACAATGACTAGCTGCACTTTACTTACTTGCAATGGCAAAAAAATAAATACTACTTGTATTTGGACTTTAAAAAGAGACGTTTTTGGTATTCCAATGATGATTGTTGGCAACTTTCTACCAATTTTAACATAACACTTAAATTTATAAACCTATCCTCATTTTGCTAGTTACGTTATATTACATCTCATTTTTTTTTGATCGTTTTTGTTTTTCTCTGTTGACATCAACTATACGTTTCTCTTCTCTTCTCTTCTCTTTGTCTTTTTAATGATTTTGCAATATTAAAAAGAATACTATTTCTTTATTATTACTATTACCATTACTATTACCATTATTATTGTCATGATGTTTTTTGTTTTTTTCGGTTTTTTTATAATAACTTGTATTTTTAAAATATTCATGAATATTTTTTTTAACTTATATAATTTTCATTAATCATTTTTTAATAATTTATGTTTAATTATGATCACTATTTGGTATAATGCTTTCATATTAATTGAAAATATTCATAATAAAAATTTAAATAAAAATGAAAATTTAAATAAAAATCTAAATGAAAATTAAAATGAATGAAATCTCTTAATAAAAAATCGATATTTAATATTTACAAACAAATTGAATCATACATTTAATTGAATATTGGTATATCCTTAAGCGCCCAACGGTTGATCATTATCATTAATGCTATCATTATCATTACCATTATCATTATCACTATCAATAGATGGAAAATAATAATTTAAAGGCTTTATCCCGATTGCATTTAAATACCAGAGGTTACCATTTCTTCTGTAGATGAAGAAATCTTGTATTAAACCAAAGGCCAACCCAAATTTCAGACCCTTTTTAACCATGTTAATCTTTTGATATTTGCTCAATTTAACATAATGAGCATAAGCGTAGCAGAAAGTTGTAGTGGAGATGACAGAATTCAAAAAATCCTTCTTTTGTCTGATGGTGTCTAGTAGAGCTTCAAATGAGAAATAACTGGTTATTATAAAGGATATCTTTGGAGAATACTTAAAGCCTTCGACCATTCCCTCTTTCAAGCAGTAATAGTTTTTTCTCTTGTGATAAAAGTACCAACCTTTAACATTTCTTGGTAACCGATGAGAATTTTCAGCCAAATACCTCAAACTTGCCTTGGAATAACCCTCATAACAGCCAGAAATGAAACCGAATAAACTGGTGCCCATGGAGATGATTGGTAGTCGAACATAGGGAGGCAGATTAAATCTTTCATCTCTATTTGATGCCAAAAACTTGTCTTTGTGGGTTTCAAACTCCTTCTTCAAGGCTCCTTTGTCAGTGGAGGCGTCAATTTCAAGCGAATCAGAAAGATATCCAGAGCTGGGTTGGTCCATTTTGAATTACATTGTTTGTGATTTGGAGAAGAGATTAGTGGAGTGAAAATACTCAAATGGAAAACTTCGGGTAACATGAAGAGGCATAAGAGGTGATGTGAAGGTTGTATGAAGAGAAGATGAAGCAAAAAGAGAGGCAGTTAACAAGGAATGATTAGCCCATTGGTGATAAACAAGCAGCTTATTAGGTACTCTGCGTTGGTGTTGACTGGGTCATGTTTGATATATAGCCAGAGACGAGAGATATTTAGTCTATTCACCTCGATCAAAGAGTATTACAAGAACAATTCAATTATATATCCCAAGAAGACCCAATCAGAAGTAACAAAGAACCAGATTTTTTTGCCAGTTCGATATAAAGAAGAGTTGTATCCCATATTGGCCATTCATGATCGACCACTTTTGTTGCATTTCACAAATAGAGGAGATAGGAATTGCAATAAATTGACTGGGCCATTGTACAAGATTATCATCAATGATTTGGAAGATGATAAGAAAAAATTGAACTTGGTTGATATTGAGTGTGATACAATGGAACAAGGAATCAAGGAAATAATGTTGGATTATAACGTCAATAGAATCCCCAGCATAATTGCAGTTAACAAGAGCATCAAAATGGATGAATATATTGTTAAGAATTTGAACGAAATCAAGGAAATAGATTGGAACGAGTTGCGAAAATGGGTTGAAAGTGTTGCGATTGATTAAAATTAAGTATTATATTAAGAATTGATAAATATATAGATATGTAAATAAAAACGTTTGTAAAAAAACAAGAAAAAAACCAAGGAAGAACATGAATGAGAAGAATAAAAAGCCATATATATTGTTTTAATATCATAAAGTAATATTATAAGTCACTACCAATTACAAATACAAATACAAAATGACTGTATTTATAATTATAAAAAAATTACTATAACTTAAATTGCTACAATAACTTTTCAATCTTTTGAGAAATAGACTCAGGTTTTGTAATTGAACCATATCTTTCAACAACTTCGCCATTTTGATTGACTAAAAACTTTTCAAAATTCCATTTAATACCTTTAAAACCCAATAAACCACTTTTCTTTGATTTAAGATATTCATAAACAGGATCAGCATTCGCACCATTGACATCGACTTTTTTCATAATGGGAAAAGTAACACCATAGGTCGTGGAGCAAAAAGAAGCAATTTCTTCTTGGGTACCAGGCTCTTGATGACCAAATTGATTGCATGGGAAACCAATGATCTCCAAACCCTTTTCATTATATTTTTGATACAATTCCTGCAATCCCTTATATTGAGGAGTGAAACCACATTTGGAGGCAACATTGACAATCAAGACAACCTTTCCCTTCAATTCTGAGAAAGGATAAGGGTTGCCAGCCTTGTCAAGAGGAGATAAATCGTAGAAGGTAGACATCGTGAATAAAATGCAGAGGCAATTGAGGTTAGTGAAGATAAGGACAGATCTGAGGTAGACTGGGAAGGAGCTGGAAAGAAGAAATGGGAACAGGCTCGCTCTTTATACTCGAGTTGCTTTGGGTCTGTTGATTTTGGCTCCTTCTTTCTTTGTGAGCAGCCAATCAGAGAGCGATTTGTCAGCACAGACTCCTCTGCTATTTGTTACGTACTGATCAAAGCTGAGTTTAACCATCAATCAATTGTCTTTAAGGTTGCAAAACTCGCCAGTCTGCGCTGATCTCAGACCAACACAACCTTTTTGCCTCTCCTTGCTGCGGCTTTCTGGCCAAGAAAAGGCTCGAATCCTGGAGTTTTGCTTGCCCTGTTGACAGCAGAAGCAGCAGAAGCAGCAAAGGTAGCACTTCTTTACAAAGCATCCAGCTGGTGTACTCAAAAATAGTTCCGTGCACGCAGGTTTTTCCGATACAGTGCAACGGCTATCATGGCATGCTTTCACCGTGCAGACCCGGGTTCGACTCCCGGTATCGGAATGTACTTTTACTATATTTTAGAATATCAGTTAAATAAAACAGCACTCCCCTGTTTCTTCAACGCCAATAACAGATTCAAGCTCTTATAACCCAGTAATGTAGTCTTTCCAAAGCACGCTATGTTTAATGAGACATTCGCTGTTGCCAACAAGAAACAACCCATATCCTACTCATGTCAAGGCGACGTTTATTCTTCGTTCGTCCTGGGTGAAGCCATTCTTTCCTTTAGGATTATTTCTCACACAACTGAATAACACGAAGTCCTTCTCTTTGCCTTGAAAAGCGTCAGATGTCGCAATTGATATCTCACATATAATATTCAATGTCGATGCTTGTTGATCTTCATACATTTCATCTGAATCTTTGTTAATAACAACTTGCTCACCATTTGGATTGATAAGCTTATCTTTGAATATTTTGTCTGTAAGCAACTGCCTCTGACCACTATATGGTGATATCACACCTATTCTGTCTTTTGATATGTTCTTGTTGAATATCAACTCATACAATATTTTAATAATAAGTTTGCCCTCGCCTTCATTTTCAGATGAGTAATGTTGCTTTTTGTTTTTATAAACATTGAAGTTTGCCATTTTTTCTTCATAGTTATCCAACCCCTTTGTATCCCAAAATACAAATGGCTTTTTGATATTATCCAACCCTCGTTCTTCAACAGATACACCATCTTTCAACAATTCTCCATAAAACTTGGTTCTGGGAAATTTAGTTATATGTGGATGCATTCTATACTGTTTGTCCAACATAAGTACTTTTCCATTCTCACACTTATTGACTATTTTCTCAAACAACGATTCTTGCAATGCTTCATTGTTGGTGAATGAACTCAACTGTTTTTGGTCACCAGCAAATACCAATTTCTTCAAATTTGGTAGTGCCAATGGAATTAATGTAGATACCTCGTTGGTTTGTGTTGATTCATTCATGATCATCGTTGAAACACCATCAATATAATTAAAGAAATTTCCACCTGCTGTCACAGTTGTTGCCAAGATTATTTTGGCATTACTCACTATCAAATTTTTGATTTGATAAACATCTTTGTTATAGTGTATCAAATCTTCTTTAGTAATTTCATTGAAAAGTTTATCGTTGATTTTTTCATAAACGTTCAATGCTTTAACTCCCAAACGACTAACAATGTTATGATGCAACAAAATTGGACTTAAAACATGACCTCCTGGATAGTCTTTTTCTTTTGATTGGGCCACAATTCTCAAAGTATATTCAGGATGGGTTTCAACTAATTTTCTAGCAATATTATCAACTGCAGTATTTAATGCTGCAAAAACACAAACAGATAGGAAATTGTTTGTTCTGAAACCCCTATAATGTGATAAATTTAAGATTCTTTAACTGTAACTAGTTTCAACAATTGAAGAATCATTTCATAAATTGCAGATGTCTTTCCTGTTCCGGGTGGCCCTTGCAAAAATGTTATATCGGTTTTTAAAACAGATTCAATTGCCAACCTTTAAGAATCGTTCATCAACTTATTTAATTCAATGTTTTCACTATAACAATTCGAGCTGTGTATATCTATCTTCAAATTTTTCGTTAAAATTAATGACGTAAAAGCACCAGTATGAAACAATTTATCCATGGCAATCATTATTCGACAACTTGGAATTGAGCAAACCAAAGCCCTCCATTTGGTAGTATCACCCCAAAAATAACTATCTGATGAGTCAAAGTACAATTCATCTTCATCACAAGTGCTCCAGGAAAAAATTTCAATCCCAATTTGATATAGATCCTCAAGTATCATAAACCGATTGTTTGAAATAAAACCAGTATCTGAAACAACGCCATAACAAAAAGTATCTTTTTTATTTAAAATAATTGAAAATCCTTTTTGCATTGGGGATAAAAACTTACATTTTTTGTTTCTTATAAAATTCAAATCTTTATTTCTAATATACATCGAAAAATACTTATTATTTGACTTTAAAATCCTTCTTGAACTGAATCTAGAATGATAAATTGGTTCATCAGTAATTTCCTAAATATCAATCATCTTTTTTGAGAACAATTCCTCTTTATAAAAATTGTAGCACATTATATTACGGTGCTCTTGAAAACTTTTATAAATATCTTTGAGTTTATATTTTTCTTCGTTTTTGCTCTCACAATCACTCAAAGTGCCTTTACGATTATGTTGTTCATCTAAAAACTTATCACCGATAAATAAATCATTAAAATAATCAGATAAATCTTCAAAAGACATCATCAACAAAAATAATTAATTAAATATATCTTTTGATATTGTATTGATCAAACTTTGCAAGGAAATTAGTAACAAGTTCATATCAAAAATAGGGATTCTATATCTTATGTTTTATAGTTTCTAATTCCCTTTTATGGGTGGATTTGGTAAAAAAATTTTTAATAAAAGAATGCATTTTGTTGAACTTGGTTCTTATTAAAAATTTTATTAGGTTAATTATGTAAATTTAACATATCAAATCTGTTTAACAAATGATACGATAAAGTAGAAAACTAAATACTCATGAACACTCAGCAAAATATTTTCCGTTCTAAACTTGGTAACCATTTTCAACCATGGATATATATTGCTGTCTCTTGAGAAAAATTGCCAATTGAATTATTTAGATTAAATTAAATTAAATTAAATTAAATTGAATTGAATTTTTGATAATTATATTTTTTTAAAAAATTGATAAACTAAAAAGACCAGGCCACTTTTTATTGAATTTTTGTTAAGAGCTAGTTGAAAATAAAAAATTTGAAAACCAAATAATTTATTAGATAGATTGCTAAAAGAAAATCATGACTTTAATTTTCTCAAAATATGATCTAAAACTTTTATCGAGGAAAGAGTGATTTTAAAATCATCGAAAATGTTTGAACATTATTAAAGCGATTCTTGTTTCGGCGATAGGTTCTTTTTTGTTTTGCTTCAATTGATAAAAATCCAAAATAAAAGAATGAAATTGAAAATTGAACTCAGATTTCTAAGTTTATTTTTAGATATTATTTTTAAATCTTGTTTAATTGGTAGTATTTATCTAATAGATTTGTAGAAATTAAGGAATAAAATTTATTATTTCCTTTTTGGGAATCTTGTAGAACTTTAAAGCTGAGAATCAAAAGTAAAAGTCTAGAGCTAGTCATTGAAATAGAGTTTAGAAAAATTATAATAGCGAAATATGAGTAATTTTTCAAAAGAGCCAAAGATAAAGAACCCCACACAACTATTGCATTACAGAAAATCAATGGCAATTGAGCAAGAGCAATTTTTATTCCCAAATGTTTTCCAACTATAAAACATATAAAGGGACTAATAACGAATGCCGCCATCTCGAAATAATAGTATTTGCCTTTCAATCATTTGAAGACATGTTTTTAATTTCAAAAAATTATTTGATACCACTCGAATATATTGAATACTCTTAATACTGCTGGTCAATTTTAGATTCAAATTCTCAATTTCATTAACAGGTATGACTTTGATCTCGCATTTTGAATCATTTCTTAGTTTTTCAATTCGGGAGCCTTTTTTGCCAATTAAATAAGTTACCTCTCGTTTGGAGAACTGCAAAATTTTATAATACATCTTTTTATTATTATTACTAGGGTTGTTGAGAATATTGGATGACATCATTGAAAAAGATAAAATCCCAGGATTCTCACCATCATCTCTGTCATCAGAGAATAGCAACGAGTAGGTTGATGATGAAGAGTCTGGTCTGTTTTGGATATTTCCATAGTGATGATCGTTGTGACGATATTCAGATAGCAACTTTTGCGGTGGAAACAACCAACATAACGGAGAGACGTCATGCATTTCTTGACTAATGAAACACCATTGATTTGATGAAGTAAATATATTTGCAATACTAGATACCAACAAGCTCTGGTCATTACATTGCAAAGTCATTCTAGGGCCCGGAGTGGCTCCTGGTAACTCATCTGAGATTGTGCAAACAACTCCCTTACTGGGACTGATCTGCTCATAGTGGACCTGACGAACGAAACTGTGAGAGAGAACAATTGATATCTGGCTGTTATGTTCAGCAAAACAAGAGAGCAACTGCTGAAGCCTGGTTTTTTGGAGAAGAGATTTAAAGACAACAGCAAACTCAAAGGAGAAATCGCCCACTCTGTGCACTGAGACCGAAGCGCCAGTGACTCCACAGCTGCTGGCACTGCACTGCTCTGAATCAAGAATAAACAGAACATCGAAACTTGACCTCAACTTCACAATCGCCTTCTGGAGACTGGCTCTTTTAACTATGAGGGAGAAGCAGAAGGGGTTTGCTGTGATGCTATCTTCTGTTGTATCATCAATGGTTACCTGGAAGCAGTCGATTCGAAACAAATTGGCAGAGATATAATCGAAAGCAGGCTCACTACCATCCAGTGAGCTATCTAAAGCGAGACTTCGGTGATGCGAAACACTCTCAAGATCAGAATCAGAGCCTGGGACTTCCACGTCAGAATACACAGCAACAAAATCAATTGGATGGATATTTTGTTTGAAGAGATCCACCCCAATTTGCTCCACTTCAACTTCCCTCGTTGCATCAATGCTGTAGGTGTTGAACGACTCTTCGTTATCGCAGCCTATTAACTGGTAATCCATTTCTATTGCTACTGGTATATCCTATATTTCTCTATAAATCAAATTCCAAACAAAGCAGAAACAAACGAAACAAAAAAAAACAGAATAGAACTGGCAAGGATGGGCCATCTATTTATACATGGATTAAGCGCTGAGCATGGATCACTCAGTAAAAGTCGAAGCTCGCCTGGGTACTCTTCACCTTAAACACAAAATCCTGTTCTTTGAGCGATGTAATGTAGTTTTTCCATAGCTTGGATCCCCTTGAAAGACACTCGCTGTTGCCCACAAGAATCAATCCATATCTGGCTCTGGTCAAGGCGACGTTCAACCTTCGCTCGTCTTTGCTAAAACCAATCATCCCTTCTCTGTTGCTTCTCACACAGCTGAAAATAATAAAGTCCTTTTCTTTGCCCTGAAATGCGTCGACTGAAGCAATTGTAATGCCTGAGATTATGTTCATTGTAGCAGGCCTAGCATCATCAAATAAGTCATCGCAGTCGATGTCCACTATCACATCTTCCCCCTCTGGGTTAAGAATTTCGTTCCTGGTGATAATCTCAGTGATCAATTCTCTTTGGGCACTATATGGAGTGATAATTCCAATCTTTTCCTTTGCAATATTCTTGGAGAATATCAAATGCATCAAAACACTGATAATCAACTCGCTTTCACCTGTGTTTTGAAATGAATATCCTTGCTCTTCGCCAAAAATTGATTCTTTTCTCTTTCTGCTTTCAAAGTATTTTCTAGAAATACCAGTATCCCAAAATACCAATGGCTTTTCGATATTCTCTAGCTTTCTCTCCTCAATTGAAATACCATCTTCTAGCATTCTATCGTAAAAACGATTTCTTGGAAATTCTGATATAAATGGATGCATTCTATACTGCCTATTTAACATATGGCTATTTTCATATAACCCACTCATAATCACCCTTTCAAACAACGATTTTTGCAAATGTGGATTGTTTGAAAATGAGCTTAACTGTTTCTGATCACCAACAAAAACTGCTTTTTTCAAATTTTGCATAGATAAGGGAATTAACGTTGCTGCTTCTGATGATTGAGTTGCTTCATCCATTATCATAACAGGTGCTTCCTTTAACATTTTAAAGTATTTCCCTCCGGCCGTGACAGTGGTGGTCAACATGATCTGGTATTGGCTCATTAATCTTGTACCCACATCAAATACCTCCATTTTATACTTTTTGTATTGCGTTTCTGAAATCAAATCAATTTTTCCACTTCGGAGTTTTCCGGTAACTTCTTTAGCACCAACACTGAGCATCATTTGGATTTTATGATGCAAAACAACTGGGCCTAAAGGATGACTAAGAGGATAATCCTTTTCTTTAGATTCTGACACAACTCTGATTATTTTATCTTGATGTGTTTTCATCAATTTTTCAGCAATGTTATCAATTGCAATATTTGATGCTGCAACAACTAAAATCGGAAACGTATGAAATTGATCAATCAATTGCAATATAATTTCATAAATAGTAGACGTTTTTCCTGTTCCTGGTGGACCTTGCAAAAAGGTAATATCATTATTTAGCACTGATTGAATCGATCTCTTTTGGGATTCATTTAATCTGCTATTGTCACTATAGTTTAATTTATTGTTAAACTTCTTTTCTTGAATACGTTCTTTCCCCAATAACAATGATTGAAATGACTTTTTATAATTAATTATGGACATCGAAGACAAAATTCGAGATTCGGGAACTGAAAGTGTCAATAATTTCCAATTAAATGGAACTCTTACCACATACAGCCCTAATAACATCGTGTTCCATGGAAAAGATTTCACAAAAAGCCCAATGGTATTTTTATGACTAATCACATCAAGAATACCACAATACCATATTTTTTCTTTTTCTTCGTTATAATTTATTAACGCTAATGTTCCATGCCTCACAAATGGAGTTTTATTAAATCTTCTGAATTTTGGAGGTATTCTAGATATCAATTCGTCCGATGATTCCAAATAAATATAAAAAAGTTCACAAGGATCACCGTATTTGTTTCTTTGAAAATCTGTTTTATCAAAATCTTTTAAAAACCTGGTTCGAGTCTTTGGTCTTCTTTTTTTTCCCCTATCTAAATCTTTTGGCTCCCATGAAATTTCAAAGTCTCTTATTGGCTGTGTTGAATATATCTCCTCTCGGTACAAATTATAACTAATAGTTTGAAAATACTCTGTGAAATCTTCATATAAATCTTTTGGTTTAAAATCTTCATTATAAATATCTGTCATTGAATCAGTTTGTTTCAAGTCAGTTTGTTTTAGATCCTTTTGCTTTCTATTTTTCTTTTTAGTCAAATCTTGATGATCTGGAGATGTGTCTGTTTGAATTTGTTCATTTTTAGAGCTTGTACCATTCATTGAAATTAAACTTAACAATTTTGTTATTTCCTTGTCATTTGAGTTAACCTCTTTATCTTTATTGAAATTGGCGCGACCATCAAAGTTTTCTTGCAATCTTTTGTTACCATTAGTACTTAAATCTTTTTCTCTTTGAGATTTTAGTTGTTTTGAGGAAACTTTCAATGATAATTTTGCCTTTGCCGATTCAATAATATCAGCAGAGCTAGGAGAATTACCTTGTTCACTTTCCAGATTGAAAGAGACTAATCCTTCAGTTGAAGCAATTTGAAGTGAACTTGAGTTTGAAGAAATTTCGGCTTTAAATTCTTTTTTTTTATTTTCCCCTTTGAAAGACCCTCTTCCACCTCTTCGACTTTTAGCACCTCTACCAAACCTATTTTTGGTATTGAGATTTTTTTGGGGAGTTTTATTTGAGATTGATTCTTTTATACCCAATAGGTGGTGGAGAAAAAAATAATCATTTCTATTTACAAAATCTTCTATGTTTAATGATTCCTTATCTAAACAACTTTTACAATAAATTGGTTGTTTTTTAAAGTTAATTTTTTCATCATTTAATTTTTTAACATATAAATTTTTATTGATTTCACATAGATCACATCTAATGTCTCTAAAATCCAAAAAACTTGGAAATTTTTGTAAAATAGTTCCATTTTCAATAGAATATTGCACTGGTTTTGAAGAAGAGCTTCCGATTTTATTATTTTTGTTGTCACTTGACTTTTTATAACAGTTATTGCAAATTAATTGCATCGAAGTACCCCCATATCGTAATATTTGAAGAATATGAATATTTGAATCATTGCAGTTCTGGCATCTAATTAATTCATTATTAGGTAGAAAAACCATATTCTTGTGCTTTGTTTCTTTAATATGGCTTAACATTTCAGCATCATTTAAGAGCTTTGAGCAAGTCTGACACTCATAAAAGTATGAGCCATTATTATTAAGGGCCATGGTAAGTAGATTGAGGGTTGATTACTGGTTGGTGGCGATTAACAATCTCAACTGATAATGAAATTAAATCAAGTAATTATTGCCACCCAAAATAATCAAGTTGTTGTGAATCTACTTTAAAGAGATTGTTAAAACGATGATAAAGCGAGTTGAAAACTGCTTTCTATTGGAAACTGATATGTGAATAAAATTTGAAAAATACTCAAAAAAAAGTTTAAGATTTAAAGTTTGCCATACAGATAACACTTTTACAACTGTGAAAAATTTTAAGATGTGATCTGTACGTGAAAGAAAAGGCAGATGGATAGAAAAAGTAGAATTGATATGCTGTTTTGTTTAATATGAAGGTCATTTCAGCAGAAAACGAGATAGAAAAGGAAGATACAGAAAGCACTGAGAGCTTTGATAGCGATTTTCGAGATGATACAGGCAATGAGTTAATAAACAGTAATGATTTTGATCCTTTATCTTATTTTGAAGGCGTAGAGAATAAAGTGAATTTTGTTGAACAAAATGAAAAGATAACTGATGAAAAAGATCAAGAAAACATCGATGGACAACAGATGATCTTTGGAGGAAAAAATGACAGAACTGAAGATCAAGTAGAAATTCAATGCCATGATCAACTAGAAGATGCTATCATCAGAATTTCAGACTTGCCGTCGCTATCTACGAAACCTCCAGGATGTATTTTAATTACAGTGCTTAAGTTATTATTTTCTACAGATCATTGCAATTTTAGCGATATGGAGGAAAACAGTGACAGTGATGTTGATAGTGATATGGATAACAATGACAATTTTCAAGACCAGTTTTTAGAAAATTATAATGTTAGTCAAGAAGAGTTGCACGATCTTTACAAGTATTTGACGCTTTTTGGTAGTCAATTTGGATTATTACTATTAAATTATCGTGAAAAATTACTAAGTATTAAAGACATTCCAAAATTATTTAGACATGAATTTTTCGATTTTATTACAAGTATTCTAGCAAATGATTTGAACTGGATTGAAAATTTAGCATTGAAAGAAGAGATTTTACAATTATCATCCAAACTAATATCTGAGAATTGTGGCAGGCTAGCCAAATCTGATTTCATTCGTCGTATTAAGATTAAGTATGACAATGGGGGAAAAAAACATTTGAATATCTTATTACAAGAGCCCTCATTGACCGAGGACAAAATTGGGTTGAAAACTTGGGGGTCCTCATTAAATTTATCAAGAAGAATTTGCAATGAGTTTGAGGATTTAATTGAGTTTCCAGTATTAGAACTTGGTTCAGGCACTGGGTTGATTGGAATTGTTTTGAGTTTTCTCATGAAATCGCAGAATAAAAAAGTTAATCGTGGAGATTTAGTGTTGACCGATTTGGAGGAGATTGTTGACAATCTAAAAGAAAATGTAAAATTGAACCAAGTCGAAAACTTTAGTATGGTCAAGACATTAAACTGGGAAAGCCCTGACTCATTCAAAAAATGGATGATAAAAAACTATTCAACAAGTAACTATTATCAAACAATTATTATTTCAGATTGTTTGTACTCACCCAGTATGCCATTTTTATTGATTGAAATGATTAAAACATTTTTTAAGTTCAACAACACATTGAAATCAAGATTGTTGATTCAAAATCCAGTTAGAGAAGGATTTGAATATGAAAGAAATACATTAAGTGGATTGCTCAACCAAGATGAGATTCTAAAAACAAGGCTAAAGTTGGTTAGAACAACCACAGAGTATGGATATGATGATTTTGGCAGGCAAGAATTCATATTTCAAGAGTTTTGCAGTTGACAGAAAGTGAATGCCGACCTAATTGGTAAAATCAAGACAATTAGCTACAAAATACAAAGAGAAATAAATAATCAAGTAATACACCACTGATAGGACAATCAAAAGTATCATTGTTCATTCCTATTGTGTTTTTCGAAATTTCACTACCAGTATCAGATTATGGATCTGTAGGATTAGGGTTACATAATCAGGCAAGTACACACGCGCAATGTCAGTTTTAGCAGGGAATACTATCACGAGACCACCGATTAAACTGAGACTAGTAATTCTTTCACGTACTGTAAATGCACATTCGGGCGGGTTTGTGTAAAACTACGTAGCTTAACATGTATCATGCCGTAAGAGTCAGGTGCTTAACTTAAATACTAAAGCATTAAAACTGGAGCAAATTATGTTTTCTTGAGCAGGAGTCTTGTTTAGCTAAGGGTGCTGTCACGTTTTTGATCCCTGCTACTTTCGCCAAAGCCGCAGAGCTCCAGCATGTCAACGCAGAGACTGCACTAAGCGCCAAAAGGATGATGATCTGCTTTCCGGCAGCGGATTAGACGCAGCACACGTGTTGCGGTTGGTGCTTAATCCGGTACTTGAATCAGCTTATCCAACAGTGCTCCATGCTTTCAATGCTATGGCTTGTTTTGCTATATAAGGTACAGAAAGAACCGCAGTTCAATGGATTTTGTGCCAGAGAACCAACTCCTTCAGTGAGCTACTCTACTTCCCCTTGCCAATCTCCAGCCCCTGATCAATCTTGAGCTAGAGATTCAGCTATAACAATATTTGCAATCGGTACTGAAACGCTATTTCCATAATACTTTAATACCATAGTGTTTACTACCATGTCGAGAAGGGACCAAGACTATATTGCTCAAGAGTCTGCAGACGACAAGAGACGTCCCAGTCTTTTCCACAGACCCAAATCGTCCACTAACCACAACTTCAATCCCATCTTGAAAAACGTTGCAGAGCTATCAGACCCCAAGGATAAGATCATTCGCCCTATATCTGCGGCTCGTTCAATGTCACGATCACTTTCCATGAAGACACCAGTTCTCAACTCCACGCCTAATGTGATAGCAACTGCCACACTCAACAATGGAGCAGCATCTATCAGCAACTTTCTGATAACCAATTCAGCTCAAGGCCAAGCTCAAAGTCAAGTTCAAAATTTCAATGTCAATTCTAACCTAAATCTCACTCCTAATACCAATCTCATTACAAATGCGAACGGTAATGCTGCCACCACATCCACTTCCAAAATTAATGCTAATCATCCTTGTCTATGTGGTGCTGAATGTACGTGCGGTGCGGGTACCGTGACGGAATTATCTTTTGTGAATGAGTCTCAGCCGCTACTATTGCACTACGCTGAGTCATTGGGAAACGGCCATAACAATGCTAACCATAATGGGACATACAGTATTAATGCTGACAATGAAGTCGAGTTGAATGATTACTACACCATCAACACCAAGTTGCCGTTTTTAGAGCTACTACCGTACTACTTACCATGTTTCTCTTGGATTCCAGACTACTCTATGAATAAGTTTTTCCACGACTTGATTGCTGGGTTGACGTTGGCATCATTCCAGATCCCCATATCTATATCTTATGCTAATACAATTGCCCATGCCCCAACGATATGTGGGTTATACGGGTTGATTATTCCTCCGTTCATATATGCAATTCTAGGGTCGGTTCCCCAGATGATTGTGGGACCAGAGGCAGCTATATCATTGGTGGTGGGGCAGACAGTTGACTACATGCGGTTCCATCACAGCGAGGAAATACAGCCTATCGACATTGTGGTAATCATGTCAATGATGGCTGGTTTCTTTTTGTTTTTTTTTGGTCTATTCCGGTTCGGTTATGTTGAGAACGTATTGTCCAAATCTTTGCTTAATGGGTTTATCTGTGCAGTAGGAATGATTATGATAATCAATTCCCTCTTCGGAGAGTTGAAGCTAGATGCACTGAAGTCAGAGACTCTATTAGACTCGCCATACGACAAATTTGTGTTCATTATACATCAGGTGCAAGCTGGTAACTATCACTGGCCAACGGTTTTGTTGAGTGGAGTGTCCTTACTGGTTGTGTTGGTGATTCGTCGATTCAAAAAGAAGGGTGGGTTTACGAACTCTTCTCAGACGTTCCAGAAAATCTTGACGTTGTTTCCAGAGATACTAGCGGTCGTAATTATTACCACCATTTTCTCCTATGAGATGGACTTCAAGGGCAGGTACAAAATACAACATCTTGGGGCTGTAACTAATGAGGAAGGCAAGGGCAACATTGTAATGAAGAATCCGTTTTCAAGGGACAAGCTCAGGTACTATGACGAACTATTGTTTCCATCATTAACCATTGGGATATTGGGGTTTTTGGAAAGCACCACTGCATCCCAATCGCTCGGGTCGATCTACAACTTGCCAATTTCAGCCAACAGAGAGCTTGTTGCATTAGGGATGTTGAATATTGCTGGGTCGTTTTTCTCGGCCCTTGCATCGTTCGGAGGGTATGGTCGATCAAAGATCAATGCATTGTCAGGAGCTCGCACAACCATCTCAGGGTTTGTGATGGGTTTCTTCACTCTTCTTACCACATTTTTTATGCTAAAGTACTTTCACTACTTGCCAATGTGTATATTGTCCGTGATAACAACGGTGGTGGGGATCAATTTGCTAATGGAAGTACCAGGCCATTTGGTGTTCCACTGGAGAGATAAAGGCTGGAACGAGTTACTTACATTTTTCATTACATTGTCCATATCGATATTCTACTCAGTCGAAAGTGGTATCATTGTTGGCTGTGGGTACTCTGTTTTAAGAGTGGTGAAGCACTCTTCGAAATCGCGGATTCAGATCTTGGGGCGAGTTCCCAATACAAACCACTTTACAAATGCAGACGAGCAAATACCAGAAGGGCTTAGCAAAGAGGAATTCCAATTTATCATCACTAGCAACAGAAAAATTGCATCGAATTTGGAAGAAATTGAGGGTTGTTTGATTATCAAGATTCCTGAACCGCTTACATTCACTAACACGTCAGATTTGAAAATTCGGTTAAATAGGTTGGAGAAGTATGGGTCAATCAAAATCCATCCGGCAACAAACAGGATTCGGAAGCAGTCGATGACAAGATATGTGATATTTGACATGCATGGGATGACAGAGCTTGACTCATCAGCAGCACAGATTCTCAAGGACATTGTAATAAACTACTCCGGAAGAGGCATCTATGTATTATTTTGCAGAGTGGCTAGGAGCAAAAGAGTTCGAGAAAGATTATTCGATTCTGGAATCAACAAAATGATTTATCAAAAGAAAGACGGATCTTTTGCGGGAACATACAGTATCATAAGCACTGAAACAGGGGAAATTATCGGTGGAACGAGAAACAGCTATTTGTATTATAGAGACATTTCCGAGGCTTTGGGAGCTGTAGATGACATTGAAATGCATTTGGAAGAAGATTTTGGCCGTCAGTCGTTCAGTATATGAGATGAATAGAAAGCTCAGGAGGGATTTTGATTTGAACTAACTCTTATTAATATCCTATCTAATTAATAAGTAACATGAGTTCTATATATCTGGGTATTACTTGTTTATCTGCAGTTAGGGGTTGTGAGCCACCGCGATGTCTACGCTCGGTCACTCGGCATCTCTTACAGGTCTGTTGTGTTGTAGGGAATCCATGATGTTGTGAGCCCTTGGATGTCAAGATTGTTGTACCGAGCGTCACGGGAGCAGACCGGTGACAGACACCGAAAAACCGAATGCAGACATCCCGGACGCTCACAACTGCCCCCCTTAACCCAGTATCCCGACCTTAGACAATCAGGTCTATGTAGTCGAACATTGTAGACAACCTGCAAACGACCTTTCGCGTTGGCCGAGCGGTTAGCAGGTGTGGGTGCCAAACATGGTCTCCCGCGTTCCGCTCACGGGCGCAGTGCAGTGGGATCCATTCCTACTAACGGCCTTTCAAAAGAAAACACCCTGGGGCAAGAAACATGGGTGATGTTGAAATACTGGCATGGCCGTTAAAGTGAGATGGCTCATATAATTTTTCAAGCAATGTGGCTTGGGCAGTTCCTATTCTTTGCGCGCACAAGAACGTTACAGGGCTAGTTCGTGTGCTCGCCAACACCTCTTCTCCTGAACATCCGCTCATGGCACAATGAACATTTCCGATATAACTCCAGACGCTGAACATAAATAAACAATTAGAACAGTGATAAAAGAACAAATCAAATGCAATCGCAAATGTCGTTTAATACCTATCCAACCATTTAACGAATGACAATGAACCTAATTTTAAAAACAAAAGTGTTTCCGTTGTAGAAATATTATAATCGCAGGAATTCAACCAAATGTCGAACAATACTGACGCAACAATTTCAAGGCATGTTCAATATACTGTGAAAACAATAGTGATCAATTGAACTTAAACTGGACGTAACAATCAGTTGCAGCGAATTCAACTAAACGGTGACGCTCCGCGAGTGAGTCACGAAATCTAGTGTTTGAGATACAGCAGTATTGCAGGGCTAAAAGCTGTGCCGGCATCTCATTATCAACGGTGTTGGTATCGTGTATTGAAAAAGCAAAAGCAGTTTTGCGCATCTCTCTCATAGATGATTTCCTAGTTAATATAATGTCAAAATATGTGTGATTGGATGGATGGAAATCGGATTGAAATGGTGAATCTTAATAAGACTATGCATTGGATTGGGATTTATAAATTGAACTATGTGAAAGCGTCTATTAATAGCAACGGATCTTAATGTGCCCAGAGACCGAAGTTGATTTTGCTCTACATGTTATGTCGGCCAGCAGTGCGTTGCTTTCAAAGACCATGCAGCTGACAGTCGATGAAAAACATCATAGACACGCCTGCTCAAGATCCATCGACCACTCCCGTAGCCTAATTGCTGTCACACTATGGAGATAAGATTTTGTGGTAGCCGCTGGACGGTAATCAGTTAAAAGAATAAATTTTAGATATTGTACTTCTTTCTAAATTAGTGTCAACTCAATTTTCATGATGCTACAGCAGTCCGACTATGTTGCTGCGTACTAGAGTTATTTCGTAATGGGTTTGCAGTAATAGGTGGCGATTCAACAACTGATTTGTTATGGAATGGCACTTCAGCATCAAATGCATTCAGGTGTGTTTTGTGCCGTACTTTGAAAAGTATTACCATCAATTGTGCCCCTCCGAAGGGTCACATAGTCATTTTATGTTGTTGAACCATCTGTGTCTTCTGAGAATTTTTGATTATCTAGAAACTTTCTTTATTTTTGCCCGCCATCATGATCGATGGACGGCAAAATTGTTTCGTTGTTTTTTAGTTTGAATAATGGCCGGTGATATCATTTTGGCTGGTTGTCTATTGCACTGGATGAGTCTGCAGTAGTGCAGTGATCGAGATTTGATCAAGATATGCAGTGCTGACAGTTCTTCAAAATGTAAGTCGTATCATTTTCAGGTACTCATTTTAAATTCAGAGGCAAATGCACATTGTTAAACAGTTTATTGAGCAAACGACAAAAAAGAATGTTTGACTTTCCACAGTCATTGCTGCCATGACCTAAGTTAGTAAAGATTTTGTGCTTATAGCAATTGAAAACGCGATTTAGGTACATTTCAACGTTCATCTCTCCACGAAACACATCAGTGGTCTCATATGTTTGACAACGGTTAATTGACGTCCATGCAGCAACGGTAAGAGTGACTCCGACAGATTCCTTTTTAATAGCGCACTGGGTGGAGTTCAATAGCCTATTGCATCAAGCGGAGAGCTCTACCAAGTAGTGTAGACGGCTTTCGTTAGACGAACGGACAGCGACAGGTCATTTTCGGAAAGGTGGATTTCACAACCAGGAACTATTGTTTGGAGCATTGCCTTCCATCCTGATTGACGTAGAATCATTTTGATTGGGTCCGCAACGTTTTCTTTAGCATTTGCGGCTACAATCAGTGCAGCAGGTAAATGGTTTACGGGTAACCTGTCGCTAATGGTATCCCTCAAGTTGTTTGTTTACAATTCAATTTCATTTTTTATGTTTTAACCATATTACTGACGAACGTTGTTCTGCGGAGCAAATTGGCATTTATCAATTTCACTTGCGGTGTGACCATCAGGAAATTGGTGCTGTCCAAAATCGTCTAAGTCATAGCTTCAGCAACTTAATAGTTATGTCTAATGCCAGCAAGACAATCCGTTTAATGCAATTCATTATTGTTGACTCCTTCTTCCTCTTCATCACCTGGGCTGACATCATTATATTAATTTTCATAATTAAAATTAGTATTTGATGTATAGCTTCAGACATTTGAAGTTGCGCTATTTTAGTCATGACCGCATCAGTATGATTCCTTACTTTAACAGCCGCTTTAGCTGGCGCAACTTGTTTGGCAGTTAAAGTAGTTGGTTCAATGGAGGTGAATCGTTGATCGTTGACAAAGATGTCATTTCATCAAATCGACTAAGGGATGTGACAACATCTAAACGGATATGACGATCGTGCTTTCTGCGGGCGGTTGATGCACGTCGTAAGAATCACTAAACGGAAGAAAATTGTATCACCTTACTTGGGGCTGCGGATGGGTCAGGAAGCTATGCCGTGGAAGTCACACTGAAGGATCTTCAAAAACCTAGCCGCTAATTATCTGCATCAAATAATTCTAAATGGGTGGTTACCTGAACGCCATGTTTGGGCAGATCGAAATCATCATATTTACATCACACGTGACCGCTCTGTTCCTCATGTAATCAGGATCAGCAACCTAATTTGAGATAATTTTGGGTATTCTCAACGATGTTCTGTCCTATCCTTCAGTGACCCCTTTGAATGAGACCCAAGGGAGACAAACATTTCATGTTTGATTTCTTTTGATTGACATATATGTTTGACCATCTTCAATCCAAATTTGTTATCGGAGTTCACAACATTATCTGATTGTTCTGCTAATCGTCGAACAAATGATGTACAATATACATATCTGGCAGCAGTTAATGATAATGTAGCAATTGATGGAAGAACAACATTCTTTGAGTAATCATCATCGATGGTGAAAGGAGATCATACCCCATTAACTAAAGAAGTTGGCATTGGTTAAACAATAACAACAAGAAGAAGTCCACGAATTGCGGTGACTTGCAATGTGGACGACTGATTATTAGTCTGATCGGTTTTCCTTTGTGTCTTGACTTACAATATGAGTCATCAGCTGCAGCAATGCTTTGATTATGTCTATATTTCTTGAATCAGGCTCCCTTTGATGTCCAAGGAGTTTATGCCATTTTGTAGAGATTAACCAAACATCCGATGACGTATCGAGACATTTATATTATTGAGAAGCAGCAGTGAAAGCACAGAGATAGCATTATTGAATATAACTCAATCAATTTTCGATGATAACCAGGGCCTTTGATTTGTACCAGTTGAAGTTAAAATTAAACTTCCAGTATGAGGATCATAAAGAAAGCTCAATATTGATCTATTTTTCAGAAACATGAGGTCACCATTATTTGCGGCATCAACATCATTTGCACAAGTACCAACAGTAACTCCTGGATGAAATTTAATGTTGATGATCCAATCAACATTCGGAAAAGTGTGAAGGGAAGCATCTGAGTCAAAATCGAACCGCATGAAACTCAACCTAAGTTTGGTAGTTACATTGAACGATCATGCAATGAATCGCTGCCCAACATTAAAAGAATCGAGAGCGGCCGCAGCACCAGAAACATCGGCTGGATCTGATGATTCAGCTGGAACAGACGGTGGTGCGAAACACTCACTAGCTAACTTTCTTACTACTTGACAACGATGGCATGTCATTCTTTTTGGTTTTGGATTCGGCAATTAGATTTTACCAACAGAGACCAAACCTGTTGACGCTGAGGCACCTGCAAGTGCGTCATCACCTTGATTATTGATGAAAGGTTTGGATCGGGAAATGTAATAATGTGACGGTCGGTCAATTGCGTAGAAGTTATTTTAGCCTACGTGGTGTCTGAAACACAAGAAGCACGGACAATAGCGGCAACTTGATCCGCTATGTATAGTTGAAAATATTGCAATGCAACTCATTAAACATTTTAGTACAATCTCTCCAATTGGTTGATCGACTTCCCCATTTAGAGGAAATCATTGAGCGAGTTGTAGTAATAGCTGCATCCACTCGAGTCGTACAATATGGCTACTACAAGTTAACTAATCCTTTAGGGCCGTACCACCGATCGTATTACACCTCTTGCAAAACAGCTAAAACAATTTCGCAGGTAACCAACGAACGGAGAATGGAATCGAAATCAACCTTAACTACTTCTGAATCAAGATCGTTAATTGAAATAACAGCTTTTGAATTAAGCCGAAAACCAACGCCCATTCGGAGGATCTTAGAGGCTCAAGAGTGAAGATCTAACAGTACTGTTGGAAGCATCGATTAGTTATCCTGATTTTTGCCAAAGACCTTTGAATAGTGGCTCAATGACTGCGGTAGCAAATCGATTACTTTATATTATCAATATAAAGTATATAAGTGATAACGATAAAAACGGGTTTGCCAACATTCTTGATAGGGATCTTAGTTAGATCAGAAAACGTGACGGAAGCAGAATGGTGACGGACTCCGAGGGACAGCTGCGATCATCCGGGAAGCTCACGACACGTAAGCTTTATTAAGATGAAGCAATAAATAACAAAGAACTCTTCAATGGAATCGATGATTCAAACTGAGGGACAATAGTACGTAAAAGATTTGTACGAAGGAAAGGCTGCCAACCGCTTATATATTAAAGTGGGCTGAATCTTACGAGGTCAAGGAAGCAGACTGATGACGGACCCCTAAAAACCGAAAGTAGACATCACTGTTGCAGCGAATCCGTGACAGTAAATTATGATGAAAAGGCATATAGGAGTGCACAAAGTAGAATAACAGCAGCCCCTTGATCGGTATGAGGCTCCCGAATTTCTACATTGGGTCCTTCGTTGTCTGACGCTGGTCTGCTCCTGTGACACTCTGTGATCATGGCTAGCTCTGTACGAAAGAATCTGGCCGCATTTTCTACGTCAGTTTTCATTATACATTTTTACGAATGTTGTGAGCCTCCCGGATGTGCTCATTTTGTCTTTCGAGGTCTGCAATTGGTCTGCGCTCTTGATGCACTGCGCTCAAACTTAGTTCTCTAAAAACAGATGGGCTGTCAGGCTCATTGGGATGGTTGCTGGCAAGAATCGCAGACAATAACCGATGCGGCTAGCTATACCGAGTGGGTTTTGCGTTTTAATGTCAAAGCTGCTCAGTTTTGGGATTTGGCTCCAGCATCTATCAAGAAAGCGGTGATTTTTAGAAATGGAGTTGATCTAGACATAGCTGAAGTTGCTTTAGATTGCATTGGCCATACGCTGGCTACTAGCTAATTAATTCCTGCTGTATTGAAAAAGGTGCTATACCATCAGTGGTATGGTCGTGAAGTATTAGTTAACCTTGGGAAGCCTTATTGTATTATTGGAGTTGAGGCAGCTAATTATATTACGTGTTCATTCACCTCTGGTAGCTTCTCAAAATCGAGTACCCCCTAGAAGTCATTGCCATAAGTCCTTCAATGAGATCCATTGATATGGTTTTATGGTATAGAATGCTTATTAAGTCGCCGGTACTATTTATGCTTGTTCAATTTTGGTGAAACTGACAATGAAAGAGTTGCTTTGCAATTTTAAAGCGCGCATAAAATTACTTCTATGGATGCAAAGATTGTGTCCAGGTTTCATGTCTATGACGCGTTTGCATGTTGTTTAGGATCAAGAACGTTAATCTCTGCTTGACAGGGGCCATTCTAAAGAGCAAAACAACACGAATTTACATGCTATCCATCGCACAGAATGAGGATTCGGCTATTGTGTTTTTGTCACTGCAGCCAGTCAGAGCTGGATCACTAGATTCGGCCGATGCATCTGCTGGTGTGGCCGATTTGAATGCTTTGAAACCTGATCAGTTGCTGGTTCCATAGTCGTTGGAAGTAAAAGGCAAACTCATGATGATTTTCGAACGATTTAATTTTGAAAGTGCCGTATCCAGACTTATTGGTGCGAACTTTGAATAATTGAGCAACTTATTTTTTTATTCCGCTCTGATTGGTGGTATGGCTGAGGACATCAATGATGTCAAAGGTTGTTGTAGTGCGATAATTAAAAATCGTGCAGCACTAAGAAATGCCCTTTAATCTCCCCATGGTAGAAATCTAACTTTAATTTCAGCTGCCAAAAATGATTGAGCCTGTCTTTTTTCGAAAACTGATTGTGCGTATTTGAATGGCCCATCAGCAGTAAAAAAAGAACTTCACGTTTATTTGAATAAGTCGATGACCCATTTGCAGTTGTGATAATGTTAGCAAAAGGGCTTGAACAATGAAGACATCCTGACGAGACTGTTGAAAGTCATATAGCGGGACCCTACTGTATTTCTGCTGCGGGTGATTGTAATGTGAGTTTTGTCACGAAGAAAAGGCGACCATGATTATGAATAACTCTTCTTCTTAACAGCACAGCGGTGTTATTGGATTCTATTATTTTCACTTTGTTGGGCCAACGCCAGTTCTTGATCTTGTTGAGAGTGGCTATCGTTTTAGCACTGGAGATGATTACTCATGATATGTTGTTGTTGCTTCAATGGGCACATGATCATTGGCTGCTGCCAAATTGCCATATTATAATGGTTTTGCTTACCGTCTATGGGATAGAAACGTGCAAAGTCTTTTATATGACAGCGAGGGTGCTTCCAAGCTTTTGAAACATTTTTGTCATGCGCAGAAAGTCAATCAGCAAATCCCAGTTTTTTATGTGTCTGATCATAGTGGGGTCGCTGAACAGTGGCAACCAACAATGGTGACAACTGCCGCGCAATTCTAATTGAACTAGACGTTCCTGAATACTGATGGAATCTAGCATTGATGTGATCAGTAGTATTGATTAATATGGTTTCCGCCAAGCAAGGCCCTCGGTTGACAACTTTTTTCAAATGAGGGCAACGGAAATATTAAGGTGCTGCTATGTTGAAAGTGGTTGGATGTGCGGCTTCTGCCATGATCTACAAGCGAATCAGGGAAGCGAAGCTAACAGATGCATTTGCTGTCTGCGCAGTTGTTGGCTGCGACGACGTTCGAAATGTCCTACAGAATGTTCAATCCTTGTAAGAGCGCTTTTGATGTGAGTACCTATTGTCGGTTTGATAAAACCCAACTTCTTTTAAACATCCATCAAGTGCTGCCGTTAAACCAAATAACCCTTGTGACTTTGGTGTTAGATGTATTGCCGCTGGTGTTACTGGGAGAGACATTTCTCCCGCCGTCAATGACAAAAAAACACAACTGCAGTTTGTGGAGACGATACGTAAAATGATCTCTCCGTTGAGAACGATCCATATATTGAAATCAAGCGAGAGGATAAGGAAAAAATTGTGTCGAACATATTGAATTGGATTCAATGGAATGTTTTTTGTTCACTTATGGTACTCATTATCCTGGAGATTCTCACACTGGGGCTAGGACTCGTAAAGACTCATTTGCCCGAACCACAACAGTTCGTCAACAATTTTGTTGCCTTTGATAATGTACTTAAATATTTTCAAATCATTCAACCGATAGCATCAAAACCGGAGTGGTCCGGCTTATATTTGCCGCTAGCGTTATTGACGTTACTACGGTGAAACTGATCTCTGCAGACCTAATCTGCTCAGCTGCTTGTCAAACGGAGCTTCTGGCATAGAGTTTCAACAATACTTAGCTGTTGGTTGATCCTCCATCTGGAAAATAACATGTTGTTGTCGTTCAGTGTTGACATAGAAATCGGCACCAGCTAGTGAATTTACTAAAGCCAATCCTGTTGCTGAAGGGTTTGTGCAGCTCAATGGCATTGATTACTCTGATACATTTAGTCCAGTCATTTGGTATGAGAATGTCATAGTCGTTTTTGCTGTTGTAGCAATAAATTCATTGGAGATTGGTTAAATGAAGGTGCAACTGCGCTTCTTCTTGGTTACATCGACTCTGGAACGTACAAGAAACAACGTGCAGAAATTGTGAATGGTAAGTATCCTCTGAGTGTTAGGAATTTACACAAATGAATTTATGGACAGTAACAATCATTTCTTTCTTGATACAAGGATATGCTTAATGCTCTGGATTCATTTGGCTTGGAAAGGGCTTGAGCACAACATGACGTGGGGCTTTTATTAACGAGCAGACACATCTGCATCCCTGGATTATAGGTCGATGAAGATGTTGTTGCGTGATTAACTGATTGGGTCCTCAAGCTGTTCCAATCGTATCACAGTTCATAGTTCAAGATAATTAATCTCGCAGTCATTTAGAGTATTTTTCCTCAGCTGGATGTTGCTGAAAGAAATGAAAGCAGTTTGCAATCTATGCAGTCGTAGGTCAGAATGATGGTACAGCTCTTTAAGATGGATGAGATCTACTGTTACTCTAGACAAAGTATGGTTAACCTCTACATGTGTTACATGAAGCAGATGGATCTGAGGAAGATGCTGATGAATCATCACTGTACTTATCAAATCATGGTTCGTTGGATATTGATTCAATTTGTTTAAGGCATGATTTTGCCTTTGATGTTGAGTTACTTAGTAGATATCTTGGTGCACTTCGCAAAATCCATAAGAGATGTGCTAAACGGGTTTCAAGATATTGAAACTCAAGACCATATCCTGTTTATTACAAAACTGTTTTTTCAGCTTAGTTTGGTGGACACTTTGATGGTGATTGGGCTGGAGAATTTAAGGATCAAAAGTCAGTCGGTGGTTCTACGGTCCTCATTAATGAAAAGCCAGTTACTCGCAACTGCAAGAAAATGATTTCAGTGGCCTTTCTTAGGTGTGAAGTTGAATGGATTTCAGTTACTGAAGCTGTCAAAGAAGTTCTGCTCGCAATCTATAACTCCAAAAATATTGGCACAACTATTGATAATCCAAATTCTATTGTCATGTCAATTTTTCTATCCAGTCTTCCAAACGTCCAACCAATCACCGATATTCCAACCATATTTCAAACGGATGTCATTTTCAAAATCGGTTCGTAATATTGCATTTTCACATGCGTAAGTTGATACTAGAAATAATTTGGCTCATATGTCGACGAAAGTCCTAAGCCCTCCAGTGTTCCAATATCACAACAAGATGCTTCAATGATTGATTTGCTGTATGTTGTGGCTATGTTGTTTGAGTAGTTGTGGTTCTATTTGATTACTATTGTCTGATTAACTTCCTGTTGGTTACGCAACAGTATTGATATTTCTTTGTTCAAATGGCTGTAGTCACATTGCTTCTACAAAGGTTAAAATTTCATTTCATCATTGAGTTTCATTTTCATTTGCGAAATGTTTAAGTTGAAATTAAAAGGTACCTGCTTTCAATTTTGATATGTTTATTCGTTGAGCTTGAATCTTATTGTTTTCGTTGCGTCTGATTTTATATTGGAGTCGAAGATTGTAGCGTGAACAGTGGCTCTGAAAAATGGCAGTTCCCCAGCGATCAAACCTACAAACTGGGGGGCGGTAGCGTTTTTGTCGCTCAAAGCAACATAACATTTTATCTTTCATTGCTTAAAGGGTTTGAAAAGCTTTTTCTCTGCAACCCACCTTGCTGTATCTAAATAACACTCATTTCTCTCAACCCAAGATGTGGTCTTACGTTAAGCTGTGGTCGGGAATCGCCCCCACTACACTGAGCCGGTGATCGGATTTCTGAACGCCTTGTCTTGCTCTCTCATTTGGTACTTGCGCGGCCAGGGCAAACTGTAGTTTGCAGGGGTGTTAAGATGTTGGAATTCATTGACCAGAGGGTCTGAGGAACGGTTGTGATATAAGAAACGCTGAAGCGAACCCGCGTGATGTGTTCATTCGATCTCTCGAAGTCTGTCACCAGTCTGTTTCAGTGACGCTCTGTGCTTCAACCCAGTTTCTCATTTAATAGGCTGGCGATCTTTCTGCACGTTCTATTGTTTTATAGACGATTGTAGTTTAACATTTTATTATGGTCTCCTTACAACATTAACTTTGTCAGCAGTCCTGAGCTGAGCCGGTCAATGTAGTGGAACATCTTGCGAATGCTGCAAACCACCGTTGGCGTTGGCCGGCCGTTTACCAGGAGTGAGTGCCAAACTCGGACTACAAAAATGCTTTCACGGGAGGAGGGGAGTGAGCTCTAGTCTTGACCGGCCTTCTATAAAAGTACATTCTTGGGTGGGTAAAATCGGTGTTTTTATATTACTGGCTTGTGGGTTGCACGGGAAGTCTCTCTTATTCTTTGAAGTACTACAGCTAGAAGAGTTTTTTGTGGTTGAGAAACGTAACCTAGTCAGTTTCTCAATTCGTTTGTTCGCAAACTCCAATTTCTCCGAACTCCTGCTGAGGGTACATTCATGGATTGCAAATTAAGTTAAACACAACACAAATAGGAAATGAAAGGAAATAGCGGAAAAAAGCAAATCAAATGCAAAAAAAAATCCTTTACAATACCAACTAAAACATGTCGCGGATGGAAATAAAAACCAGGGTTAGAAACTACTTGCAACTGATGTAGAAACAGCATAAGCACAGTCTGTCAAACACATCTATAGCAGTATCCTAGCAAAATCAACATGATACTAAACATGGAATAAAAGTCGGTTAACCCCAAACAACGCAAACCACAACACCAAAACTTGCAGAAATTCAAAGATGAAGCAAGTCAGTCAGATATTGGACCACTGGAGCGCATAATGGCTTGGTCAAGAGATCTGCCACAATCCTTATACAATCAACTGTTCAAGAGTAAAACCAACGTTGCACAAGGCACTTATTATGTAATGCCAGATTGACGTACGCTTGGAGTTTTGGTGATTGTTGGAATTGTTACGCCGGTTAATGACCGAACTGACATCACAGTCATATTTGGTTTATCACCACTTGTACCAATATATTTGAATACCTGGATTACAAACAGAATTTTCTGACAGCATCAGTAAGTGAATTGTAATTGGCATTACAAGTGAGCCAGGGCGCTGAAGTGGGTTTCTTGCTGTTTCATGTAGTGGATTTTGATTATTGACAAACTTAGAGCCACCAACTCAATTTCGGTTAGCGATGTCTCCAGCCCAATCACCGTCGGTATATGCAACTAGCTCAACCAACGAAGCAGGGTTGTAATGAACAGTTATTGGTGTGTGTTCAAATACTTTAAGACCTAATCAGCACAGCTTGAATAAGTTCTGCATGCAGCACAAAGCTATTGACTAAGTATCCCAATAGCAAAAGCATTACGATGCCGTAATCAATTCGCAGCAAAAAGGAACAATTCATCAATTGATCACTATAGTCATCTGACATCAGCATCCAACTCAGATCCATCTATTTCAAGTAGCACCATGTATGGCTTAGTCATCGGTGGTGTAGCCAGCAAAAGAAACTCTTGAATCTTAAATCGCTGTACCATCATTTTGGAGTAGGATTCATAAATAGAAAAATCCTGTCGTTACTTTCAACAACATCAAGCCGAAGAAAACTAATCAAAATTACGGCGGGATTTGTTATCATGATGAATGATCTGAGATATTGTTTGACCAGCTTCAGCCCCGAATCCAAAATGTGGCAATAGCAAAGTGATCCACATATAATGAAAGAGTGCGGGGCTGTTCGTTGTAAGAAAGAAAGATCACACGTTGATCAGCTCACGGTCTTTGGCACCGACACGATTGCAAAGCATTAAGCAGATGTTGGTACCAACAAAACTGTTTTTTCCTGTCCATCAAATCATTTGCCTATATTCCTGATTTTGTAAGGATACTCGGCATTCAGTTATCCAGGAGTGATTTTGAAGTATGTTTCACAGTCGATTTCACCATGGAGGGTTGCAGTTGGCACTTCCAATTGATGAACCGGGAAATCGTTGATGCTGCAACAGGAAGAAGACTCGATGGTTTTTATACACTATTAATCGATTGAAATCTTTAGAATGATTGATACCATCTAGTTGAAGAATCACTTCACCAACTGGTTGGGCATTGGCAAATTCTTCACTTGGTGGTGACTTCTTAGTATACCCAGATCGACGTCCAATAGTTTTTTTAAAGATGGAAAATGAATCAGCAGATAAATGGTTTATCATGCATAGCCTGAAATTTGATTGGCAAGCACTTTTCCAGGTTGAGTGTGCTGTATTTGGCTTATCCGTAGTAGCTTCAATAAGGGCCACGGCCCAATATGTCAATAATGACTTGTCTTTAATGGAATCTGTATAATTGTTGTGAACAATTGAGGTACATTTCTAATTGCATTAAAATGTTCTGCACGAACTGATTCCGTTCCAGAAAGGGTTTTCCTCACACTTTCAACGCCAGCAATAAGATTAGAAGCTCGATCATTGTGATCGTCCGATGCAACAAGTCTCTTTTAATTCAATTAAATGCAATTGATTCCATTATTAAGTAGATCATCTCAGCTAATCTCAACGTATTTGTCATCTTCGTTTGGGTTATTGTATGATTTATACTCCGAAGCGTTTGCAGCGGTGGTTGGTTTGTTACTATTAGCAGTCGACTGATCTGCCCCCATTGCAACTGCAGCAATGGATGTAGCTTCAACGGCAGATGGGCACTTTGGTTTAGTGTCAGCACATGTGGGATCTGTAAAAAAAAAGTTAGTTTCATGAAAGAGAGAAGAAGAACGGACAGCAACACGGCCGCTAGGAACATTAGACTCTCTGTAGATCCGTCTAACGATGTCGTGGCCAATAAGACTACAGAGGAGAGTTGTATCAGTTGGCTTCGTTCGCTTGGTGATTTCTTGGTTCAAACTAGAAGCAGCGCAGCTGAACACCTTTCACTGTGCGGGAGCCAATTGTTTCGTTCTTAGAATAAGTTAAAAAGCGTGATGAAACAAGCGCCTTGCCTGCTATGAATCAACTTCATCAATAAACTGCGAAGACAACAGGTTGATTCAACCAATGATGAGGAACTTGATCTTCAATGACCATATCCTGGGTTTTGTCACGATTTGTCTTTGCAAAATATCATCGATCACACTTTGATGGGATTTGTAATGAATAGAGAATTTATCATTGATTTTTTCAAATTGACAAAGAGTTTTGAGCGGCTTCAATGCAAACTCCGCATCGGATTTGACAGGATGAACCGTCGTCACAAATAGTCGGTAGGTCTATCTAATATAAAATAGCGGCCACGAAACACCTAATTTTCGTGTATCAATTAAACTAGCAACGACATATTTTGAGCAATCATCAAACATTGTGAAAAAAAAGGGTCCCACACTAACAGCAACATATTCATTGTCTAAACAATGAGAACATGAAGAAGACCAAGCGCAGAGGAGGTCGTCCGGCAGACGACTTGTTAACAATTTTAGTCTCTTTCCCATTGTGACTTGACTCATCAATTGCAACACCAGCAGCAGAAATCCAATGAATGTTAAGTGGATGTCTTCCAACTGAGTCACTCAGATGTACTTAACGTTCATGCAAATTAGTAGTAATCACCGCAACATCCGATCAGGCAACAAAAAAATAATTAATCGTGAAGCTGCTATCTTACCAGCTGATGCACAATTCAGTTAAAAACATTAAATTTGCAATGAAATCCACGCCGCTTGACAGGCAGCAGTTTTGATTGAAAACGTACATCCACTCAGGGGCGGATAAAAAGCAATCTCCAATGACCCGTCATTGAGAGTTAGCACAAATATGTCGGATAGAACCAACATCAAAATAGAACCGTTTGAAAATGCACATCATTCTAAAGGTTGTTCTCATTGGCCAAGCCAACATCGAACGACTGGTTTTTGGTGGGGCGAGAGCATCCGTTAGTGCAGAAAGATCGGCTGGCATTGATGATTCAGCAGGAACTGATTGTTGTGCCCAACAGTAACTAACGGAATGTCTTTTTTTGTGACTACGAAAGCATCTCATTCTTTTACGATTTGTCATTTGCAGTAATACCCCACCAACGGAGATTAACGATGTTTTACCTGCGCTACCAGCACATGCAACTTGACCAACACGATTGGCCTATCCCTTTGGATTAAAAAATGTAAGGTTTTGCGGGTCAGTAAAACTGGTAAGAAGCTTTTCAGCCTTGGAGGTGTGTGAAACAGAACGTCTATTGAAGTTGCCAGCAACATGATTAGCATTGTAGACTTTGAGAACAAGCCAATTGGATTCATAAAAAAAGGCTTTATCACCCCTTTTATTGCTCAATGGTCTCTGACTTCTACCCAAAAAAGGTAACCAGTTCTGGTAAAAGGGGCTTCAAAGCTAATTGAATTGCAATGCTTCTCCAAGTTAAGTAATTTTTGACGGCCTTACATCCCATTGAATCTCAGCTTCTCTAATACAGCAGAAACTAATGTGCCAGTGACCAGCGGAGGGCAAATTGAATCGAATGCATCCGTTATTATCTCTGATTGGAATTTAGCAGCAAAAATAGGATTGTTTTTGTTAAAGGTTGGACCAACAGAGTAACCTGAGCTGCTTAGTGATTCAAGACTGAAGCTTGAATACTGAAGTTGCCAGCATCTTTTAGCTTCAGTGATTGTTCCAGCCAACTTTTGCATTTTGGTTTGTAGGTGCTGTAGCGAATCCATGGTAATATATTAAGGTGACGCAGCAGATTTGAAAGTTGAGCATAAAGGAGCCCGCCGGCCCGTATATAGAACAATGAATTGATTCACAACGGGTCAGGAGATCTGCCGGTGACGCAGTGCAAAAAGCAGAAGGGAAACAACCAGTTGGCTGACCTAAAGCCCAATGTACTCGAACATTTTAATGAACCAGCAATCAGCCGTTTTCATGAGCCCAGCGTGTACCTTTTGTAAGTGCGAAAGATCGTATCCAAAAATCCGCAGACAGGCGCTGTAACGTTGGATCGAATTCCTCCCACAGCTTTCCAAATGAAAATGTCTTGCATTGAAAAAAACTGCTGATAATAAAATACCCGCATTTGTGTTCTACTTGAAAAGCGCTTCTAACATTTCAAGCAAGGAGGAATGAAGAGTTCTATTGTTGTCAGTGTCATGATCATTAGCCAGCCAGATCGTTAGTTTGCCTGTTCGCCTGGTCGTCTGTTGCAGAACACCCATTTTTCTGAACTAATGTTGAGGCTAGAATCATGGACAGCTATATAAAATCAAACACTGAACGAAAATAAAACAATAAGAAAAGAATGAATAAAACCATCAATTGAATATACAGTATATTATAAATATAACATAAACATTTGGAATTTAGAAAACATAGGAAAACCCCCTCTCCTACAATAAACAGATGACCCTTGTAAAAGTAGTATCAGCACAGTCAGTTAAGCTCATGTGTCACAATACTGTAACGAAACAAACATGAAATGAAACAAGCAATAGTTATCAGTAATAACAAAACCGATGTAAAAACCAAATCCAAAACAATCAACAATTGAACATCAAAACCGGTTGAAGAGAGATTCGAATACTAGTCCACTAAGCGCCTTACTGATCATATCAGCAAGATCAATATTACTATCAACTTTTGCAATCCTCAAACCATCATTGCATTACCATCTTATAAATGAATAGCTAATTGAAATAGTTTTGTCGTTTCTGTGATCAGTTGGACATTTGGCAATATTGACATTTGAGTTATTATCGCTGAAGATAAGTGGTTTATCAACATTTGTACTAATATATTTTAAAACCTGCAATAGCGTCACAGTCTCATTCACCGTTTGAGTCGATGAAATGTATTCAGCTTCATAGATGAGCAACAACGCTGATGGGTGCTTCTTCGAGTTCTAAATAACTGGCAAGTGATTGACGAGGAACATATATCCACCCAGTGAGTTTTCATCACCTATTCTTTCTGCTGATCACCATTGGAATATCTAAATAATTTGACTTATGTAGCCAATTTGTAATAAACACTTAATGGATTCCGGTTTACATGACTTAGCACTTTTTTAACAGAACTCAAAAGGATCTTGAATGGTGAACCATAATGTCAACTGAGTGAATCACACAATTTGTAATATGATACTTTCAAAAATTTGCAGCAAAAAGCATCTATTGAACAATTGATCAGTGATTTGATCACTGTTCAGCATCTAACCGAAAACAATCTGTTGTAAGTCGCCGTTGTATGTGCTAATCATGATTGGCGTAGCCTGTAAATAAGACTTTTTTAATTTGAACAGTTGACCAATCAGTCTGACTAAGAATTTCATCCACACAGAAATACGGTCGATTCTTTAAGCCACATCAAGTACCCGAGAACGACTGAGACATACTCTACGACTTTTCATTTTGAACAATGAAGTATTATATAAAATGACCACATTGATCTTTGAGTCGGATAAGCACGCAATAATATCATTACCCACGTACATTTCCAGCCAGCAGTGAAATGTATTTTTTGGGAAATAATAGACACGATGTTTAGCTGAAGCTCTTTGAATCCGACAACATTGGAAAGCATTTATCATCCTCAAGTACTAACAAAGAATTCATTGATTCAGTTCTTAAACTGATTCGAGTAGCTTTCAAACGTTCAGAAGATATTCACCAATAACGAATGCTGCAGGGGTTTTGACTTATAATTTGGCCACCATATTGTCATGAAGGAATGCAGTTGTCACATCGGTTTGAAGAGCGTTGAATGAAGTTAATGCCGCGACTGCAGAAAGGACTTTAAGACTTTCATTTCCAATTACTGGAGTGAACCATTCAAGCTGATCAATATCTTCAAGGTGATAGAGCTCTAGAACAACTGGTCGGGCTTTTGCAAAATCAACAGCTGGTGCCGACTTAATCGTTGACAACCCCCGATAGCCAGCAGGTCTATTTCCACTAAAAACAGCAACAACAATGTATTTACTAGTATCAAGCACAGCCTGAAGCTGTGATGGAAAAAGAACATATATCATTTGATCTGTTGAATTTAGTTGAACATTTGTAACGGCAATAAGCGCAGCGGCCAGATATGAAAAAGCAGACCCGTCTCTAATTGCATTTTCTGAATCGTTTCTAAATCTTTTAAATAGATGTTCAACAGCATAAAGATCTTCCTAGCAAACTTGCTTGGCCGCAGCAAGTGGATCAATATTTGATTCACCACCTGGGTTTGCGTCAGTCACTTGATCAGCATCGGCAGTGGAGTGGACAGATTAATATCAGTGCAAATTAACGCAATTGGCTCGGTCACCCTAACCATTATCTGGGTTGATGCCAATATAATCATGAACCCCATGGCAGAAAATATTTGATGTATCAGCTCAAACAATGGCAGTTCTATAATATTTGTCGTTCGGATCAGTGGGCACGTTTCCTATCAAAACATCTGTAGCAAAACATTTAACTCCACCGGCATACCGCATTGTTGGGTTCAATAGCAGCAAATGATGGCTCTTCAAAAAAATGTTTGGTTCCATCAAACCGACCAAAACAACTGACATCACGACAACTGAAATGAGAATTGAACAAGCTGCAGGAATTCTACTGATGTCATTGCCAGCAAATCCCCCGTAATCAGATCTATGACCTTCCATGGATCGAGTGACTTGTCTGGGGATAGGGGCGCAAGCCGCACAGCAAAGCAGTTCTAACATCCCAGTAGTTAATTTCTTTCCATAAAATCATTATAACGTACTGGTCACCCGAGCGCCCGGTTTGATAGAAATGACATCTATTAAAAACACTTGACAACTTACCGAATCATTTGACACGAGATCAGCAACATTTACTTCAATTCACGTTCTGCCGGTCTTCGTGATTATTGTACTTCTGCAACCTCCTGCGACCTCATGTTGGTGAGAATGTAAGGAAGGGCCATTTTGTGTTTGATTCTTTCGGATTAGCAAAATTCGTTGAACGGCTAGAATGCAAACTCCTGAGGAGATCAAGATGGCTGAGCTGATTTAATCAATAGTCGTTGGGTAAATATAATATCTTAGACCAACTAACCAACAGCTAATGATCGAGTAGGAACAGCGGCAGCAACAACATATCTTCAGTAATGATCGGCAATGGTGAATAAATAACGACTTTCATCAACTGCAACAGCTGGTATTGGCACATCAACATGAATGTGAAAAAGACCATGAACAGGGCTGGCCTTTGTTGTTGGCCACCTATTAATAATTTTGCTCGGTGGTTCTTGAAAGACCACTCAGATCTCAAACCATCAGCAACTAAAGTGGCATAAATCTTGAATATATTACGTGCAACGGTATCTTCTGAATGTTCTAATCATTCACGGGCGTATGTCATAAGTAAACCAACAGCAGGTGCGGCGACGAGAAATTACTACAGTGGTACAGCTGCTCTCATACCAGTTGGTGGCTCGCTCAAAAAACCGAAACTTCTTTGAATGAAAACCGCTTACCTTGAGTGGTAGCAGCTGAGATTGAAATGAAATTCGTCCCAGTTAGAGAATAAAGAGCAGTTTCTCATGATACACAATTCTGTAGGATCACAGTGCACATTCCTTTGACGTACACGATAGCGTCATCAAATCCGGCAATTGGACCGTAATGAAACGCTAAGTGCCTGAACCAATGATTTTTAGCGCAAACGTATTGCGATCCACCAGAATCAAAATACATCATTTGGAAATTAACATGGGGTTCTTTGTGATTAGAAAAAATCAAGAAAACCCCGAGAGATCATTTTCGGGGCATCCAAATCAGCAGAGGAGCAAAAGAATTGGCGGATGATACCGCAGGATCTGACCGCGGTGCGAAGCACTCACTAACTAAATGTCTTATCTTGTGAGATCGATAGCATGTTACTCTTTGCCGTTTTGGCTTCTTGAACGGCTCTCTAGCAAGGGAGAGGCAGGAAGTTGGTTTTCGGCTACCAGCAAATGCGTCATCATCAAGATGGTTGGCCAAAACTTCTGCATCAAAAAATGCAATGTTGAGCAGGTCTGCTGATTGAGTGAGAAGCGATTCAGCGTAGGCGATGTGCAAAACAGACTTACGGTTGAAACTGGCGGCCACTTGATTAGCATTGTAGACTTTGGGAATATTGAAATTGAATTCACTAAAAAACCAATTGTCATACCTCTAATTGCGTAGTGGTTTCTCGCCACCTACCGAAGATAGATTACCAGGACATAATAATAGAGACTTGAAAACTAATTGTATCACAAAGGTTCTCCAAGATAACTAATAGTTGACGGCCATACCACCCATTGTATAGCACCTCTTCTAAAACAGCACGATTTAATGCAGCAGTAACCAACTTAAGGCAGTTCCAATCTAACGCAACGTTAATTCTGTCTCATGGAAAAACAACAGCGACAGTTGGATCTTGCTTTATAACTGCTGGATCTATCTGACCAAACTGTGCAGCATTCAGCTTCAACACCGAAGCGCGAATAGTAGAGGTAGCCGCGTCAGTTATTTTTTGTAACACTTGCCAGCGAACATTTGCAATTTACACGATAACCTGTTGTAGCCAATCCGCACTAATATATTACACTCAATACCTTTATAAGAAACAAAACTCTCCTGGAGTCTCTTGTGAGCTTTGTTGATATCTATACTACGACTTTCGGTGTTTCTCACTGGTCTGCGCCTTTGAGGTTCGGTGTTTTAAAACAGTTCGTTATAAATGGAGCTGGCGGTCTACTCACGTTGGTCGTTCTTATAAGTTAGAATCCCATGGTATAAATCGTGCATTTGCTAGATGAAGCTATAGGCCAAAGAGAGGATCATTGCTAAGACAAATCTCCGAAGCGACTGAATGCTGGTAGCGTTACAAACTGGGCTTGGGGTTTTTGGTCAGTGCTTTCTTCCAAGTTCCGTTGGTCGAAGCCTTGATAAAGGAGGGTGTTCTTTTTGCGGATGAGCTTGATTCAGACAGAATTACAATTGTTTTAGATTCCATTTGCCATACCTTTGTTACAGCCAGATTCGCTCCTGCATTTTTGGAAGAAATGGTATACAATGGGTGGTAAGACCGTGAAGTACTCCTTAACTTAGAGAAGGTTTGTAATTTAATTGGTTTTCAAGCTGCTATTAATAAGACCACGTCATTGATTGTGGGTAAGTGTCAAAATTGATTATGCAATAAAAAGAGTCACAATAAATTTTTTAGTGAATTCAATTTCAATATTCCTAAAGTCTACAAAGCTGATCAAGTCGCTGCGATTTTTGATGGTGCGGCTGCTTCCGACACCACTTACGCTGAAATACTTTTTACGAAATTTGAAGACGTGCGGACGATTAGATTTTTTCTTGCAAAAGTTTCAGGGAATCATCTTGGTGATGACGCATTTGCTGCTGGCTAAGGGTCAGAAGCGTTGGTGTCTATTGGTAAGGAGGAGTTTAGGAACGCAAAAAAGGATAGAATGACAAGATCTCGAAAACACTAAATCAAACATTTGGCTAGTGAATGCTTTGCAGCACTGTAAGTTTCTGCTGAATCAATCTTTTCAACCGGTGGTACTGCCGCGGTAACACCATTGGATGGCCAAAAAATTGTTATCCCTTTTTTACTTCGTCAATGAAATTAAATTTCAAGATGATGTGCAACACCAAACGGTGTTATTGTGATTCTGGTGCATCGAAGGATTTCTGTGCCTACCCTGGTAGGTTCAGCATCCTACCTCCTCTTTAAAGCCACCTGGCTGCAAATAGTGTCACGATTCTGCAAGTCAAAGATATTGGTTCGATGCCTTGGAATGGCAGGTCATTTAAGAGTGCACATTTCCCTTTTCATGACTCAAATTCAATTTCACTTTCAGCTGCTACAACTTTAGCTGACTGCTTTTAATTCCGAAATGATTGTGTCTAGTTGAATGGTTCATAAACAGGTGGGTCAGGAGCTTCGCCATGGTATGAGTTTGTCGTTGCCCCATCTGCGGACGCGTAAATTACTTCGAAACTGGTTGAACTACTAGGTCCTTTAGAGGAAACCGTTATAGCATATATATTCAAAACATAATGTATTTCAGCCGGTGGTGATTAAATCTGTGTCTGTACTCAATAAAGAATACCCACGATAATTACTAATAAATCGTCTACAAGACAGCCACAGGTTTTGTCTTCCTTTTAAGTCGAAATTGTCAGTAAACGACCATTGTTGCAGTTGATGACAGTTGTTATTCTTCTAAAGTGTTGATGGTTACCGCAGAGGTGATGTTGTTGCAGCTATTGCTATAGGATCAATTGCCGTTGCCAGGTTGCTATATTATAATAACGTTATTTAACCTTTATTTAAGGAGACGGTTCAAACCGTCAATGTCAGCACTGAGTTCTATTCAATCCGTTCAAATATTTTTGCCAATCTGAATGAATGAAAAATAGAATATCAGTACTTTAAGAGTTTCATCAAGATCGGTGGCCGAAAGTTGGCAAGCACCAACCAACAGACCGGACGGGTCAATGTCAATTGAAACTAATATATCCGATCACTTGAAAAATAATGCTGCGGAGTAACGCAGTGTTTCTGATGAATTTAATTGCCGCAAAATATAGGGGTCTTTTGTGCCCTCCATGTCAATTGTACTATAGAAAACGACGAACTGCTTGGAAGTTGAAATGGATTCTCTTCGGTGAGTAAGCCATTACTCCTAAGCAAATCAGTCAAGCCAAGTTAGGTGATTCCTCTGTCATCCCTAATTTTGTTGAATACCTCATGAGTAGAAGGACTTACATCGTGCTCAATCTTCGTAGCAACTGTGATGTTGTCAGTTGTTCCTGTTCTGGTGATAAATCAAAATTTGTTATTGAAGACCGATCACTTGCTGCTATTATACCACCAACTCCGTCTGCCGGTTAAGACTATTTTATTACAGCTATTGCTTTGAAGGGAAATTGACCCCCTGATGTCAATGACAAAGATAGCAGAACTGCAATTGCTTCAGACCTTGCATACGATGATAACTGAAATGGAGATCATGTATATGCAGTCCTAATCTCAGATGAAGAGGAGAATCATTGAGTCAATTTCATTCTATTGCATTCGAATGGGGTCTGTTTAATGATCAGAGTATCCAAATCCAGTTGCCAATGCTATCGCCGGTGCCGAATTGGATATGGACCGGTTTACTGCATCCAATAAGATTACTAGGAAGATCCTGATAAATTTGATAATGTACGAAAATCGTTTGGAGATGATTCAAATGACACAATTGGAAAGAGGTTGGTTCTGAGATAATTGGCTGCTGGACATCTCGCCGCTACTACTGTTAAAACCAAATGTTAAAAGTCAAATCAGGTCAGTTGGCTGTTGTTCAGAGTTTCAAACTAGTGCTCATAAGATTAAATACCTGTTGGTGGATCATCCATCTGGACAAAGGTGTGTTGGCTGTCGTTCGCTGGTTTCATCGAGCCCACCAGAAACTGGTAATTTTTGTAAAGCCAGATTTGCTGCTAAACTCATTTCTCAACTCCATGGTATTGATAATACAAAAAGATTCATTGGAGTATCAGGGGATCGAAGTGTAAGTGTCCTTCTTAGGTTGTAACCTCAAAGTCTTCCAATCTTCATCAAAATATTCTGACAACTGCTTTTCCCAATAGTGATATGGACGCTCACAGTCGGATGAAACAACTTCCTAAGTTTGCTAATGGTGGTTGTTCTGTAACGGTTTAAAGTTTACGAATATCAATGTTTGGACCCAAATAATCGATTGTCGGTCGATCAAGAAACTGTTTAACACTCTCCGATTGTTTGTGTTTGGTAATGCTTCAGCGGAATATGGATTGTTTTGTGTTTTCAGATTAAACACCACTGTACTCTAAAATTATTTGTGGATGATCTTATTATTGAGAAATGATCAGATAAATGGTGAGGTTGATCAATTCAAATCTCAGCTCTTAGTTTGAAATAACAGACTTCTACGATATTGTGGGTCTTTTTCTTGAAGTTGAAGTTACTCAAAGTAACGACAAAATTTCCGTAGCTATAAAGAGCGACATTTGAATGATAATTCAATAGATGTGAAATGATATCTGTGATTTTCAGGGTGGACAAAGCCGAATTAACCCATAGAAAATGTTACCTCAAACAGGTATCGCTGAGATCAATGCCGAGCATTGATCACTTTGGGGATTAGTTGCTTCATCAATTCATTTTGGTGCAAATTGTTTGCAGCATCATAAGGCAATTGCGGTTGCTTCACTCATTTGATTCCTTGGTTCTTCATGAATGATCCAGCTCATTTTTGTAAAAAGGTGATATGATGTTGGAAATGAGGTCCATTATCAGTTGATTACCTAGTTGCTACTTCAGTTAAGCTAATTAAATACAGTGACAGGATTGGGCTGAAGTAACTGGTCGTCTACATTCAGTTGGTGGATATACGTTCCTCATTAATCGGAAGCCACTTATTTGAACCCCCAAATGATATCTTCAGTTGCTTTCATTAGTTTTAAAGTCAGTTGCATTGCATGCTTTGGACGGGGGGAAGGAGCTGCGTTGCCAAAGCAATTAATTCAATATTGTGGTACAAATGATAAAAATGCAATTTCAAAATGTAGTAACAGGTGTGCTATCAACATGACTAACCATCCCACCAACCACAAAAACTCCAAGCAATTTTCAATTACGTATCACTTTATATCAGCGTTGTGGAATGATCCTGTTGCTCTTGCAATAGATGATACCAAAAGAATTGTTCCAGATATGTTGAGTAAAGCCCTTAGCGCTGCGCTGACCACCCAACTCAACAACTCCCTTCAACGTTTGAATTGGGATTGGTTGTGGTTTGGTGGATTTCTTTTATTTGCTCTTATATGATTCGTGCTTTTTGCTTAATTTCTTTTGGGATATGGAGCGCTATTGTCATGAATTGTTTGACTGGCCAAAGAGTTATTACTTTTCAAACTGATTGAATTTAAATGTAGAAGTCGGTTTTCTTTTTATATTTTTGTTCAACGTTTGATTTTTGATCGGAGTCAATGAATGCAGCCTGATCAGTGGGTCAGAGAATTTGGTCTTGGCAAACAAACGAACTGCGAATTAACGAACTGCACCTGTGACAACTTCGACGCCGAGCAAAAAATATCTCCAAGCCTCGTTGCTTAAAGGGTGTGGAAATCCATTCTAGAGTAACGCTAATGCCAGTATTTCAAATCCACTCATTATTTTGACCCGAAGATGCTTTCATCTGAATTGAGGTAGATAGGATTCGAACTCACACCACTGCGCTTGTGAGCGGTTCCTTGAAGACAACGTTTTGGGCCACCAACAGGTAAACCCTGGCCAGAGCAAAACTGCTTTGCTGGTTGTCCAAAATGGTCTGCTTCATCGACCTGATCGTCTGTGGTTTGGTTACTGGGTCAAGGGGTGCTGCTGTGAGCACCCCAAAAGTCGATATTCGGTTCCTCAAAGTCTATCACCAGCGCGCTGTGGTCGGGCTGAGTGATCAGACAAAGTTCAGTATAGGAGGGGCTGGGGTTATTATTTTTGTTCCGCAATCCTATTCACTTTTCTACCAGAAGGTCAACAATGGATTCGCTACACCGAACGCAGCCTGCTCCAAATATAAGAAACTTGGTCACCTGGCACTGCGTCGTGTGAGGTGACGGTGCAGACGGGGAGAATTCAAATGGGGACATCTGGAAGGCTCTGAACAGCCTTCGAAACGCAGTTTCCTGAAATCTCTCGATCTGCTCAACAGAGCAAGACATTTTGCAAAGGCTGCTAACGACCGTTCGTGTTGGCCGAGCTGCTATCAACTATCGGTGCCAAATCACGGTCTCCACACTACCGCTTACAGGCGCAGTTGGGTGAGTTCAAATTCGAATCACCTTTTTTCAAGGAGGACATTTTGTCCTAGCAGTAATAGCTGTCTTTACGTAATGGCATGTGCATGGCACTGCCGATGATCTTTCATTCTGTGAGGCAATGAAGATGGAGGGGCGTTTATGCGTTGCGCGTGAAGAACATTACTTACCCAGTTAGTTTGATGCCGTGTTCGTTTGTTCGCCTGCTCCAATTTATCCCAACCGCTGCGCAGCGATCAATCATGAAGTTTCAAATATATTCACGCCCTGTGTAGCGAAATGAATCCTCATCAATCAATATCCGTATCAAATATAGTCGCACCTACTTTATATTGCTTTGGTGAGTGTATTCCAATTAAAATATAAAACCGGTAATATAGTGAAATTGGGACGGTTGTGGATATGATATCACCGCAGTCTGTCAACCAGATGTATAGCTGTACAGTACAGTAAACTTCACTATGAGAAAGAAGCAGCCATAGTGGAATAAATCCAAAGCGAGGTAATAACACAAACAAATCTGTCAGCGTCAAAATCGCAGAAGCAATCAATTGTGAAATCGGAATACCGGAGTAGCCAGTGCTCCCATCAACCCATCACCATCATTATTCTTAATATCAACTTCTGCAAAAGTAAATGAATTATTGAAGCAACGTCATTGTCAAATGCTACCTATTTGAACTATGCTAAGAGGTTCTGCGATCAGTCGGATGATCTGCTTTATTGAGAGCAGAACAATCATCGCAGTAAATATTTGCTTTGTCACCATTGGAACTATTATCTATGAAAACCAGCATTAAGAGCAGTGCTTCTTAGACTGCTTCATTGCCAGAAATCTATTCTGCAGAGCACGTCAGTAAGGCCACCGAAGCCGGCCGGTTTCAGTTCCATCCAACTGGTTTTGAATTTTGAGGGGCATATAACCACCAATTAATTTTCGATGATCAATGTCTCCATCCAAAAGACTGTCACTGTTTTGAACTCAATCCACTGAGGAAGCAGCTTTGAAATACACGGATAATTGGTTCAAGTTGAGATATCTTCACACCATTTCCGCACAACTTGAATGGATGTTTCATGACGCTTCCAGATATCGACTGCGTAAGCTGTCCGCTGCAACAATATTATACCTCAAGCAATTTACAGCAACACGCAACAATACACCATATACTGTATAAAGAGGTGACTCCAGAGAATCATACTCATGACCATCTAATCCAAGTAGCACTGTCTGTGGGATAGTCATCGGTGGTGTGACCTGCAAGTGTGATTCATCTATGCTGCGCTGTTGAACCAATTTTTAAATGTAGGACCGCAAAGAAACTGAAATCGCCTTGTCAGTTTGAGTAACATCAAGTTCAACAAAGCGACCCATAACCACTGCAAGATATTTTGTTTCGAACAATAAAATGACATACCGGCTGACCAGCTTTACCATTGCAGCGGACGATCCTGTTAAATCGGTCATCGTCCGAACATCGAAAATTGCAGTTCTGCTTGAGTTGTGTAGCACGAATCTGAACATCCTCCGCTGTAACTCTTCGACTGTAAAAGAGTTGGAGCCCTTATTCTCAATTTTTGTACTGAAATAGAGTAGGTTAGTTAAAATCCTACATTGATTTGAATATCTTCTAAACTTTTAGGGATTGTTACGCATCAAAAATGTTTACTTGGCGTTTAATTTAAAATTGATGTTGAAAAGCGGGCTAAACAAAAGCAGTTGTCAATTTATTTAAAGGGGGCTAAATATTCTTGATGTAAAACCTCTCCAAAAATGATTCCCATTTAGATGACAAAAACTTGAGTGATTGCTTCAGTGTATTCATTATATTTAGATGGAGCGAACTCTGAAACAACTGGAAAAGGCTTTTTGAATTCGCAGGTGGTAGCGGATTTTTTTGGAAACGCTCAACCTCGGCCAACAGCCCCTTGAGTAAAAGGAATACGATTTAGCACCTGGGAACTGGTGTGCTGCTTTGCCTGAAGCAGAAATTAGCAAGCGACGTTGCAGATTGGGTGTAATCAATTTGGTGTAACAGGTGGTAGCCTCAGTGAGCCACGAGCAAAATGTGTTGGAGAAAATGTCCCTACATCTGTATCTCTTGAATCGGTTTCAAACCACCGAAGATCGCCCACAATGTGTCTCAGATTTTCCTGACCAGCCTTCTTGGCACCTCTTAGGAGCGGAAAACAAAAATTCATGTGATGAGTCTCATTAGTATCTTGCTATGCATATTCGCATTAACAGATCCAATGATTGTAATTGACACATCGCAGAGATGTTGTTTCAATCAACGTTGAATTTTTAAGTGTCTGACTTCAATACTACCAATCAAAATATCAACGAGTTGGCACTAATTTTTCAAAACTGATTTGGCAATTGGGACAATGACCATGATTGGAAAAGTTTCAAATGAGCCACTATTAAAATGTGGAAGACTGTTCCCCTCCTCTTGCAAACAATCAAATATATAACTGATCGGTTAATAAGATTAGTGTTGCCACAAGGAATTGAACAGGGATGAGAACTCTAAGCTAAATAATTTAGCTAACAACGAAGATCCCAAAACCGATGAAAAAATATCAGGGGAATCAGCTGCTTAATAGCTTTGAAAGGATTTTATCTTCTCATAGTAGAGATGAAAACAGCTTCATTTTAATGTGTGAATCGTCCCCCATTCTTGGAATTCTACATTCACCCAGTGAACCATTGAAAAAAAAAATCAGACCTATTCAAGTGGGTTAAACCAAATGAATTATTTCATATCTTAAAGAGGAACCAAATTTTTGGTTGGGAAATTGGAACTCAATATTCACTGAGCAACAGACACGTCGTCCGAAGGACGGAAATAGGTATTTGCTGGGCTTCGATTGCGAAAACTGTCGATGCAGCTCAAAGAAACAATTTCTAACAATTGGTGGCCGGAATATCATTTATTGACTAAATTGTGTATTGAAAACAACCATTTGGGGCTGTGCATCACTATCATGGAGCTGAGAGGATTAATAAATGATTAGTTGTCACACGACTCATTCAACAGCACTTTCATTACTTTACTGACCTCTGCGCTGCGGTTGAAGACAAAATCACCCAGACATTGATGCATTCAATAGCAGCTGAAATTGCACGCAGGTTTGGTGAATTCAACCAAAGCATCATTTATGAAATGTTAGAATACCTTACCAGTCTAAGATGACTCTGCCGCACAAATCTTCAATTCTAATCAAACTAATTGGAAATTGAATAATCGCATACAATATTGAATGGAAGTTTGATTTTGTTTGTTCAATCCATTTGGAAATGAGCTGAAACCACATGATCATTAACCCCAGACTTTCTGAAAAGCCAGTTTGTTGTTTATTTTAACAACTTTATTTTCAATCTTCATTGGTGACATTAAAATTGATGGCTAAAAAAAAATAGCAAACGATCGAGCAAGCAATAAACTTAAAAGAAAGCCGAAATCAATGGTATTTAACTGCAATAAGAGTTTTAGGCTCGACATTGACAAAGCAGACAACTGAATTCTATTTCGTTGATTGAATTAGAAGAAAGTAATTGTTTTCTTTGGCAGGTAAGAAAATGAAATTTGAAGATTACTCCATTGGCCTCATTGGGTGAGCTTGACGTTCAGTTGAAAACGATTGCAACGGACGATTATCGAAAGTAGAAAGTGCTGGTGGGAACATCGGTGGTTTTGCCTAATAGAGTGAGATTGGCTACCTCCTTTCCTACACCTTTTAATGCGGACATCCAGAAAATCGATGGAAACATGAATTATGTTCTTTTTTCTGAGTTTTCCATTGTGTTTGTCAAGGAAAAGTCTTCGCAATTGTTTATTTAAATAATGGCAATAATGAAATTCAGACTGAGTTCAGCGGTCTTGAGAAAGCAGCAGATCGTGCAACCCCAAAATATTCATCACATTCTTCCAATAAATAATTTTTAATCGGTGTCAATGACTCGCAAAATGTAAAATATTCAAAAAAAAATGATGCGAGCTCATCATAGGGACAAATCAAAATTCATTTCGGTGATCTTGAAAGAAGCAACCCCTAGTATTTTCTGAGCAACTTATAAGAGATGTATTTCGGTACTTCAGGCTACGAAACATGGTCTATGTTGAAAAAGAAATGAGATGTCCTCACCAAAATTCAGCAGCTATCCATCTATATATTGGTATACAATTATATTATATTTGCTTTTTTTGCCGTTAAAGTGATAATGGATCCACCTCATTCTATCAACGTAGCACTTGGTTTGAGGAACACTTCTTTAGACATTAATTGAAATGGTCATCTCAATACTAATGAGGAATTTGAATAATTTTTTTCCTACTGGTGAATACAACCACATTTCATCCACTTGCGAAAAGAATAAATTAAATCAAATTTTACTTTTAATTTTAGATGCTGGTTTCAATTTGTGGAGAAGTGCTAGCAATGAAATGATGGAATTTGTGAACTTTCATCTTGAACCCTTTCTAGTCTCATGGCAACAGTTATTTGTTTAACAATCCATTATTTCTTCAATTTAAAGTATTATCTCTCACAACAAATTGATTATAATTTGCAAAATCAATGGAAATCGTAACTTTCTTCTAGATATCATTTCTCTAACGCATTAGCCATGGGGACTTAATTCCTTTCAATTTTGTCATGAAACAATATCGATCTTGGGTTGGGAGTAGTCTTAGATGATATTTATCTGTTTTTGTTTAGCATCTCTTACTGAGGATTGCAATACTATTTGCAAATGAATTACTTCCATTGTCGTGATGCCAGATATCTTATGATCGCTGATGGGATTTTGGATATCATTTTGAGTATAGTCCGCATAATGTTTTCAGAAGACTTTCTATAAATATCTATGTAATATATTTCGTCAAATCAGTTCTTTATGTTCTTTGATTTGGGACAATATTTGAGTGAGATATGTGCAGTTCAATTGTAGTCGTTAAATCCTGTAAAATCAAATCTTCTCATAGATTGTTATATTTTGGGGTGGTTGGGCTTATTGCAGGGGCTACAGGTGATGGGAGTCGATATTTTTATTTGAAACATACTCGATAATCTCAATACAATGTTGCAGCTCTTGTTTATAGAAAATCCGTTCTGCTAGCCTGCTGGTATAGGATATTCAAGTGACACAACCTATGTTAGTAAGAGAGAATATGGCGTCAAATGCGCTAAGGAGTGGTCCTTTGAGTGGTTTAATGCTTGAGTAGTAACTAAATGAAAAAATCTGAAGCAGCAATTTCTTTGGAGTCTCATCAAAATGGAGTTGGAGATCAGTGCCAATCAACAAGAGTTACAAATAGAGGCAAAAAAGGATCGAAGCATTTTTAGAAGATTATTTGTCGATTGACTATCTGACTTGTTGATTGATTAAGATTGAGTTGACTCCCATCAAGGATGGTGCTCAGTTGACTACCCATTTCACTATATTTGTAATTGGTCCTTTAATTGCTGCTATGTTAAAATGTGTTGTGATTCGCTGCTTCTGTCATGATTGCTAATCAGAGGTGGGAAACAAAGCAAATTGATAGAGAGGGCCAGAGTGTCTACATTAGTAAGCGGACGAGGAGAAATGTCTCGAAAGGGTGCAATCACATGAATGTCAATCATTATCTCAATTCCTCATCTAGTTATTATTTAACAAATCAATTTTAAAAATTGGAGACATTGCCGCTATGGAACCCAGAGTTTCATCCAGTGGTATTTTTAAACGGAGTGCTGGAGAAGCTATTCCATGATCACCTACCGAGAAGCTCAAGTGTATAACACAACGAACGTAGAAGACATGGCCAGCCGTTTATTTTAAAAGACTTAGATAGATCTGAGATCGTAATGGATGCTGACCAGTCACACAAACTGCGGGTCCAAATTTAGTCTTGCGAGAGGGTCACCACAACTGCTCTTAACTCACTGAGCTGAACTGAGCCGATACGGTCATTTTAGTCAACCGTTGTTTCAAAATTACGAACGAGCGATGGCGATAGCTGAGAAGTTGTCAAGTGTCAGCGCAAAACAGGTTCTCCAAAAATTCACTGTCGAAAGCACTCTAGTGGGCTCCAATTCCAAACCAAGGCCATTTAGAAACAATCATTTAGAGGTGACAAAAAGGGGTTTTTGAATTAATGCAATGTGCGATGCTCTAGCGGGCCTTCGGTACTTCTACAAGCATTTAAGCATGGGGAGCTCTTTTGTCTTTTCTGTCAAGAGTGTTTCCCGCCAATCTGTAATTTGTTTGTTGGCAAACAGCCATTGTTTTGAATCGCTGTTCAAGCCGCAATCGAGGACTCCAATATAGAATCAAATATTAAACAAGAATAATACGAAGAGAAAATCATAGAATAAGGCCATCCATTCCAGCAGCAAGTATGTCGTAATTTCAATTTATCGAATTTGTTAAGAGCATAATTACCATGGATACAATGAAATTGACACCGTTGTAAATGAAATTTAAGTGAAGGTATTAAAACAAGTGGATAATTGCACTCGACATGAATAACATGAAATCCTTCAAACGATACTAATCAGAAGTACGAAATCGACGTAAGCAAGACCTCAAGGGGAATTAACAATCAGTTCAATAAAGCGGCTTATAGAGCTATTTGAGCACTGGAGCAATTAGGCTTCTTGATAACATATCAGCAACACTGCAGATACTAACAGCTTAGGGGAGAGACCAACCAACGATGCAAAACCCTCATACAAAACGATTGCTGATTGAAAAATCCTTTGGATGTTTTCCGATTGTTGTGATAGTGGGAAAGTTGATCGCAGCTTCGCTATCGCAATACCTATTTTCATTATCGGCGGTTGTGCCTATATATTTGGATACCAGCATTGCCAACAGACCTTCTCGGATTTCCTCAGTGGGTAAAATGTTTTCTGCTTCTCAAATCAGCAAGGGCACTCAGGGCTGCTCCTTCAGGTTTCATATCTTTAGTTTGCCATCAATGCGGATGAAAGAACCAGAATGAGATTCTTCATCTCCATTTTATGCAGGCCAGTTCCTGTGGGAGTATTGAACGAGCTCAACGGTTGTAGGTTTTTTGTGTTAAACAGTTGGTGAAAATGAGTTGGAAATTCTTAACGGAGTCATAGAACATCTTCAAGTGATGTCTCACGGTGCACCGCATTACATATCCCGTAACCCATCAGAAGGCACAATATCCTACCGAAATCAATCTGGAGCAAAAGCAACGATTTACAGTTGATTTGCAAGTTGATGAATCATCACCATCCAACGCAGGACCATCAGTGACAAGTGGGATATTGTATGAGTTAGTCATCGTTGGTGTCATTTCCCAATGGGGTCTTGGTTCTTGAGTTGAGGAATCAAGCGTGTCACTTAGGTGTCCGTAGATACCGAAACTCAATCAATATATTGAGCAAGATCAAGCGCATAAAAACAGCCCTAAATTCCTTTACGATCTTCTTTAATGAGCAAGGAAAAAGGACTGGACCTGACCTAGAAGTCCTCTGTCTCTGTAGAAGAGGCAATACTAAATTCGTTCGCTTAAATTGCAAGCATCCAGAGAGGTTTGTTGATTGAAATACAATGTATAGCATGCTCAGTTGAAGCTCTTTGACCACAAATAATGCAGAACATTGTGCAATGTTCCTCTACCAAGAAACAGACAACTTCGTGAAGTCGTAAAAGCATTTGTGTAATGGCCAGCCTTGTAGATGAATGAAACAATCATTATATTCAACTGGTGGATTCATCGAGTTTGTGGCGTCGGTATCATCATTGTGCAATGCCGGTTCTCATCGATTTGTCGATCCTTAAAAGCATTTGACGCTGCAACATGAAGAATGACTTTAACACATTCGTACGCAATTGCGGGATTATGTGGTTTAATGCAATGAAGGCATTCAAGAGGAGAAAGCTGCTCTTGAGCTAGTTCTGTTTTAGCAACTTCACCGGTGGGTGCGCACCTCCTTGAGAACACCCAACCACATCCCACAATTCTTGTACCAGTAGCACGACCATCCAACAGGCAATGACGGTTCTGAAGCATTTCCTGATGATTTGATTGACAAGGCTCATTCCAAATTGGCTTTCAATCAAAATTTTAGCCCTACTAAGGCATTTATGGGAGCAGCCAAATATTGACTAAAGACACCTCTTTTCGATGATACTAAATGAATGATTTGAGAACAATTTAATTACAATTTCAATGTCATCAAGATTCTTTTGAATTACTCTTGTGCTTTGTAAAAATTAGACAAAATCCATCTCGGCACGCGGTTAGCATGAGAAGCTTGATGATTATCATCAGGGCATGCGACAAAAATGTCTTGAATCCAATCATTGCCTTCCACATCATATCTCTGTTTATTATCTGCGGTGATCAAGTTATACCTTTAATTCTCGTTAGAGATATTTTTTGATATATTTTCTGAAGCGTTCGCATTTATATTATCCTGGTCATTGATAGGGTCGGCTGATTTCCTTCCATAACGCCAGCGGCAATCAGCTTGACCCCAACGGCGGACATGATATTTTACTTAATCGCTGGAAGTGATGGATCTTTACACGGAAATTTGGCGCTATGAAAAAGACAAGAAGGGCTGACAACGGCGCCGCTGTTTTGAACATTGTATATTAACCGCGTCATCTTCACCTGTCGTTGCCAACAAAATCACCCAGGACTCACCTTTCACCAAAGTAGTCTTGCTTGTATTATTTTGGTATCTTTGAATAGGCAGTAGATACAAACATCTTCAACCTAGCAGCGATTAATTGACTTCCATACAATAACTCCAAGGGACTAATCAACCGAGATCGATTTTTGGTGGGAATTAGTCTGAACGAAAGCACTTGACATGTCATTCCCTCATTGAAGCAATTAATTGGGCAGATTCGCTCTTATTATTATTGTGCGAGGATTTGTCCGGATTGAGTTTCACAATAATACAGCCGCACGATTTTTATGTGACTGACAAGAAACCGACATTGGATGTTTGAATCGTTTGGATTAACCAAAATATTTGACGTACTTCGATGCAAGCTCGGAATCAGAATTGATAGTATGAATGGTCTAATGCAATAGCCGTAATGTTATTTTAATATATTATACGAATTTCCAACAGGAAATGATTGTGTGACAATTGGAGGAACGACGACATAATCGCGGTAATCATCATCAATGGTGAAAAATATTGACTTTTATCAATAACAGCATGCGGCGTCAGCCCAACAATATTAACAAGAAGTGACCTGCAACAGCGGTGGCCTACCTTGTGGACTGCTAATTAATTATTTTCTTCGCTTTTCCTTTGTCACTTGGCTGAAATTTTGAGTCACCTCCAGCCCACATTCAATGGCAGTTAGTTTTATTTTTCAGAACTTTGTCACCAAAATGACCTAAACGCTGAAGCCAATTTGAAGTAATTAATTCAACAGCTGATCGGGTAGGAAAAGGTTGTAATATTCATCAAGCAGCTCTCCTACCAATTATTAGACCGTTCAGATGGAAATAATCTTTTTGTAATCAAGGGCTTGGTCTACAAATTGTAGCCGCAGTGATTTAAATAGATTTTCTACCATCGGCGGCATCAAAAACACTTTCCAGTGATATAACATTCAAAAGCATGACAGTGACAATACAATTGATTGCCACGGATATATCACCTGGACCA